GCACCCGTCTGCAAATACCAGTATGTCCTACTTATCCTCTTTCCTTCCCGTAAATTTGTTTACTAAATCTTCTTTTTTTTTTCAGGGACTGGTACAAGAATCCGAAGGGTTGGTGGGTCAAGGACGAATATAAGCCCCGACGCTGCCGTAGGTCACCCTCTTTTCTTTTCTAACAATGTGCGGATGATTTAAAGTACTTGGATGAGCTTTACTAATTTTTTCCTTCAAAAACAGAGGTCAATGTGGGAGAATGCAAGGATTGAGGAACTCTAGAAATCATTCTAGAGTATGGTTTTCTTGGCCTCGAGAACCTAGTGACACATTTTCTTTGGACTTTCCTTAATTATTATCATTTTGGTGGATGGTCATTAATTGATGTGCGATCTGAAATTTATATAATACTGAAACTTAAATAACGAAGCGAGAGAGAAAACACGGTATCTGCTAGTCTTGAGAATTAAAATGAAGATCTTCATATTACCAAATGATTATCATAATGGTGAGGGTATTCGGGGCTCTGGTAACTCTTGGCTCATGGGCTTGGCGACAAACTGGCGGGAACTTGCCACCCATCCTGTATCTTGGCGACGCTAGGGCCCAGGGTTCGTGGTCTAGTGTTTCTAAAATAAATCGTCGGAAGTCCGATCCGTCGACAGCAGGTATTCGCTCATTTCAATGATTGGAGTATATTTTGAGATAAACCGCGTTCAGGGTTCATGGGGTAGAAACTTTAATTTTTCCGCATCTGGTTCTAGGTAGACCAGTCGAGGAACGCCCCATTCCGTGGTTGATTTGCATGTTTCTATTACCTTGAACATAAAGACGTGCGACCGTGACTGTGTTAAGAGAACATCCATCAATTTACTGAATGAGTTGCTGGAATTTCATGAAGATCCCGACAGTACTATATCATGGGATCTTTTAAGCATCTGTATCTGCTCTAGACTGGGTGGTTATTATTGCTAGAGTTGATATTATATGCTTTAGTTTCTCTTGATCCTTGAGAGATTTTTTTGTTCTAGGTGAGCACTTCATCGCCAACTTTCAATCTTACCAATCTTGTGGCCAGTGTTCGGTCGCTCAAACTCCTGATCAAAATCAACCCGTACCATAATCCACCATATTGGGATATTCGTCCCATGGAAAGGGATCTCCTCCAGAGTTGCACAGGAATTCCTCTATTTCTTGATCAACCCAAATCGCTCTATTCGGTGACACGATTCCTTCCTGGTAGTAACCAATTAAAAGTCTTGGTCTGGAGGCGGAATCTCGCTCATACCAGCAGTTCAGCCCCACGCCAGTAAGTCGATTGGTATGAATCACCAATTCAGGGAGATTGAGCAACTGCTCTTGAGCCAATACCCGCGTTACCATGCGGAATTCGTGCCACCGCTCCTTGCCAAATTCATCCGTTTCATCCCGCGGCTCTGCAGGTTTGTAGGAAAGCTCGCCTCTTCCCCCGGGCCACCCTCGCGGAATCGGATAATTGAATGTCGGGAAATGCCCGGATCATGGGCGTTTCATACAGCGGCTCGTAAAGATGGCCATGTGTGAGTGTTGTAATAGTCGGGTGAGAGAAGGAAACTGTTTCAAACCGTAGATGAGAATTTCCTCGCCTCTTTTGAACTATATAGCATCGGAATGTTGCATGTGGATGTTCTGATAATACTGTCAACATACACTAAATATTTATATGTGGAAGGATTTCTGCTTTTCTTATAGTAGAGCACCAACAGTTGCACTAATACCGGGCCAAGGCCATCTAATTTTAATTTTGCTTCAGTATTGCTGTTGTTATAAAATCAAAATCAAATTGATCAGAGGCACCATCCATGCATTTAACAACTACCTAATAACTACTAGTCCTCTCAACTCTCGCCCCAGCAGTATCGAAAGCCGAAACCTCAATTTCAACCCTCATCCTCGGATCACCAGCCGACAAACCTGCACGCAAGTCCAAACGGGATAATTATCCGGCATCCACTCCATAAAATTGCGAACCATAACCTCAACCACTTCCTCGTCGAGCGATAAATGAAAGGAATTCACCCGGTAGACACTGGGACCATCAAGTCTGCGAACAGGCTTTGTTGGGTCCGCTGCGGAACCAACTGCTGACGACACCCGCAGACTGCAAGATTCGACGAGTCCAGAACTATGTAGCAAGTATAGAATTAATTTTCAGCCCTAAGCGACAATTGATCGAGGTTTACCTAGGTTCGGATGCAGGAGCTCCCGATTCATGCTTATACAGCTTGCCTCGAGTAGTATCACATGATACGCCGCCCCATCCAGACCATGCTTCCGAAACAGCTCTGTCTCGTTATCTTCCCAAGCAACCGTCAAGCCGCCCTTCGAGGGCGTCAAAGTGATCTGGTGCACCGGCAGTAGTCCAGTGGCTCACATAGTGAGGCGAGATCCCGAGCGAGATCATGCGTCGTGAGTGCACAACGGCGGGAGACGTGTTTTGCTGGCATTGAAGGAGTTCGCGTTCTAGCTGCCGATTCGCCTCTGTCATCTCGCAGCTATCGTCGTTGGAGTCAACATCCGCGGGGTCGGCCATTTCTTTGCACTGGGCGTGCCTCTAGGAGCTCTGGCTCTCTGCTGGCACAGTAGTGCATGGTCAGCTGGATAACGGTAACCAACGGCATCATTTCGGGATGAGATCAAGCAGAGGCTTTAGATGAGAGAGTGATGCTGACCCATCACCAACCGTACGGCTCATTGCGCCATCCCTTCCACCTGGATATATAGATATTCTCGGGCGTTGTTAGAAACCCGACCATCTTCGTTTGGTCATCAGAACGGTGTGCAGTTATCGAGGGCATGCGGATTCTTGGTGATGCATGAAACTCTGCTGGCTGTGGCCTTGCGACGATTTCGCACCGTAAACAGTTGGTAGTCAACGTTGCGCAACAGGAATTGGCTTTATTTCAAAATTTGTGCGTGCATCGAGTATAACCTGAAAAAAAAAATCTTGTGGCATGGATTCGAGGCTGTAGGTGATCAGCTTGTTAAGACGAATCCACGACATGCTATATGTGTCCGACTCTTCTGGCTGACCGCGGTGGAACTCATTTCACCTGCGTTAACAACGTTGGCGAGGCAAATGATTCGTCATTGTCATGGTTCATCTGGGCCAACCACGGGTTGCTGGTGGGGCGAGCGCTCCATCCGCCATTCGTTCCCAGAATTCATTCCCAATGAATCAACCATCTCAATGCCCAGTGATGGTCCTTGCCAACAGACCGCAGAAATTCTGACTTGAACGCATGTATACAGTGGGCCAGTCCGAAATGATACTTGCCGGCCCGTTGAATATGTGGCTCACTGGTTGTCATGCATTCTCAACCCTAAGCTACCGAATATCATCGCCCGCCCATAATTTCTATAAATTGAGATGATCCCTGTACTTCTCTACACTTTCAGTCTGTGAGACCTCAATTTACAGATGTCGGAAAAAAGAGAAGAAAGTGACAGCGAGCTTTTCGAGATCTTGTCCAGTTACGGAGACCTCAATATTGAAGAAACGGACGACAATTCTACTACAGAGGAAGACCTTTCGGAAACAAGCGAAGATCGCAGGTTTCTGGAGTCGGGGAGCGACAATGTCACGTATTCAGAAGAAGACTCATTAGGATCCAGTATTCCCTGCATCCACCAGACCATGGATGGTCATAGTACATCGAGCACTGTAAGTATGTCTATGAGATTTCTTTTCACTGTGGAGCTAACTGGAGCAACTAGATCAGCAAAAAGATACCGATTAGCGCCATTGCCTCTCGCTTGATCTCTGAAGATAGGATTTCAGTGATACAGTATTTGGTTCTGTGGCAATCGTGGGAGCGAGAGATGCCACATGAGTATGATGTGAGCGAGGATTCGTCTCCTTCGCCCAGGTCATGTATCTAGTACGAGAAGGTTTGGTTCCTTTCTCAATTTTCCATATCAAATGTTCATCTCCAGTCTTCTATGCAATGTCCAGCTGAACACTCGAATCGAAGTCAGCTTCATCTCAGTGGATGGTAAATCGGTCTGACTAGCGTTTCCTTCGGAGCAGATACCGATGGATAAAGCGCCTCGCTTAAAAATTCAAAGCTCAGCAGTATTGCCTCCGGAGCTCAGTTTCTTTGAATATAAACCCCTCTTTTCTTTGTTCCCAAAGTCTACCATCTCTAGCGCTGCGGTAATAACCAGGAGACCGCGGTAGTTCTGTGGGGGTATCACGTATCTGTTGATGAGGAGCGTGTCTTTCCAATGAAGGATTAGTATTAACGAATGCTATAGTCGACTCTAGATACAAGACGTAGGGCGAGGAAGCAAAGGAAAGATAGCTTCCTCGCGTTCAGGGGAACCCAGACATGTGGGTCCGCGTCCTCGGCTTAGCGTGTATACCTCATGTACATCCCTGACAAGTTCTGTCTAGGGACTTATTTTTGAGATGAAAACATTTCATCAAAAGCTTTTCAAAATATTGTGAATACAAATTTCGTACGTGCACGGGTGTTGTGAGTCCTAGGAAGGCCATATTGGGGAGAACTCTTTACGTCCGGTCCATGATTATGAACTTGGATATCCGCCTGTCTGGCTCTATTAGACAACTTTTGGAATCAAGGAGATCTCCATCGAAATTATTCTAGCTTCTTCGATCTGAAAGAAGTTAATTTAACTTTTCGCATCTTTACTCGGAAAAAAGTGAATTCTGTTGGGCGGGAAATCGCCCACACTAGATACAGTAGCGTACTGGTTTCTCCTGATTATCTGAGTATCTATATGTGACAAAATTCGTTCTGTTTAAGATAGACTGGTTATCATTTATACAAGACATTTGGTATGAAATGGTACTGTCATAAAGGAAAGCAAGCTACAAGTACTGTATATTTCAAGTGCACCTGAGCAGTCAATTACCAGACTTTGGTCACTGAAATAATTGAAATTGCCAGCTCAGCAATGAAAAAAGCAAGATGTACCCCAGAGTTCCAGCCATAACCGAACCCATTATGCCGCATAAGCCCCATGAGGTCTTGAGCCTAAATGTTCCTTGGCTCTCAGCCACCGGTGTAACAGCCGTTTCGGTACCTGGCGGCAGTTTCATAGGAGGCGTTGCCATAAATCGCTGGGTGGAGATCGAGGAGCTCAGTGCACCTTGTGACTTTGATACCGTGGTGATGACTGGTACGGTCATCCAATTGAGGTCTTTTGGGGCTAGTGTGGCGTGAAACGAAATCTTGTTGGTAGCATAGCAGGATGCGTACGTTGTTCCGGCAATATGACACGACAGGGACGCGGTGCTGCAATAATCCATTAGTATCAAAAGTACTTTGAGTGCATACGGGGTACCAACCTATTCTTTTTGTTGACATCCACCAGCTCTACGGAGTCCTTCTTAATGATAGCCGTCATTCCTGCTTCGGAAACGCCGCAATCAGATGCAGCCACGGTTTGCGGGCAAGTCACAAGGAATGTTGTCGCTTCACCATCCTAGAATATAGTAAGGAAGTTAATTCAGATTCTTGAAGTCTAATATCTCCGCATTTTCTCACATACGGTTGATAATATGCTCGCTTCCAATTCACGCCCTTGAAATCCGGGCAGTAGGAGGCTGCCTGTTTGTCCGAGAATTATTGTAGCTGCACCAAAAAGGAAAAAACAGTAAGCGAGTAACATATCCACTCAGAGTTTGGCCGTCTCAAGCTTCGGAGGATGACTGTTTCAAGTTCGGACACCTTATCTGTCAAACCAGAGCTTTGATATACTGCAGACACCTAGAATGACGGACTGCAGTATTATAAATATAGCTTGTTGAGAACCATGGGAAAGAGCAAAGACCTTGAATGACAGGCGAGAGAGCTAAAATCTTATCGGTATGGCACTGTGGAAAACTTTGCAGTTACACGGGGAGATCCTGTTTAGGAATCTCAAATCATCACAAACAGGGCTGAACCCTGGTTCTTGTTTACAGTGATCATCTTCGGAGGATAAACTCACCTCACGGTTTCACTGGTGGTCAAGGAAATCGGCGTGAAGGACAATTATGTAGCAACAATCTAATCTCGCGACAAGAGCAAGAGTATGTTATTTGGCGTAGCAGGGTATCTAACGCGTAATTTCCAGCTGCCGTGAGCGGAAGAATGAACTTTGAGGTCCTTGCTTTCTTCCAGAGATGTTTTGATCGGCTTGCTCGACGTTCTTGGCTTGAACCTGGCAACTCAGGCTCCCCTCTTCACTTTTTGAGCCGCCGCAATATTGTCAATGGGAACAACACCACCGCAGGCGAAGGGCACAGAAGACCTTTTACTCATGATTGCCTCTTAAATTTTATGGTGCACATCATCGAATGCGATTTCTAGAGTTGATGGGGACCTGTGTCTTTTGGACATGGTGGAAGTGGTGGAAGTGGTAGGGAACAAGGGATGTGGGACCTATTTGCAGTAACCCCCATCCCGGTGACATGAAACGCCCTGTGTGATGAAACGTCCACCAGGTACCTGCACATTCGAGTGCCACCACTCCCAACCCGCATATCAAATATTGCCCGAGAGCTGCAGAAACGGTAACGATTTGGTATCTTATTCGATGTTCTTATTCAAACCAAGATTATAGATTGTAAAAGTGGCGGATTACAGGACGGCACACGCGACTAGGAAATCCGCTGTTTACTACTAACCCCCATCCCGGTGATATGAAATGCCCTACGTGATGAAACAGCCGCGATGTACCTGACAAGTCCAGCAATTTTATCCTCTAACAACAAGTAAATGATTATGTTTGAATAGAAAATACCTCAATTAGATGGTTTCCTGGTATCACTGCTTTTGAAAAAGAAAGAAAATACTATGTCCCAATGCTGAAATACAGGGCGTCATATACTACCAGGAACTCTACCGTCGACTACTGGGACGCCAAGATCACCCACCAAGAAATCAGAGATGGGTATGAAGGATTATTATACGTGACTGAATTTTTTTGATCGCGGCCATCATCTTTTCAGGCTATTACAACGATGTGATCTACGGCAATGTTGAGTTGCGCGAAATTCTTGGCAGTAGAGAGGTACAAAGATGACAAATTTACAAAGTCGAATACGCCGGAAAATAACGATGGTGTAAAGTTGTGTATGAAATATACTACTGCCGCTTAATATAGTAGCTGGCCCACAGCCCGTCTGTAATCATTATGAACGATTACCTCGCTAGGCTCAGGCCGTTGATCAGGTGACGACCACGGCCGTCCGCGAGGAATAATTGTGCGTGTCAAGACTTGAGATTATCGGGCACTTAATTCCTCTTTGCTTGGTATCTTGTATCTTCTCTGCTCGCTATGCTTAGTGTCATTAAATGAAAAGGACAAAATCGTCTATATACGCAATCTGAGAGACCTTCGACTACTTTAATACTATGCTGGAGATAATTATACTCCTGATTCCAGTACTGTAATACTTTCGGTTGTGCCTCATATCTTCATCGTAAAACCCGACCTTTTTGATCTCCATGCCATATTCACGAATTGCAACGCGCCTGGAGAGATGAAAGCGCCACTCGAGTTATAACTATTTAGGACCATTGAACAAACTGGTGTGTATCTTGGCTGCAAACATTTTGGCTATGAGCACAAACAAATGTCTTCTCCACCAATTCCAGTCTTTGTACTATTATCGATATTATATAATACGTAGCGCAGTGCTTTAGCATCAACACTTGGTGCTGTGATTTATACTAGCTATGCTTGGCCTATCAGAACTAGCCTCTTCAAGATCAGCGCCACGTGAGAACGCGACTCACGTAATCGTACATGCAAGGTATAATGAAAACTTCCTGTTTTTAAGGGGGATCTCGTAGACCCTGTACTCCACGTGACCAAGGGCTCACACAAGGTAGGACACGGGATTTCACCAGAAACAACTGTTTAACTTGAATTAAGCACCCTGGTGAAAATTGCCAAACAGTGAAATTGCCCATTCTGTACAGTCGTTCAAGTGCGGTTGATGGTCAAAATGTGTGTTCATTTCTATCAACATGACCGCGCCATCAATTTTGCTCAATAGTGTTTATTTCTGCTCAGCCCAGAATATTCAGATGCTTTTGGTGTTCAACAGCGAAAGCACTTATCGTCTGACTGTGTTTAATTACTCAAGTGTTTTTGTTTAGAATATTGTTCAAGGGCTACAGGATTGATTTTACGAGTTATAATTCTAATCTCATGATAATAGAATATGTAAGAACTATGCTTTGATTGCAGTATTCAAGTCCTCTCTGGCTGTGTAACTGGCAAAAACGCGATCTTTAGGCCGGTGATTAATAACGATTCACTAATTCACCTCTACCAATTCACCTCTACCAATTCACCTCTACCAATTCACCCCTACCAATTCACCCCTACCAATTCACCCCTACCAATTCACCGGCAAAGTTCATGTCTAATAGTTAAACCGCAGCAGTTAATTGAGTCTGGAACAACATTGACAGTCATCAAGATTTAGCAGGTCGGCAGATGCCAGCATTTTCTGGATATCGTGATTGACACGGTGGCCAAGCTTCGCGCGGTGATGCAATGCCATTCAGCAGTGTACCTAAGTATTGTGATGGCATCATCGGGTCTGGCTGGTAAAATTCGTTTCTAGAAAACCTCATCTACAGCTACTCAGGAAATTCAAATAGAATCATTTCAGCATACATAAAGTGATGTAGAATTCACTAGGGCTATTCATGTATTCCGCGAATTTTATACTCTGCACATTTACGGTCGGCATAGTTCTGTCTCAAGTAGGAGATGCCTTTCAGGATACGGGACTAGAAATGGCCACGTTGTTTCCAGGACATCAGCGTCCTGCACACACATCATACGCAACTCGGTCAAGATCGACGGGGATCCCCGCATCCACCTTGTGGCGACGGGCCAATAACAAGTCTTCCCTCGCTGATAAAGCTGCCAGTCAGCAATATCTCACCCCGCACGAAGAGCAAGCGTTGCTTGAATATGTGTTGCGGTTGGCAGACAGCGGCTATCCTCTTCTGGTCAAGTTTCTACGATCGCTTGCCATGGTCATCATGCGCCAACGGTCTTCAATTTTCCAGACCAGAGGTCCTAGCCTGAAGGTTCGACCTCCGGGGAAAAATTGGCCGCAAGGCTTTTATCGACGACACCCGCAGTTAAGAGCGCGCCGGCTACGAGCGATTGACTGGAAGCGAGATGACTGGCAAATTTGATCTGACAATGAGTTGAAATTTAGGTGTTACTGTGTCAAATAACAATACATGCAGGCCTGGCGTACAATTGACCTCGAAATCACCTTGACTAAAGCACACTCTCCTGAGCCCCCTCCGTCTAGAGACCTGGAAGACACACCTCAATCGAAGCGGTCTTGCTCTTTGCTTAGCTCCTCGCCTTCTTCGCTTGATCCCGCTTTTTCAGAGAGTAGGAGAGATACGAGTAGTCCGCACCCGTATAAAAGACGAAAGCCCAAGTCATATTCTTGTTGGACTATTGAGCACTTTTGGACCACAGATCTGGATAACACTTGGTGTCGGCAGGGTGGCCCGCCGAAAAAAGACCGACTGCTGATTTGTAAACATTGCAGCTGTTCCTCCAGAGATTCAGCGCGCTATTGTTCCACTTCGAATTGTTGGTGCATCTCCAGACCAAGCATCGTATCAAATCTGGGGCCGAATCCATCTTCTTGCCCGCAGTTGAAGGAAGCCTCGACCGGTTCTTGGAGTCCCCGAGAAATAAGCCTGGTGTTGAAGAAATGCTAGTTCGGTGGTTCATTCAAACAAGACAGCCTTTAACAGTGGTAGGGCATCCGGCTTTAACCGTACGACTGATATAATATCCGAGACGAATTAAGACGAAAGAAACTCGGCAACTATACCCCACTTAAATTTCTAAGAGATACTCTTCAAAATAATAATTAGAGATACGTATTTGAGTAGGCTACTAAAGACTATGTCCTTTTCTTTATGTTTACTCATCCTGAATCAATCAGATATCTAATAAGTATAATAGGGTCTTCTTACTAGACTATACCTATAAGACGAATCGATACAAGATACCTCTTTTACATATTATTAGCCTCTCACCATCAAACTCGAGTTTTAGTATTCCTTTCGCTTTATGCATAATGAGCAAAAAGAGAGTTATGAAAAGACTTTAGAGACTTTCTTTGTATGGCTTAACCCTTTACCCTTTTCTATTCCAAAACCGGTTTAGCTGTTGCCGAAAATCGATCATGTTGCCGAAATTATGAACTTCAAACAGCCCCCAACTTCGATACCTTTTTTTGGCTCACCCAGAGATACTGGAGAGGTTTCAATTGCAGATTCCGACCGGGCTGGTCTTCCTTGACTTCCGTAACTGACATCAATTCCATGCGACCTCTGGGTGGCTCTAGGCCTAGTCATGGTTTCCCCCGTAGACGATCAATAATCAGCATCGAATACCTGTGGCAGCTTACCCCCACCCACAAAATTGAAGTTCTAAGCAGATTAACACAAGATGACTCCCATGAGTCAGCCTTGCAAAAAGCTCAGCTGCTGATCCATAACGCTTCGCACCATGTCCTCCCAAGATCGCCATTGGATTCCAAGTTCAACTTCGGCCTTGGTGGTGTCGGTGGGCATGGAGGAAACACCTTCAACCTCCTCCGTGATCTTCGCGCCGATATTGGGGTAGGCCTTCAGTGCGACACGAGCCACATCTTTCCAAGTGGTTTGTGGCCCGGAAAGCAGATACTTTGAGCCGTCCTTTATCTTCGAGTCTAACGCCTTGACGTGAGCTTCAGCAACATCTTGGATGTGCACTCCTGTGATGCCGCCAAGCGGAACACCTCCCATCACACTACCCCAGAGAATACCGTTGGATCCTGCTTGAACATCCTCGGCGGGGTTTTGCACGAGGTTGGCACCGAAAACAAAGGCCGGATGAATAGTAACCAATGAGTAGTGTGGCTTTTCCGTCTCCCGGAACTCCCAGGTGGCGTTGTTCGCAAGCAATTTGGATGCTCGGTACAAAGTCATCGGCGTTGCAGCAGGATTGCTAGGATCGACGAAATTGGCCGTTGGGTCGACATATAGATTCCAGTTAGTATCCTCTAATTCGACGTCAGCATATTGATGTTTTTCACCTAACGAAATACTTTGGCATATTCAGCGTTCACGCTACCTTTGATGACACCACCTTCGGGCACTCCGGTAATAGGAATCAAGGCAGCTATAGACGAAGTGATCACAACCTTCTTAATGCTTGGCACCCTAACTGCCTCCTTGAGCAAGGACAAGGTCCCCTTAACTGCAGGAGTGAATATGGCATCCTGGTCTGTACCACGAGCAAGAGGTGATGCTAGATGCAGAACAAAGTCCACTCCATCAAGCTTGCCTCTAAAGGCAGCTTCGTCGGTCAGATCGGGGATGGTGACGAATTCCAGCTGGTCGCGATGGCTTGACAATATATTTTCAAGCTTCTCTGATCTCTTGCGGATGCCGATTCGAAGTCGATATCCTGCCTTGAGAGCTCCAAGTGCAGTAGCACTGCCAATAAAACCAGTAGCACCGGTGATGAAGACGAGGGGGGGCAGACATAGTGGATTCTGTGTGATAACAATGGCTTCAAAAAAAAAGAAATGGCCATAGAAATGGAAGAGATAAGTCGATTTAAAAAATTTTTGTTATGGTGAATATTAACTGTCATTCTCGTTCATTCTGTGAGTAGGAAAGCGGTCCAGTCGGCGCTGATTATTCATTGCCACCTGATCGGTGATAATCTGTCCGAACCAAAAACCCACTACGGAGTATTATCGGCTAGAGTCGAGTCCGTTTGCCGTCGAAGCTTTTCAATATTGACATAATCGCAGTCAACTTATGTTCTCTAGCGAATCAATGGATTTGCACGGAAGACTGAGTGCGGTTGCCTCAAGCCGGCTTCCTATCTCGAATTTGGCGAGGGGTGAATGCAGAGATCGAGGCCAGCCAAGACATGAGGACACCGTCCGACTAGTATGTCAATTACTCATCTACCTGGGTCGTCCGCAGTCGTCTTTGTACCATAAACCAATTTGTAAGCTCGTGTCAACGACCTACAGTGAATCCCAATCGACTTCTAAAATTGATTCTATGTGAACAACAGATTTTGATGCTTTATCAAAAGCAAAGTTTATTTTAAACTCACCCGACCCGTTTATTTTGCTTCACTGAACCGTACTACAATGTCTCCCTAATCATATCTACTCAAGAATGCAATTGTCATCACTGCGCCCAGCACAAAAGGATCTGGTCACCGATCGCCCCATTCCACAGCTCCGGGGCGACTACATAGGCGTACTTGTCAAGACCATTTCAGTCGGCTTGAACCCCACTGACTGGAAGCACGTTGCTTCCCTAGACCTGGCGGCGACAACTTAGGCGTGGAAGGCTGAATTTTGGCTCGGCAAGATCACTCATCATTCCGTTTGTTGACGCAACTATCTAACGAATCACGCCCCCGTCTAAGCTTGGATCGTACGAAACTTACATGCTTACTAATAGGGCTAGAGAGGAGAATGGAAGGTGAGCAGCTGGAAGCTAAAAAAAAACTCGGCCCTGGCCGACTTCCTAGAATTAGCAATTCGATAGACAAGAAATGGGAAAATGAGAAGGGGTCTTGGCAATCGGTCGACCAGTTACCGCTACGGCAGTTGAGAAACCTTCTAACTATATGGACCCATTATAAGCGCCTACAAATTATTCCGAGGTACCCGAGAATGACCGGAGAGTCGATTACAAATAATATCATTTTGTGCTCCCCCGGATCTAATCTGTAGGCTATTCGAGAATCAGGGATTATGTGGGGCATTATATTTCATGGAGCGGATGTTGAGTGATCTCTCCCTATTTCAGACGAGGCTCGTTGCGACGAGATTGATAGGGTAAGATAAGTGCGAATGCGGATACCCTCATGCCACAGTGTCTGAGAGGATTAGGCTTCGGCCATCACAAATGGGAGCTTGCGAAAGTAGATATGGGATGAGACGAGCCCGAAAACCCCGATCTCCCGGATTACAAATTTCCCTTCGTTAGTCATCTCCGCATTTTCTGTAAATGCGGACTTGAGATAAAATCTATTGATAAATAGTGGAGGAATGTCAATTCATGTCCCAGCCTCTTAATGTACATAACCCAGGCGCAAACTCAGAAACCCAGATACTAATAAAATTTTAACCATTCACGCTCAGAGTCCAACAAACCCAGACACCATCATCATGGCAAGCTCACCTATATCAGAGCCCTTCACCCTGAAAAGTGGCCTGGTTTTGCAGAATAGGCTTATCAAGACCGCCACGGCTGAAAACCTAGGTGACAAGAAATACCTCCCGACTGAAGCTCTGGTTGAAGCATATGAAACGTGGGCAAACGGCGGCTGGGGAATGGTCATTACCGGTACGCGCTGTCTACCCCAATTTACGAGGTCGATGACAGCACCTTGCTAACCGATTTTGGGCAGGCAATGTGCAAGTTGACGCTCGCTACCTCGGCCAGCCCCACGACGTGGCTTACAATGAAGCCGTCGAGTACAAACAGATGCTTGAGAGTTGGAAGAAGTGGGCCGCACCTTACAAAAACAGCAACTCTCATGCCGTTGTACAGATCAATCATCCCGGAAGGCAATCCCCTGCCGGATCTGGTACCAAGGGCTATTTTACCAAGAGCATTGCCCCGAGCCCTGTCCCGCTAAGCCTCGGGAAGGAGTTCTTCCCTAGAATAATGTCCACACTCATTTTCGGCACCCCAAGACAGATGACCCTGGCAGAGATCAAAGAGACCACGCAACAGTTTGCCAGGACGGCCCGGCTAGCAGCTGACGCGGGCTTCCCAGGCGTTGAGCTACACGCAGCACATGGGTATCTGCTCGCGCAGTTCCTTTCGGAGAAAACCAACAAGCGAACGGATGAGTACGGTGGCTCTGCCGCAGCTAGAACCAAGATTGTGGTCGAAATCATAGAAGCCATCCGCGCGGTGGTCCCGAAGGGCTTTACGGTCGGCATCAAGAACAACTCGGTCGATCATCGATCGCCAAAGGCGCTGGCGGATAGCATCACCCAGTTGAAGCTCATCGCCCAAGCCGGCATCGACTTTTTGGAGATTAGCGGTGGCACATATGAGGACCCTCAGGTGAGCGAGGATTTAGAGCTGAACCCCAATTCGAGATCTAGGAATCGCTAACATTCTCGATAGCTTGTTGCCGGCCTGAACACCAATCTCAAATCCGTCACGGTCAAAGAGAGATCCCGAGAAGCCTTTTTCTTAGAGTTCGCAAGGACAATCCGAGACGAGTTTCCAGGCCTTCCGTTGATTATCACGGGCGGATTCCGCTCCCGAAATGTCATTGAGTCTGCAATCACGGAGGGCGCGCTCGACCTCGTCGGCATGGCCAGACCAGCCATCCTGAACCCATCTGTTCCGATAAACACCATTCTCAACAATTCCGTCCAGGAAAAGGACGCAAAAGCATACGCCAGGCTGATTGAACCGTCGTGGTTGTTGAGGAAGATTGGCAACGTTGTCATTGGAGCCGGCGTGGAGACCGTAGGTCGATCAATCGCTGCTGCGCATCCAACTTGTAACTAACTCTCGCCCTTAGGTCTGGTACGGAAAGCAGATCGTCAACATGGGAAAATAAGCCTTCACTGTTGCGGGCTGACCGATCTATGTATAGTAGGGGGTCTGATACCCAAGGTTTCTAGCAATCGTTCAACCTGGACATGGACACATAAGACTACAAAAATATCAAACAAGAGACAAGCGGAGATACTGTAGATAGTGGAAGGCAATAAATAGTACCAAGTAACCTGAAATAACGAGTGCCCAACTCAAGACCAGTATTGGTCATTTTACCAAGTTGACAACTTCTCTCTCTCGGGGATACCAGCTTAGTCGAAGTCAGAGCAGGATTTCCGACGAAATTAACAGTTTACGTTTCTTCGGGCTTACTTATGTAAAAATGCTTGTTTAACTTGTTAACTATCTCCTTCCCCCCCCCCCCCGGTTTACCCCCATGGGATAGGCTTAGAAAGCTGGCTAAAAATGGTATAGACTACCCGTTGGTCCTAGTCTTGGCATACCCCATCAAAAAATCACCTACCAAAATCAGACCCCTTAGGGTTTTACCCTTCTGACTAGAAATCACTATATCAAACCTGATAGGAGAATAGTTTAGATATTTCTAATCAAACTTCTAAAAAGCCCGATCAAAAATATAGAGGGGTGACCTAGTTAGGGGGGGGGGGAGACGGGCCGGAATATATTTAGGTTTAGGTCGTGAAAGAGTATAACAAGGTTTTCTTATTTAGTCAATAATCTAGTTCTACTAAGTATGGAACCCACCAACCTCAAGTTTTTCCGCTCTATTTTTTTGGCGCATTAACATTGCCTGGTCCAAACCAGTCATCAAATCCCTACAAAATCAAAGAGTCAGCAATCCAAGACCCAACCTGTCAGTTTTGTATAGTATTGTGCAAACTCACCAAATTATGTCCCCACTGCGGCGTATTGACACGTTGCTGTTTCCCAGCAGCCGCCAGTCCTTCCAATACATCCATATCCTCCTTTCCCAGAGCAATAACCTTAAGGTTAGCGTCAATGCGGCTGAGAGTCACCGACTTAGGCAGCACAATGCAACCGCGGTTAACCTGGTAAGAAATTAAAATCGTCGCGGGGGACACATCATATTTCTTCGCGATTGCTGCGACTTCAGAGTCGCCGAGGAGAGGAGAGTCTACCACCCAGTTTAGGATTAGGCTAAATTCAAGTCCAATATGCAAATCGCAAGTCGGAGCTGCTATTACATACCTGTAGAACCGAGGGGACAGTATGCTTGTAGGTAAATTCCCTTATCCTCGCACCATTGTTTCAATGCATGCTGTGGGCAATAAGGGTGCAGCTCGACCTTGGTGGGAAAATCGTTAATACTCAATGATATTCTCTGGCAGGTCAGCTCATTATATGGCATACCTGGTTCACAGCAGGGACGATTTCCCATGTCTTCTCAAGATCCTGCAAATAGGGGATACTCCAGTTTGACACGCCGATGGCCTTGACCTTACCGCTCTTATAAACCTCCTCCATCTGCTTCCAGGTGTCCTTCTGGTTCCAAAAGGGATCGACAGAGCGGGTCCCGTCCGGGTTGGAAGGTAAGAGCTGAGAGGTCTCGTTGGGAATGAGACGGCTAACCGGTAAAAGAAAAGAAACATTAGCAATAGTTTTCAGAATCAGGATAGGCGAAGAGGAAGACAAACATTGGCCAGTGGACCAAGTAGAGGTCCAGGTAATCCGTTTGGAGGTCCTTCAGGGTCTGCGCAAGGCCCTCGGCGACATTGGTTTGGTGAGTATTCCAGCTGCAGAAAACATTCGTTAGCAAGCTGCCGTTAACTAGGTAGTTTCTCCAACGCACACTTTACTGGTGATGAAGATCTCCTCGCGGGGAACCTCAGACCCTTTGATCGCGTCGCCGACTTCCCCCTCTAATAGAAAAGGGGGCATTAGTAGTCGTAGATTTGTAAAGCCGATCCATTCACAGAGCACAGCTATCTAACCGTTTTGATAAATCAAGGCGCAGTCCAAATGTCGGTATCCAGATTTCAGTGCATGACTGACAGCGTTACCGACTTCACCTGGCTTCGCCTGCCACGTCCCTGGAGCGGATTTATTAGTTGGAGTCAATTTAGTTTGTGGTGGTAAAGCAAGGCGTATATACCGAGTCCAACTGCGGGAATTGAGACGTCATTGTTAAGCTTGAAATGCGACGGAACGGACATTGTGGTGATTGCATTGGCATATGCGTTTTGTTTGTGAGAGTAAAAAGACTTCTGTCTGAAAGCGAGGAGATGGCGGCATGCCCCCTCTCTACCTCCGATGGGGATCCGACTCGAACTTGACGAAGTTGAGTAAATTTGGCCGTGCCCCACCTATCTCGGTCTTTTTGGTAAATGGCATGGGGACAAGTTCGTGGAGACTCCGACTCCGACTCCGAATGAGTAATAAATGTCCGGCACTTCTCATGATTCAGCTTCGTTTAAAAAGTTTATTTGGATAGATTCATCAGTATATGACGAAAGTGTAGAGAGATACCCAACAACATTGATTCTAATCGCTCGTTAAAGGTAGCCAGGATTTTGGATTCTGACAATTCCACCAGATTCCTAAGGCCCTGAAAGAAGTTGAAAGGCGGTGGAGTTGCATATCTATGGTAGCTAATGGACAACGCAAAAGAAGTCTGATTTCTAGTACATCCCTCAACTAACAATTTATAGGGAAAACTAAGTACTACCAATATTGTGTGTTTATAGAGGTCCATTCTCTGGCGTCCTGTTACATTCAGGGATAGTCTTGTATGCATCCTCCCTGGTTTCCATGGGTAGTGGTCATGTGACCCCTCAAGTCAAATTGGCCATCGACTAAAGAAATCTGGCCCTACATTAAATTCATTCATCAATATCATGAAAGTTGGACCCTATAGTGATTTTAGTTATTTCTAAGAGAAGAGAACAATATAGGTAGTCTTACTGACTCTTATATAAAATGGCTATTCGCTTAGGACTAGAGGGCGAGATATTTAACTCCCTCCCGAATTTGAAAATCGCCTATAATGCGAGCGCAGCGTAGAACTTCCAGAGAGCTTACTTCACGGTACAAAAGACCCACTAAACCGTAAATCGAATCAGGAGGGCATTTAGTCGCCCAGCATGCACAAGAATAGATCTTGCGCCAATAATATCGTCAGAGATTCTTGATGAAAGCCATGAACGTGCATTAAGCTTGCTCTCCTCGGTCCCTGACCACTACAACCTCGCGGCATAAGCAGCACTACACCGATCGGCTAAAATTGGGTCACAAAAATTGTTAACCAACATCCAGAAATTAAATCTCGCTTTTCTCGGCTATATAATTATGAGCGCACAAAACAAGAGGATCCAAAGGTTATACGGCAGTGGTTTACTGCTGTGCAAGACGCGATCACTACATACGGTATCCTATCAGAAGATATCTATAACTTTGATAAAACTGGCTTCGCGATGGGTCTTACTACGACCCTGGAGTAGTTACGCGAGCAGAATACCCCGGTCGGAGATCGGTCCTACAACCAGGAAGTTGCACCTGGGTAACCGTAAGCGAGTCGATAAGCGCTTCAGGGTGTGCGCTTCTACCAACGATTACGTTTTATGGCAAGTCTATAAAGAATCGTGGTTTGATAATCTCCTACCTGACTGGCGCTTCGAGGTTAGTGCAAACGGGTAGATAACCGATGAAATAGGCCTTCGGTGGCTTCAAGAAGCTCTTATCCTACTAACAAAACCCTGTATACTTGGTCAATATCGACTACTAGTCCTCGACGGCCATAGCAGTTATTCAATACCACAAATCGATCAAATATGCTTAGAAAACAAGATTATACTGATCTGATGCCAGCTTATAGCTCGCACCTTTTACAACCGCTTGATATCGGGTGTTTTAGGGTCCTTAAGTGCTCATACGAAAGCTTAGTCAACCAGAAAATGCGGCTAAATATCAATCATATCGATAAGGGCACACAGCAGAACGGGGGTAAAAGATTATGGGTCTTACGTCACGTTATTTTTTTACACCCGCTCTGCTGTAACCCCATATCGATAAGCTTGATTTTCTTGTAGCATACCCACAAGCTCGTATCGACGCATTCAAATCAGATACAATCAAGAATAGCTTTAAAGAAGCTGGTTTAGTACCAATAGACCCGGAACCAGTACTTCATGAGCTTAATATTCAGCTTCGAACACCGACGCCAACACTACCTAAGCAATTTTAAAGCCAATCGAGTATTTACTACCCTACAACACCTATACATATCGCGCAACTCACAAAGCAGACAATACCAGCTGAAACATTGTTTGAATATCCACCGGAAAACCCTCCAACGCCTACGAAACTGTGAATGGCTGTAACAATATTGATTCAATAAGAGCTAATGCTGTTTACAAAAGGATTAGAGAAGAGAACGAGTGGAAGAGGCAGAACAACAATAGAGGTAACGTATCAGGCGGTGGCAGAACATAAGCGTGCGGGGAAGAGGCTATATGGCAGGGCCATATAGTGAGATACGGGTCTGACCCGTGACAGAAACAGGTGGTTGACCAGGCATACAAAGCGCTTGGGTAAGTCATGACAGGGCTGATTTGTACTAAAGAGGAAAACAAGGGTCTATGCTCAGGGCTAGAGAAAAAGAAGCATAAGTGACGTCGAACCAATAGGTCTATACTACAGGATGGAGGATTATTAGTGCAAGAAGCCTGCGAGCTTATGCAAGCCCCTGAGCCTAATCCACAAGCACCAGAGTACCACCACCAGCACTACCGACGCAGCGTATTCAAACTGCTATAGCACCATTACAACGATGCCTACCAAAATGTGGTAAATGTGGAGGGATAGGGTACAAGAGAAATACATGTCCAGTTAGAAATTGATAAAGAAATACTAGCTTTATAGTTGATAACATGCACGAAGTAGTAGAAAGTAGTCGCGTGGGTGGTTTAGTCGGTAGTGAATTACGTTACCTAACTAGGATAACATTCGTTTCTTAGCATCAGACTATTTAGCATCCGACACATACTAGGTAGCAGGTACCTCCGAACGGTGTGCGGCTTCCTGTCATCTATCCCTTCCTTCTTATTAGAGAACATGCTACTCATGTGTTCTTACTAGGTGGTGTGTTTTGTGTGTTCTATCGTCCTGCCTGCTGTGCGAGACTGCCATCGTGCATGTCTCATGTCATTATGTATCTTCATTATTAAATAAAATTATCACTTTAAAGGCTCCAAAGGAGTTCATGTATTTGAATTTTGAATTTTATCAAAGTTTTTAATAAAAATGCATTAAATATATTTTTAGCTGGAATTGTGTTGAGATAGGAAGAGTGTGTGCAAAAGAGATGAATTGTTAGAGATCATAAACAGGATAATCCCTGAATGAAAGAAAACTGGTACACAAAGCAATATTGAACACTCCTATAGGATACAGAGAGGTACTGTCACAGCGGTAATTAAGGCTGATTCCTCAACAAAGCAGAATGCAGGAGCAACTTCCCCCATAACCAAAATTAACAAAATCTTCTGATATCGGCATTATATTTCTTTGTCTAATTTGGAATTTCTTTAATTCCCCCTCATGATTCTTGGTCCTTCTGAGATACTTGCCTCTACTTTCCATCCTAGCCGAAATCATAGCCTAGCGCGCAGTTTCGCTCTCTATCTCCGTTCCTCTATCTTCAGCATTTTCATGTGGATGGTCCTTGGTGAGGACCATCAGTAAAAACGCCGTCACGATGGATGCAAACATCAGCACAATAGTGACGGTAAACCCAGGTACATATGCCGGTGCCGTGCTTGAAGGCCAGATATACGATCCGTATACGGATGAGAGGTTGGCAAAAGCACTGATGAAGCAGGTCAGCAAGAGTAGAACAAAATAAAAAATGACTAGACCGGGAGCGTACTTCACAAAAGCAATAGCCACAGCTCGCTTCTCAGCGGGCCGGGAGATGGTATTCGAGAGGTAGCTGAGGACCAACGGACTGCAACCCCATATTCCAGACACGCCTGCTATATATCAGCCAATGAAATCCAAAAAATAAAAATAAAATAAAAAAAAGATTTTCGTTGCTGGGATAGGACAAACCGAATGCTAGGAATGCGTAGCGAGTTTTAGGGTTATGGATTGTGGCCACGATGATCAACGATATAGTAGACATGGTAGCCAAAGCCATGATGTGTTTTGGTCGTTCATTGAAGTAGTCAGAGGAGAAACCACAAAGGAGGACGATCACAAAGGCAACCATATCTAGGATAGTAATTCAGATAACAAACAAAATAAGGACTTGGATTATTGCTCGATTCTTACAGATTGGGATCGTCATCTGCAGTGTGGAAACCAAGCGATCAGTATGAGTTAAAAAGCAGAGGACCAGGACCAGTAGCACATACATATTGCACGTCTTGACCAGTGTAATTCAAGGAAGCCATCAAGGTCGGTATAAAGTAAGTGATGGTGCCAGCACAAGTACAAAATGTTTGTGCGGCGAGGAAAAGCCAGGTCCTAATTGACGTAACTCAGTCACAGCCAGGTTGGTTTTATCTTAAGACTGATGCTTGTTTACCTCCAATCGTGAATAGCAGACAGAAAGCTCTGCCAGTGAGAGATGTTCCCAGTACGGCTTGAGTTGTCTTCCTCTTCTAAACGTCGGACGGCGTATTCTCGCTCTTCCGGAGTGAGCCACTTGGTCGTAGCTGGAAAGTCCGGTAACACAAATCTTGAAACAGATTCAGCGAGGAGATTTGAATGAGGGAATCTCGCTCACTTACATGGAAAGTATGGCAAACCCAATCGTCATCAAACCCTCAACTGATAGCATAGGCTCTTAGCGTGTGCAATAGACCGCTGTCAAAAAATCTTACTCAAGAACAACCATTTCCACGCTGGATATGGCGGACGATGTTGCATGTCTTTCAATATCCCCCCCGGCTAAACACTAAGTTAGCAGGTAGTGAAGAATCTCCAGCAGAGCAGATCCACTTACCAATAAGCCCGCCAACAGCACCTGATATCAGTGACGCACAATAAAAGATGGAGAATCTCCGTGCCAGTTCGGATTTTCTATACCAGTTACTCATAAACAGCAGGACACCGGGCTGTTAAACAAGTCAGTGTTCAGGCTCTACGCCTGCATCATGATGACTCACAAAAAATCCTGCCTCAATCAACCCCAGGCAGAACCGAAGACCGATAAGCCCTTTCTTTGAATTGACACCGACATAGCAAATCCTGTGAAGGATTAGAAAACGTCTAGAGACGGCCTCGATGACATGGGTACATACACCATCCCACCCCAAATAATCTATATCAAAGCAAGACGTTAGCACAGGTGTGGAGGCTGGTAGGCAAAGCACAAGGAAACGAACCATGAGAATGGGGAGATAGAGACTAGGGCGAGTTCTGCTTAGAATCATGTTACTTGGCACCTCAAGTAGTAGATAGCCAATGAAGAAGATGGAGACAGCTAAAGAATAATCCGACGAGGAGAGATCCAAATCTTTTCCCATCCCAGCTTCTTTGGCGTTACCGATACTGGATGGTCTGATTAGCTGCAACGATTGTCATCATCATTTGATTCATGATTGTCTCCTTACTTGTTTCGATCAAGGTCTTTGTACGAAATGAAGCATTAGCTGGGGTTCTCGTAACCAGATCTGGCGGATAACACACAGTTCAGAATATACTAGAAATGGACGTTAGCTACATCCAGAACGCAGATAAGGAGTGAAAAAACCAAACTGACCATAATAAATAGGGGGGGGTATCAGTCGCATATCCACTTTCCACAAGATCCTATTGAAGTTTTAGCCCATACTTTGATAATTTTAGACTAAAGTGACTGCGGACCTTCGCTCCAGGTCTCTGTTGACCACGAAGGGAGTCGCGTAAGGCGACATGGCATCCTCCAACTGAATGGTGTTATCTTTATCCATGATTGACAGGTGATTGTTCTGCGTGCTATGAGATCCGGAGACCCCAGACGTGTGTCGATCAAGATAAATAACGGAGGTTAAACTGGTATTTGGTGTAGAGGTGGAGAGACCGTATAGCTTTGTGGAGACTCCGAATGTGCGGGGTGACGGCAGGCAAAGGGCATACTGTCGCAACCGGAAGCGGTCAGGATGGGCAAACCCCCCTGAGCTCGTGTAAGAACCTTGTTGGGATGCTGTCGCCGATTGATCCAGGGGTGATTGCATTCAATCGGTGCACTAGCATCCGTACACGATCGACGAATTCACGTGCACTGCCGCAGCGCTCGCCTGTTGTCTCGTGGAGCTGGGCGAATAGCTCGCGGAACGTGGCGAGCTCCATCCGCCAGTACCGCTCTTTTTCGTAGTGTAAAATAGGCCACTATTCGTCATTTGGTACTGATATGGAAATCGCAATAAGTCTGCATTTCTAAAATACTGGATGAAAACTATTAAACATACAATTACCGCTTTTGAGGCAGTTTACCTAATAATGCCAAGTAATTTGAAAGTGTATCCGACTAGTAATGGTATACAGGTCGCGACACTTCGAGTTCATTCCAGAGGTCGCGAGATGTCTCGAGCCCCGCGACATAGATGCTGATCTGGGGGGGGATAGGTACCGGAAGATGGTGTGGTAGGCCTCGGCTTCACGGCGCGACCACCTTTATTGGTCCCAAACGAATCGGTTTGGTTTTCAGGATCCATGGGATCCAAATAAAAATAAAAATAAAAAATAAAAATAAAAAAAGAAATAAAAAAAGAAATCTGTACTGTACAGTACTGGGTTGGTGACCCGGTCGGCCGTGGATTACTTAAGCTAACCCACTAACGTAATTCCCGGTCGTCCTGGCCACCCCAAAACACCATAATGAATGAGATAAATTACAACTTCATATCTCAACAACCATACATATTTAAGTTCAACCATTAAGGATTTATAAACTAGAGAGTATAAAAAATCTCTTCGTATAGTAGGAAAAGACAAATATAAGTATTAAGAGAGATATATATATATTTGACTCTGTAACATAAAAATTACGGTGTATTTTATCGTAAAGCATATAAATAATAGTCTGAAAGACCTGAAGTCAGGTTACATTCTTCTTTTACATCTACACATGTATATTGTAGAAGTTTGACTGAAATAAATTTATGGTGGTTGAAATATAGAGGAATGAATATTCAACACCTAGTAGTATGGTGTTTTGGGGTGGCCAGGACGGCCGGGTGGCCAGATCGGCCGGGAATTACGTTAGTTAGTTCCTTAATTGATTAGAAGTTCATGTAACCGGCCCCATATTAAAATTTCTAAGCTGACTTGGAAGGGGAGAGTCCAATCAGGATTTCAAATTTTAATGTGAAGCCGGTTAGTATCCGACTTGTACAGTCTCTGGCCTGGGTGACCCGTAGATCTGGTAGACACGAAATCGTCATCTAAGCTCTGAGATACTAGTCGGAAACGGATGGCTTGCTTCCGGCCAGCTGGGAGAAATGCTATAAGTTGGGCGTGTTTAGACTGCTATCCGACTGCAAGATAGATCAAGAACTTCTCATCTATTAATTGAATATGCCATCGAATACTCAGAAGTCTAAAGTCCTCGTGATTGGGGCAAACGGATACCTCGGAACTGCTATTGGACGCACATTTGTGCGGGCTGGTTGGCAAACTTATGGTCTAGTCCGAAACCCCGAAGCTGCCCAAGCCCTATCGCTAGAAGAGATCATTCCAATAGTGCGTGACCTCAAAGATCCATCGGTGGATAAGATATTGAGCTCGGAAGCGGGTTATTTTGATGTGGCTGTTGTCACGGTCGAAGACCTTGCCAATTATACGGGTTTTGTCGAGTCCATAATTGATCTTCTCCGTTCCCTTGCGCAGGCCAATGCCGCCAATGGCTCCAAGCTTTTTGTTCTTTTCTCTTCCGGTACAAAAGATTGGGGCCAGACTGGTCTCGCCAACGCGCCGGGACTGAAGCCTCTCGACGAAGAATCACCACGCCAGCCACCAGCCTTTCTCAAGGAGAGATCCGAAGTCAGCTGCCGCATTTTTGACCAAGGCGATGCATTCGATGCTGCCCTTGTGACGCCAGTTAACCTCTATGGTCTCAGCGCCAGTTCTACTGGATACTTCTTCCGCATGGCCGAAAAGGCTCAAAAGTCGGGAAGTGTCCTCCAGTTGCGAGCTCATCCTAAAACCATTTTGCAATTCATACACGTGGACGATTGCGCCCAGGCATACCTGGCCCTTGTAGACCCCAAGAACGCATACCTGGCCCTTGCAGACCCCAAGAACCGTAAAAATGTCGAAGGTCGTTTTATCGCCGTGGCAGGATCGCACTATGAGACACTAGAGGAGATTGCAGAAGCGTTGGTCATAGACTACCAATTACCTGACGATGTGCAGTACTTGACTGAAGATGGTGTCAAGACTGCATTGCTTGATTTTGTTGTCTTTGGCTTTTCGCAGTGGTTCAGCGGAAAGCGAATTCAGGAGATCACTGGTTGGACTACCAAGAGGTCCGAATTTTCTAAGGACATTCATACATACAGAAAGGCTTTTGAGGCCGCCGACACTCAAGGTCATCCAGTTGTTGAGAAGTTCGACACCATCATTGGACATTTCTGAAAGATAAGGGCGGCCACGCTAGTCAAGGATTTCTAAATTGCCCTTGCCATTCTGTTCACTTGCTTAGTAAAAAGAAAAAGAAAAGGAAAGGGAAAAATAAAAAGAGCGCAAATTTGATTCGGTTTAAATTTATTTGGCTAAGGTTTGAGTGCTGTGACTGAAAGCAACCATAAATATAGGAATGAAGAAAGGGAGAAGAAGAAGATATTACGAAATCTTTTAATGCCTTTCATGAAAGTTATTGGGCATTTCGAAAGCGAACGGGGGTGATTACGATCGATGAAGCGGATTACAAGGCAACGAGTATGTGCCACATTTCAAATTCATCCTTTTTTTAATCCCCACTTAAGAGATCCGTCATTCGGAATATTTGTCAGCTTCAAGAGCTCATCATGTGAAATGTATCAAATCAACATCTTGTTGATTTCAAGGTTGTCATATAAAGATATCACGGCGTGACAATACAATAGACGCCTACTTATCTAAGATATGGCTCCAACTGCATTGATTCTATAAATGAAACAAGAAACTGCTTTCGGTATCTAGATTTTGTATCGACTGGAACCACTTAGTAAGAACAGCAGGAACTGCAATTAGTAGAGGTTACGACTAAACGTTATGGTCGATACCATTGCGATATCGCGATATCAATCTGCTGTGGTGTGTCTATGAGTTAATTCACAATCGAGTGGCCAACCCTTCCCCATAACCGTTTTTCAAACAGAAGCCTTACAGCCCAAATGCATTAATTAATTTAAATCTAGGGATCTTTACATGAATTGATCTTGTGCCCAATCGCCCTGCATCCACTGCACCTTGGCGAAGCCCTTGTTGCCGGTTGATCCTGCTGAGAAGGCAAATCGCCCAGCGCTGGCGATACTACCTGGTCAGGGTTAATTTAACTGGCTGGTTTAGCTGTTGAGCTAGCTATAGACCTTCTTCAACTGATAAGCCACCTTCACAGGGTATGTGCCTAGTTGACCGTTTGCATTTCTGGCCTCGTTCGCTACGTGTCGATTTGTGCTTTCTTGCGCTAGTAGCGCAGTGTTATGCAGCAATATGCATTGGCCTTTGATAATCTGATCTAGCGTAGTTTTCGACGGGCTCGGCTCGGAGGGCTATTTGACCGTTGCTTTAGTAGATCTTTAATCATGAAGCTTGCTTTTGGAGCCGAATTACAGTTCTAGGCGTTTTTGGTGTGAATTGGCTAGATCTGCTGCTTGGTCGACTGCTTAGTAATGTAAGAGTTCGGAGTAAGGTACTAAGCTTTGAACAACCCTCTCTTTCAACAGATCGATCATCAATCCAGAATGCGTGTGTGGGATGGTATCCCCAACATCAACGAAGGCACGCAAACAACTCATATGGTGGATGTATTCGTCTCAAGCAGCGCGAGTGTTTCAAGGAGATTTGCAATTCCACCTCAAAGGTTGGGATCCCAGTAACCGCCTGCAACACATTGACACTTCAAAATGTCCTGTGTATATGCTTACTGGCGAGTATGACCGTAGCTGCACACCAGAAGTAAGTGCAATAGTGACAGCAAAAGTCCTGGGTGCTCAGTTTGAGAAAATGGATTGTATGGGTCATTTCCCGATGACAGATGACCCAAAGCAATTTTTGGTCTATTTAAACAGGGCTTGGATTTTATCCAGGAATATAGAATTGGACAGGGACGACGAAAGTTCAGGATACTCTACAGATTACAGAGCTGAAATATAGGAATATCCATTGAAACATTATCAATTTTATAAATGTGGAAGATTGTGACTTAACTTTCATTTTCTTAAATCACAACTGAGATAAATCTACTTAACATGGGTGCAGTCCGCGCGATAGTACCCCCAATTTATGCCTTTCAAACACCAAAATGCCGGTGCAGTTCGGCGCGCAAGGCCTCGCAGACTATGTAGATAGACGATAAAAACGATGGATCACCGAGGTGACTTAGTTTTCAGACTACCCCCGCATTACCCCCGCATTCTGCAATTATTTGCAGCTTCCGGTTAGTGTTCATCAGTTTTGTGGATATACCCGGGAATACTTTCGTCATGGGCTGCATTTTAAATTACTAAGAGGATGAAGAAGGGCCACAGGCACCTTTTCTGTCATAAGCATTGATAACCCTATAAGACCTCGGTCTTACTTCGAATGAAGTCACCGAGTTGCTGGTCTCAAATTATTTACAATTTTCTTCAACTGCTTTTAATTGCGCCTGATAAGCATCATGAGTGAAGTTCAAGAAAGAAAAGTGGGGGGATACTCTCCATGCAGTCAAAACGGCAGAGAGTGTTCTTTTATCAATCCCTTGTGGTATTTTTGAAAGGCTCTATCTAAGCCCCAAGGACCCTTGGACTGGAACTGATTACACAACGAACTGGGAAATTCCACGTCTATTTCTCTAATGGGGTTTCTGATTGATGCATATCCAATTACATGTATCGTGATGGGCTGGCGAGGGGCAGGTGGCAATAGGGGCGCTATTATGTATGAAACTTTTTTCTGATATCGTCAAAAAACTAACCTATTTCTACACCCTATATATCTTCTTCAGGGGCGTTTTGCAGTTCCTAGTCGCAACTGGAGAGTGGATTATCGGAAAAACATTCTCAAGCATCATGTTCTTTACTTACGGTAAGAATTCACCCCGTGGCCTTGCTCTAAATATACTTACTTGACCTGCAATAAGAGGGTTCTGGACCATCGAAGGAATAATAAACCCCAAACCATCGATTAAATCAGCCACAAACCCTAAGAATCCTGATCATGATATATTCCCAGAGGTCTGTTTCGCGTCCCGTGTCGGTAATCGGACTAAAAAAGTACGAAATGAAAGTCTAGCTGCAACCCATACCTGAAGGCTCATACCAGAGCATCCGTTAATGCGACAGGATACCAGTGGATTGCTCGGAATAAATAAACAAGATTAGTTATGCATTAGCTTTCCCTATAAATTGTTACTTTAGGTATGTTCAAAATATCAGACTTCTTTATCGTTATGCATTGGCTACCATATGTATCCATCTCCACCGCCTTCCAGGTGAAGAGGAGTTAAAAGCGGTGGAAAAAGCGGTGAATAATTTCTTCAGCTAAGCCTATTTAGGTGTTGTGACCAGAAAAATCACGCATGGAGGTGTAGGAGCAGTGAAGAGGGGTGTGGTAGGATCAATCCCCTATATATAATGCCATTTTAATAGAACTTTAATAAAAAATACAAATACATAAATTCCTTTGGAGCCTTGAAAATAATAATTTTATATGATAATGATGATACATATTTATTTGAGAGGCCCTGATTTTTGAATGGCCGATCCATCCGACTGCCCGACCGAGTTTGAAGTTCCCCACACATCACGACCCGGCTCGTTACAACTCACCCTCCTCACCCTTCACAGTTGACCATCCTAAGCCCGTAATGATATAGGTTATGATGCGGAATTTTATTTGCAGTTTGCCAGACTGTCGTCGATCATTTGGAAAGGCAGAGCACCTTCAGCGCCATGAGCGCAGCCGTGAGCATCCACGTTACCTCTTCGGTCAGCTGAGAAGACTGCTGATTTTCATGCCCCAGATACTGGTGATGCTCGACATGAATGTCCAATCTGCCAAAAACGTTTTATCCGACGGTATGAGATATCGTGTCTCGTAGTGCTGACTCGACTGATGAATTTGTGAATGCCAGAGATGTAATGACAAAACATGCTGCTCTCCACGGGGAGGCTTCTAGTTCAGTTAGGAAAGTCCGCAAGGTGTCATGGTAAGTGGGACCCCTTTAATTCGACACATATCTCACAGTCTATTAGCAAATCATGTGTCTCTTCCAAGCTTCGTTGTGACGGACAACCTGGTACACCATGTCTAAGATGTCTACGTTCTGGCAGGTCATGTTCGTACCGAACAAGAGACGGCACTCCACCAATTCCCATATTAACAGGCCAGTCGAGTGACTTTTCAATGCCGTCTACTGGAATGGAGCATGACTCGACCCTGTCGTCGGGCCGAGATAATCGTACCATCACCCCGGAACTCGGCGACAAGCAGGTCTCTGGTGTAAATATCGAAGTTTCCCAACCATCATTGTTACCAGATTGCACACCCTTGGTAGGAAACCTTGCTGGCAGTATCCAATCACAACATCCTGGTATGTCTTTTCCACACAGCTGTTGACTTACTCCAGGTTCATAGGTTTATAGACGAGTTTGAATTATTCTCTTTTGACCGACTTTACGATCTCTCGATCGAGCCCTTTGAAAGCTATCTAGGGTGGAGCCACAGTGATAGCGATATTGATCTGATGAGGAACCTCAACGGGGTTTCGCCTGACACTCGGCCGGCGTGTTGGCCGCTTTCCTTGACACCAGCACACTCAGCTGTGCATCCAATGGCACGAACAGTGCATGATGTGCCAAATACCCGAATTATACGGGACGCACAACCAGCTGATAGCCCCTGGGTAAGGCAATTACCTGCCTCAAAAACATGAATTATATTGCTTACTTCTCCCAATATAGCCACATGTCTATAGACCTAGTAGAGACGACGAACAATTAGATATCTCCCCTGTGAATACCTGTTCAATCCCCCAGCCAAGCTTGCACGAGGCGTACCTTAACCATGTGGATAATTCCACCCGTGAAGCAATACTGTCGCTCATAACCACTGCTCATCAACCATATTGGCCAGCGGTCGACGTAACAGCTTTCCCTTCAACTCGGACGTTATCTATTTGCATCAATCTCTACTTTCGGCATTTTCATGAAACATTGCCGATTCTTTGTCGCTCAAACTTCCAATCAGTCGAACACAGTCCGGTTTTATTGTTAGCGATGGCAGCAATCGGAGCCACGTACTCTAAAAATGGAATGGCTCCAATCGCTGTGACTCTGAATGAATTGTCCAGGAGAGCAATTGTCTACCTGAGGGAAAGTGACCGTCATGTCATGTTTGATACCTCGATCGTGCAGGCCTGGTTGCTTCAGTCAGTTTTCGGCCTTTTCTGTGGCTCTCGGATGCTCTATCACCACGCCGAGATTAGTCGTGGCGGATTGGTCACGGCCGCTCGACGAATGCACCTTCTTCGCCCGGGATTTTCTTTTGTCAAAGAGCTCGAACGCCGTGGAGTCACCGCCTCTACCGAGGAAGTAGAGCGAGCACATGTAAAGGACGAGGAGCGTTGTCGATTAGGGTGGGGTATATATGTAAGTGCATTAAGCCCTCCTCCCCAACACACAGACGTGGGTATTAACTAAGCCTTTCCGAATCGTCAGCTCTATGACATGCAAATCTCCGCGCTGCTGGGTATCTCGCCTCATTTTTCGGTTAATGAAACTGATATGTCGCTGCCCTGGCATGAAGATGATTGGGAATCCCGCTCTCTCCACGCGCATCGTGACCCTGCCCAGTCACCAAGTGATGCAATAGATTTTCGTCATGTTCTTGAGCGCTTGCTGTCCCTTGGCAAGCTGCCACAGCCACTAAACCCGTTCGGGCTCTCCATCATCGCGCATACTCTTTATAGGTAGATTAGACCTGATCGATTGCACGCTCGTTGCTAACGATGACTTATAGTCTTTGCTCCGACGCCTCATCCCTGGATTCACTCTGTCCGGCTCAACCCCTCGGAAATCCTTCGTTATATCGACTATCATTCCCGGCAAACTTCAAGCAGTACGAGATCTTCCCCTGGAATCCTTGAAATATCTTCTGACCTGTCTTAGCAATCCCCAGGAATTACTCGATCAACTCGCCGTTTGTTTTCATTTTCTGCCTTATATACCGACCCCTCCGCTTGTCAGTGTTTCAGCTCTATCTCACCTAGGCCATCTACAGTTTACGTGGACCGGGTTTTTAGATGAAGTCAAGATCGCCGCAGGCAAGTCAGGGACCGAGGAGAGCAAGCTTAACGCACGCTCATGGCTTTCATCAAGAATCTCTGACGATATTATTGGCGCAAGATCTATTCTTGTGCATGCTGGGCGACTAAATGCCCTCCTGATTCGATTTACATTTGAGTGAGTCTGTTGTACCGTGGAGTATTTTTGTTTGAGATACTTATACCTTTCAGAAATCCATGCGAAGCTCTCTGGACGTTCTACGCTGCGCTGGCACTATGGGCAATTGTCAAATTCGGGAAGGAATTAAATATCTCGTCCTCTGGTCCTAAGCGGACAGTCGTCACATGTAACTCTGCCAGCGGTATTCTCTCCTGTTAACAAAAACTGATATCACTATAGGGTCAGACTTTGATGATGTTGATGAGTGGATTCAATGTGGGGGCCCGATTTCTTTCCAGGGCCTTGGGAATCTGGCAGAATTGTCAGAATACAAAATCCTGTCTACCTTTAACGAACGATTTGAGTCAATGTCGTGGGGTATCTCTCTACACTTTCGCCATGTGCTGATGAATCTATCCAAAGAAACTTTTTAACCGAAGCTGAATAATAAAAAGTGCTGGACATTCATTCCTTACTCAGATTCGGAGTCTCCACGAACATGTCCCTATATTATTCGCCGAAAAGACCGATATAGGTGGGGGCACCGTATTGGAGTAAACTGGCGTCAGATTCCGGGTTAGATTTATTACACCATTCAAGTCGGAACCTATTATTAACGCTCTACAGTCAATTATCCATTTATAGCCTTGCTGTACTCTTCTCTGAATACGGTCAAATAACAGTTGATGCCAATCATGCCAAGAACCCCCAGTATACGCCAAATAGCTTTACCGACAAGTTTTGGCCTGATACCGCTAAAGCTCTGTATCAGCTTGCTGATAACACCGTTGGCCATAAATCGTATCTCTGGCACAAGGGTAGTTTATCTGAGTACAAACAGCCGCATATACTGTATAAAAATATCATAAGTAATAAAGCCTGTGATTATCTTCTCTAGAATACTGCTTAGCTTCTCCAGAAGGTAGAATATCCTGAAATACAGATTAAGTATTTTACTTAGGTATGCTGAGTTGCTGCATAATATACAGAAGGTATCTTTAGCTTGTTGTATAATAAAAGATTTATCTTCAACGATAATGTAGAATACTCTCAAGGTACAGATAAAGCAGGTAATGTTGCTAAGTTTTATCCTAGTATAAAGACAGATAAGCTAGCAGACATATGCCTAGCTACCAAAATTTATAATTAAGAGTATACTCAGACTAGCAGGGATCCAGGCTAGCTAGGATATTAAAAGTATCTTTGCTTTTCGTTCTATAAATCAGCAATATTTAGATCCACCAGAAGCTTCTTTTAACTCTATACTATAAGTTTTATTTAAGATTCTAACCTGAATATACCTTGATTTAAATAATGCATCTTGCTCTCGGTATAAGCATATCTAGTTGATGTGTGTGCTTGTGTCGTCGACTATTAAGCTTGTTAAACGCAAGTAGTCCTGGCTAAATGCATATAAGCAAAGGCAGCTTGTCTCGGTCATACCTAGGCATCGCCATAACCCAACCCAAAACCCATGGATTAAACCCAATAACCCAATGAGTCCCCATTTTAACTCATTTTGGCATAATTTATTCATAAATTTTATATAGTGTATTTCAATACTGTAATGGGGAATTCCGCTCTCAACACCGGTATCCCATAGTCAGGTGATTTGGGCCTTAGTAACAAGGTAGCCATTTAGTGTCAGGAGAATAAGTAGCGTTTGTTCTATAGTATCAATAACAATATATATGTTCCTCCTTACAAACTATTCTTTCTGCTAAGAGTACTGAGGCTGAGGTTACGGTATTAGTATATCGTATATCTATGAAGACTTAAATATTTTATTAGTCGTATCTCTATAGCGTTATACTCTGTCTACTACTCTCCTATACTCTATAAGTATAGTGCTTTTAGTCTCTTATAATTAATCTGTCTGTTTAACAGACTGTTAGTAAGTATTCCTATCTTATATATAGTATCTCTAGGAAGGCTTAATTAACAAAAGGATAGCTAAAAGTAAGAATAATATTATTAAGAAAGATAGATACTGTATTTGACCCTAAGAGAATACGATAGTATTTAAATATATTATAAAGAATAAAGAGCGGCTAATCCTAGGTAGGATTATCTAATTAAATATTCGAAATATTAGTTAAAAGGATATTACAATATCTTCTTCTGCTAAATGTATATAGTTCCTATAATTAATACTTACTGATTAGTATACTAGAGATACTATAATACTAGAAAGGATTCTATAAATAATACTAGGTTATCTATGTAAGATCGCAGCTTATAGATATTCTGGTATTAGCTATATCTAGTATTTAGTACTATCTAATATTCTGTTATTATTTATATTATATTATATACTACCCTATAGGAAACTATATTAAATAAGATCTAGTATAAGACAGATCTAGGGTAGATAACTAACTATAATATAATTATATCAGACTTATAGGCTATTTACTATATAGCCGAATTTACATATAAAATAGGGCTTCTGGGTTAATTCTGCTATAGAGCAGATAAAGATATAGAGGTTGATACTAATATAGATATACTTAAAGAGAGTAGATACTACAAGGTAAAGACAATACGTATAAGGAAGTATACTATCAACTAGCAACTATAAGAGGTTGTACAGGCAGAGGAGCTACATCCCTATAAGGAACAATTATAGGAGGAACCAGGGCGTAACTGAGGTTATTTATACCTGCAGTAGCAGGATAGGGAGTGTGGGAATAGCTACAGGAAGTGGCCGCAGGGCACTGCGTAAGCTGGCAGTAGCCGATTACATTTATTGTGAGCGTTTCGTTACCGTTCTGTAGGATTTGTTACTTATCTTACTATGGCAATACACCGTATCTCCTTTGTCTTTGTTACCGCGGGCGTGGCGTTAGGATGGTTCTGGTTCCCGATGGAGGGAACGCCTACATAGCCACGGCGCTCACTAGCTAGGCTGCATGAGGTTAATAGAATTTTGAATTGAATTGAATTGAATTGAGGATAATCGCTTCCATTTAACAATCGGGGTTTGGTGCTGCTACCTGACAGAGTCCAGGCTACAAAATAGCGACACACTCAATCTCCACATCAGTATTCAATGGCAGGGTTTTTACAGCCACACATCTTCAAGAAATGGTCAGCACGATTTGAATTCAGGAATCGTTCGGAGGTGCAACTTACGTCCTGGCAGGCTTCACATCACCCCAATAAAGGGTATAGACGGAATTCATCTCCGCAAAATCGTCCATGTTAGATATGAAGACATTGACTTTGACAACCTTCGAGATATCCGACCCAGCGGCTTCAAGAATATGCGATACATTTTTAATACATTGATGCTGGTAATAAGATAGCGTCAGTATTGTCCTGTGCTTGAGGAAGAAAAAGCCTACAGTATGCGCTTTGATATCTCCTTCGATTATTTTGCCTGTTGATGTATCCATGGGTACGCAACCAGAGCAATAAACAAATCCATTGGCGACAATTGCTTGCGAGTAGATCCCGGGAAGGGGAGGTGGTGCATTTTTAGAGAGAACCGCTTGTTTTGCTGACATATTGGAGGTGTGTTTTCAAAGACTGCAGGCTTGTCGCATTGTCGCATGACATAGTCATTGCGACATTTCACCTTTATATTGTTTAATCCTGGGACTACGTCTAAATTAGGCCACTCAAAATATACTACATTATTTTGATCTGATGTTACATATTCCCAATGTTGCTTGTACCCACCCACCCAACCACCCACCATTCATCCCACTTAAGTCGTGGGATGCAGGGGCGGGATGGTCGTAGCTTAGAGATGTTTTTGAGCCACGCACCAAAAATTAGTATAATTGAATGGATCCCTCATAGTTAATCGGAGCTTTTGGAATCAACATTCTCTGCGCGCTGTACCGATACAGAGAATAACCGAGCCATCATGTCTGTTCAAGTCTCGACTCAACCACCCTATCCCCTCCACGAGTCCGTTAGGGATAAACTGAGTCCCGACTATGTGGCTTTCTACAATCAATACATCATAAACAACCAGCAAGTCCACTACCAGCCCGTGGAAGCCTCTCGCACAAGCGGAACGCTGATCCCGGGAGGTGGTCCACTGCTCACTGTTGGCAAAACCGAGGATATTTCTATTGCACGACAGACAAGCTCTGGGGATGATGTTAAGGTCCGGTGTTTTACACCAGCTGGAGGGAAACCGTACGATGGTTGGCCGGTTATGCTGTATTTCCATGGTGGTGGATGGGTTCTCGGGACAATTGATACCGAAAACACTGTTTGTACAAACATCTGTGTGCGCTCAAATTGCGTTGTCATTACTGTTGACTATCGGTTTGTTCAGATCCTCTAGTCTCCATCATCTCTGGGAATAATACTAAATGCTTCATTATATTAACATAGTCTCGCGCCAGAGCATCCCTGGCCAGCCGCTGTCTACGATAGCTGGGAGGCATTTCAATGGCTTGTTTCCGATGGACCTTCCAGGCTCGGTATCAACATATCTAAGATGGCTATAGGCGGTTCTTCGGCTGGTGGTAATCTCGCGGCTATTGTCACCCAGAAAGCTCTCGCATTGTCACCACCTGTTCTTTTCATGGCCCAGGTGCTCTCGGTTCCTGTCACCGATAACACAGCCCTGGTAACCAACAATAAATCCTACGAATTGTACGAACAGACGGCTGCTCTTCCGGCAGAGAAGATGCTGTGGTATCGAAAGCACTATATTCCCGATAAATCCGATTGGGCTCATCCGGAAGCAAGCCCTCTATTCTACCAAGGTGACTGGTCGCAACTCCCAGCAGCATTGATTCTCGTCGCGGAGTTGGATGTTCTCCGTGCGGAGGGGGAAGGATATGGAGATAAGTTACGCGCTGCTGGTGTGCCCGTGAATCTACATGTTATGGCCGGAATGCCACATCCTTTCCTCGCAATGGATGGCGTTCTGGGGGAGGGCAAGAGGGCTATTAGTTTGATGTGTGACACACTGCAAAAGGCATTTTGGGGAGAATCATCTGGAACGAAGAGCTTTGTGTATTAGATTGCATGAACCATAGCCTCCGAAGAAATTGCTGTCATAAAACACGCTTTTTATTCTAAGCTCTGCGCTATTAAGCTCGTAGAACATATTTCAGCAAATTTAAATTGCATTGTAGCAGCATACACCTCTTGGACCCGAACAGCCAGTCTTCTATGAATATTCATCATGCCTAAAAGAAACAAAATGAGATACCATACCCTCTCCCAAGCAGCATTTTCTTTTCCCCAAAGTGATAAATTAAGACATTTTATATACCCTTAATGTTAATGTATTATAGTATAAGTGCAGATTATGGAAATTAAAATTGAAAATCTCATGTCTAGGTGACTAGCCCCCGAACTCAAATTTCGCATACCCTTTGGCATCCTGAGGATGGTATTTGAACATATGTCCACCCTCATCATTAGGATCTGGATTTCCTGTACGATCCTTTCCACTTGCCATGAAGATAATGTCATGATTTACTCCTCCCCATGTGGTGCAGGCCGGGTTCTTGGCCCTCACCACGACATCTTTCAAGTGTTTGCCTTCCGGGCTAAAGACCATAATTCGATGAGATGCAAACACGGCTATCCAGAGATTTCCCTCGGTACTGTCACATTTCAGTAAATTGACTATTTTGCATATGCGTTGGAGTAAGATAAGCAAAAGAAATCACTTACTCGACCACCATCCCATCTGGCTCTCCATAGGACGAGCGTCTGTCGACAAGGAGTCGCTTGTTTGAGATATTTCCCGTTTCCAAATCGAAGTCAAATGCAAACACCATCATTGCGACCGAGTCATTGAAGTACACTGTCGTTATTAGCGAGTTTCACTCGAACAGGAGCAGCAGGCACCTACTAATCGTGTTGTCTGGGCTCCACGCAAGCCCGTTTCCACAGACAATTCCCTCGGGAATCATCAGATGGATGCTCCCATCCGGATCGTATCTCCATAGTCGGCCTTTGGGTGTTCCATAGGAGTCTGGAAGTTGGTTGGGCCCGAATGCCATCGCCCGCTTATCGATCTCAGCCAGCCAGAACCGGCCACGTGCGTCGATGCCACCATCATTGAAGCGAAGCTCATCCCGTTTGTCTGTGGGAATGATTTCCTTTACGACCTCAAACTTTCCCGTGGCCTCATCTAGGAAACATACTCCTTGATAGTACGCGGCGATGTAACTGCCGGGTCGGTCTTTCCGGAAGAATGCCACCGTCACGCTGTCTTCGAGGGGCAGGACACGGACGTCTTCGATCGCGTCGCCAGTGTGGGGATCTACCTTGAGGATGTAGAGTCTTGATGGCTCCGAGAGACAATCCACCCAATGTAGAGTTGAGTCGCTGGCTCGATATATTGGGCCTTCGCCGAGGACCATGCGGTCGGGGCAGTAATACCAGGGCTTTCCGCCATCGATTGATTCAAGGGGTTCACTCATTTCGACTATTTTCCAAGAAGGTTTTGCTGAGGACAAACGTGATGGAAGAGTTACATGTCTAAAAAAAACGTCCGAATTTTATGATAGTAGTCACGATAGTTTTTCCCTGTAGCTGCACGAAGCGTGGGGAAAGTTTGGATTGTTCTTGCCCGCATATCCCATTTATCCCACTAACTCATCCCACACTTTGCGCGGGAGATGTCAATCTATGGATAGTTCTTGTAAGATTAATCAGCCCCACCCACTTAACTTATCTCGGCAAATAGGCGCTAGTTGTTTCTTGGGGAGGGGTAGATCACCCCCGCAGGCATTGACATTCACTAACCACGCTATCGTCGAAGTCGAACGCCATCACCCCGCTTTAGATACCACTGAAAAAAAAACCCCAGTCATGTAAAAAAAAATATTCTTTCTGTTACATCCCATCCCAAACAAATCAGAATAATCTATCGGCATGTCAAAGGTGTTCTTCATCACGGGCGCGGGAAGCGGCATCGGCCGAGTCATAGCACGCGAGCTTCTACTCAAGGGCCATCGGGTCTTCCTGACTGATTACAATGAAGCCTTCCTAGAAGACACTTGCTCTGTACACCTCCCTTCCGTTATCCCCGGCGACAAGCATGAGAATTTCAAATGGGCGCAGATGAACGTCTGCGATGAACAGCAAGTTACAAACGCATTTGCGCAGTGTGTTCAAGAATTTGAGGGCATCGATGTCCTAGTAAATAGTTCGTCTCTTCTTTCTATCATTCTCCCTTGGCATTAATTTGAAGGAGTTTGTTCATGAACGGATTCAACTAACCACTGGTGCGGTGAATATAGATGCAGGAATCAATGTACGTCTTTCATAATCTCACACACCTTCATCTCGAAAGATTCGCACTAAGTGAGATCTAGAGCCAATATATGCGAGCAGGGATCAGAATGGAGGAAATCCCGACTTCAGATTTCGAAAAAATCCTCTCCGTTAATCTAGTCGGCACATACCGTGTCTCCCAGGTAGCCATCCCCCATCTCGAACAGTCTCTAGGCGGAGGCGTTATCATCAACATGTCCAGCTGCCGAGCGAGCCAGCAGAGCAAGAATGGCGAAGCCTATGCGGCTTCCAAGACCGGAATCGAAGGCCTCAGCATGGCGATGGCCGTGAGTTTAGGACCAAAAATTCGAGTACATGTGGTGAGCCCGGGAATGGTCGATGTTCGGTGCGAGCGGAATGAAAAACTACTGCCAGATATTGAGACGATTCGGGGTGATCTTGATCGGGATTTCCAAAGTGAGTATGCGCCAGCTTGGGGGTCGGGGAAAAGTGTCGCTATGAGCGAGGCACATCCGGTAGGTAGAATTGGAAGAGGCGAAGATATTGCACGGTATGTGTCATTCTTATATTGCATGAGTCGAGGTGAAAAGCGACCAGCTACTAATTCTGTGGACCTTTTGGGATAATATAGATGGGTAGAGTTCTTAGGTGTTTTGGAGAGTGGCTTTACAACGGGCGGGGTACGAAAAATCGCCTTCATTGACAGGCCTTCATTTACTGACTGAATAAAGACGTACTTGGTGGACGGAGGTTATTCAAAAGTGTTGTCTTACCCCAGCTAGGGATCTACATTCTGGCTATGTGAAAACCGCAGGCTAGCAATAATCATTTGATAGATCTCAGGCCGCATGATGAATATTGACAGTTCAGTTCGTAAAATTTCCGTTAAGAATTTCCGCTTACGTGGGAGGGGGTGGGATGCATCCTTAGTCCGTTGGTAGCTTGTAAAATATATTCAATATCTGGAGTGCCGATACTCCCTAACTTCCTTACATTCTTCTCTGACCCGTTAACTACAACCCGCCCATAAAATTTATGAGATACAAGATAAAATGTCAAAGATCAAAGCTGTTATGTTGGGTACAAGTCACCCTCATATCTTTTATCGTTACAAATATCTCCAACAATCTCCCAACATCACACTCCTCGGCTACTACGATAGCGATGCCGATGTCGCCCAACGCATGCAAGACCACGCGGGATGTCCACTGCACGAAAACCCCGACAGCCTTCTGGCCCTTCCACACGACGTAGTCCTCATCCATGGCCGCGATCGTGAAAATGCAAACTATATTCGTTTGGCCTTGGACAGTGGGGCGAGGGGCATTTTCGTCGAAAAGCCTGGTGTCGCACAGCCATCAGAGTTCTACCCGTTGGCAGAGGAGATTCGCCAAAGAAAAGGTACCCTTGTTTTCGAAGTCGGCTGGGAGCTGCATTATCTCGAAACGGTGGCCTTCGCGCGACGAATTCTCCGCGAGTCGCTGCTGGGGAACATCACAATGGCTCGGTTCCATGGCGGGTGTCCAGGCGGTGCGGGGGCAGAACCCTGGCAATCGGATCCACTGAATATCGGTGGCTTCTTTTATAGTCTTGGAGGCCACGTCGTAGAGATTTTAATTGATCTCTTTGGCTTGCCAATTCAGGTCGTGAGTTCGATCCGGAAACTTCCAGCGCAGCGGCCTCATCAGGGTTTCTCGTGGGTGAAAAGCCTTTTCGAAGGGAGAGAAGTGAATCAGTGGCACGCGATTGGAACGCTTGTGCATGAGGATATTGCATCGGCGATCCTAGAGTATGAGCATTTCAATGTACATCTGGACTTCACGGCGTGGGAGGGTAGTCGGTATCTGAGGGACTGGAGCGCGGAGATCTACGGGACTGAGGGGTCCATGCGGTTAAATATTGACGGTCCAGGGAGCTGTTTGCTGTTGAAGGAGAAGAGGGAAGAGTGGGAATGTGGGCGAAATGAGATATTTGAAACGGAGGTGAGTTTAGCTGCGGCTTTCGAGAAGCAGATGGACTCCTTCTTTCGGAGAGTCGAGGGTGTGAAGATTGACCAGGAATTTTGTGGTGAGAGCATAGTAGAGAAATTGCTGCAGCTTTACAGTGCTTTGTATGAGTCTGCTCGGACTCGAAAATGGGTATACGTGCGAGAATCACGAGGGGAAGGACCATGATATTATAGCAAATGCAGCAAAGCTAGTAGTATTTTCCAACTAGTAATATATTTCTGAATTCTCAAGCCAATACGGATCATCCACATTTTCTCCCTTCCAGCAATCCACGGTGCACAAGGGATACCAAGACTTGAGCGACGTATCGAAATTCTCAAGAGTGGTACCGCTCTCTGCCAGGGCCAGGAGAATAGTAGCTTCTGTGGTCAGCTCCGACAGACGAACAGCAATATTGTATATCCCGCTATTGGTCATTTCGGAACACCCACTATATGCATTACAGGGATTTGTGTCGACAAGTTCGAGATACGCATTTGATGGCTGTAATATCGTGAGCTGCATCGTAACATCACCCTGGGTTAAAGTTGCGGTTCGATTGTCCGTGCCTAGAGTTATATCTGCCGTCGTATGCCAGCTAGCAGCAATGTCCACTGCATCGGGCGCAATGATCTCATCTCGAACTAGAAGCTGCGAGTCCTTGAGAACCGCCACTCCGCGGAGAACACTTGTTGTGACATTGGAATATGCCTGCGTGAGGTTTGCGATGCCAAAACGACTAGATGAATCAAAACTACCAGCCCAAAGCAGAGAGTTATTTGCGGAAGGAATCTGGTTTGCGAAATGCAGTGCAGTCTGAGCCTTGTCGGAAATGCTCAAGGTGTTCGCACCCTCGGAGCGACAACGGTAATATGTCCAGCGTTTTGGCGCCGCGAAATAGCTGCCGAGACTATAACTATCTGATCCCAAAAGCTCTGCCCATCGGTAGCCCTTGTAGTCCACGACAAAAGAGCCTGCATCCAAATGACCATGGGAGCGTCCATTGAACCCGCCCATGAACCCGTAGAACCAGCCATCGGAGTTGGCCCACGAGGTGCGGTAAGTCATTCCCGCAATACCCTCGAACTGATTATAACGAGGCGTGGTTGGCAATAAATTGGTGGAATTCAGTGTTGAGTTATAGAAAAGGTATGCTTGGAAGGTTGCTGCTTGAACAGCTGTGAATCTCGACAGCATTCCCTGCAACCATCCAGCTTGGTTAAAACGTGTCGCCCAGTATCCGATGCTCCAGAGACTGTTTGCATTCGAAAATGTCCATGCGCCGTCGGCCCAGCTGAATCCTCCTGTTTGTCCAAACCCATGTGTCAACCATGCGCCCAGCTTGCTCATTCCTGGAAGGTTTGCGATGCCAAGATCATTTCCGAGTGCGCTGTCGAGCGAGCCCATCATCAGGCCTAGGAATATGCCTGCATATGTTCCATATGAGTAGCCTTCAATCCAGCCCCCATCTGGAGCATACTGTTGTAGGGATGTGTTTAATTTCGGAAGGGAGAAATCTATGATTTGATCTGCAAGTGTTGTGTTGACATCTCCTATAGCAAGAGTTCCAATAATCAAGCAACCATGCGTCACCTGTGCCCAGTTGTTGGTGTGCTCACTCCACGAGTTGATCGAGGAATCGAGAGCTGGTATAAAAGCCTTCTCAGCTATCGCTGTCTCAATAGACTCACGCTGGGTCTCGGTCAATTGATCATATACCCAGTCGTAACCAAGAGAGACTGTCATAGTGATATCTGCGGTATTCAAGAAATTCGATGGATCCCAGTCGGAGAGACTCGCTATTTGCAAAAGGGTCTCAATAACCCAATCGGAATAGGCATCGTTATTGGTCAACCGGTACATGCCTGCCACGGCGCCGACATTCATCCGAATGGTGCTAGACCAGGAGGTTGATGCAGATAGCGACAGGGGGGTTGCGATAGCAGTATTTGCTGTCTGTCGAAGATAGTTCAGGACAACTTGATAGTACAAGTCCGTCTCGTTCATTGAAAGTACCGCTTGGACCCGGTCATCTGTGAACATCAATCGTGGGTGAGATGAGAGACTCGAGAAGTCGATTGAGGCACTTGTGATTGAGGCAAGTGCCAATACCATCCAATGAAGAAACCGCATCCTGTCAAGCCTTGGCTATCTGTAGAAGTTCAGTGCTTCGCGCAGTGCCGAAAGATTACTTCGCTAAAACATGGGGACTTGTATTCGCTTATCTATCTACCTGCTTAATCTGCATCAAAGTTTATTATCATCCCGCATAACCCAAAAGCCTCATTGAAATCACCCAGAGTCACTGGGAGTGCAGGGGAAAGGGCAGGTTTCCTTATCAGTTAGACTTTATCTGACCCGTAAATTGCGCGGGATATTGCTGTCCAAGCGTCGTCGCCGAGAGCGGAGCACACTAGTATATAGAGACTGGGGGTGGGGCATGGGGTTCATGCATTCCACCAACAGCACCCATTATATCCAAATAAGATCCAATCCAAAATGGACCATCAAACATCAAAAGCAACCAAGAGTCACGATGGTGTTGAGGAAGAGGAGGTGATAGCCGTCAACATTAGCGTTTCGAACAAGATATGCTACTCCCGGTATAATTCGCCTTTCTGGCAAATTGTCATCGTCAGCTTCGTCGCATTTGGGTAAGATTCCTAGGACTTGCAATTCACTTATTACGCTAAAGTGAGACGTGAACAGATGTCCTGGCATGTATAATGCTCTAGCTGGAATTGGAGGTGGTGGTCAACTGGATACTACCACGTCAGCCAAGGGTCACATCGCCCTCGCTGCTGTGAGCGCGGTGGGAAACATATTCGTTGCCCCCATTGTAACGAATATCCTGGGCCCAAAATGGACTATCTTCATTGGCGGAGTACCATACGTGCTATATGCCGGTTCTCTGCTGGCCTATAACCATACCGCAAGCCAGGGCTTCGTCATCGGTGCCAGTGCTGTCTTGGGTATTGGGGCTTCGCTGCTGTGGATCGCGCAAGGCTCTATCATGACCGGATACCCCTTACCACAGCAGCATGGGCGGATGATTGGGATTTTTTGGATTATTTTCAAGTGAGTCTCAAATACGATCTGATGAGTTCCTGAGGATGTTAATCAAGGCTATGCAGTTCGGGTGGATTCCTCGGCTCCATGATATCTTTTGGGTTGAACTTCAGCTCTACAAGCGGCACGGTCTCCGATTCAACATACATTGCATTTATGTGTATCATGGCTGCGGGTTGTCTTTGTGCACTTGCCTTACTTAGCCCTTACAATGTCGTTCGAGAAGATAATTCGCGTGCCGCCGTTTCGAAAAAGCCCGGCGTTTGGGAGGAGTTTGTGGGGCTGCTGAAAGTCCTACGAGACTGGAGAGTGATTTGTCTCGTTCCTTTCTGGATGGCTGCCAACTGTAAACTTCCTCTCTCCCTTTTCTTGCATTCTTTGCCCCTTCTTCTTATTCTGTTCTCATTCATCACATAGATGCCTACAACTACCAGCAAAACACCTATAACGCGAAGCTTTTCACCCTTCGCACACGCAGCTTTAACGGCGCAATGTACTGGCTGGCTCAGATGGTGTCCAGTTACATATTTGGCCTCTTCCTCGACAACCGATACATGAACCGCCGCCAGCGTGGATTATGGGGCTTTGCCATCAACGCCCTCATCTCGATGGTCGTGTGGGGCGGCGGATTGGCCGCACAGCTCAAGCGTGGCCCCAACAGCGATTATTACACCCTCAACGAGATGGACCTGCTCACATCCGGAAGTAAGTATGCTGGTCCTTTCATGCTGTACTTCTTTTATGGTAGCTTCGACGCTATCTGGCAGACATTGGTCTACTGGACAATCGGCTATCTGTCGCACGAGTCCCCTGAGCAGGCGGCGCGGTATGTGGGGGCGTTCAAGTGCGCCGAGGCAGTGGGCAGCGCGATTGCCTCCAAGGTCAATTCTACAAAGACAAACTATAATGTGGAGTTTGCGGTAGACTGGGCATTTATTGTATTTGCTTTAGTCTGTGTGATTCTATTTGTGTGGTCGATTGAGGATGCGCCTGCGCACGCGGGACAGGAGACGGTTTACGTTGAGAGTGATGATGGAAAGACCGGAACGACGAGCGGCGCAAATGCCTAGGGAGAGAGAGTGGCTTGATAAGGGAGATTGTTTCCCCAAGCGTAAATTCTCATAGTTTCAAATCCTTTTAGCCTTGCTCGTTCATTGGTGGAAATACCCCTCGCCGATAACACTACTGAAATATTCTGTGGTTCTCGAATCGAAAGCATAAACATCGCTTAAAATCGCTTTAGACTTCCTATCTAATGTGGCTGACATTAGCCGAGACAGTTTAGTCGGAGAGAAAAAGAGGGGAACCACCCCCCACAATCCGCAATCTCGTGACCTGTTACAGCAAATTATGTTATTCCCTATGGAATGACAATAGATAGTGGATTTCAACCTTCAGCATGGAGGATCCACGGCTGCGAACTCGGCGCCCATTTAGCTGCACGGAACCAGGATGTGAACGGTCGTTTCTCCGCCAGGAGCATCTTCAACGGCACCGTCTCAATCGTAAGATATCTCAAAGGTGAGACAGTATTCGAGATATAGCACTAATGCTGCATGTAGATCAGCCAGCGGAGATCTTCACCTGTGATATCTGTCCTAAATCATTTGTTCGGCAGGACCTCTATCGCCGACATAAGTCACGCCACGCAAAGGGCATGTTCTTCAGGAATACCGGAGGAGTCGTTAATCAACCATCCTCCTCCTCCACTTTACCTTCATCAAATGAGAAAACAGGCATATCAGAGCCGCTTCAGAATTATCATATACCTGCAGTTCAGATACAGAACGCAGGGAGTTTATCCGAAGAAGAGACACTTACTTCAGAAAAGAACGTGCTATTCGGAACAAAAGACAGTAGCCTGGATTCCTTCTGGGCAGAGTGCACTCAGGTTCCTAGTGCTCAAGACGGCTTAGATTGGTTTTTTGAGCCTTTGCAGAATATTAGTGACTTGACTGGCCCTCCTCTGGCCCAATTCGAAACCGACTTATCTTCAGCACGCGATGCAGACAATCAAGTAGCGAGACATGATACAGAAGGAGGAGCACTTAATCTTCCTATGGATGTCAACAACGATCAAGATAAGGACTGGAAGTTTGCACGATCCAACATTCTTGACTCTCTCAATCAGCTCGATATCCGGGTCTTGACGTCGTCATTTTTTGAGGTTGACAACCTCAAGATGTTTTTCGACCTCTATTTCAAAAACTACCATCCGCATTTTCCCATCATCCACCAAGCAACATTCTCAGCAACTGCCTGTCATCCGCTCCTTTTGATTACAATCCTGAACTTGGGTTCTGCGATGTCGATGGATGAGACGCTTTTCCATCTCGGACAGCAGGTGCATCATTCTCTGCGGCTGATCATTCTCAACGTACGCTACCGATCCAAGTCCCTCTGCACATCCTGTTATTGAACTAAGACTGTCTCGTAGAGCGGGATATTTGAGCCCCCGATCCCTCTCTGGTGCCTCCAAGCTCTCCTCTTGGTGCAAGCTTTTGGGAAGATGATTTCTTCACGGAAAGATTATGAGATGGCACATATATTCCACGGAACAATCCTCACTGTGGGTCTCTGATTCAATCTCCACTCCCCCACTGTATGTACCAGTCGGGCTAACAAGGCTTGTTTTTGCGGAACAGATGATGAAAAGAGGGAGCATTTATCTCAAAGCTTCCAGCTCGCAACCAGCAGAGCCTAATGAGCTTCCCCAAACAAGCTGGCGCCGCTGGATAAGCGAAGAATCTTGGCGCCGGACCGCGTTTTTCGCGTTTGTCATGGATGCCCAGCATGCCTGTGTATTCGGACACTCCCCCGTGCTTTCGGTAATTGATATGCGGATCGCGCTTCCTTGTCTTGAGCCGATATGGGAGTGTCCCTCTGCAGAAACATGGCAAACGCTGAATCGATCCGAAATGACCGCATCGCTCTTTTTGCCGACTCTCAAGTCCCTGCTCAGGGAGAATGAGGTCCCGCCACACTGCAGTGAATATGCGAGGTTCGTGCTTCTACATGGGCTGATGAGTCTGCAGACCGATCTCCAGGCCGGCTCACGTTTAACGCTTGGGATTGAGATGGGAAAAGTACACGCCTATGCGACGACCCATAATCTTCACAACCCCGAATGCCTGGGTGGTATCAACAACAGCAGTTACAGCATCCCCGTATGGGCAAATACTGTTGACGCAGCCCTGAACACATGGTCCACATCCCTCTTCTCCCTGCAGCCATCGCTGTGCCTCGAAGCGGCCCGCCCCCTGCACCGCGTTGCACAAATCACACTACATGTCAGTGTGCTTGACATCCACACTGTCGCCATGGACCCGTATTTGTTGTCCGGCCCTTCGCATCTGAATACTGATTCCGGGACATCCCTCACTAACACAAACACAACCAAGGCCCTGACACGCCTGCAACGCTGGGCTCATACCGAATCATCACGCAGCGCTTGTCGATATGCGCTTCTCCTAGTGCAGGAAACGATGTTCAGCGGGAAGCGCTACTTAGCCCGTGAGGATAACGTCGCGCCGCGGCCGTGGTGCTTATACATTGCAGTATTAACCCTCTGGGTCTACGGCCTTGTCACAGAGGGTCCTGCCTTGGACGGTGGAGTTACTGGGGCCGAGGAATACATGATTCGAATGACACGCGCGATGCAGCAGGCTAATCCGGCGAGCCCAGTCATTGGCGGGACGAACCAGATCGCTGGGTTGATGAGGGCTGCAAGGGATGCGTTGATTGGGTGTCGGTGGGAGTTGTTGCAAGAAGCTCATCTAGTGCTTCGGCGATTGGGGGGTGAGACTTTGCTTGACACCGGCGGTGATGGGAAGACCCTTATTTAATCTACGCCCATAGCTGAAAGTTGTATTCAGCACGCGTGACTGCCCAGACAGGCCGCATCCGCCATCAAAAGAAGGATTTACTGAAAGAGGGCTTCCAACCTCCTATCTTCAAAGGAAATTATCATTTATATCATGATATATTTCTATTTCTAGGGCTTGCATAGCGAGACTGCCATATATAAATCTTGGGGCACAGAATTACTATGAAAATTTGAAGGATTAGCCTATTTCCTAAGTTTCCCGGGGCTAAATAATTATTATTTGTACCTTCAAGGGTATGATTTAGTGAGCCGGACTGAGAGATCTGTCTGCGAGGTTGAAAGTAGCTCTGAAGCTTCCAATGTTCAGCTCGATAATTATAGAGTTTCCGTCTACGTAATACGGGATCCGTGAAGCTTTTAAAAGAACTTATACTGAGATAACCTCTCCTTAGAGCTAATTATAAGATGTTGCCTACTACTGGCGCTTATTTGCTATACTATATAGACTGGATATTCTCGATATCGACTTCGTACCAGCTTCATGGACCTAGTCCTTTTTGGAAATCAGTATTATTCCCTTTCAAGGGTCTACGAAAATCAAAGCGTTCTAAATGTGATTCTCGACTGCAAAAGCCACGGTGATGGGTGATATCTATGCCAAAGATTGAAACTATCCCTTTCAATTCGGTAAGAAGAAACAGTCTAATTCTTTTTATATGACTCCTTGAATTTCAATTTTTTATCAAGCTTTTATATTGCTAAATGATGTGTCGGGTAGGATGTTGAGCGGGAAATTAGTACAATCACGTCTGCCCTTGAAACAACAGGACAGAGAGTGTTCGCATTTGTTCTGTTAATCAACATCTCACTATCTCACATAACGAATTTCAACTTAGCTCAAATTAAATAAATGCCCTTTTTCTTACCCCACTTTTCTCCTCTTTGCTCTTTCCTTTTTCTTTGTCCTTCACACTTCACTCCTTCGCCAGTAATAAAAGAGTTGTTAAAAAATAAGACTTTTTGTAAAGATATATATAATATATATATTCTAAATATAGAATGATAATAATATCAAATGAAAAAATAAAAGATACCTATATATAAGGCCTAAAAACAGTACTAATACATACTGTATTTAAAAGCTTGGTATATTTGCCTTTTTACACTAAAATAGGTACTTACTTGGTTCCTAAATAGGTTTTAGGTTATTACCCATAACCTATAACCCATCAATAGGTTATATAATTGGACCCAAAACCCATTTTGAGTTGGGTTGGGTTGGGTCCGGGTTATATCGTATTCCATGAGTCGCAGGGCCACCTGGTCAAGCGGGCCACCCTGGAACACCATATTAAAAGCGATAAATTACAATTTGATATCCCAACAACCATGGTGATTTAAAGCTAAATATTGAAGTTCTATAGCCTCTATTATATCCTTATTATAAAAATATGGAAAGAAATCGTCTATATATACATATACCGTGAAATATACCTATTTTTGATAAAATACATCAGAAATGATGTATTTGATCGTAACCAAGTAAAATAATGAATAAAATTAACAATTCAAATTAAAACATACTGTTGTATATCTTCAAATATTAATATTCAATAAGATATAACTGAGAAAAAGATATGGTTGTTGAGATAATTTATTGCTTTTAATATGGTGTTCTAGGGTGGCCCGCTTGCCCGGGTGGCCCTGCGACCCATGAAATACGTTAGTGGGTTATGGCGATGCCTAAAGAGAAGTAAACAGCTCCTGGGTAAGGAAGGGAATATTAGTTTCTATAGTAGTAGTCAAATTTATAGAAGTATACAAAAGTACCAGGAAAGTAACTCGCAAAGGATTAATATATATTCAGGGGTTATATATAAATATAAGCCCTATAATAAAAAATTTAAAGTAGGTCAAAAATAGAAAAGTAGGTCCTCCCGGTCATACTCCATCCAAAAATTCCTGGGGTTTTAGGTAATTTAGGGTTAACTCGTACGATTGCTAGAGGAGATTATAGAGACTATAAATTAAATCAGTAATAGATTATATATAAACTTAGAACTTCTGAAAATCTAGAGTCAATCGGACGAAGAAAATTACTTGCAGTCTACTCAAGAAAAATAACTTAGAGTCTACTTAGTGGGGCGAATACTGCCTATACTTAAGAGCTCCTCACCGCTATACAGTCTAGTAGACTGTACCAGGTCCCTTGGGATAGCAGGGACAACTGGGCCATTCATGTCTTACAAGGTGCTTCATCTGTTGCCAGTGCCTATTTTCAAGGCCAGTGGTCCAGCGTGAAGGATGTTAGCTGCTGGATCTCTTGTTCTTAAGGATTATCTCTGATATGGCTTCTCCTTATTGGTAAAAAGCCAATTTTACACTCGATATCGCAAAATCATATACCCCCTCCCCTGCCGTCCTTCAACCTAAGCCTGACGCACGACATACCGGGCCACTAGCTCCAAGTAAGACTCACTTGACAAGGGGGGGTTGAAGCATTCCCTATGCGGTACCACAACGCACGCCCGTGTCTCTTTTTCGTCCTGAGCTGCCGTTGACACTCTTCTAAAAACGGATAAAAACCTCGAGAATGAACTGTCTGGATTAGGAATTGATGTACTGGTTGGTACTGAACATGTCAATAGAATTAGATGATTGATTGTAGATGTCGAGATCGGCTGAGCGATCTCAGGGGTTTCTATAATCGAACTATGGCGTGTTATGACGCCATACTAATAGGAAATTAGGTGAACGATGAATAAGCCTATCCCGAAGGGTCCTAGTGGTATTTGACCACTTTCTCAGTTTGTCATGAACGTGTGTATGTCAGGAGGTGAAACTGTTTTCGAATTTCCCTGTATTGACATACGCAAAGACGAGGCGAATGGCAGAAATAATTGTTCTCCGAAACAGTAATTGATCTGGTAACTCACTCATTCCGCGAGATGTGGGCTGTGCGGATCAGTCCCACGCTGCACCATAGCTTGTATCTGGTTGATATTGTGGGGGCGTAATGCATTTTCTCTGATATGTATACGAGATTAAAGGAACACAGAACATCCTGCCTTTGAGCTAGTAGGTAGCTAGGTGGGAAGCATCACTTGATGATGTTTAATTCTTGATGCGGCATTCCTCTAGTTGAACAAAGCGCTCATCACCGGTTAGTGAAGATTGCCGCCCCACCCACTGCAATAAAGTACGGACACATAGTGGTGAATGTTGATTCGCATCATCAGTGCCTTTCTGCAACAGTCCCACGACTGTCTAACGGTGATAGCAGTGAGACAAAAAAATATTCCTTACACTGTAACACCAAAAAAAAGAAAGCCTCCGAATACAGGGCCAGATTAATAATAAAATGTTGAACCAGCTGTAAATGATAATCTGTGTTGGTGCCCACGCAATTCACGATGATCATCGCATCGACGGAAACAGCATGCCTTGCTGCAATGCTATAAATACACGAGCCATCGCCAGCAGATCATCCGGTCTCAAGCATTCCTTTGTCACTCTCGATTGGACCGGAAGGAAGTCTTTCCAGTTCTATTGGACCGACGCATTTGTGAGTTGGAGGTTATTTGCTACAATAGGGGAACGGCGGCGTAAAACTATAACGGTGACAGTTGAAGAGCTGTTATTAAGCCTATAATTCTGATTTGGTTTTTTTTCCTTGTTCTAGGAGCCGCTAAATACTTGACCGTGCCACGTGCTTGGCAGCAGCCAATCGTCGCGTACCCTGTTCCTGCCAGGGTTGCTCGGAAAGCTAGCTCGGAAGGGTAGTCCCAGTGGAGTCAAGATGGTGCTTTACATAAGCAACACCCATGAAATCAAAAAGCATATAACTCCCTGTACCAACCCTTCTAGACTAGACTATCAATATTTCGTTGTAATTCCACTGGAGGTATATTCAACATGAGTAACACCACCACCACCACCACCACCACCGGAAGCTGCCTCTGCAACGCATGCACCTACGCCTATACTGGGTCACCAGCACTTAAAGTAAGCAATATTTTCTAACCTCTCCTCCTTCAATTCCGTGCTGATTCTAAAGTCAGGCAATATGTCATTGCATCTCTTGCCGGAAAATATCCGGTGGAAGCAACACAGTCAACTATGCTGTGCCGGAAGTCAACTTCGAGATTACTCGAGGAAGCCCGAAGTCGTTTTCAAAGGACCATGAGTACGGCATGGTCCTCACGGTATTCTTCTGCACAGACTGTGGAAGTACGCTATGGAAAGAAGCCACAACTGAGCAGTTGAAGGGGTTCAAGCTTGTGCAGGCGGGGACGTTGACTGAGTCGGAGAAGCTAAATGATGGCGTTGATGCGGAGTTTTATACTACAACCAGGGTGTCTTGGATTGCTGCTTTGAGTGGTGTCGACCAGCGAACTGGGTTCTAGATCGATGGTTGCAACAGAATGAGAATGGGTTTGCACGTGTTGACTCGGGGGCTGAGAGAATGAAGGATATTTTTGTTATTCTTGATTCTCCAAACCACGGCCATATTTTACATAATGATCTTCCAATGTCTACGCGTAAACCGCCATATCCAAGGCTCTGCTTCGTCTTTTCCTTCCACTCAAACCGATGGAGGTAGACCGTAGCCCGTACCGTTTGCTTCTCGCAAGGACCGTGTCGCCGTACCATTCCCAGCGGGAAAACAGCTGCATGCACGAGCCGTCGTTGTTGAGTCTACTCTGGAGGTCGAGCTGGAATAGAGTACCTGTAAATCCAAACAAAACGGAGGCCCTAATCACAGCTTCAGACTCGACCGCGGCATGGTCTTTTGCTGCAATCTGAAGTTAAGGCTTCAGTTCAAGATCATTTACCAAATCTGGTTTGAGTAAAACATGACTGCGAAGATAGCAGAGCAGAATTCGCCTCCATCAAGCCGGATTCCGTCATCCAGCCATTTGACTTCAATTAACTGGAAGGCGAGACAGATTGAGGCGACTCTTTGTGCTGAGTAAGTCTTGAGGAGTCTGCAGAGATAGATGCGTTCACTGTTGGTGAGGATCTCAGTGATATTCTCTAATAATCCGAGTTCCACGAGGAACTTCGTTCTTGTACTCATCGCCGCTCTTGTATGGTTGAAGTAGTCCGATGACATTGTGCATTCCATCGAGAAGAACGTCTATTGCTATTTTCTTCGAGTGAACGAACGGCATATCGCACCAGTCCGACGAGGCGAAACATGACTGCTTTCGGGTTCTGATAGACGTTTGGCCCTGCAGCAGTATTTATTTCAGCCTCAACATTTGAACCCGCTGACCTCCAGCAAACTTACCAAAAACAACCGCACCGAGCGGAATATAAGATGAATCGCTCTCACCTGGCAGTTCTGCGGCCTCCTCAGTACTAACAGCCGAGCAGTCGCCTGTAAATGCGTCAACAGCTTCCTGTCGTAGCTGGATTTGTAAACTCATGGTACATCAGCATAAGCGAGGTGGGAATATCCTGCTCTGTAGGTATTGCCTGTGCGGCGTTTGCTGGTTGAGTAAACCCCGCCAGCCACCGACTCACGTAGTCCTCTGGCCATGAAGCGCATGCGCATTGCATTGGCCGGCCTCGTGGCGCAGAGTATTCTGCTTGGATACCTGTGCGTAGAAGGAAAGCGTCGCTGCTCGAATCGACGGCCGAAGGGTCTTCGAGAATGATATCCATGACAGAATATATCTCGTCCAGGAATTAGGCTGTGTCAGCTCGGAACCTGACTGGGAGCATGACTCGATGAAATTAGATAAGAGGGCCTGCTGAAACAATTGGTGTGGGGACAGCTCGACAGGAAGACATGGAGGTGCACGCTCAGACGTGATTTCATTGCTTCCTGGGGAGAAAAGGAAACCAGTATAGGCTGACTACGTGGGGCGGGGATAGCATTTACGATGAACAGACCATTTTAGATGCCAGGAAACGGCTTTCTGATTCGTCTGAATTGGGAACATGCCGGACAACCCTCATTGTATTACGACTCAACCTCCTTACTATAAATTATACAGAACAAACAAAATAGTACTACCTTGATCTTGCGCCGTAGACATTGGGGAGCCAGGAAATGCCGCGTGAGGTTCGTTGACCGCAGCTAATGGAGAAACAAAAATATGCAGGTGTCGAGGCAAAAATACCACCGTACAGAGACCAAACTGTGCATGCGCACTTTTTGGTCTAATGGCACATTTTGACCCATTTTCCTGTCGTGACAGCAGGTGGCGTTCAGTCCGTTCAATCCATCTTCATCCATTGGTAGATACTGGTAGGCAAGCAGCCCCACTGCACTATTCGGGCTGGTTTTGCGGGTGAGCCGCTGATACCCGACACAACCGGCCAAACCATGACCATGCCACGTACTGGCAGATCCTCTAACCATGGTTATTGTATTTCTCACCACCTATTTTGATTCTGATTGGGCGCAAGCTGCCCGCGAGAGGGTGCCAAGCACGATCTCATCCGGGCGGCGTCTCAGCATTAAACCTGGAATCTGTAACAGAACCGTCGGGCGCCGCGCTAGCCAGCCAATCAGAGGTGGAGAAAAGCAGATAGGACAAGCTGCTGAGAGCTACTATCAATAGATTCAGCTACTCTGCTACATAGGGGCTATCTACACACAAAAGAGAGAATCAATATGATCGGTATGAAGAAGGAAACAGGACGCCAGGGGTCGAGTACTATACAAAAGTGTTGTGGAGTGCATCTAATAAGAGAAGAAAATGCTGAACGGGTCGGTTTATGCCGTATTGTAATATACGGATCCAATCAAATGATGTTCAATTCTCTGTATTTTTGTATGCGATATTCTGGCAATATAGGTGGATCGCTAGTTACATAACAAAATTTCAGCATCTGTAGGATGAATTGTCAGGTTATCGGATATCGGTATTGACTAGTACACATGAGGCCAATTGAACCATTCAGCGATTGATCGATTTATTGAAGAAATATCTGCAGACCCCTGATCAGATAGCCATATTTCAGGGGTTTTTAGCGTGTTACAGGGCTGCTACTCCGAGAATACCCTGATTACTATACAAAACAGGCAGAAGATTGGGTATCTGCTGAATCATTCTGCTCCTAATCGTAAGATCAGTCTTTCCGATCGACATTAATAATCCTCTGGCATATGCGCCGACACACCCACTGACCAGAAAACCCCACACCAGATGACGTGTTGACGCGGACTGCCCGAGTATAAAAGGCGTAAGCGCCCTCGGGAATAGCAGTTGAGCAAATTCATTCACCCCGGAATGTCGATGCCATTTAGCACCCCGCCCTCGACGGCGAAGGACCCTCTGTCGCCATTCAGGATCGCTGTTCCGCAGGCCAAGCTTGTTGAGCTCGAAACATTGTTGAAGATAGCCAAGTTCGCACCGCATACATACGAGAATTCCCAAACAGACCGTCGTTATGGTGTTGGCACTGATTGGCTAATGACCATGCGGGATCTGTGGCTGCGGTCGTATAGCTGGTAGTTACCAATGACTCTAACCCTTCATCTATTATGCACTGAACTGCCAGAATAGGAGAGCGACCGAGGATCGGATCAATAGCTTCCCTCATTTTACTATGGATGTGAATGGGGTCAATATCCATTTTGTAGGTCTATTTTCGCAGAAGAAAGATGCCGTTCCTATTCTGTTGATCCACGGATGGCCTGGTAAGTCTCGATTCTTTGCATGGCACTTAAGCTGTCCTAGATTCTGAAATCATACAGGAAGCTTCTTGGAATTCTTGCCAATCTTACAAAAGTTTGAGGACGCATATACACCTGAGACGCTACCCTATCACTTGGTCGTACCTTCATTGCCGGGTTATGCCTTTTCCTCTGGTCCTCCATTGGATAGGGATTTTGGCGTGGGTGATGTTGCTATTATTTTAGATCAACTGATGAAACAGATTGGATTTGAGACTGGCTATGTGGCCCATGGTGGTGATATCGGCAGTCGAATTGCGCGAAATTTGGGAGTGGACCATGAAAGCTGCAAGGGTATGAACTCCTACACATTCAGCTATGGAATATATTCTTCATCTAATTATTTTTGATACAGCTGTTCACGGTAAATAATATTTCTATATGATTGTGGCAATGACCAAAGATATTAATGAAAGTCAGTCAACTTGGTTCTCATGAAACGCCCGGACAATATGACAGACGACCTTCTCAACGCCCATGAAATCGAAGGCATCGAAAAGATGCAATACTTCACGGCATTCGGCTGTGGATATGCAACTGAGCAGGGCACTCGGCCTAGCACCATTGGCCATGTTGTATCGTCAAGCCCTCTTGCTCTTCTGGCATGGTCAGTTCCCAGATATCGAAGATATATCGAGAAGCATGGAATAATGATATTAGCAGGGTCGGCGAGAAATTTCTAGAATGGGTTGATGATCCTCTCGCCATACACGACATCTTGGAATCTGTGACACTATATTGGCTGACGGAGACGTTCGCTCGGGCTATTTACGTTTATCGACAAGTGGGTTGCTTCTCCGACGCTGATGAACACCGCAGATGGCGTCTAATCGAATAAAATGTAGAATTATCCACCTCCGCCTATTCCATCTGCCAATGACCCCCGCTGGTTTATCCACAAGCCATTTGGGTATTCATCTTTCCCTATGGAGATCGCTCCGCTGCCGCGATCCTGGATTGAGACGACCGGTAATCTGGTTTTCTATGAACGACATCAGAAGGTATGTACCCTGGCAGAATATCTAATTATACATATAATTTACTGACCCTCACACAATAAAGGGTGGCCACTTTGCGGCCCTAGAGCAGCCGGATCAGCTGAAGTCAGACTTGACTAAGTTTGTTGACCAGATATGGCCAGGCATTACTGGCACTGACTGTATCGGTGCTTCTTGACAATAAGACAGCGAGGGGAGAATATCCAAAAGTCTTGAGAAAGGAATATTGTGTAAAGACAATTCCAGGAATTACCACGACATCTTCTCACTGACCCCAAGAGGGTTCGAGGCTTCTCCGTAATACGAAGATATAATCATGGCGAACAATGGAAATTTTCATTAACAGCTTTCAACAAAGACTACTTATTTCAACAAACCGGGTAATTGTACCCAGCCTATTCGGTGGAGGTAGCTCTTAGCTTTAGCTTGTTGGTTCACACAAGGACTATACCAGCTTACCACTTCCAATGGAAACACAATCTGCAAACAGGAACCAGGGTTGATTTCGCAGTGTAAATTTCGACGGAAAAGCTCGTGAGCAAAGCCCAAGAGCAAGGAGCACATTCTCATAGAAGCCGATGCGTTCAAGCTGTTCGGTTCTCTCAGAAGTCTCAGGCGATGGATAATAATCCAGATAGCACTGTACATTGACGGTGATATGGTGGAGCAGAAGTCACCACCACTGAGCCACATTTCAGGATTTGCACTTTCAATGCGTTCCAAATCAAATGGAAACAAATGCTCCTGGGCCGCCACTTCAGGGAGAGGAATGCCAGCCTGGTTCTGAATATATGAATGTTCGCTTTGCTCGGTATGACCAATCTGCGCCTGTAGATTTGTCTCATTGGTGTCCTGTGGCAAAGCGTTTGAATCCTGCTGTTTTGCGGTGATTGCGGCCCATAGAAATGAAGAAACAGCGTGAATCGAATCGACCAGATTATCTGAGTCTGTCTTTTTGGATCGAAGAAATGGTACATGACGCCAAATGGGAGCAGCAAAGCACGACACAGCTTGATTCCGAATTGACAAGTGGGCCTGAACATAGTATACGTTATTAATGTATTGTTCGTAACATATAAATCGTCTCTACGAGATCCTGAATTTGTAGAGTTCTTACCTCCAAGAGCCTTGTAGAGCGAAAGATAAGATGTATAGCACCAACTTGGCAATTGTCCGGCCCTCGTAAAAGGAAAAGCTCAATGAGACCTCGTAAATGCGTCACCCAGCTTCCTATCGAAGTCGGTTGAATAATCTCGTAGTACATCAGCATGAAGGAAAGAAATATAGTCTCCTCAGTGGGAATTTCGTTCTTATTCCTGAGCCGTTGCAAATGTTGGGAGATGCAGGCTTGCTGGCCTCGGAGTGCATAGGCATAGTACTGACCAGCCTTCCTACGCAGGGCGGTTTTATTTGTTTCCTGTGAATGAAAAGCGAGTGTTGTGGCTCTGATAGACAGTCCTAGACTTGTCGACGAGGATATCCGAGAGAAAAGGTGCCTAGTCCATGAATCCTGACTCACTGTCCCAGAAGTAGATAGGGAGAAAGATTCGATGAAATTCGAAACAAGAACGTGCTCAAATAGAGGTCGTCGAGATGGAGCAGCTGGTATTGAAGTAATTTCGTGGGACGGGGTCCCAAATTGTGGTGTTTGCTTGGTATGCCATCCTTTATGGGATGTGTTGACTATGAATAAACCATCATAGACCCCAGGACAGGGCTTCATGATTCGTTTGCATTGAGTACAGGCTGGGGAGATCTCGTCACACTATATTCATTTAGTTTTTAATGCCTTGAATTGGTAGGACGAGAGTTTGAACCTTGATCTTGCGTTTCAAGCATTGGTTACATCCCCTACTTCGACTCACGGATCGAACCATGGGGATACTATAACTTGTGCAATATTGAGCCCAGGAAGCTTGAAGTTCTCTGATGCCTCAGCGATTTTCTTTAGTCAATCTGGGCCTTGAGATATTCCCGAGGTCCCCATCATCGGAAAATTAATCGAGCTTATATAATCATGACACTACACCGCGTACTTGCGATCCCGGAGCCCGTGGGCCCGAGTCTGTGGGACGCCACTCACGTTGAGTGCCGCCCCTAGCACCTAATCCTAGGCTATGGAGATCAGTCCCTTTGCGTGAACAAATTTCAAGCAGTGCAGCCTCCGATGGCCACTTAGATCCTAAAATATGGATATCAGAACGACAGTGAACGAGCCTATTCACGCAACCCAACGCCTCTCCACGCGTCTAAGTCCTTAGCCAGGATCATTATATTTCTACACAGTTTTAAAGGGGGTAGTTTTATTGGGGTTCCTCACAACTCCTAGCGTCGCCCCCAAGTGATGACCGATCTCTGATCACGTTACCAGACGTATTGTCATCAACCAATGGCGAGTTCTCTCTGGCGTCGCAGTCTGTTCATTCTCCCTCCTCTTTGCGCACGAAAAATGAGGTGTGCTGACTAATATACATGATGATAAATCCGGATTGGTGCAATTTCAGCTGATCTGAACACCCACCCAGCCCTCTAACTAGTCGGCCGTTCCGGCTGACTAGTGGCGCTCCGTTGAGGTGTATTAGGTGAGGGAAATTGGCCCTGTGACAGGATCAATACATATAAAATTCGCTATATTTAGCCAAATTAATGGGTGTTGGTTGAGATGTACCGATTTAAAAAATTTAATATGGGCAGGTGTCCAGCATTACGTTATCTAATTACATATATCCACAATTCCGACTACCGACATCATTGACGGCTTCCTCTCTCGTCCTACAACTGCCTCACGTCAGTTGCTTTCCTTCTGGGGCTAGCTCGTCATCTCTCATGCAGTCAAGTCTCGATTTGGGCCCTCCCACCTTCCCCCTGTAGATAGAATCCACTATAACACCCGGACATTGCCTCCCTACACGGGAGCGCGGACGGGCCCTCTCTGACGCTACGGTCTACGATCGCAGCGACTGGCGACTCGTTATGGCCAAACTATATTCTTCTTGCTCCTCTTGACTGCGTGAGATCACCAATAAAATTGCTCTTTCTGCACAGTCCCATAAAGAGGAAGGAGCCATGGAAATCTTTCTGAAATGTAAAACATCATATCCACCCCTTCCGCTAGTTTGGGCATCTCCGACAATGTCCCGTTTTGAACCAATTTGAGAACGATCCCCACTACAATTTATAGTTCATTTAGCGTTTTGTCATCTCGGAAAGCTAGCCTGAAAAGGCAAGGCGGGTTCCTAAAACCTCGTTACCTGTGGGCCACGGATTTGATACGATGAGGTAAAGCGTTACGATACGGTTATTAGCGCAAAATTGGTGAGCTCAAACGGCAAGGTTCGGCCTAGCACGTCGGAGCGCACGATCAGACTTGGACTTGGCAGTCCCCGATATGTTACTATTTTCAAAAAATCTTTTACATTTCCCGCCGCGTTCTGCTATATACTATCCAATCAAGCCCAGCAGAAAGCCGTCGCCGCCTATACTTCGGAGAAAGCATAAACTACGACACTCGGCATTTGGCAGTCAAAGGGATGCCGATTGTGAATTAATAATCTGACGTCGCTTGGATATCGATCAAAGCCTTGATCCTCGACAAACAGAAGAAAATATAGCATTTTAGATGTTCTAATCTTGATTGAGTTACATGAGAAGGAAAATAACTCGTGGTAGTATACCCATTCTTCCATTATTTATTTGCAAACAAGCTTCCATTCAAGTATTTCAGCCCCGTGTCTGCTGCTACAGTGACGACTATTTTACCAGGGCCGAGCTGTTTGGCCAGTTTGATCGCGGCCACGACGTTGAGGCCAGTTGATGTTCCAGCCAGAAATCCTTCTTCCTTAGCGAGGCGCCGGCACATGCTCCGACCTTCTTCCTCGGAGATTGCAAGTGCTTCGTCGTACAGCTGACGATCAAGGTGTGGTGGAATGTAACCGATACCAATACCTTCCACGCTGTGAGGACCAGGGCGATTCTCAGTGATTGTAGGTGAAGATGCTGGTTCAACAACAACGATATGGGTCCCTTTCCACTTCGATTTCAGAACCCTTGCCACACCCATAACCATACCGGCAGTGCCAACAGCGCCACAAAATGCATCAATTCTCTGGGGAAATTGCTCGACTAGCTCGTGGCCAATAGTCTCGTATCCAATCAGAGAATCTTTGTTGATGAACTGGTTGGTGAAGTAATGATTATCGGCTTTGGCAACCTGTTCTGCGCGTTGTATCATAGAAGGGATGAGAGTCGGGTTAATAGTCCCAGTCGGACTGTGAATCAGGTCGACTAACGCACCAAAGGCGCTCATAGCTCGCAGCTTCTCAGTCGCAAAAGCATTGGATGAGACGACGTGGAATTGATAGCCTTTTACCGCGCATAGAAAAGCCAGTGAGGAGCCTGTGCTTCCCCCTGTGGCCTCCACGACCGTCATGCCTGGTCTCAGATCTCCCCGAGATTCAGCCTCTTCGATCATTGACTTTGCCATGCGATCTTTGTATGAACCAGTTGGGTTGACAGATTCAATTTTCAGGAAAATTTGGGCGCAATGGTCGGGCACGACATTATGAAGGCGTACCACTGGGGTGTTCCCGATCAACATCAAGGGGGTGGAAACTGGAGGACGAACAGGCATGGCGTGCTGGTCAGGAACTCACTCCCAAGTCGTACGAGCGGAATCAGTGACAATAACTGAGGGGTAATCTGGGGGAACAGCGACCTATTAAATAGCTCAACGTGAAATCACCCGGGCATCGACTTCGGGGAAAGTGAGTGGAAATTCAAAGACCGGTTCTGGGGGAGCATATTGTGGGGATTTTGAGTTCGCGACGAAGGGACAGGACAGCAAATTGCTACTGTGGGCCCAGGACGTAGAACGGTTCATGACCATCCATGTTTCCTGACGTTTTCTACACTTATTCTGCCATCCTCGAAAGTAATTGCGCTATAAGGACCCTTAGGAAATAGCAAGGGATCTTCCAAGAAAATATGTCACCAAAAGTTAGAGATAAACTTTTTAGGAAACCGTTTACGAAATCTACTGCAAGTCCAATTACCCTGCTTATGTTTCGTGAACATGTTCTTATATGGCGTATGCCTGATTCGACTTCAACTAATTGCCACCGACGTGCAGAATGAACTATTTCTTACCCAGCCCTGGCTATTTGTGACCATAACAAAAATTTTCAATAGTTCCCGAAACCTTTAACTAACACATACGTAACGTTACAAAACTTCATATTCTGATAACGGCCGTAAACAACCTCTCAAGCTTGGAATCTTCTCCCAATTTCCGAACCCTTTTTTACATACGATTTCCCAGGTAGCCCCGGAAAGTCAACGCCCACATGAGCTGCGCATCTAAATTGAGATTTATATGGACCCACTTGGTCCCCGGACAGTGCCCGGCTCGGTCCCCGACACACCAGATGCAGTTGTTGCAAAAATTTTATCAGGCCTTGCAATAGACACAATACTGCTTACAAAAAGAATATTCGGGAACTACTTTCATTTCATTTGGAATGATGGAAACAAGAAATCTGGTAATACCTTTCTGCCTCGTTGGCAATGTTCTTTTTCATTCCCTTCGAATGGCGGGCTTCAAATGCCTAAGATTCGGTTTTTGGCTGCCTAAATGATATTCGATGGGATATTCAAATTGTGGCTGAAGCTGCCATAAGAGACATACGAGGCGGGGTGGCCGCCTTTTGCGTATTGCATTTATAACGGGGTTTTTGTTTCAGTTTGGCTCTATTGAACGCACTCTTTTCGACCCTACTTTGAAGGTGCCTGACTCGGTGTAAGGAGATATAAAAGAGGGAAAGAGGAGAAGGCAAGCCAATGGAAGCCAGGGACTACCAATAAACCTCACCTGGAACTTGACAACATTCTAGATTGTCTTGAAGTTTTACATAACGGAATACATTATACAACTGTCTCTTTGTCAAAGCTTCATGCATGGAAATTTTCATGTCCAAGTCCATGCCTTAGGAAGGAAATATGTACATAACTCAAACAGTATCCCAATATATTCATCAACCACCTTCTTTGATTGGTCTGTTCAACAGGAAGGTAAAGGTCACAATTGTCTTTCCAATGGCACAAAGAAGAATGGTAAACGAAGAGCCCACCGCAGTCTGCACGAATGTTCCAGCAATGCAGCCGGCCATTAACATCAGCAGAAACATGACTCGTCGATTCCTTTGGCGATTCCTGAGGCCCAGCAAGCGTGGATCTATTGCAATGTCTACAAACGCCGCAGTAGCCATCGCAGTAGTAATATCCGTCACTTTTAGAGACCGACCGAGGGCGACTTGTGCCCCCGAGGAAAATGCCAGCAGAAAAATGACACTCAAAGCTGCTGGGCCATTTTGGTGGGTACTGGAAGCGTGCTGGATTGCAGCCGCAGCGTAGACCAGGGCTGTCTGAAGAGCACTGCTCGTAATCAACCAGAGTCGCTTTCGGGCGCCGAAGAAATTTCCAATTTGTCCCATGACCAATCCACCTACAACAAATGCCCAAAGACTCATGCCCACGTGAGACATACTATATTCAATGGCCTTCGGCTGTGCGGCACCGATGGCGAGAAAAAGCATGTTCCCAGTCTGATTAGATGCGAAACATCCATAATCCATCCAAGAAGCAGCATCTTGAATGCCAGTAGCAAATGATAAAAGCACTAGCTCGCACTCTAGCAAAATATCCTCTTTGATATTTTCCATCAAGTAAAGCCACAATTTTGACCTTTGCTTAACCTCCGCTGTCATGTACGCAGTGCGGAGAGTGGAATTATCGTATCCTGCGAAGCAATTAATAATCTGGGGTGCTGCATATAGTCGAATGGCCTCGTACCTGAATCTCTCATTTTTGTTTTTGGGGTTAAGGACATTGAATTAGAAGTAGGAGAAAATTTAAAGCCTGGGTACTGTCTCAGCATAAAATGAGATTATAATTCTTGCCAGTATGGTCATCTCAATGGAGATAAATTGATGGTGTATAATATGCGAATGCGTGGGGCAAGCCTTTCGCTTCAGTATAGTGATGTCATTAACTACGATTACGGGATTTGTGTGATTGGTATCAGATGCAAGAAAATTTTGGATCGGCGAACCTGCCCGGGAATTGAAATTTAGAGCGCAATCCAAAACAGTTTTTGGACTGAGGCGACAGGTTTTGGTCCAAACCATACATAGTTTGCAGCTATCAGACTATTTTCGAACAATTGAATATCGAGTGAATCACTCAAGTCCTTTGTCGTCAGGAAATACCTATGCAATCGCAGAGTGAGTAATTGTTAGATTCGAGATGCAATTATCTATCTATGGCTCGCTGGGAAGGCAAAGGGAAAAAAGACTCGCGAATAACATCAGACTTTGTATCCCCTTAACAATGATAGGTACCGAATCTATTTCTTTTACACATTTTATAAAAAACGACATGAGAATATTTTACCCCAACTTGAGTGTCATGCCAGACATTCCAAGCGAACCAAGTGTGACAAAGATAGGCCCCCAGATTGAAGGGACATAACGTCCCAATAACAGATTTCTCCGAGTGGAAGTATACCGGGCTAGTGAATACCCAAACGACCAAATACTGATGACCTGACACACGCGGCTAGCGACGTGATCATTCGCATACTCGAGAAAAACTAGTGTGTTCTCTGTCTGTCTGTTTGATGAAGTTCCTTCAGAGTTGGTTCCCGATGATGCTTTGGAAGCTGCCGCTGTCTTATCGCAGTGTTTTCGGTTGAAGATGTTGTCAATGATATCAAGTCGAGCGAGAGCAAGAGACATAGCCGCAAAGGCTAGCCCAAAACGGCTCCAAGACAGAAATGTTCGTTCGTTAGCCTGGTGATCGCGTAGTTCCGATCCGTTGTTTGCTACCGGTTGAGACAATAAACGGCGAAATAGGTGACGGTTCGTTTTGACAGGCATGTAGATTTATGGGGACAATTTTGAAGATTGAAATTAATGAACTGGAAGCTTTTTGTGGTCAATTCTCGAAGACTCCGCGGGGAAGGTTTATCTGAAGAAAGCCGACGAGGCTGGATCCATATTCTATGGAATTGGTCAGTTAAAAATAAGCTCTGGAGATCCACTCTGGTTTGACGCGTGAAGCTCTGATGTTCGCGTCGGCTTAATCGGGGTTCGGTGCGGGTCTCCGGGATTCTTTGTCCCCGAACGCCGTTCCATGTATTTCGAACGCCGTTCCATGTATTTCGAACGCCGTTCCATGCATTTCGAACACCGTTCCATGTTTTTCGAACACCGAAAGTATTCAGCTCAACGTACCGACCTGATGAAGACTAAGAAAGTCATCTTTATATTTCCAAAGGTCACACTATACCGGAACTCTCATATAGGCTCTTTCATCTGAAGCAAAAGGAAGCGAAAAAGGTAGTTTTGTACAAGGCAAGGCTATCTGTAGGAGATCTTCCACCTGATCGCTATTCTAAAACTCTCAACCGGAATTGTCACTCAGTCACTTCTCGGGGATTGGCAATGAGTTCGGCTTTATATTTCTCATAATAATCTCCATCTAAAGGCAATTGAGATTCGCTTGTACTACATTTCTACTATCGCCTTCTCTGATATTTCTCCACATATGTCCTACACACTATTGAGATCAGCAATTTGTGATACAAACCACTCAAATATTGAAACAATGGCGTACCGGGCGCTTCGAAATTATGGCACAGCTTCGCCTGTGAGCTTTATCAATCGGCAACACCGAGTTGCTATTGTTGGAGGTGGTGCGGCTGGCCTATCAATCAGTCACCAACTTCTTCGGTCCGGGAATTTTACCAAGGACGATATCGCAGTCATTGATCCGTCAACAAACCATGACTACCAGCCTGGGTGGACTCTCGTTGGCGGTGGTTTGAAACACAAGGACGATCTCCGCAAATCATTAGTTGGACTGCTCGACCAAAAAATCAAATTTTACAACGAACCAGTCCGCACATTTTTCCCGGAAGACAACTCAATCACCTTGGGCGACGGTGTTAAAATTAACTACGAGCAGCTTGTCGTCGTTCCAGGTATCAAGATCAACTATGACAGCATTCAGGGACTGCCTGAGGCTCTTTCCAACCCAGATTCCTTTGTATCGACTATCTACAGCTATGATACCTGCGACAAAGTCTTCAAAGCGGTCCAAAAGCTTCAAAGAGGCAACGCAATTTTCACTCAACCAACGGGCATTATAAAGTGTGCGGGAGCACCGCAGAAAGCAATGTGGCTAGCCTTGGATTACTGGAAGCGAGCAGGCCTTTACAACCCCTCGAATCCATCAGGATCTCCAATCAACATAAGCTTTGCAACAGGTTTACCATCAATGTTTGGAGTACCTAAATATAGCGCCAAGTTGGAAGAGCTTCGCCAACAACGAGGCGTCGAAGGGTTATTCCAGCATGACCTGGTTGCCATCAGTGGTAACACGGCAGTGTTTTCTGGTCCTGGTGGTAAGGAGGGAAAAAAGAAACTTTGATTTCCTACACGCTGTGCCAAAAATGAGTCCTCACTCGTTTGTCAAAGAGAGTTCTCTGGCGAGCGATGCAGGGTTTGTGGATGTTGACGAGTGCACTACTCGCCACACCAAGTACCACAACGTCTGGTCTATTGGAGATGCATCCAATTTACCGACTTCAAAGACTACGGCCGCAATTACCTCCCAAGCACCAGTTCTCGTGGAAAATCTGCTTCTCGCATTGGAGGGTAAATTGGCTCAAGCAACCTACGATGGATACACATCTTGCCCGCTGATAACCGAGTACGGCAAGGTCCTTCTTGCTGAGTTCAAGTACGGCGGAGTGCCAAAGGAGACATTTGCCATGCTTGGAATTGACCAAGCCTCACCTCGACGTGCTTTCTATCATTTGAAAAAGGATTTCTTCTCGTGGGTTTACTACAAAGCCATGGTCAAAGGCACCTGGGGTGGACCTAGAGGTTGGATTCGCAAGTAGCGATAAGTTTGAAGTATCGTTGTTCGTATGATGTATTGAGATAGAATTTCAAAGAAATTGCACTGTTCAAATGAAGGCCCTACATTATGAATTCGGTAAACAAGCCATGCACCTCATCATTAACACTTACAGTAAATTTATGTGTGCGAACAGCGCTGTGACAATCTTGATAACCAACTACTGCCAAGTGTATTTAATTGGCTGACTTAGAGAGGTTTCACATCATAAAGTCAACTTACACATCTTCCAGTAAACGGAGCCAACGAATGGGCCATCTAAGTTTTGTACAAAATTTCTACCGTGTCTTGGGCCATCGAAGTAGTCTTCCGGATGCTACTAACTTTGCGCAATCAACTAATACTCTTACGGTTAAATATTTTATCTATACTGCCATGAACGTTGCCTGTCTAGAAAATTTGTATATAGTCATTCTCTCGCCCAAAAGAATCCATCTCCCAAATTTACCACGCTGGTGAATCTAACTTGAGGGGCAGATAAAGCATTCGTTGGCCTGTTTGTGATTGTTCCGGTAGTCTGCCCGCCCGGATGTTGATTTGCAGGGACTGATCAAGTAACTTGGGCGCCGCCAGTTTTGAGTCACGGTCCTGTCGCAAGGCCACAAACTCTGCCTCAGTAGTCCCATCCATCAAGTGTTTGTTTCGCCATCTTTGTTCTTGAACGCTCAGCCATGGCACTGGCTCAATTCGTCCCTGTAGTGGGTAATCATGGCCCGACCAAATCTTGACGTGGTCTGGGAATGAAAGTAGCTTTCGCCCTGACTTGTATAGACTCACTGCACTTCCACCGGGGAAGTCACAACGCGCAGACCCAATATCGGCGTGGAAGACGGAATCACCACAAAAGATATTGTCTAAGGGGACGCGAGAATTGATGTGAGACACGGAACATTTTAATGGAGTGGGGTATCAAGTCTTACCGCCAATTTTATAACCTAAATGATCAGGAGTATGGCCGGGTAGATGGACTGCCTGGGCCTCGACATCACCGATATAAAATAGTTCGTCATCATCGAAGAGATGATCAAAAACACCTTGATATTCATGTGGTGAGAGGCCATATCTGTGACCGAACATGTCTTGGACTTGCTCAATGCGTTTCCCAATACAGACCTGCGGCCGATGTGTTTGCTCTACAGCAAGCGAATTCTGGAGGTATGATGCTGCAGTGATATGATCCGCATGTATGTGAGTTTCAAGGATTTTGACGACCTCATACCGATGATGCTTGACTAATGATAGCAGAGAGTTGGCAGATTCAAATGTAATAGCCCGGGTGACCGAATCGAAGTTCAACACTGGGTCAATGATGACAGCAGACAAAGTGGAAGGGTCTGCAATCAGATATTGCCATGTTCCCGTTGTCTCTTCAAAGAGACTGTGTATCTTAGGCTTTGTCGGCGTAGTAGGAATACTTCCGGTGGAAAAGGAGCTCTTGCAAAACACATCAAGATTGTATTTCGCACGATGAGGGAGTGATAATTCTGGCGATGAGAGTATAGAAGGATTTTTTCTTGGTCCATAGTTGAGTAATGTAGCCTTGCTTCTCGTCTGAAAATCGGACAAAGTGTTAACCCAAAAAGACATGCGAGGAGCTGAAGTACACGTCTTGCGCAGAAGTGGAATTGGTGGCGAGAGCTTCATGGCTTTAGAGCTGCAATTTGCCTTAAAAGAGAAACAAGCATGCGAAGACGCCAAAAACGACGTTATACATGTACATAATTAGGTAGCGATACGAGTAAATTAGACCTAGGACCTGATCGGTGATCGAATTCTTCGGGGAATAAACTGATCGGGGAATGTCGGAAATATTACTAGGAACTTGAATCGCCATTGGAAGAATCCGAATATTTATGAGTCATTCCATCATTTATCTGAAACGGCGATTCATCTTGTCCACCTCAGATGGCCGTACCATCTGCCATATTGCCCTATAGCGAATTCGGGCTTTAGGAGATTGAAGTCCATTTTCTCGAGCACATATACCCTTTTAAGTTCTCAACATATAGATGCGGTAGTTGATGGGAAGTTTGAATTTGCTGGTATTTTCAGCGGAATCAAATATCACAAGATTTGTGCTGCCAACTCCGAGAAAAGGGCTCTTCGAATGGAACCATTACACTTCCCTAATTCTTCACATATTTGCTCTTCTCAGATGTACTGAATCAGAACTTCATGTGATCCAAAAATCAGTCCTAACTTCTCAACTGTACTCTTTGAGATAGCGTAAGGAAGATGGCATTATGGAATTGTTGTGGGCCGTTTTTTTTTGTTGCAAATTGGCAACATAGGGCTCTACAGATCCCTTACAACCCAGGGTAAGATACCCATACAAAATTCTTATCGCTGGACCTTCTCCTCTCGAAATTAAACTATTTCCCCCTGGGGCGTTTACACAAAATGCACTTACCAAACATGTCGAAATATTTTCTTCAAGTTGACGTTTACGGCAGCCCTCGGCGCCTCGGTGACTACCCCCGACCAATCCCCGAGGCCCGAACAGCTTTGACTTTATTGGGTCACTCGACAACGGTGGCGTCATGTGATTTTCTCCCTTTTTGAAAGTGGCAAAGAAACCTACTGACGAGCGAGGGTTTCCTCGCATATTTTCAAGCGCCCAGATGACTAACTACGACTTCGAGTTCAAGAGATCAATTCTTCAAAGTTTGGCAGTCGCATAGGATTTTCCCTTTATTCAAGGCCTTCCTCGCAAGGACCATGCCCACTTCACCATCTGCGAATCCGAAAACACGTCCTTCATCGCTTGCCTGCACAGAATGCCGAAAACACCACGTCCGGTGCGACGCCAAGAAGCCCACTTGTTCCAGATGTGCAATTTCTCAATCTACTTGTATCTTTCTTCCCTCACGCAGAGGCGGGCGGCGAAGGCTGGATAACAATGCGCGTGCGGCACCCGATACATACGTAAACACAAGCCCTCAGAGTCAAGTCATGCCTGGACTAATAAACGAGGATATGGCAATAAGTGAAGACATCAACCACCAGTTCTCGGATATGGATCATTCAAATGGTTTTCTAGCTTGTGGGGACTCGCCCGAATCAATTGTCCCTGAGGGTCGACTCATTCGTCTATACTATGAGAATTTTCACTCAGCTCATCCAATCCTCGTCCCTGCTGCACTTTACGAAAGGTGGAAATATCAGAATTGCCTGCATCAGGTTGTCAAATTCATAGGGAGTCACTACTCGGTGGTACTTGACAACGATGTATTGAACGAATCTACCTGGCTACTCCTAAATCAGACGACAGAAAGAACATATCACATGGTTCAGGCTCATCTTCTATATTCAATTATCATGCGTGCTCGCAACGAGACATCCAAGGCAGATGATTCTTTGACCCAAGCAATCGATATCGCTCTTGAGCTTGGAATGCACCGAGAAGACTTCGCCACCACATTTTCTGGCGGTAGAGAGCACGAGGCAGAAAGCCTGCGACGGACATGGTGGGAGCTCTTCATTTGGGAAGCTTACATGGCCACATTGAACAAAAGGAGCAATTTACGATGCAGCGATGTTTTCTCTGATGTCTGTTTACCATGTGAGGAGTCAACTTATGCATCTTTTCAATCTATTCCACAGCCTCATTCTCTCGCCTCTTTTAGGACAAGGATATTCACAGAGGACGAGGGGGTTACCTATTACTCATCATTTTCTTATCGCATTGAAGCTGTTCGAATCCTAGCCCGTGTCTTGGTTCTCAACAGCCTGCCCGAGACACATCACGATCACTTGCAAGCTGTCGCAAACACCCTTGTCAGTTGGTTACATCACCTTCCGCAACAAAAGACTGATATCATCGACATGTATGGAAACATCGATGAGATGCTGTTCCAAGCCTATTTCACGATACACTATGCCGCTATGCTTCTACATTTGCCCCGTGGCAATCTTCGACCAAGATTTCCCGATTCAATGTTCTCAATCTGCCCTGTCACCCTGTTCCGGCTTTCGCCCTCTCTGACACGCCATGTACACGACGTGAAAACCATTGAAGCCTCTAAGAAGCTGTCTAATCTCTTATCTGTGCGCTCTAGCGCACAAAGCTACAGTCCCATCGTTGTCTTTGGCTCTCTGCTATGCGGCCTTGTTCAGCTTACTGCCATCCATAGCCATGGGCCAGATTGTTGTGATCATCATCAAAACCGGATAGTTCTTGTTCTTGGATGTCTCAAGCTTCTCAGGTCCAATTGGCCTTTAGCGCAAGAGGCATTCTCCCATCTTAGGAACTCTGTCGCTCAGCGGACAACAATTACCTCGGAGTATTCGCCGTTTGAGAGCAGACCTAAGCCGCAAAGGAACCAAAGACCCAATACGGCTGCAATCGAGACTGCCCGATCTCTTCCCGTGGGTGACGATGCCATTCATGGCCACTTATCTTCAAGGCTCTTGTCGGAATATCTTGATCCGATTTGTGGTGATTCGTTCCCTTTGTTTCATATGCCCGATCCTCAGAGCTTTTCGGACTCTCTGGATCACCAATATACCTAAGGGTGAAATGTTATATGAAGTGAGCGCCTGTAATGTTGGCCGCCGACTCGGTCGCAAGAGAACATGTCTTCTTAAGATAAAGTCGTATTTGAAGAATTAATTTTTGTTTGGGTTGAAAGAATGCATACCTTCCCCCTTATTCATACAAAGGCGAATGTGACGGACAGCAAATATCCGGGTTTGGCTGCATTTCTGCTAGGAACTGTAAGAACGCTGGCAATGCCGAGCTCAAAGGTCTGGACAACGACTCTGTTGTAGATGCCAGTTTGTCACGGTTTCTGTGAGCTTGTTATTTCCCTGTCTTGTTTCGAGTTTGTATGGTAGCGGTTTATTGTGGAAACGGCGATGGAGATCTTCGATTACGAGTCTGAGTTTGGTGGGAGAGACGGGTTCGTGTGTTTCGGGTTTCAATTGAGGTGCAGAGGTACAGTAATTAGTCAAGGCCTATCGGTACTATTGCCGTAGAGAACAGATAGGAAGGAAACTGAGACTTAACTGGGTGAGAGATGACAAGATAGCTACAGAGACAGGCAACCACCTCGCAGGGGAGTTGTAGGAGGGGGAAAACCCCTCAGTAATGTCGGTGTAGATATCACGTAAGGCAACCCCAATAAAACCACTCCGTTTATCATCGTATCTGTTGTTAAATAAGTTTCCTACGGTATTCTAAATTGAGCAGACTGATACCATTTTCCATACAATACTACATTTCTCTATAATGACCGATTCTAGGTCCTGAAAAAGGGTGGGATACACCAGATTCCGAAGAAAGTTATACACCCGACCCAGCCAATAGGATACCTACTGACCCCCACTTTAAGTAGGGCTCGCCGGATAGTCGTTCGCTTCGGTGGCGAGAGCCAACAGCAAGTCCGCATTACAAACAATTAATATAAACCCCCGTGATTGGTCTGATTACTGAGGAGTATATGACGGCAAATGGAATTACAGTCTATAAGAACCTGACCTGGCCATTGACTCACATACTCATAAATACCAGAAACCTTGTCCATCTTCACGCAGACAGCCATGTATCTCCGGGCAGTACACGCAGAGAACTCAATTAAGGCACTTTTTGAGTTCATCAAGGAGAACCCCTTGGGTGTGATCACCACTGCCATTTCTTCGCCCGACTACCCTTTCCTCCAGTCCAGCCATATACCTTGGGTACTGGATATCTACAATGATGATCCCGAGGCCCCCGTAAAAGGGCTACTACGGGGTCACATGGCCCGACAAAACCCTCACTCCAAAGCCATTATGGAATCCTGTGCCAATTCGTCTACAGGAAAGCTCCAGCAAGATGTGATGATTCTCTTCACAGCACAGCATCATCACTATGTAACGCCTAAATTCTACACTGAGACAAAGCCCGCCAATGGGAAGGTCGTGCCGACCTGGAATTACGCCGCGGTCCAGGTCTACGGCAATGCTACGATCTATTACGACTCGGCTGCTTCCGAGACGTCACAGTATCTCCAACAGCAGATCCACGATCTGTCTCAGATGTGCGAGACCTCTGTTATGGGCCATACGGGCCAGGAAGGAAAACCTGGGCCTTGGAGTGTGTCTGATGCGCCGGAGCGGTATATCGACATTATGAAGAAGAATATTATCGGCATTGAGGTGTCGATTGAAAGTATTGGGGGCAAGTATAAGATGAGCCAGGAGATGGGACAAGGTGATCGGCAAGGCATTATTGAGGGCTTCAATAACATGGGATCGGATGTTGGGACGAACCTGGCTGGGCTGGTGAGAGAGCGTGGGGAGATGAAAGCTGCTCCATTGGATCTGAAATGATCTTGTCATAGGCTAAGATAATGATATAATTCCGAGACGACAAATCAGTCCTCATTCACACGAAGTATTACAGGGTTGACATGCAGTTTGAGCTTTAAAAAGCAGCAGCTATATCGAAGTATGCTGGCACGTGCGCGGGGAATTTCTCTTAGGTCGTATACTGCTTCACCATATTCAATTCTATTAAAAGATCACTGCCTATTATCTGTACGCGAAGTCCTAGAAATGATCGCTGCCTATATCTTTTTCGGTCTCCTCGCTCATCCCCGGTGGAGTCTGGACTGTTTGGACCCATCGGCCGATTACCGCATCCCCCGTCGCCCTGAGGTCCCCTCGACATTCCTTTGTCAACCACGCCGTCAACACCCCCAAAATGCCTCCCGCGGCGCAAACAGTGAGTTGATTCCGAATACAGTGTCTTGTCGTCTTTCATGTCCCTGTATATGTCTGTCATCGCAAACTCGCTGCCTAGAGCTTACCTCGCACTGCGATTATGAGCCCCCCCCCCCCCCCAATCGTACTGCGCGATGCCCTCTAATCAGCACACAACGAACTTGACTGTTACTGGAAAGCTAACTCAATGGATCCAAAGACTCGCTTGGTACCCAGCCTGCGCCTTCTCATCCCCCGCCTCCGCCTTCTCCAGAAGAAAGACACCGCATCTTCGGTCGTTCAACGTCGCGAGCTCTCCCAGCTCCTCAGCGAAGCCCGCGAATCATCCGCGCGTATCCGAGTCGAAAATGTCATCTCAACCGATATCGCCGTGGAGGTAATGGAGATGGTGGAGCTGTACTGTGAGCTTGTACTGGCGCGCGCCAACGTCCTCGATCAGCTAGCGTTCGGAGGGAAATGAACCCGTGCAAGGTTGCGCGCCAAAGAACTGTACAAGAAGCAGACCCAACCGCACGCCGGGACAGCAGTAGGGTCGGGCGCAAAGGCTGCTGAAAGCTCGGGGTCTCGGTTTGGGTTTTCCTTGATAGGGGGGGTCACACAAGAAGGAAGGCAGTCTCGCTGATGACCCTGGGATTCTGACCGACGACGAAGATACCTACATGGATATTGGATTGGATGAGGCGGCTGTTGTCGTTTTCTATGCTTGGTATGGCTTTCCGCACGGACTGCGTGAGCTGACGATGCTTCGGACCATGCTCGGCGAGCGATACGGCAAGGTAGTTCATGACATTGGCAGAGGAAAACAAGGTAGATACTGTCAAGGTACCAGATCGACTTCTGAAGTCATTGCGCGTGCGCCCATCTGGGTAGGATTTGGTGTAGAGCTACCTTCGCGAGATCGCAAGGCATACGGTGTTGACTGGCCGGAGGAGGACATTCTGGATTCGCAGGAAGATTTGGGAAGTGCGCGTCCAGAATTCGTGAAAGATACCACTCCAGGTGATGGCGACAATAATCAGGAGGGCAATGTGCCAGCAACCCCTACAAAGCCGCGTGCAGATATCACCGAGTCTAGGCGCGCCTCGGAGACAAGTGAACTCAGCAAAGCGACGCCTCCACGAGGTCCTGCGGCTGGTCGGAGTCCTGTCAGTGTTGCTCCACCGGCACCCAGGACTGATAATCCAAACCCGCACGTTAACGTCCCGGGATCGGAAGGCGACGGTTCTGCGAACACTACTTCAGATGCAGCAGGGTCAGGTTCGCAGGGGAAAAGCAATAACGGCGGGATACCGGAACTGGATGAATTGACGCGGAGGTTTGCAGACCTCAAGAGAAACCAGCTTCCCGGAGGAGACCTTGCACCAACACCCCATTTCTTTTCTAGTAAATCGGAAAGATCGTGTCCATGGACTTGGAGGATTTCATCCTGTCTTTTCTCATTGCGGAACCTCGGAGTTGGAGACCTTTCTCATCTGCAAAATGACCGTTCTGATTTCCCCAAGCTCTTGCACTGTACATACTCTTGGGCGTTTTGTTCATTCGGCGTGGCGCTTGTTAGTTGGGTTTTATATTGAAGTTGGTAGTTTTAATGTACAGTGCGTCCCTAGCAATGAATGGCCTAGCAGGTGAAGGTAAAGCTGTTCGTTCGTCCTCTGTTCGTATGCAAACTAGATCACCAGTCCAGAAGGATCCAGAAGACCTTCAATCCTTCGAGCAATCAACTCCTAACGGTTTTCATTTAGATGACAAAGTACTGAAACGACAGTCCGTTCGACGTGTTGCAGAATTTCTCTGGTCTTGAGGCGACAAGGTGTGAGAACATTGCAGGCGCAGTTAAATTTGACCGACGACTGTTTACAGCTGTTCTATTAAACGATTTTTTTAAAAATTAAGCAAAGCACAGAGAAAGGCAATGTTTATCAGGCCGAGGAAACCAGGGAGGCTCATATTGACCCATCATTGATGATTCGCGACGCTATTCCACGGGAAACAGCAGCCCAAATTGATACTTATGTTGCAAGCGGGATCCACGAAACGCAAATCATCACATAGCGAAGGCGTCTCGTCTGGACTCAGACGGTCTGAGCGAATGACTAAAAGAGTGAGGACTTGACGGCAATGGTTCCTCTCTTTCATGTCTCCATCAAGGGTCGACTGGGACGATCCTGGGCAGCACAATTACTGTCTACTTTAGGTTATTATTACAATTCAGGCTGTGTTTGCTCGTTCTTGAATCAACAACCCCAACCTGGCCGACACTAGTAAACCATCCAAGAACGCTCTCAGCTCACAAGCTTTGAAGATGTTCAACTCTCCCCTCTCGTCCTTAGTACGCACCAACCCCACAATATTGAACTCTTGTTGGACACATTGCTAGAGTCTTTGCGCGGGCAACGGACAATAGGGATGCGAGTCGGGAATCCAGAATAGGCCTTTCAGGAAGAGGAAGGCCACCATCATCATTTTCTTGAGGCTCAATGGCCTGATGTGGCCTCCTAATTCGTGTTGTGGTCTGTGCAAGATATACTTCGCTCTCCAAATCACTCTCTGGTTCATCTAGTAGCTCTTCAGTTTGGTGTCTACCCTCCTCCTCATCGTCACTAATAGGATCAATACCATTCAGTGATGGAGAAGGCTTTCATGACTCGTTAAGGATAGGAGTCTCTCCCTCTAAGGTATACCCCTTAATTCGCTCAGGTTTAAGCTTGCCTCAGCGATAGTGGTAGATATCACGGGTACAATTAAAGAGCCGTTCAACACCAACACCGCTTACAAGAGTAGAGAGAATACCCCGGGCTCGTGCTGCAGATACTGTATATTCCTGCTTGTGCTCCTTCTAGGAGGGACGAGGATTTCCTCTTGTATGGCCTGTAGTATTGTAAGCCAAGACCTAGGGATTATTATAGAGATATATACCTTTTGAGAGATGTTGGGTTATCTCATCCACTGGCTAATCTACCTCGGGTTTCAGGGCTATTTGTAAATCCATGATGAAAGCGAGATCATCATTAGGATCATCCTGAGAGACTTTAGGCTCTGTAGTATTAATAGCTGATTCGTGCAATGTCATACGTATATGGAGATGGTGGAAATGCGCATGAAATCACCCATATTGGCCACCACGCTCGATCAACTGGACAGAGCTGCTTCGAATTTCTAATAGCACCTAAACTAGCTAGCTAAATAAAACGTGTGAAACTTCCAGACCGATTAAAGCAAGACACATAAAGTTCTAATACGTTATGTAAAACCCTAAGACGGCACCCCATCGAAAATTTAGCAAAATCCCAGCCATGTCCTTTCAAAATGGATGCCGGGTCTGTGATCCATTCATCGTACAACTAAGTTCCTTTTCAATGCACTTTTTCAATCAATATTTGTAAACCCAACTCTATTTGAGATAGTTAGATGCTCACGTTTGATCCACATCTCGCGCGTAAGGAACACGATACATAAAGTTGAAGTAGTTCAGGTACGCAATCCCTGTATATGTAACGGGAATGAATCTGGCACCACGTCGAATCCACCACATTACACACTTGGCTGCCCAATCCGCAGAGAGTACAGCAGATCCCATGGATGACTGAAATGAAGACGGGACGATATGGCGGTAAATCATATCAGGGTCATCGAAAAAGGAACGAGCGTACGGCAGGAATTTTCGTTTCGACTGAGAGTAACGTTGAAGTGGTGCAATTCCCCAGGAGGGATGAAGCTCAGCTTCGCTGCCCACGTACCATACTTCCGGAAGGGTCAGGTGGGTGGGGTTGGCAATCCTGTACTTCTTAAATAATTTGATAAGTCGGATAGACGAATCGCAATTTGATTCAACTGCATCCTGGCCATTCGAGCCGTGGGCCAGGATTAGAACGTCACAGTTAGAAAGCACAGAGAGCGCTTCTTCGAAGTGATGATGATCCCAATCGATGCCAAATTTCAACTTGCGAATGCGACATACTCCTTCACGCTCGAGCTGTGTTGAAATTGCTCGACCAAATGCTCCACTTCCTCCAGTGATCACAAAGTGCTTGTGTTTAAAGGAGTAGGCAGTACCCCATATCCAGTCGAAGATTTTTATGAACGAACCGATATAATGATCCGGGTAGACATGATGGAGCGAGTGAAACTCTGGGCCCGCAAATATCCAGTTAGGGTCCTTCGGAACGCTCTTATAAGTGAGATGGTTTGAGTCGCGGCCCTCTATATATATGACAAAAGAGGACCTCAAAATTTCAAAGCCAACAGTAGAACAAAGGTGGTTTCTTGTTATCCACACGAGGCCGTCGGGCGTCACTAAAGTAGCAATGATATACCCTAACACAGCTCCAGTGGTTTTAATTGCGAGTTCAAGCGGCAAGGCCTGGAATTGATTTTGTCGAAGATACTTTCTGTCGAACTTCAAGTGTCGTGTGAAGTAGAGGTGGTGGAAATGGTGTATGCGTGCTAGGCGTTGGAAAAGGGGATGGGAGGATCTGGTGCAATGGTGGAGCATGTTATGAAGAATGTCGAAAAACAGGGAACTTGTGCAAAGCAGGTAGAAAAAAGACAGTAGAGAAAGAGGTAGATCATGCCTCAAGAGACGGAGGTAATAAACTACTAAGTCGGCAATTGCCTCAATAGAGCGCACGTCGACTGAGTTGCTCATCTCCAAGGTGGATTTTTAAAATAAAACTGTAAGGAAAAATTGAGGACTGCTGGGCAGTATTCCTTATATGGGTTCGAGCGATGCAAAATTGCCATTTGTGTCTTCGCAGTACCACAAGTTTGTCATTAATATGGGCATGCCCATGATGCCCATTTGGCTCATTACGACATATACTGAAAATTGTGGATCATTTTCATCTATAAATAAGGCGCAAGATGGCGACTACCCACGTATGATTTGATACCATTGGCTATGTCTTAAATTCAACCCATCCCAGTGTTTCAAGCAGACGAACTTGTATTCTGATCTACATACATTTAAACAAATGTGCCCCGTAGGCTGGAGAAATCTCGGAATAATGTAAACTAGTTAGCGACTTACTCTTCAAGTGTTGCGACAATAGTACTATAAAACCCCTTTGCAAGACTGATGTTCTTTTCCACAACTGGAGACCAGTAGGCGAAATGGAGATATGTCGGAAATAAATTCTGACACGAAATGAAACATGCTCTTTTACAGAACCTCCTGATAGTATCGACACTGTCGGGAACGGGGCCTGGCCAACTTCGGACTCATCAAGACCTCGCCATGACCCGGACCGTGGGTCCCTTCTCGCGACCCGCGACCCGCACCTCCCACCCGGAGGGAGGTTTGTAGGCTAATGACCCTCACCGCACCTGAGTCATAAAATTCTGGAGGGTCACCCGCCAAGCGACCCTCACGACCCGCATATACATAAATTGTTCACACCAGCACTTATTAGGATGGATAAATTTATTGACACACACTTGTAAGTCACTATTTCTTATACCTGTTTCGTCTGTCCGAAAGTAATTCATTTTTTTTTTATTAGACCCCTGTGTATCTTTATGAAATATGTCTTTCGAATATTTCTTCTTGCTCGGGAATGCTAGACTGAGGCTGATTGGCAATATTTTAGTTTGAGAAAAAAGCATGCTAATATGTATTATAAAAACTTAGAGAGATTGGAATATAAAAGATGTGGAAATATATATTGATTGTAGAACGCAGTTGCACAGCAATCTTGAGACGCTTGACATTTTTCTGTTTATGGCCTAAGCCCCACTGAAAACCCCGATCTAATTATGTTAGGCATATAGTATTTACTCTCTAGATACTTATGCTACGTTAAATTTTAGCGAAATATATCGATTAAGTTCAATTATATCCTGATAAAGTCCCAGGGTCCTGAAGGTGACTCTCATAATCCTCAATTCTAGCAAATTAGCATAAGTGGTGTTGAAGGTGATCTATCATTCTTTCTCCTTAAGTCCGTAGAGGCAGGCAATTATCTCCAAGACTTAACTACCCCTGAGTTCTCTGCTGAACTGCATAAGAAATCTAGGAAGTCTTGTCTTCTCCTAACTCTCTTCATGACGTCCCAGTTCTCCGATACATTCTAATTGCTTATGGGTGTCCACCCTTTGATTTTCTTGAATAGGTTGCTGATGAAAGTCTAAATTAGCTGGATTCCCCTATCCTATCTGGAAGTCAAGATGCCTTCCTTCCTTGGTCTGAGCCTAGAGCGGCACCTGATTGTCTTCCTCGGATTTGCCCGGATCGGATTAGATCGTTCATCGTATACTCACCGGAAATGGGTAACGAATTTGTACAGTGGTGGCTTCATACCGAGTTTGGGAAAAAGATATAGATATCATGGGATACAAAACGAGCTGCTCAGTGCTGGAAAAACTTTGAGCAAGTCGCGTTTAAAAAAGATGGAAAGCCAGGGTTTATATGCCATCAATGTCGGAAGGTGCTAGATCACCCTGCGTGGGCTTAGTCAGGTACATCGTCAATGAAGAAGCATTATAATGGAGTCAATTGCCGGAAAGTTGTCTCAGCTACAGGGAAGAAACCAAATATCAAGCTTGCATTAGAGGATGTGGTATAGTTAAGACCTAACTCTGAACGTGAGGGTATCCTAACTCTAACCTCAACATCTTGGCGCAGAATGCGACGTTATAAAGATTCGATGAGCGAGTTTGGCAGCATAAGCTTGCCCAGCTTATTACTATATCAACATCTTCCCTTTCTTTTTCCCGAGCACACCGAGCTCCGTGATCTTCCCTCCTACGCCCGGATTGCACCATCAATGCCGGAAATTCCCTCTGCTAAAGTTATGCGCTGGCAGCTTTGAGACCTAGTCCGTGAGAACCAATAAAGTATCCTTCAGAAACTCCCTTCCGGTGCGAAGTTATCATTTGCCCTAGATTGCTGGACATCTCCATTCCGGCAGGCGTTCATGGCGATTACGGAATACTTTCTTGATAAATACTGGGATTACCATGAGATATTACTTGGATTTGAACATTTACAAAGGTCTTATTCAGGCGCAAATTTGAGTGAAGCGCTCTTCCAGCTGCTACAGGAGCATGAAATTATAGATCGAGTGCTTACGGTAACCACTGACAACGCCTCGAATAACGTTACTCTTATGGTAAGTGTGCACGGGGCGATTGAGTAACTACAAACTGTGAACGATGTCGCTATTATTCGGGTACCCCGTATTGTACATGTGATCAATTTAAGCCTCGAAAACCTCCATGGGAAGACGAAGCCTGCTCCAAAGAAGAATATAGCTGAACAGACATGGTCTGATGATCGGGTGGATAGTCTTCGTGCGAGACAGCAGAAACGCAAGATTGTAGACACTCTGAACAAGGTAAGACAACGTAGCTTTTCTATTATTTATTATGCTAAGCTGTTTCTTAGGTTCAAAGTCTTGCAATTTATATCAATGAGAGTCCTCAGCGCCGAGAGTAATTCTACAACTTACAAATCAAGGAGCCAAAGCTTGTGCCGATCCAGGATGCTGCTACTCGATGGAAGCCCACGTTTTTTATGCTCGTACGCGCAAAAAAACCCCAGCAGGCCTTCCGCGCTTTCTGCTCATATTACGATCAAAAGCACTTTGCCTTGAGTCAGGAGCAGTGGCGACAAGTAGACTATCTTATCTACACTCTTCAGTCTTTTCACCGGTTCACAACCATTCTCTCTAAGTCAAAGGATGTCACTATACATCGGGTCTTTAAGGTCTACAATAAGCTGTTTGATCAGATGGCAAAATAGATCAGTCGCCTTAAACGGAAGAGGGTCGCTGAGAAGAAGGTAATGCTTAGATCCCTCGAAGCGGCAAAGAACAAGCCCTCAGTCTACTATAAAGACACTTATCACATGGAAGGTGATCTCCACGTTATCGGCACATTTCTTTCTCCACAGGATAACCGTAAGTTCTTCTCAACTCCAGACTGGGACCCAGAGGAAGACGGAGTTGATTACCGAAAAATCGATCGCCAGAGCCTTGAGTCCTCGATCGAAAAGTACTCTAGGGATCTTGCCCAGGAGCAGCAGATATTAGGTGCTTCCCTAACTAGAACAGCAACGGATGAATTTAATTTAGCCTGTGTTCGAGACGAGTCGCAGCAACCTCAGATTCTACAGCGAGTTCATTCTGACGAGCTTACAAGGTATCTTGATAACAGTAAGTGTCTCTTCATCTCGATAGAAATAGTTACTGATTTCTCTTTCAGACAAAGTACCAAATTCCCAGCCTCGGACCTGGTGGAAATATCACCAAGATGAATTCCCCGGAATGGCAAGGCTTGCACGAGATGTTCTTTCTATTCCAGCTAGTGGTGCATGTGTAGGGCGGCTTTTTAACTCGGCACGAGATATCTGTCATTATCGGCGCGGCTCTCTACGGCATTTAATTATCTCGGATCTTATGATGTATATGTGTACATCGTGGTTCGAGATTCATGAAGAGGAGCGAATAATGCTCTCTGAATATCTTTCAGTCCAGGAGATACAGGCCGCTAATGAAGAGAGAGCACAGCAACAAAGCAGCGTTTATCCGATTAGTGATAATGAAGAGGATGAGAGCCCTTCTACAGAGCTCCGAGCAACTTCGCAAGGCCTATCAGCTTCACAAGTCCCAACTGAAAACGCACTTGGAAAAAGACGCCTATGCAGTATAGCAAGGGACATAGAAGGTGATCAGGAGGACGATAGTGAAATAGCGCTTCTGCCAGAGATACTGCACCGAGTATCAGGTAGAGCTCGTACGCGCTCAAGGTTGCTTGATGGATACAAACCTTCAATATATAGTTAATCCGGTCGATTCATCTATTTAGTGCACTTAATTCAACGCATTCAAAGTTATTAAAGCTACAAAGTAAACCTACGATTTACTGTAAGTGAGATACTCAAAAATACCGCTGGAATCTACAAAAGTTATGCACCGCGCGACTTGCTGCTGTTTGCATTGTTTTATCACCCTGAAGGTTGGGTCGCACCCTCAACGACCCTCCCCTCATGAAGGGTCTGGGTGACCCGCGGGGCGTGGCGAGGTCTAGTTTCGATAAATATTTTGTAATGACTCTGGCTCACCTACTTTGTGAATCATATGCGCCAGAATGGACCTTAATTGCGCTTACGAGTTTCGGCGCCGAATGGATCAACAGAGTCCGACGGGAGCGGGTCCAACTAAGGTTCGCGCTAGCGCACCTGTTCTGCAAATCGAGTTAGCCTGGCCAATAATTAGTTAACGTCAAGGGTGGAGCAACAGAGTCCCATGGGAGCGGGTCCAACTAAGGTTCGCGCTAGCGCACCTGTTCTGCAAATCAAGTTAGCCTGGCCGATAAGTAGTTAACGTCGAGGAAGGTGGGATCGTAAAATATACGCAGAATGGTTTAATTTCACTTGTGTCGTGGTTCCTTTGTTTGTGCTAGGGATTCTCGACACTCCGAGAATCGCGACTTCCGACACCCCTTTCCCTACTTATATAAGCAGGACATCCTAACATGTCCTCGCATCACCCGCTCTTTTCATCCTTTCTTCGACTAATTCAATTCAACTCATCTTTGGAATTGGTTCCCCTTGGTCCATTGGCTCATATCTCAAACCAGATCTCGATACAATTGGATGAGGTTGCTTTTCGCGCAATCCCTCTCACACATATATCAATTTTGGCTGAATGACTTAACCTAGCCCAGTCATTCAGTTTCCTCACTAAAGGTAAAGGGTATGGACCTCTATATAAGGCTGGCCAGTAATCGTAGTTCGTCAAACCTATTAACCTCACCTAAATTGACCTTGAAAATGCTCTCGAATTGGTCTAAATTAGTGGTCTGAATTGACCTCTTGAATAGGTTGCCAGAATTGACTGTCAGGATTGAACTGGCCGGTCTAGGTGAATTCTGGTGGCTAATTCAGCAGTTAATAGACGATGTGAACATTTTTAAATTGATCCATATGAAGTTAGACGGGCCTCTAAATTCACTCGTGTTGGTCAAACTTAAGTGCTGAATTGGCCGCTCGAATTGGTCTCCGGAATTGATCTCAATATTCGACAGATAAGTCGGAGTAGAAAATCCTCCATAGGCTATATTCTTAGTTGTTACCGTCATTTATTGCTTCGACAATAGATCGTAGTGGCAGCCTAATGCGAGAACCGCTCTAGGCAGAAAGAAGCCACAAATCGCTGCACCAACGCGCATAGTTAGAGAATGATCATCCCACTTGTGCCTCAAGTTAGAGTCTCAACTCGCGAGTGCTCGCGGGACAGTAAATTATATCACACACTAACACTACTTTAGTTTATTACACTCTATCGTCATAACCTTGTATCAAACACCGTCAATCATTGAATAGCTTGAAACACCCTATTGAAGTCCCCCTTCCAGCACTTTATGTGGGTGCGCAAAAGCCATTCGGAGCAACCCAGGTTCTTCGGTGGCATAAATAGACACAGCCGCAATGTCAACTCTCTTTTTTCGGAGCCTGGTGAGAGTATCCTTATATTTTCGTGGCCGAGATGTTACCTGCTTGAAAATTCGAGCCGATTGGTGGTAGGGACCGCCAAGACCATAGTTGCCAGCTTGTGCAGCCTGGCTATCTTGACATAGTCGTGCATAGCATACATAGGATCGCGCAAGCCGGATTTACTTGATAGAAATAATTGACCTGGTAGTTTGCAGGTAGGAAATGTGAGCTGCATTTAACTCCGTAAACTAGCTGTAGCCCCACTGACTCTGCGCAAGTACAGTATCACCACATCAGCACCACAAACTAGTAGTCGTTAGTCTGTCTAACTGGACACGCACTATCCTCTTAACTCCAACTGCTGATCCAAAACGTCCGCAATCTGCACCTCCATGCCTCGAAACTCAATCCATAGCTCTCGGTGCGCCCTGCTTGTATCAACATCGTAGCCTAAAGTATCCAACGGAGGCAGCTTGATAGCAAGACCAGGATACCGATTCTTCACGAAATCATGCACTTCGTGCCACGGGCGCGCTTTAGACGAAACAAGGTACGGCTGTATACCCTTGATGGTGGTACAGCTTCTCGTAAGGGCGCTGACATGCGCCGAGGCGACATCGCTAACGTGTACGCCGAGGAATTGTTTCCCAAAGGGAGTCTCTGACATAAGCGTTTGGAAGAGCAACCCGTTGCTACCGGATAGTTCTTCGGCGGTTTCTTGAATGAGGCTGCGGCCGAAGACGAGGACGGGGTGAATGGTCACCACATCGAAAGACGGGTTGTTGGTTGCCACGAAGTCGATCACGGCCTTGTGGGCGGCGATTTTGCTCGCGTGGTATTGGCCTATTGGTGAGAGGGCAGCGGGACTTTCCGCGTCGAATGTTAAGTCGAAGTCGTTCTCCTCTTGTGAATGTCAGTGGTTCGCACTCTTGGAATTAAACGCAGCCAGGAGGGGTACCTTTCACAACAGCGCCATCCGCAGGTGGTGTTAACGGTATGATGGACAGAATCGAGGCCGTGATGACCACCTTCCGAATACTCGGAACCTTCACCGCCGACTCTAGTACCGAGACTGTCCCCTTTACGGCGGGGGTAAGCAGATCCGACTCCCCCGAGCCAGCTATGGGTGAGGCCACGTGGATAACGTAGTCTACGCCTTGGAGAGCCTCCTCAAAACCGCCTGGTGCGGTGATATCGGGGAGAACGGCGAAGGATAGTTTCTCGTAGTATTTGGAGAAAATCCGGCGCAGCTTGTCGGCTTGCTCAGGGCGACGGACGACGAGGTGGACATTGTGGCCGGCTTCCAGTGTCTGAAGGACGACCTGGGAGCCGATAAAGCCTGTTGCTCCGGTAATTAAGACGAGAGACATTGTGGGAATTGTTTGGTGTAGTGGAAGCCAGTTCAGTGTTCTCATTTATATAGTGCACACCAGGCAAGAGACGCTGATAAATCAAGATCGAGAGAATTAATTAGATGACATCTAATTACCGATTAATAATTCTTATAAATAACCATCTCTAAAGTCTGGCCATACTGTGGTTTGTTTTTAAGCTTTCGGAGACGAAGATAGTTAACGGTAATGATTAATGATCATGCCGAGCCGAAAGAACATAACCATGGTCTGAAACTACGCGATGAGGATTATGACGCGCAATTGGGATGGATTAGCGTCTTACATTCGTCGAAATTTTCGGTACTCTCCGGAGAAAGGATGCGAACTTGTCCTGATGTTATGCCTTAAGCATCATGAAATTCAGGGGCACAGTGCAATCATTCCAAACATACTTGTTTCATCAATTGACATCACAGCGATTAGGAGGAACTCGAAAACTAGCTCGATTTGTCGATCTTGGAATATCTAATGAAACTACTACTGAGGGTGAGCAAGGCCCACATCGCACTGGTGCGCCTCCCGGCCTCCCGCATATATGGTCTAATCTAGTGTTCCCTGGACCCGTTCTTCATGTTACAGCTCAGTTACGAAGTGAAAAACATCAAACAACGTAGTAGCGGCCAGGAACGGGGTATCACTGGGGGATCTCCTTGAAAACGAGCGCCTTGTTAGCCCTGATGTCAATTAAATGGAATGTGTACAGGTGAGAATATGAAAACGTGAACTGAGTTGAAGAATTGATGAGGGGAAATTGGCGGATAATTGAGCAGGAAGGCTTGTACTGTATGGTATTATACTGCTAGTGAAATTGGTTCTTTCCAAATGCTGATGGTTCCACTTTCCTGTACATCGCACCCCATCAGAGTGTACCTTGATTCGGATTGATGAAACTTTCTCACCATTGTCAAACGTATCTACTGTACTTCAGGATTTATCAGCATGTGGAGGTCTGATCATACCCATTGAATTAACCATCGCGGGGATTCCTTTTTGTCACAAAGTTCATTGTGGTGGTGCAGCTCAGAGGAATTCAAAACGCCCCAGTCCGATGGAAACGGCCATTGTTGGCAGGAGGGCCGCACTTGTTGAGGAGGCCACCCTGTTCGCTGTAGTAGCACTATGGAGTTATAATGCTTGCGTATGATTCAATGGGTGATGTGTAATCTGAACATCCAGGCCTTGGTTTCCCATTACCGAGAAGCTTTCCACTCCAAGTGTGGTCCACTCGATTCATGATTTTCGAACACGCGGATGGCCGAAAAATGCCTAAATTATTAATTATCCCCTGTGTAAGTTGATTAACTAACTAACGTTGCTTTTTGTGTGGTCTGAATCTCCTGGGTCCCCTCATTATTAATCTGGCGCTGTCGTGACTTACAAAGCGGCACGCCCTGCCTACTTGGGCTAGTTAACTAATAATGAATAATGCTTTGTAATGAGATGGCGACCATTGCTTGGGTAAAAAATGCTGCAGGATGTCTGGCGTAAGAAACCCCTGGTCTAGAACCAAGCGCAAGTAGGAAGCGCTATGTCGAGGATAAATGGACTCTTCGTGGTGAGACATCTTGATGTGCTAGTAGATGGACTAACATCCTATGGCACAGAAGCGATAGCTGTATTTTGTATATTCGTTATATGCCGATCTGAACTGAGGTAAAATCTGATCTTGAGAGGGCCCTATTGGCGAAATTGGCAGCCAGCTGAGGATCTAAATGACCAGCTGAAGTGGAGCTTTGCTTTTATGCTCAGGGGGGTTAGCAGGCATATCGAAGTCTATAAAGGCTGCTTGATATCACCTTGTCCGTTGGCCTCATCCCTCGAGCCGGAACATTTGGGACGCCATGTTCAACTTCCAATATCTGAAGGTGGCACTATGCACCCTCTTCATTACGTCGTCACTCAGCAAAGCCTGGGACATCCCTTCTGATTGCTCGGATCTTGTCATCCCCTTGCGCGTCTCTTCCTGGAACCGTCAAGTGGAAGACTCAGTGCTCACCGATGGCAGCTCCGTGATCGCTCTGGTGTCCGAGCTGGCGCTGACATCCAACAGCTCGACCTGGGCCTACGAGTCCACTGCGCTCAATATCAGCGCCCGCTACTGTGAGCCAATAGGCCCCTCCCGACGTCGAGACGCAATTCAACTGCTCGTCCACGGCATCACGTACACCAAAGACTACTGGTTTGCCCTGGGAATGTCGGGCGTCCAGTCGCGGCTCTACTCCTGGGTGGACTTTGCTACTCGAAGAGGGTACGCCACGCTGTCGATCGATCGTGCTGGTGATGGCGCTTCCTCTCACCCCAATCCATTCCATACCGACCAAATTCCTCTGCACGCGGCGGTGGCCAACCAGATCGCCGCACAGCTAAAGCGGGGACAGATTATCCGCGGACGGTCGTTTGAAAAGGTCATTTATGTCGGCCATTCGCTCGGATCTATGATTGGCGTCGAGCTGGCCGCCACATACCCCGATGCCGTCGATGCCCTTATGCTGACGGGGTACGCCGCCGAGTCGGACACCCCGCTCATCTTGGAAACCGGGCTCCTGCCGGCAAAGGAGGCACTTCCGGTCAGATTCGGCAGCCTGGATGACGGATATCTGGTAACGTCGTCCCTGCCTGGCAGACAAAGGGCGTTTTACGGCCGCAATGGCACCTTCGACCCTCGGGTGTCTGCGCTCGACTTTGACATCCAACAGACGGTTTCTGTAGGGGAAATGGCTACAGCCAGCCTAGCAAAGGTTGCGACCAACTATTCCGGACCCGTGACGGTGATTACGGGCGACCAAGACGCGACTTTTTGTTTTGTCAATGAGACCTCGGATGGCTCAGGGCCGGGAGGCGAATGTGGGCAGGGGAAGACCTCGGGCCCAGCCCGCGTGTCGTCTCTGTTTCCCGCGGCCACTAGCTTTTCAGTCACCGTGCTCGAGAATATTGGACACTGCATTAATCTTCATTACGATGCGATTGTCGCGTACGCGGCGGCGCATGACTGGATGGACGAGCATGTGTGTTAATGCGGAGAATCGGACCATTAATACTTGTCAGAACTATGGAGCGGTAACTTACCGCTAGCAAGGGATTCGTTGCTTCTAGATCCGCATTTCTTTTAAATTGGATACCTTGGCAATCTCGGTATTGTAACCACCGAGTATTGGCCTGTTTTGGGGGTATTTCAACCTGCCCTCGAGTGTGTTCATTCCGTCTGCAATCAATTCTATCATCCTGGATTGGTTGTGTTTGATCTCATTCGTCTACGATGTATAAGTCCATACTGCTTTAGCTCGCTTAGACAATATTGCGGAGAAATTTGATCCTCATTTAGACCTTATAAATTCTTGTGATAAAATCGAAACATCCATTGATCCAAATCATATAGTCGAAACAATATTCCAAAATATACTCGTAGCTACTACCGCCTCCAAACCCGCATCACGCAATGATCCGAGTACAGACCTTCGAGGAAAACAATTGCCCTCCAGCAGAGGACTGAACAGACACCCCGCGATAGAGTATGCCCCTCCCCCCCGTTCGTTCAGCACTGTTAGATCGTTATACCTGACCGCTTGACCGCTGTATACTTTTGATAGACCCTCACACATGCCCGGACAAAAGTCACCGTGACCGACCTTAAATCTAGGGCGGTAGTACTACTATTGTAGTTACTAATAGTACTATATCTGTTTAGGGTATAGAAAGTAAGACCATAGCTATTAAAGGATCTACTTACCTTTTAGTATCCTTTTAAAAGATAATCTCTGTCTATCTCTTATAGTATAAGCTCTGTTTTGATTTATAGAATATAGATTAAGCTATAGAGGGATATACTATATTTATCACGATCGGTTGGGGCGCTTTTATATCATATACTACTACGGATGAACGCTTTGCACAATCTTAAAACAGAAAATTTAACCATCAATAACCACTGCATCATTCTATTACTCCTACGTCTTTTACTTCTTTTTAGGCCTCTTTCCATCTTCATCCAGACCAAAGGCCTTCTACCACGATCCATCCTTGAGCTCCTTATCATTCCCATGCAGCCCAACGTGGTATGCGTTTTTCATAGCGTCGAGGCAGATCGTCCGTCGCTCATCAAAATCAAACATTGGCTTAGAGACAGGTCTACTCTATCAAAGGCGACCTGACCACAGAGATATGATATCATACTAATGCTTGTGAACTGCATGCCCCCAATGTGATCTATATATTGATTGTGCGCCTGGAAATGAGAGACAGGAGGATCAATCGCCTAGAACTTAGGACTGAACTTGCTCATAGCGCGAATTCTGGACCCATAGATAAAGAAAAAAATTGGAATGGGAATCATAGCCACAGTAATAAAACCCAGAATACTAGATGCCCAAGGTACACCTAGATTCCGGTACATTTGTGTAGCGAAGAGCGGGAACGCGCCACCCAAGGTCGAACGGACGAGAGTATTTGCCGCGATGGCCGAGTTGGCAAAGATCATGTACACATCAATGAGGTAGTTGAGACCCTGCATGAAAATAACCAGGATACCCAAACCAATAGGCACACCGGCAATGACCTGTGGCACCCAGGAGATATTGGGGCTGGAAGTCCAGCCAAACCAAAATAGACCAATTGGCAGCAACACAGAGGCGATCATCATCGGCACGAGACGCTCTTCGGGGACGACTTCGCCATGCTTTGCAAATTTGCGCTCAAAACGAGTCTTCGTGGTGTATATGATGAGACAGGCACCGAGCAAGACGCCTATAATAATGGCAATGAATGGGAGGGCAGCTATGCCTGTGTGGGTCCAACCGCGAATTTCACCAAAAGATATTGGGTAGGCCTCGAAGAAGAGGTAGAGGATTCCGTAAACTAGGGCGAGGTAGATAGTCATAGCAACCAGGATTGGCTCTTGCACGAGCATCTGAATGGGTCGGAAGAGGTACTTTGTAACGATGTCTGACATTGTCGGTTTATGTAGATCCAAAAAGGAATGGAGGCCTGAGTTGTTGGTTTCAATGCGAAGACGAGCAGCTCTCCGTTGTAAGAGAACTGGGCCGTACGTCTCGGGAACAACGAAGAGAGCAATCAGACCGAAGAAGGCGGATGTAATTAAGGTAATCCATGCGGTCCAGCGCCAGCCAAGGTATGAATCTGTGAGGAAACCACCGCTGAAGAATATTAGATTTTGGAAAGTGCTTTGAGAATGTCTTTCAAGTATATATTGAGGAGTACTCACACGATTGGGCCAAGAACAGGTCCCATAAAAGTAGCCGAGCTGAAGAGAGCGACAGCCACCGCGCGGTCCACGGGGTTCCAAATATCAGCCAAGGCACCGCCGACAACAGCCAGAGGTGAACAGCCAAAGACGCCAATCAGGAAGCGGCAGACCAGGACTGTCTCCAGATTTTGGGCCATTGCAACGGGAATTTGGAAAATGGCGAAGATGGCATAGCCGGAGAACAGTGGGATACGACGGCCGTATAGCTCACTCAGCGGTGCCCAGCACAGGGGACCTAGAGCGAAACCAAAAACGACCAGACTGGTGCCGAGAACCATTACTTCAGCCGATACATTGAACTCCTTCGCAGTCACACGTGTCGCAGTCGAAAAGACGCTGGATGCAAATGTGATCCACACGGTCATGGAAGACATAGTCAATGTGATGGCCCATTTGCGCAGATTACTGTAGTTCTGAGGGTTCTCGGGGTCCTCTTTGCCATTCCAGTCGACAAGGTTGGGATCTGCGCTGGAGTCATCAGGGTTCTGTGTGGTGTCGACAACTTTCTCGATATCTGTTGTCCTATTTTTATGAATAGTATTGTTGGTGACGCCTTCCTCAATGGAATTGTGTTCCATGGTAAGGCGAGGTGTGTTTGTAGTTGAGTCAAATGGTTGGGAACTCATGGTTGCTCTAAATACCTATGTTAGTAGATGGATATATTGCGGCGACAATGCCAAGGTGTGATATGAGAGAAAACAACGTTAGGAATGAACCTCTCGAGACAGGGGCCATAGGACCCTCAGGGCAATATAACATCGCAGATATTCTAGAAGGGGATAAGCCTCGGAGTTAGAGTTTTCAAAGCTTTGCATTAAAAAAAAGGGCTGTACAGACCCACTTCATTCGCTATTGCAAGATCGGTCGTTCGCCCCTTCACTATATCCGTGGTGCATTCAACCCCCGAGACCTCCTTTGGTGCCAAATTAAATCGCTACGTCATGCTATATAGGTTAGGCCAATAAAACCCTTTCTTTCTGTTGTATATATACGTCTGATTAACTAATCTTGATAGTATCTACGGAGTATTCCGTCGGTCCATGCCACCATGTGGACTCCGCGTGGCGATGGGGGCGCCAAATTATAAATATGGATCGGAAAAGGTTCAAAACCCCATGAAAATTAGCAAATCGACCAGTCAAAGCACGTAAATGCACGAAATATTTTGCTTTTCCCAGTCTAATGGTCGCTCTCGGCTTCAACCAAGCACAGAAAAAAGTGGAGATCCCATGTTGATTTCAAATCTAAAGCCACCTGCTTATTCAGATGATGTCCATTTCTGGTAACTAGTTACAGAATTCCACGTACTCGCTTAGGGCATTTTGGGGGTAGCAGCGTCCTAGAAGAACCTTCAATAATTTATCGGGTACTATAAGAGCAAACTATGGGAATAGATTGAGCAGATTATGTGGTGAGCACAATAGGAGTGCTTTGACACGAAAGCCCCTGCTCTTTACTTCAGGCGCCATCTAGTGTTGTTTGACTGCGGCGATGCTAAATGAATCCATTGTTGCGAACGTGACTTCAAGAAGTCCAATGATACAACAGTAAAGTTCGGCTGTATCGGTAATTTGGTATTGATGCCTTACCCTGGCCGTGCTCCAAATGTCGTCTTGAAGGCATTGAAGTATGGACGCCCAACAAGAATGAAGTCACAAGAGCCGCTGAAGCCCAGGCACAACACTCAAATTCATTGCTAACACCAGGTATTATGGCAAGATAGGAGGTTCAGCGCCCAGTGGATCAACAATCCGACGGGCGCGGGTTAATTAAGGTTCGTGCTAGCGCACCTGCTCTGCAAATCGAGTTAGCCTGACCGACAATTAGTTAATGTTAAGGAAAATGGGGTAGTAAAATACACTTGGAATGGTTTAGTTCCATTTGTTTCGTGATTTCTATGTTTGTTCTAAGAAATTCCTGACACTCCAAGAATCGAGACTTTCCATCCCCCTTTACCTACTCATATAAGCAAGAACACCCTAATGTGTCTTCACATCATCCGCTTTTTTCATTCCTCCAACTAGTTCAACTAATTGGTTTTGTATTGGTTACCCTTGTTATATTAGCCCCATTCTTTCATACAATGCCATACTGCATCAGCTTGCTGTCATAGTAGAGAAGACATAAGGAGCTGCCGTAGCTATGAAAATACGCTGGCTTTGCTGGATAATGAGAGGAATCAAATCAAAAAGGGGTCATGCAAAAATGAATGGAAAGGTCGGGTTGACTCCTGAGGAACAATGCCTAAGTCATTACAAGCCCGACAGGTCTGAACTTGGCAAACTATACGTAAAACAAAGAGGGGGCATTGCAAGGTTGCGGATCTCACCTAGCCGCAGTGGGTCTGACGAGTCAATACAATGCCAATGTACATTTCCCTGACATAAACGCCTTGTAACTTCATATTCGGAAATACACCAGTCCCATTCTCTGCGGATGATATCATCCACCGAGCGATGACCAATCCCCCCTGCATTCCTAAGCCGCGGCAATAGTAATCTGCCCGAGATCTTTATATAGCTCCCCTCCATTCCCAGTTCATTGCACTCGACTGAAAGTCTTCATAGCCATATCAATCATGGTTTCCAAGTTTATCGCAATTATCGCCGGCGTTGGCCCTGGCACAGTACAGTCTACTTATACATACACCCCCTCTATATAAGAAATACAGCACTAACAAAATACACAGGGCGCCTCGATCGCCAGAAAGTTTGCTAAGGCGTACTCTGTTGTTGTTCTGGCTCGAAACCCAGAAAGCTTCGAAGTACTCGTTCAGGGGATCAATGCTAGTGGCGGCCAAGCCTTCGGCATTAGCACTGACGTCTCAGACTTAGAGAGCATGAATGCCGCCTTTGATAAGATCGCAGCTCAATACCCATCGTCTAAGGTTGCCGCCGCGGTGTTCAATGCTGGCGGCGGCTTAGTCCGAAAGCCATTCCTTGAACTTACTAAGCAGGATTACTCAACCTCACTTGCATCTCAAGCGTATGTTATTTTGCCCCCATATTTTGCTCTCAATGAGAACGAATCAAAAATATATGAATTTTAGGCGTTAGCACTGATTTGTACAATAGACAAGGTGCTTTCAACTTCGCTCAACGCTCTCTCCCGCTCCTGATGGATTCTCGTGAATCCTCCGAGTATCCGCCAACTCTGATCTTTACCGGAGCTACAGCGAGCCTAAAGGGCTCAGCTAACTTTGCTGCCTTTGCCTCGGGCAAGTTTGCACTACGTGCGTTAGCACAGTCGCTTGCTCGTGAGTTTGGACCGCAGGGTGTGCATGTCTCGCATACCATCATTGATGGTATCATTGACATACCCCGGACCAAGGCATGGGCCAATGAACACGTGGATGGGAAATTGAGTCCTGATGCTGTAGGTATTAGTTCATTTGGTATATTGGTTTGGTCACTGACTTAGTTTAGATTGCGGACTCGTATTGGTTTCTGCACACTCAGCCACGGACGACATTTGCCTTTGAATTAGATCTCCGTCCATATGTCGAGAAGTGGTAGCCATTTGATTCAAGTCCCGGGGCTCTTCGAATATACTGTACATAACCTGAGAGAAGCGAGTTTCTCACTTGTTCCGGACTACCTGACGCGAGTATCTCGATTTGTATCTTTAAAATTAATGCGCACAGTGTTGTGATATGAGGCTGGTGCAGAACAGGAACCAAGCCGAACCATTGAAATTAATCCCGAAGTATGTATACGAAGAACCAAGTTGATTTCCAATCACTTATTCTTCTCGTTGTATATATAGCGTCATGTTTCCCTCTGAATAAATAACACAATTCTTACCTCTGAACCTACAACACATAGGATACTATGAGAATTGATTCACTATATTTCCAAAAAGAACTAGTGCTAAAAAGAGCCAGGCTACTTCCATGGGCAAGCCCAGCACTCGTCGGGTTTCTCAGTGCTTAATATCTGGGGATAGATCTATGATTCATTGATGACCTTTACTTTAATTTCGTTATGATCTGATCTCATTGCGGCTGGGAATCTACAACCTCGTAATATCGTGGCGAATTTCCCATTATGCAAACGTGGCACCAATATGACAGGCAGCATAAAATTATAACGTAATTCCCGCCCGAGCGAGACACCCGGCCGACCGAGACACCCCATCCAAAATCGCGTCTTTCTGCCCACACATCAACTTCAACCACCTACCATGCCACCAATTCGCTCTGAATCCTCGCAGAAATTGGCTAATCGAGAGGGAAAGATCTTATTAGCCCTTGATGATCTTCAAAAAGGCCGTATCAAATCTATTCGTGCAGCAGCGAAGCTATACGAAATACCGCTTGCTACACTACACCACCGCGCCCAAGGACGCCTTTCACGCGTTGATATACGCCCAAACGGCTATAAATTGACCCAATTAGAAGAAGATTCACTTGTTGAATGGATTCTCTCTATGGATTTACGTGGAGCAGCACCTAGGCCGGCTACTGTACGAGAGATGGCTAATATCCTACTGGCTGCACGTGGTAGCTACCCCCGCCTACTGTTGGCAAGAATTGGTCATCAACCTTTATAAATCGACGCGATGAGATTCGATCACGCTTCTCTAGACGATACGACTACCAGCGTGCACTAAATGAAGATCCAAAATCGCTACGAGAGTGGTTCACGACCGTACAACGTGTTATTGATGAGAACGGTATACAAGCGGAGGATATCTACAACTTTGATGAGACAGGATTTGCAATGGGTCTTATATCTACACAGAAAGTGGTCACACGAGCTGAATACTATAGTCGGCGATCGATACTACAGCCAGGAAATCGTGGATGGGTTACTGCTATTGAAGCAATTTGTGCAGATGGCTATTCGCTACCGCCATGTGTGATTTTCAAAGGTAAAGTCGCTATTGCTGGTTGGTTTGATAATCTACCACGCGATTGGCGATTTGAAGTATCCAATAATGGCTGGACTACCGATGAGATTGGCCTACGCCGGCTAGAAAAGCTATTTATCCCATCAACGAATTCACGTGTACGTGGTCGATTTCGGCTACTAATTCTTGATGGCCATGGTAGCCACCTTACGCCTAAATTCGACCGATTATGTGCAGAAAACAATATCATACCTCTGTGTATGCCTTCGCATTCATCACATCTACTACAACCGCTAGATATTGGCTGTTTTGCAGTGCTAAAGCGTACATATAGTCGCTTTATAAGTGATCTTGCACGCAGGGGATATAATCATATCGATAAATTCGATTTCTTGGAAGACTACCAGCATGCGCGGCAAGAAGCCTTTCAATCAAGCACTATTCAAAATAGCTTCACAGCCAGTGGCTTAGTACCAATTGATGCAGAAAGAGTGCTCTCGAAGCTTAATATCTCTATACGAACACCTACACCACCACGCAGCCGGCCAAGCAGCAGATCTAGCCAATTCACACCACAAACACCTAGAACCGTTACTCAGCTATTCAAACAAGCTTCTATGTTAAAGGATCTGCTAAAACGACGGTCAAAAAGTCCTCCAAGCCCATCAAAAACTATCTTGGATCAACTTATTAAGGGTCACTGCCTATCGCTACACAACACTGCATTGCTTGCGCAGGATAATGCAAATCTACGCGCAGCAAATGAAAAGAAACGCCAGAAACGTAATCGGTCGCATAAACAGATACCCTGCGAAGAGGGTTTGACCGTTGAAGAGGGCCTACAGCTAGCTACGCAGCTAGAACTATCAGCAGAAGCACCTATGGTAGAATCATATACGCAGGGCGAATTGCCTATTCAGGCAAATAGGCCGGCTACTAGGGCCCCGCCCAGGTGTAGTGGGTGTAGGGAGATTGGCCACAGGATCAATTCATGTAAAAATCGCTATATTTAGTCAAATGGGTAGGCGTTGGTTGAGATAATCGATTTTGAAATTTTCTAATGGTGATGGGTGTCTCGGTCGGCCGGGTGTCTCGCTCGGGCGGGAATTACGTTATACAGTGCCGCTGATGGAGTATTAGGTAATCTCTATATGAAAACTTAGAAGCGAGTATACCGTTTCATGTATTGCCTTCGCCCTGGTTTAGCATCCTTTTCCTCCCAATCTCGAGTGCCTCAGGCTGTATGTGCTTGGCGGGTTGATCATGTAAATTAATTTACATATGTCGAGACGAGTTTGGGGCAATAAGGCGGCTAGACCAAAAATGCTCCATTGGCTGGCCACATTCTTAGTTGTTATCGTTATTTATTGCCTCGAGAATATATAACAGCAATTTCCATAACGGTGACACCGTGAGATTGTACAGCATCAAGGCTGTAAACATACCATTTAAATTTGCCACTTAATTTAGTAGATTCTATTATTTCAATGAATCACCCGAAACGTGCTTTACTTAGTAGCTCAGTAAGGGTCAGAGTGTTACGTTATATATGATTCAGCACCTGGGTCTTCGTAGAGACAATTCCGGACAGAGCCGCTGCCACAGCGTGGGCATTGTTGCGTGCACGAACGCACGCTCAAGCTCGTTCAAGGCGAGCTTGAGGACTTCAAGACAGCTTCATTGAGCAACGTCGTCGCCCTCCTCGACCTGACGAGCCACATGACCAATATAAAGCGCCACCGATTCGGTGACAGAGGAAGACTCGTCATCCTGCGCAACTTCCTCCGAAGGCTCAGATAACTAAGCAGTGAAGTATTCTGTCAACTACGAGGCATGAGAATAAAGCGAAGTAGGAACGAGGAAAGAGAACTTGAGGGGCCCATATGAGACGATGAAAGGCCGGAGGGATTGAGAAAAAGGAGGCGTATTGATGCCAGTCTGAGGACTGTCATTAGGGTCAAGGTATCCAATCTGGTCGCGGCGTGGTGTAGAAATGTAGACGGCGCCTCGAATCTCCCGCGGCCTCCAACAAAATTGACGTTGATGTCTTTCTTGACTAACAGCCTTTCGGTTATTCCGTCGCACGACGAGTAAGTAGACTGCTAGATTGGCGTATTATCATCTTTGTCTTCGCAGTTCACGTTGGCACGGGGATGGCTTAGGATCAGATTGACCATTTCTAGGCGTTTGCTTTGAATGGCATAGCATATCTGGTTCTGGATGTCCAAGTTTAGACCTTTTTGTCTAAGAAGCCGTTTCACAGCATTTACCGAGCCATAGGATACTACTTGGCGAAGAGGTAGCTCAGCATCCTATGATGATTGAGCACTAAGAAGTACCTCAAAGTACCTCGGACTTCGGATCGTTTAATAATTTCTATCACAGGCCAATTGAAGCGAAATGCAGAGGGCCATGGCGAGTAGCATGAATCATCCTGTAGATCAGGGGCGGTGCCACTAGAAAGTAGCAGATGCACGAACCTATTCTACCTGCGAAGACTGCTAGGTGGAGCGTCGTTCGGCCATGTTTGCGCTTCATGTCTACTCTGGAGTTGAGTTGTTATAAAACGCTCTTGACGGCGGAAAAGGTTCCGTAGAGGATGGCATACGACAGGGCGCTCCCCCGCACTTGATTTTGAAGGTTGATGTCTAGATCTCGACGATTAAGCAAGAGGTCACGCGCAGCAGCGGCAGAGTATTTTAGCGCCCTCACTAAAGGAGATTAACCTCGGTAAAATGCATTGATGTTGGCGTTTTGCTGGAGCAAAGCCTCCGCGAGACTAACGTCGTCGTATTTCACGGCTAGGTGCAACAGATCGCTGTTCTGAAATTTGCTGTTGTATTTCCGGATGCTGGGCTGCAGTCTCAAATCAAGGCCTTTGCATGATTTTGCGAGGCCAGATATCGCACTGCCGTCCAAATGCGACAGAACCCACAGCAAAAGCTCATTGGGCAGTCTGATGTTTGGTTGTAATGTATTAGCTCATCGGTAAAATCAGTAAGAACGAATTGAAACAGACCATGATTGGACAGCGGATTGGAGCGAGGAAGCAAACGAAATGTAGATGAGGATGAGGTGTGAAAGTTGGACGTGGGGAGGCCTTTTATATCTCGTCTCAGCAAAATTCTGCGATCTGCTAGGAGTGTAACCCGTCACTCTGTTGAGGCGCGTAACAATCATACGGCAGAATCGAAGCCTTGACAACAATTCGCGGTTTTAGAGAATCTCTGAAGTCTAGCTCCAGTGAACGCCAAAGCTATCCCTGGTAGTGTGTTAATGGCCCCGGGAGACTGAGTCTATCTTTCGTACCTACTTCTTGCATCTAGCGCTATGAGCGTTGAAGCAAATCACATATAACACGCACTTCGAAATTCCATAGGAAACCCAGAATTTAACCCAGCATTTGCTGACTATGCTGCCTACGGAAGTAGTCAATCTGTTCGCCAATACATGGTCGCTGCGGTCTACAGCCACAAGGCAGTTGATTCGGGCAGCATTTATATGGAATGATATCCCTTCTCGAAGGCCACGGCTTGGCCGTCTCGGCGCATACTGCGTGTGAATGCATTTTCGACGCATCGATTGTTTCAAGCAAGCTTTTCATGCGAGCAGCCGAGCAGCCATCCAGGTAAAGAGCCTACGGCGATGGCATATAAACCGGCAGACTTTTAGGCTTTTGACTAAGGCAATACATTGCGAGAAGTTGACATTCGTCAGCATTGGCTACAGCAGTAGGTACAACGGGGGGGCCATTCCTATAAATAGTTTATTAGGAATTTCTTCAAGAGAATTCCGCAGAGGGTATTCGTTCCGTAAGAGGAACCTGTTTGAACAGTGTCATTTTAATGATATTCGCACTAGTCTCAGGGCGAGATGTATAATTGGCACAGGCGGCGACGGAACGTAGCCTGAGAGGTGCTGTACATCCTCTCTGCTTCGCGAACAGAGTCTTCTTTACTACCTAGTAAGTTTGGCCTCCTACTTACGCTAGCTTGGTGCACGACAAATGACCGGGTTTTGGACGCATCCAGCAGGTAATGAAGGTGAAATTTCCTTTCATTTACTTCTAGCTCAAGTTGACTGTGAGACATAATCATTGAAAAACTTTCCACCGTCAGTATAACCATGGATGACAAAATGTAACGACTCATTGGGCAGAAAGAATCCGTTTTCCTCGGAAGAATCTTCATGGACAAGGTGCATGGCAAAGACTTTGCGTCCACGGGCATTTTCGATTTTCAGCATTTCTAATACCAAATCAAACAGCAGCAAAGCACCTGCAGTATCTTCCATGGCAGGCCGAGCCATCCTGAGGCCAGGGACGAGATTTTGAGTGATGTAGGTCAAGATATCAGCGTTGGGCCAGCGGAGACAGAGCAACTCCACAATCCATCCTATGTTCATGTTATAAGTCTCCTCGTATAAGTATCGTGATGGGTCCCAGCCTTTCGCAATACCGAGGATCACTTTAGCCCACCGAGTTAACGGCAAAGTAATTTCTCCAGACTCCGCGAGAAGCAAATGCCTAAGTGTTTCGCGGTCACAATAGACCTGTACCAAAGCATACATCGCGCAGGCAATTGCGTCTTCACGGCTATCGAATGTGATAGGCAGAATGGCATCTTCTGCGTAGCTGAGGTCGGTTCGCTGGAATATTGGATGGCCCGTACATCGAAGGAACGCATTATATAGCGAATTCGACTGAGCGAAGAGGAAATCGACATATTGCCTAAGATCGTCTAACTTCCGGTAAACCTCAGACTCGCTATCATTGCATCCCGAAATGCAACCTTCTCCATCTCCACGTGTTGAAACCTTCAGCAGAGATAAATCCAAATCATCGCAGCGGGACTTTGAGCATCTCTGAAGAAGGAGAATAGTTGACACACGGATGGTATCTGCCATCGTGAGAGAAGAGGAGTTCTTGTGGTGCGCAGATCCGGCGCGCAAGAAGATCGAGCTCTCGGTCAGCAACTTGGCTGTGATGTGTTGCATGCGACGGCCCTAAAATGAGAAACCCTTTTGCACGGATGAAAATACTCGCACGCAATACCAATCGGCCGTAAGGTGTTCCAGATAAAGCACGGTAGTGCCGAAGGATGAGAGTCTCTAGCCCTCGTAAATGGCAGTAAAAGGTCTTGACGGTCCCAACTACATTTTCGAAGAGTATGAAGAAAATCACCGCAGCAAGGACATCCTCGATCCGGCTGGTGTCTTGCTTAACCAATTGAATCGCACGACTGAAGTAGTTCAGCGATTGAAGAAAAGGTGGTGGCAAGTTCTTTGACCGTGGCTGGTACGGATTCCCAAGGGAGTAGGCAAATCGAGCGGCAGAGAAGGCAACCGTAGCTTCTCTAAGGGCGGGCAAATCTAACCCACTTGACACAACTAGTCGAACGCTTTTAGGTAGGAAGTTAATGATATGGGAAAAGTATTGGTGAAGAAAAATCCCGTCGGAAACAGCGATTGCGGGCTTATGAGGAATATTCAAATTCGTAGAAGTGGGGGCTTTAAGATTGTCCGCCTGGGAGAAGCTCGCCAAAATCTGAAGTTGGCGGCCCCTGGTGGAAGTTGGATTCGGGAGTACGTCTTTGTTGATAGTGCCGTGCTGGGTACGTCGATGATTATACAACTTAGCGCGAGGTACCTCACTGTAGTCAAGGTTCCGAGTATCAACTTCAGCTGCCTGCCCCAAATTGAAAGACGACTCTTGAAATCGAAGTGGAGGACTGCGAAAAGAGCAATGGATTCCTAGGCGCGAACAGAGCCCACAGCTAGGCCTGTCCTCGTCACACTGATTTCGACGAAGTGTCATATCAGTAACTACTCGAACCGTCTGCGGGGTAGGCTTAACTTTTCGTTTTTTCTGTCTGCACGGAATGCATCCATTTCGGCTGCGGGTTATATTGGTCTTCCTATACCTCCTCGGTACAGGTTCGTACATGACTGGCGATAAAGGAAAGTGGTGCCTAGTGATACTGTGAGATGTCGTTTCAGTAATAATCGAGTAGTCACTTCGGTGTCTGAGGGTGCCTGTCGGGATGAAGAGAGGTAGTGGAACCGGGGGCACTCAGCTCAGCAGCTGTCAAAAAAGGTTCAGCTTACCTCAGTTCCCTCAGCCTCCTCCAGAAAGGGGCGGTGAATTTGGCAATCCACCGCCTGCTGTTTCCAGTAATAATGACTCGCTTTTTGGGGGGGGGACTGATGAAGTGGGTCAGCGTGGCAGAATCAGCTGAATCCTGTCTCATCATTGGCTGTGGTCTTAATACCGTATATCACAATTCTGACAAATTCTTCCACCTAAAAAACCTTTAAATTGCTGGGTACAGCGGCATCTTGGATCGAGCTAACGATCAAAGTGGATCCAGTGGATCCGCGTATCCGAATCCGTATCTGTGCTCGTATCCGAACTCGAGTTCATTTATCTTGCTTTCGATCTCCATTCGAGCTCGGCTTGCGCAAGTGAGAACTGTTGTAGTTCAGAGGTATGAAGTCTGTTATTTATTTAGAGGGAAACATGAGGCTATATATACAGCGAGATGATCATGTTGATTTCCAATCGGCTTGGTTCTTCGTATACATACGTCGGGATTAATTCCGATGGTTCGGCTTGGTTCCTGATCTGCACCAGCCTCATATCACAACAAGAACGAATATTATTAAGATCTAAGGATGGGGCCGCGAAGGTCGCATCGTAAGTCCCGCAACGGCTGCGCCGAGTGTAGGGTGCGGCGATTAAATTTTTTTTTCCTAACTGCACTCCGCTTTTCTCCGGTGCCTTTGGCTGATCTGCTCTATAGTGTGATAAACGATATCCCTGTACCAATTGTGTTAAACATGCCATTCTATGCATTTATATTGAACCTGTCGAGGGGCAAGCGACCCCAGCCTCGAGTGCTTCTCCGGCGGCTTAGGTGCAGACACCATTTCAGTCGTATGTCTATCCTACCTCGTAGACCATGACCAGTATGCCTACTCCCGGCGGCGACCCCCCCATAGCGAACTATAATTCCAGATTTTGAACTTGACTCGGGGGGTCGATGGGATCTCATGGGGGCCCTTCCTAGGACGCCCGGCGCTTCTGTGCTAAATGCAGAAGACTGGGCGCTTGATCTGGAATTAATGCATTACTATGGCTCGATGACATGTAACACTATATCTTGGCGCGAAAATATCTGTCACACCTGGAGAGTTATCTTGCCTATAGAGGTATCTTTGAACAAATACGTGATGTATGGTATTTTGGCTATTGCTAGCCTCCATAAAGCCTACCTCTACTTGAATCAGAAGATAAAGTATATCAAGGCGTCAGCCTACCACTTAGCGGTCACCCTGAAAGAATTCCGAGAACTTATTACGTCTCCGGTGGACCATATAAATCAGCAACCGGTGCTTTACGTTGCTTCGCTGATCTGTATACATATTTCTACGGTACCGATCCAACTGGGTGTCGGCCATTGGCCAAACTCGATTTCCAACATGGTCAGGTTATTTACGAGTATAAAAGGCTTTCAAGAGATCATAAGGCCTTTCTTGGAATCTTTACAAAAGACGAAACTTGTGCCACTAGTGGGCTCTATTTATCTGCAGCATAAATGCTCCCTCCGAGGTAAGATCACAACCTACATATATGATGAATTTCCTATCCTTCTGACACAGCCGACAATACCGACAGCCCTCCCGTGGTTATACAAGATCTATCTTTAGCTAAGTGATCTATCATCGTACTTTGTGACTATTGTGGTCGTACACCACCTCGCATTTGTAGCTACTAGCTAGCTACTGATCGCAATCACTATCCAGGTAGGTGGGCTCTTAAATACACCTCCATATCTCTTTAGGTGATATTCTATTATACCCTATCCCTTTAATATATCGCTTTTCGGACACCCTTCTGAGGAAGGCCCTTCTTTGCAGGTATCATCATCGCAAATCGTGTATCCTGAACGCCTCACGGGCTGTTTCCTCTCTTACGATGAGCACCTTACGCCAGATCAATTGATTAGCCAACAAAACGCAAATCAAATTGCCTACTCTACGCTAAGCACTTCAGAATTCCAGCCTCATGGTACTACTTCTGCACCATCAACACTTAGACGAGTTGGCCCTGGTACTAGGAAGCCCTGGGTTCGCTACTCCGAAATGGACATAAAACAGTTTATTGAATGGTGGCGACATACTGCCGGTGCTCATCCACAGCCTCCACGACGAAAGGTTAACTTCGACGCAAACTATACATCGGCTCTATGGAAGTGCTTTTACCAGGTTGCACACTACCATATTGGGCAGCCAATGACAATCTGTCAAATATGTAGGAAGGCTGCTCCTCACCCATCACATACTAGCACCCTCAATTCATTGAATATGCATCGTGAGAGTAAATCTTGTGAGAAGGGAGCTGACAATGTATCTCTCCAGCAGACTTCATAGCAATCGATACAATTTGCGGTAAAGTATACTACTTAATCCGAATCCTAAGAGAACTGTATTCTGATACAAATTATCTATCAAACAGTCCGAGTGTCCTTCGCCGCAGAAGACAGCTTTCAACATGAATGACTGGGAGCGAACTTCAGGTCAATTTGATCACAATGTGCCACCTTCAATTCCAAGTCTTTGCACGCCCAGGGATCCATAACCTTATTCGTTTCGCCCGCCTCTCGAAAGAATGGCTCCGATCCTCTCCCCAAAATCCGCACAACGCCGACTACAAATAATGGTACAGAAAGTTCGCTCTTTGTTACTGATTGGTGCAAAAATCTCAGTTGCGCTTGACTGCTGGACATCTCCTTTCCAAAACGCGTTTATGGCTATTAAGGGCTATTTTCATAGATGCCGATTGGAACTATCATGAAATATTGCTAGGCTTTCAACCGGTTAATGGAGAGCATACTGGTAGCTATCTGAGCGAGATACTTCAAGATGTGCTTTATCCGCATGGCATTATTGATCGAGTTCTTGCAGTCGCTACCGATGCCTCTAGTAACAAACGCTTGTTGAAAACCTACATCGGTGTATCAAAGACCTCAATCTCCCGGATAGTACACAGATTATACGGATTTCATGCCTTACCCATGTGATCCTGCTCAGCTTGAAGGACCTTCTCGGCTTTATGAAAGCTAATCCAACGATACTACTGATACTGTCTGGTCGGAGGAAGATCATTCCTTGTATACCTCATAATATGCTTGTTTGATGGTGTTATTCGTCAGCGATCCATAACTGAAAAGCTCATACCTACCTTGCAGGTTTGGTCTGACCAACTGTTGATGTATGATGTATGCCCATATTAGCAGCAAATATGTCTAAACCGCTCGGGGGTGATTACGCTCACACGCACACTTTGAGGATGCGACATGGAAGGCCTGGATTCTGGCAGAAAGTGTTCGTCGGACATGAATGATTGCATCAACGGCACTTTGTATCCATGAGATCATTCGGCGAGGACAAACATCCGGCCCGGACTTGGTAAAGTTGACAGCAAGAGCTGGAATCTGGAATGCATCACCGGAAGATCACGCCTGGAAAAATTCCATGGAAAGCTCACCTGGGCATCGGGTGACGGGCACGGTCTGTAGGTGACGCATATCTCAATCACTGCCCCAGAGTCAAAGGACTCAGGAATTGCGAAATTTGGTACCCTCATTTCGGAGAAAATACTAATCCACTTGCCCGTTATAAGATGATACAAATTCATCTCTCGACCTGGCCCCCAAAAGCCCCAAAACGCCTTCTTGCACCTCAGGACGATTCGAAACAGGCAGCCCCAAGATTAAGTCGATATGGCAACCTCGCTGCGAACAGGACACATGCGGCTTAGCACTGGTTTGAAGGCAAGTTCATTGGTGTCCTCTGTGCCGATTATATGAGTCCATGATCGATCAACTGGTTGCTTTGGCTCCGGAGACTTTTAGAGACTACGGCCAGGTCCACATTCGAGAATGCTTCGCAAGCAGAGACTCGGTTTTTGGATCCCATCGGCGCCCATATAACAGGGTTTACTATTGACTCAGTTACGGTGTTTCTCGAGTGACCGAGTCACTCCGGCTGGATGAAGGGATACTGTATGCGGGCCTGATATGGCTCATATAGCAGAGTGGAGCCGTACCTGGATGTTGTCGGGAGCTACCAGTGATTTGATATCGTTGATTTAAAGGTCGATCTAGCGAGGAGAGTGCCCATTAAATTCCGTGGAAAAGAGTAGCTGCCTCCTTGACCTTCGTGGAAGGCTTGCCGAGGATTCCCCTGTCTGTACATATGTCCAAAACATCTATTCTGGTTCATTTAAATACAAGACATGTCCCAGGGCTACCACAGCTCCGTCGCGTTTTATACGTTCCGCTGGTCTTCTCACAAGGCTACGAAGCCTCCTATAGATGTGTCTTGGGGCCACGTCCAGCCGCAGAACAACTGCCAGATCCGGCTTACGTCAATATTGAGTTCTTCCAGCTCCCAGTGTTCACAAGGTACTTAAATTCTTCTAGCTCTCTAACCTAGGAACTCTTTTAGATTCTACCTGGATGTGCACTATCGGTACATGATTTCGACGCCGGGACAGCGGCTGCCGAGTACCCAATCTATCCGTCGCTCGTGCCTGTATGGTATACCTTCCGTTGTCCTGAATAAATAACTGAAAGCGAAAAAACTGCCACTCAAACTGCTTCCGAGGCGTCACACTAGCCTCACTCCATATGTGTCCTTGATCAGTACTAATTTCAACTCGCACAATCTCTTCCGCGCCCCACGCACGACCGCAAACTTCAACATAACCAGGACAGAAAAATCGTTCTTCCGGACAAGGCCGCACTATCATCGAATTAGGCTCAACCTTCCATACAGGTCTTTTCTGTATTCCCGAGGCATCCGCGGGATCAATCTCGTTGTAAAAAGTTGTCGTGAATGGGCTAGGGGACCTCGTCTCCTGCACAGACAAGCGACATAGCCATTTCGTCGAATTCGTCCCGAACCACCCTGGTACAACCAGTCTCACCGGTCCACCGCGCTCCTTACCCAGAGGCTGGCCATTCATTTCGTATGCCACCAGAGCCTCCGTTGATAGAGCTTTTTCAATCGGCAGGTCTTTTTGGTATCGGTCCGCAGAGACACCAGCGAATGTACCTGAATCCAGCCCATCGGACCAAACAAAATATCCCCTCGCACGATCTGGCCGTGCAATTGCAAGTAGATACCGTAGCGGGACTCCCTTCCATTCGACGTTCCCAATTCTCCAGACATTCTTCGTTGGATCCGTGAGCGGGCTTCCGTAGCACTCATGGAACGACATGACTGATTCGTGATGTATCTGCCGTAATTGTCTCAAATTTATGGAGAACGGACGCTCAACGAGCCCGTCTACTATGAGTTTCCAGCGACTTGTGTCCACGACCGGAGCTCCCATATGGGTTGTTTGGAATAAGCATGCTTCAGGTGTAATGTCTTCTTTGAGCTCATGGGGTTTAGGGGGGCTGGCGGATAAAAAACCCTTTTGATTGAAGCTTGACCAAAGCTTCACGCTCTGAGCCGGGGCGATAGTCACTGCGATCAATGAAATCGACGGGGGCTAGATAGTCATCAGCCATTATGTGCGAATTTTGAGGGGCAACAAGTCAGATGGCGAGAAGTGGCGAGAATGATGCCCCCAGGGCGGATAGAAATATACCCGTCAATATAGTATTCTCTGGTCTTCCACATTACCCGCTACTGCCGCATTATCCGTTGTGCCTTCTGATAACATGGGTCCACAATGAACTCAAATTGGAACTCTTTAAAAAAAAGATCCCTGATCTTAAATAATTTTCAGTTGCTGTTCAAAGGCCATCGTCAAGATTTCGATATCTCATGGATCCCATGGAGGGCAACCTCTCCGGGCGAGGCAAAGCCTTCGCAACAGAGAAGCCAACCTTTCTCGAGGTATTGAGTGATTTGTGGGATCCGGTATCCAACCCGGATGGGATCGTGAATATTGGTCTTGCCGAGAATGTGAGGAATAGTCGCGCTCAATCTCGTCGACGTTAATAACCTTCTAGACTCTCATGCACGCGGAGATGGAGAGGTTTATCAATTCTAATGTAAGGTTCAAAATTGACTTTCATACTCCGCCGCATGATTGCCTGGACCCAGGCTTTGGTACTAAATAGCTTCCGGCAGCTCCAAATCGATACACATGCATTGACCTACGGAGATGGGTTCAACGGATCGCACAAGCTCAAAGGAGCCATTTGTCATTTCCTGAACCGTCTTTTTTCTCCTCAGATCGCGCTACAGCCCTCCCATCTTGCCATTACATCCGGCGTTAGCAACGCAATAGAATGCTGCGCCTGGGCCCTGGGAGACTCTGGGGATTACATTCTGGTTGGACGGCCATATTTCAATGCATTTAAGACGATATTTGGAACCAGACCAGGGTAAGGAATCACTAGCAAAATTCCGGATGAAGCGAACTTACTTTTACAGAATTAACCTTCTCGAAGTAACGTTCGGAGCAACAGATCCATTCAGCATGGCTGCAGTTAAAGAGTACGAGAAGGCATACGCTGAATCAAAGAGTAAAAATCTTCGCATTAAAGCTCTTCTACTGTGTTCACCACACAATCCCCTCGGTACGTTCCCGTGTCTTGCTAGGGTACAGTTCGATTATTTATTAACAAGGAGTCAAGGACGCTGCTACTCTGAAAATGTACTAAGGGTATACATGAAGTTCTGTAACAGACATGGCATTCACCTAATCTCTGATGAGATCTATGCTCTGTCTGTTTGGGAGAACCCTCGTTTTCCAGGAGCCGCAGGATTCAGATCAATCTTGTCTATGAATGCAGATGACGTGATTGAACCAAGCATGATGCATGTTGTATGGGGATTAAGTAAAGTATGAAGCGCCCTTTCATTGGCCTCGACGGAATCTAACTTAATGTTGATTAGGATTTCGGCGCGACAGGTCTCAGGATTGGTTGTTTGATTAGTCAGTCAAATAATAATCTTTTGGAGGCTGCAGATGGCATTTCGTGAGATTGTACCACGTACTTGGCTTCGGGTTACATGCTGATGAAACTCTCTCTCTCTAATTAGCCTCCATAATTTCCCTTCGAGCCTCGCAGACCAAGTTGGAACGTCTCTCTTACTAGACGACACGTTCACCAGAGAGTACATCGCAACCAATCAAATTCGCTTGGCAGAAAGCTACCGTTTTGCGACGGAATTTCTCCAGTCCCATCATATTCAATACGTTGAATGTAATGCCGCATTTTTCATTTGGATGAACTTGGGAGCCGCAGTCAAAAATCGCACGGCCAGTGATAAGGATATTCTGACAAGACTTCGAAAAGAGAGAGTGTATGTCGCGGCTGGGACCAACTATGCCGCCGAGGAAGCGGGGTGGTTTCGAATGGTGTTTGCGCATCCTCAGACTTTGTTGAGCGAGGGACTCAATAGGATGCTTCGGGCTATCCAATCGTAGGTCGTGCTTGCAAGAGACAAGGAACCCCTGCGTGAGCATGTGGTCGTGAAACTTTACTATATGCTGCTCTGCTCGCTTGGCCTGAATCCGATCAAGAATTTCAAGCGTTGCCTTGTTCCACGCCAACTTGCTCTGTCCAACTGCAAAACTTGTCAGGATGAGGGATTGATGTACCGGCTAGTACTTACCATGTCCAATAGAATGAGATGATTGATTGTAAATATTGAGATCGGTTGAGCGATCTCAGGGTCTCTATATTTGAACTATGGCATGTTATGACAACATCCTATGAGGAAAATGGGTGAACGATGAATAAGTCGATCTCGAAATGGTCCTAACTAGTGTTACTAGACCACTTCTTGAGATTGTCAGATGCTTCCAGAATGTTCTACTGTACCGTGAAGCCTTCAAAGTAGAGAGTATAGAGATAAGGAATTCCATCTTTTGGTTAGATTTTGGAAGAAAAAAAGAAAGAAAAAATAGAAAGGTATCTTTCCTAAACTGCGAGTTCTGCGCCGAATCCAACTAGTATCATATGCTAGGGCCAACTCGTTGCAGCAGGTCCATGCGAGTTTCCTATCATTTCACTACTCGGGCTGGTATTCCAGCTCCGAAAGCTTTACGGCCCGATGCAAGAATCCCTTGACGGTCTTTCGTATCTGGTCTCTGAGACTACCCCTGCTGAAACTAGAAAGAACTCAGTATATGAGAAAGTGGAGCCGGGCTATAATATGATCACATAACCATCACCAAGGTCCGGTCTTGCTCGTCGCGAATTTTTGGTAGCCTCTCGATCTGGTCTCCCGAGGCCTCAAGCGAGACTATATTATAGTCGGGGTACTCCTTGGTAAAATCAGGCTCTTTCATGTTTTCCTATTGACATCTTATCATGTGCAAGCCCGTTTTCTACGTAGATTGAAATGCCGAGAATCTGCATACGTATTTGTGTCAGTACCAAATAAAGGTTCCATTTTGAATCCGGTGACATAAATAGAGCCTTTATCCAGAATATATTCCTCAAGGAGGGGGTTGAGCAGGTCCTCGGCTGCGCCAACCATTTATAACTTATTAGTGTGCTGGTTGACTTGGATGCGGAAGCTGAAGGGTCTGCTCACCGATTGATTCTATCTGCTATACCAAATGCAGCCGGCAGACCCGAAGAGCACAGGTATTACAGCCATTGTAGCGGGGAAACTGTCCTCAAACAGTTTGTCAGGTGACTGCTGCCTCAGCTGTCAGGCGTTCTATTTTGTTTTTTTAAGTACAAGTGTTAGCATAGTTAATTTACCATCCACCCTTCGGGTCACCAATGTTATCTTCGTTATTCGGATATACGCTGCGGTTATGCTAAGGTCTCGAATGCTCTAATGCACTATTCTTTTTAGGGTACTGCCTACTATACATACAATACGTACACCCTGCGGATGTAGTGTTGTTTTCCGATTCTCTCCCCTTATCTGCCTATACAGATAGCCATCAGGTATATCCTATCTTATATATGGCGAGCGACGCAGGGAACCTTCTTTAACTAAAGGGTGACTAAAAAACAGAGAAAAATACTATTGTAGAAGTAGGTATTACATTTGACCCTGAGAAAATCAGAAAATTAGATATATTAATACAGTACATAGGTACAGCTTAATGTTCAGTAGAATAAGCTTATTTAATATATTAACCAGAACGCTATATTCTTAAGAATATATATAGTTTCTGTAAGCAACACTTACTGACTAGTATACAGGAAATTAGGCATCGCCAGAACCCACTATAACCCGGACCCAACCCAACCCAATCCAACCCAAAATGGGGTTTGGATCGCATACAGTAACCTATTGATGGGTCTTGGGTTATGGGTGATAACCCAAAACCTATTTGGGTACCCATTGGGTTTCTATTTTAGAGTAAACATATCAAACAGGCTACTAAGACCACTACTTATATAACTGCATAATTCTGTATTCCTTTAGCCGTAATATTAGGTATTTGATTTTCATTAGTATGGCTCTTGATACTAGATATTCGTTATATTTGTGAATTTATTAATTAAATTGTACAGTTACAGGAGACATTGATTAATAACTAGCAAGTAAATAAATTTAAAACCTAATAAATCTCAAAAATATCATCAGTCCTAGCTTTACGCTTTTATCCTGATATATAAAGCTAGGATAGCTAAGATAGTAATAGAGGCTATAATGGCTATAGCTTATTAAGATCATAACTACCTGATCTAGCTATCTCCTCCCTCTCCTTAGTTATAGCTAGCTCTTCATCCTTATTATTACTATTGCTATTAATCTGAACCTCCTCTATATCCTCTGTATCCTGTTCTCTGGCTGCCTTAATCTTATATAGAGTAAAATACTTCTCTAGTTCCTCTGTCTCTATAACGCGTTCTAGTGTCTGGATTTCTATACCACTCGGCCAAAGGAGACCACAATATCAAAGCTCTTGCTTTGATATTTCCAGACTACATATATAAAGGATTGCAGGTAGCGCGCCAGTATACCGGAATCCCGTTACAGCTGCCTTCTATAGAGATTTATAATAAGGTAGAATATAAAGTTAGAGAAATACTTAACCACAGAGAAAGGTATGTTAGCAGAGGTAAACAAACTGAGATATTGGTAAAATCGACTGGGTATACAGAGACTATATGGGAGCCAGTAGATAAGACGTAGGATTTTATAGTAATAGATACATACGAGAGGTAATTCGGCTGTATTACAAGGGTGTCCTAACTATAAGTTGCTGCTAAAAAGAATATAGTGATACTGGTGCCACAGCTTTCAGCCAAAAGATGAAGGACTACAACTTTGAGCCGAAAGATGACGTGAGGAGGGGGGTACTGTAACGGGCCTAGGCCCGAGGAGATATCATATAGTGTTACGTGACCTTTTCCTGCAGGAAAACCAGGTAGAAGCTTACATATATGACTCTTCTTTAAGATTGTTGTAAACAGCATGCAGGCCTAGCCCCAATTGAACAGTTGTCGCTACAGCCCTTCATAGATTTTACAAGTTCTGAATATTTAAAGTTAACCGTACAAAGGAAATCATCAGCAGTCAGGGTAGGAAAAAAGTAAGCAGTGAGGGTAGTGGGTCTAAATACTGTCCATATATAAGGGTCCTACACCGCCAAGCAGTGAGTCTGATTGCTCCAGGTCCCTTGAAATAGGACGAGTGTCCCTATATACCTAATCCTCTGTGGTGTGGTATATCGAAGGGTACGTCTGGTGGTATACCAGACCCGACCCTTCTATCTGCCCGTTGGTTACCTACTGGTATACCCCAAGGTCACGTGGTCTTACCGGGTATCTGTACTTTCGGCGTAGTGTAGGTGACGGTAGAAAGAACGCTTCCTCCCGCGTCGCGCTAGCCGTTGCATGGTTTAGTCCAGTATAGTTTGAGACGGTGAATCAAAGGCTGATTCTGACATTTATTCGCGTGATCTGATCCTGCGTTCCTTTCCTAGGAACGGTTGGCTCTCGGTGGCCCATCTGTAGGTTGCGGCCCCTTGTGTCGCAGGGTCCATAACACTCATTTGATTTGATTTACCCCTATGGCATAGATACCGAAATTTTAGGCCCTAACTTCAACTCTTAGAACCCTAGTGTCTAGAGAATACTAATTATATAAGTGGGCAGCCCTCCCCCATCAAAACAAAACCCTAGAAATCTTTTAGAAAACTCTAGAAATTTTCTAGACTAGATATCTAAATTCTAATTAAAGATATTATTAGATTAGCTCTAGACTTAGAACTTCTCAAACCCCGATCAAAAAATATCAAAAAATAAGGTACTTAGCGAGGGGTTGTAATGTGGGTCCAAAAAGTCGACCCCCTTGCCAAGCCTTTCTTCAAGCGCGCCCCCGGGGTCGGGCTGGCACATATTTAAGAGTTACACAAATTCCTGTCTATTCAAGAAGCCACGCAGATCTGCCATCAGTTTCAACTGATCAGTGGCAACGAGGATGTCAGGTCATGTGGAGTGGATTATGCTGTCAAGTTGTACAGACTTGGGCCGATAGGAATGGAATGCAAAGTTCTAGCACAGCGATGGGACTTTTGATGGAACATGAGTACCCTCAATGCCTATGATCCCAGAAATCAGACAAGCAATCGAGCCGGTATATGAGAGGCGCATCTGCCCTGTTTGCTTATCACATTGCGCAAGACGAAGGTGTGTTACTGTCTTGACACCACCATCCCCAGGAAGATACAATCCCTATAGGGATTCAAACTATCAAACTCTTGAAGAGCTAATCCTGCAAAGAATATTTGGTCCTAGAGTTACGAGAATCGAAATCGTGCATCCGAATATAGTCAATACTGAGGATTTTCGCTATCAGCTCGGGCTGCACGATCAGAGAAACTTCGTGGAGGATGGGTTTGGTCACCCTTCGGTAGACCTGTGCATGGGAGTCCTGCTTATATAAGTGGGAATATTCCCACTTACGTAAGTCCCATGGGGCCATGGGAATGGGATAGGACTGAAGGCCATGCCCATGGGAGTCCCATGGGACTCCAATAGAAAAATACGCTAACTATATATGGCTAGGGTATATTTTTGATCTAACCTTAGAAAGTAATTTTTGATATTTCATGTAACCTTTGTCAATATATATATCTGCGTAGCAAGTTCCTACACCACCAATCTGATATATATTTTACTTAAATTCATATTGATTATCAATTAACTTATTCTCTTTTAATTAATACTAATTTTATTTAAAAAAGATTATTCAAGAAGCCTTGGCAGGTCCCATGGGATCTTGGCAAATGGGATAGGATTCGATTTTTACTCCCATGGGACACCCATGCACAGGTCTACCCTTCGGCTGATATAAATTGGCGCCATGTAGCACCACGCCAGTCCCTTGCTTTGATTGGGATTAGTTGACCGTGAAAAATTTGCGCCAAGGGTACATTTCTGCTCGCAGGAAAACAAAAGGACAACAATTTGCTCAGCTCTATTCAAATAGCGGGAACAGAATATCACCAAATGGGTGTAACAGGAGCAGGTTTCAAAAATGATACATTTGCTGTCTATTGAGCACTTGAAAATTTCTAGGTTGCGGGGTGCTTTGGGGCCAAGTGTCTCGGGTTCGGGCTTGGGTCCCTGAGGAGTGCCAGTGTGCGGAGGAATACGGAGTGTCTAGTGAACATGGAGTGAATACTAGCCTGGAGTGTCGAGGCGTAGGAAATAGCAGCCCTAGGCATCTAGGTCACCATCCTTAGATAATAATACAGCCCTGGAGAATACTAATTCCAAATGTTCATTTCATTCAGGTTTTCCAAGATCGTGGATATACCTAGTATTGAAGACGTGCGAATACAGAATTTTAATGAGACTGAAGCACTTTCAAATCATCCTCTGGACCTGCTGACGGGAAGCAAACTTCTTATACTTCGCACTTGACCTCACTCTTGAACCCTTGCCGTAGACCATAAGGATGACAGGCAAAGCTGACAGAGCGATGGCAATGACTCCGATGAGAATGAACGTGTTCTCGATTCCCATTCCTGCAAGCCAATCGGTAAAAGCAAATCTGATAACCATGGCTAAACCATTCCGGATGAACACGACGGCTATAAGAGCATCACTCAAAATCTGATATAGTTAGTACATACGTATCTGCAGAAGTAGCTCGCCAGGGTATACTTACATCGGGATAACAGTCAGTCAGATACGTCAATGCGGCATCCGCGGTAACAATAAAACCAAAGCCGAAGAATGCCTGACCAACGGCGAGAATTATCCAGGGGAGGCCCTGAGACTTTTGTCAGAAACAACCTGTAAAGGCAGTCACTCGAGCAAACTTACCCGACCGAGGCCAATCCCGAAAGCGAGTAATCCGACACAGTTGAACGCCGCTGCCGGAATCATTGTCCAAAGACGCATCTCTGCTTCGAAAACGCCTCCATTTCGATTGGCAAGCCATACAATGAGCCAGTCATTAAAAAACGGAACAGTCAATGTTGCAATTATGCAGCCAATAAACCCACCCAAATGGAATAAGCCGATAGCCGCCGCGCCAAAGTCGTATGGCGGATAAATGAGGAAGTAGGACCCTGCAGAGGCATTTGCCGAAAAGAACGCAAGAAGACAGCCGTATGTTATCGCTGTGAATGCCACTGCTGGAAAGGTGACCAGAATAATGAGAGGCTGGTAGAAATGTTGAGTGATTGGCTGATTAGTCTTGGTAATGAAAGCAAGTCTTTGGCGGATCGTCTTTCTTTTGCCTTGAGAGCTAATTGATAGATTTCGCGATGGGTTAAGTTGTTCTGGCTGCTCTGAAATTTTCTCTTCTGGATTCTTACTCTCTGTAGTCGTGGTGGCTTTGGATCCTGAGTGTCCAACTATTGTTGGTATATACTTCGACTCCTCGAAGAAGAACAAGACGAGAATCAGGTTAACTCCGAGGAATATAGCGATTAACCACCACATCCATCTCCAGCCCATGCTGACAACGACATACCCGGCGGCAATAGGTCCACCAGTGGTCCCAAGGCTCTGCATGAAGATAAAAATACCATTCATACGGGCATGCTGATGGACAAAAAAGAGATCCACGATTGTGATCATGACAAGAGCCTCACTGATGGAGCCTGCCAGACCAGCAAGTAAACTCACGGCGATCAATTCTCCAGCATGGTGGAAGTTTGCCCACCAAATAGCGCAGATAAGCTGTAGAACTGCACTGATAAGATACACTGGGCGACGGCCGTACTTATGCACTAGTGGCATGAAAAAAAGAGCCCCAACTGCTAATCCCGCGAAGTTGGTACCACTGGCTCGGTTGAAGGTTCCATAGTCCAACCCCAATTCGGAAATGTACCAACGGTAACATAGACTGTTGACGTCGATCAAAACAAAAGTAAACAGGACATATGAGCAGGTCAATCCGAAGTTGACAGCCTTTCTGAGAGGAGACCAGTTCTAATCATCGTTAGCTATGCTGTAATAAGAATGAACTCGAGTCGGCGTAGGGCATGTTTACCAGGGGGTCATCAGGGTCACTCGAAGGAGTGGGGTTAAGAATGAGCTCGCCGACCGATGCGTTTCCTATCCCAAAATTGGAATAAGCCCATGAAACAAGATGCAACCTAGTATGTACAACTTACGGTTTTCCAAACGAAGAGTACCAGGAGGGAACTCCTCCAAAAGATGTTCAGACATGGTAATCAAAGAAGACAAGTGATGCTCACAATCCCATTTTCTCTTGCGATTGGGGTGTATCCGGCCTTTTAAAAGCACCTTCAGCCGCTCTTATCAGGAGTAAAAAATATATCCTCGCTTGCCCCTAGCAGTATCTACGCGCACCGACCTGCTATCTCGAGAATTCTGTGCGGGGAAGCGGGGGATCTCCAATACAGATCGATACGCCGTCATACGGCTATTCTGTCCAATGGTATCGCGAAACCAGCCGGCGAATCTCGTTCACGGACCCTTCAATACCAACGCTTACAACGCGTATTAACCGGGGGATCTCGCATGGAGCCCACTACAACGGGGAATTGACCAGGTGCAATCTTTGAGCTTTTTCCGGGTGAGATGCTAACATCCTTTTGGGCACCCTATCTCTCGGATAACATCGGTTCTCACTACCAGATATTCAATTAACTTCATTCCTATTACGTAATGGATATCGAGCAAGGCTGTTAAGATTTATTCCAACCTTGAAAAATTATGTTAACTAGAACCCCATGTATATAGTTAGTTGTCTGAATCGTACAACTGAATACAATGACAATCTGTTGGAATTGAAGACTTGGAGACTCAAGTTATCTTAAGCCCTGGAGGTCTACAAAATCTTGGAAACACACGCTTTCATGAGCCAAATAAATGCCAGCTCGCGATACTTGGAAAAAGAATGTCGAAACAAAGGTTGATACTGAGTTATTAACACGACTATGCTGATATTTATCTATTATTAAAGAGGGATGCTAAGCTGTGGGTATCTTTCAAATATGCAGAAAAGATACTGCACAGATTTCAGATCCAGCTCAGCCCACACGCGAGGGAGTAGCATGCGCAGGTTTGACACAAAGGGGTAAAAGGCGGCACCCCGAATCCCCTCAATTAAAAAAAGTATTCTGTGCCTTTCAGCCACATCATGTGCCTCTGCCCCTGCGACTAACAAAACCAAAGTAATATTAGGAGGATAGTGTCCCACGACATCAAGACAATGACTCACATTCCAGACAAGAGATTGAGAAAGCTCTTTTGCTTGAGAATCGTGTTCCCCGAAAGGAAACTTCAACCGATGTAAAATTAAAAGCGCAGTTGTGCGGTGCATATTTGCTTGGGCTAATAGTAACATCATCTCGTTGTCTGAAAATCGATCTAGGGCAGCTTGGGAAATTTGCGGAGCCCATTCTTTCAGCTCTGTTACAAGACGGTCGAAGGAACTAGAGTCGGGTATATCATCGATTTTCTTGGTTCTGATCGCAGTGGCCAGAATACAGACTCGATAAAGTAATGGAAGAAGAGTGCTGCATAGACCAGCGTGCTGATCAACCAGATAAGGGTCTTCCACTTGATATTGAATGACAGGCATTTGTGCTCGGAATAGTGACTGCGTTGTGTCCAGGAATATAAGACACAAGATTTCTCTCGTGTCCGATTGGTTGAGTTGCCCGGAGTAGTAAAATGGTCGGATGAGAGACAGCGTATATCGGCAAATAGTGCTAGCCGATGCTCCTGAGATCAGCCGGTGAAATGTCACAAGACTCAATCCCAGCGATAGAAAACCTCCAACATGGTCCTTTCTTGTGATTACGGCATTCCTTAATGTCTCCAATGCAGAGGCACAATTTGACCAATCAGTGCTGTTGCACGGTGTTTGGTTGGCTGTGCAGCGTAGGAAAGTTCGTCTAACAGCAGCATATGGATGTAATAGAAGAGTTGGCGCTTCTTCAAGACGGGCTCGAATCGTCCTGGCCATCTCCATGCTTAGAATTGGCCCAAATGAGAAGAACCCACATATTTGGTAGGTTCCTTGATGTGAGTACCGGAAGACAGCGTTTTCCAATATGCGACCGCGATTTGGTACTTGGTCCGCATACGAACATTTCTGGTTGTCGGCGGGGTCATTGTTTGACTCTGGAGAAATTATTGGGCTTGACCAGTCAGACTCGGTAGATAAAATTTGTGGAGATCTGCGAGAAATTGCCATGGAGGATATGGATGCATCTCCTCGGGGCCGAGGTCCTCTTTTTCGTGGTTTTCTGGAGTATGTGCAATTATGTCGGAGACGATAACAGCGGTAGCAATCATTCGCCGGCCCTGGCAGACACCGGTATTTGACCGCATGGCATCTATCGCAAGCCTTGTCGCGAGGCATTGTTTGAAGGGACCGCTGTGAGCAGTCTTTACCAGAGGATGTGGTCAGCAAAGGTGGAGTTCAGAGCCATGCGGTAGGTAAAGAGGAAGGATGTGTGTCGCGACCCCACCATCCGGCGGAAGCTGCCACAATAGCGTCATCGTGTTCTATCTACCCCTCTCTTCAATCTGCCTTGTTGTCCCTTGTTCCTTTGCATTTACCCATCCCAATCGAGGGAATCCAATCTACGCAACGACCGGTCTATATGAAGCAAGTGCTAAGCAATTTTCAGCAACGTAAGTAGCACCTCAAAGGATCTCGAGAATGGTGGTTTCTAAAGTCGCTCTCACTAAGCCTTCTTCCACTGTATCATCGTCCTACTGTCAAAATTTGGATAAGCTCTAGCAACCACGAATACGAAGTTTCAAAATACTTGCTTTGCAAAGACTTTACCTATTCACAGCAATGATTAACGGTAACTTTGCAGAGGCAAAGCAGTAGGTGGCAACCCTGGAAGAAATGGAAAGGGTGGTCTTGGCGCGGAGCTTGGAAGCACTCATACAGTGGCTGTACCTGAGCAAAATCCAGTTCAATTGTGAAGTCCCAGAATATTAAATAACGGCTGCGATAGAGCTCGTCAGACTTGCAGATATGTGCAACATAACCGGGATGGAATCTGAGATGGCTCAGCATATCAGGGCTATACATATTGTCAAGAATCAGTCTCTGTTATTATTGGATTGAATCTATCTATCTATCGTTATCCTCTTGATTACTATCTAAGACCTTGCCTAGTCACAGGTCTCTAGCCTGTCCCTTAGTAAAGTCCATTACAGCCAAATACCCATGGGCACCACGCCCATGGGCGGGTAACAAAATATCGGCCCATGAGCCGCCCATTGCACAGGCCTATATAGGTATGCCCATGGGTTTGCACAGGTCGAAGTAAATGCTCTACCTTTTTTTAACCCTCTCTTAGCTGGGTGCGCAGGATATTGTTAAAAAGGATAAAACGATCTCTTAATATTAGAAATTCAGATACGCAGTCGGAAATCTATTTTAAGGAGGTATTTCTCTGCTTGTTTTTCCTACTGCCTCAGCTAAAATACTATGCATCAAATGAAGTGATGGACCAAGCTCCACGGTATCATCGAAAAGATGCATGGCAGCATTAACACTTTTCGAACGTTCAGTAGGGACCAAATTCGATAGGCAGGGGCTCTCCTTCGCTCGAAGGGCCGCCATTGTAAGTATGAATACAATTTAATATCGTTTAGTACCCAAGAAAAGGCTACAGGAAATGGTCGTCATACCTGGCATAAAGTGTCCATGTGCTTGGAAGGCACCGCGGGATAGAAACAACTGCACTGAGAACAAAGCAGTCATAACATCGAAAGAATTCAAGGCAGAATGGCACAAGCGTTTTATCGTATCTCTCTCCTTCTACCACGACCTGGTGGACTGCCGGCCACAGAACTGACGCTCTGTACGCGAAGTATTGGGTTCGAAGAAAGAGCATTTGCGGATTTATGTCGGACTCTGAAATACAATAACGATTGAAGCTTAGGTATTCTGGTAGGTGCGAGTGCCACTGCTCGACCTCTAATTCCAACTCAGTGGATATAACCGGAGCGAAAATTTGTTTTCCGTTAGGTAATTTCCGAGTCGATGTCGTACAGAGTTGGAGCATTCGCCGCATGGCGATCTCCGCCAAGAAGTATGACAAGAGCTTACTCGGGAACTTCAGGCTACCAAACGGGCGGTCAGGAGTATCAACTGGCGTGCTGAAAGGAGATGGCAGTGTCTCATCTACATGCTGTGACCAAGATGGTAGGGCGATTTCTGTATCGAGGGACCAGATGCCGCTGCTAGTCAGATCCAGCTGGGTTGCTAGCTCGGTTTCGATCAATAGAGTCACCCATAATGCACGCCGAAGAAGTTCCTGGTTTTCAGTGTCGAGAGATGCACTCTTCAGCAAGCTCTGGGCACGCATGGAGGCAATGAGAATATAATCGTGCGCTTGGCAGGGCTTAACCAGGCATAAATAGTATATGCTCAGAAAGATCAGACATTGCAAAGCCGTGAGACTGCCTTCGGGAAGAATTGTCGGGAGTAGAAGCAGCGCCTCTTCTATTAATGGTGCGTCTGGTCGCTCTCTGAGCGCTGCGGGCAGCGAGTCATACCGAGCCAGCGAACCTATCGCCACCAGGATCAGATACAGGCAGCGCTTGGAAGAGGTTCTTGGCAGACTTCCTGTCTTAAAGAGCTTCTTGCGAAGCCGAACGCTGAGGATAGGATACAGCTATGGACTTTGTCGAAAAGATTCGTGAGAGCACTACCAAACTCCATGAGTTAAGAGTTTGAAACCAGGCGAAACTCTGAGGAGAATGCTAGAGAATGCTAGCTAGCAACTCTCAACACTCACCTGGTTGGGCTGGAACCGCTGGAAAAGAAATTGCGCACTCCAAGGGACGAGGGATGAGGCGTCGGAACCATTGCTCGTCCAGCATTGGTCATGCGTCGAGCAATGTCCCTTCCAAGGCCCAAGAGTTCCATGAAACCCGCATCCTGAATCACCATACATGGAACAAAAGAATATCTAAGTTCGTCTGGTTTACCAATTTGCTCTTGGCCCCAGCCGTAGATCGATATGGCGGCGGGCACCTGGTTAATCAAACAACATCGGTGCTGCTGAGGGGAAGAAAACAACTTCTCGATACTATTTAGACGATGCTGGATGGTGCACAGCTCTATTTCCACCCTGTGGCAGTTTTCAGCGTCCCGCAGATCCTATTAGCTTTCCAGCAAAATCCGTACCTTGATTTGGTTGGACTCAGCACTTTGGGGTAGATGCAGTCAACATTCCGCCGGGCACAAGTCCCACATTTCGGCCGCGATCCGTCGCACTTTGTCCGCCGAGCACGACAACAGTCGCAAGCGCCAGTGTTACGCCGTCGGCGGTTAGTGGTTATCATGCTAGATGTGTATGTTCGTATAAATTCCCATTCCTTGCGGAAGATGCCGAGTCTCCGCGAGGGAAGTATGGTTTAATTTAAAACGCTCGCGTAGTTGGAGGATGATGTTGCCTCGTACCGCACTAATCCTCAGGGCATGTTTTTCTTACTGGCTGGGAACTACGGGGTCGGTCTAGCTTAGATGGCCTCTTAGGTTATATTTCGTTACCCATTGCCATTTAGATCCGGTCAGTAATGTCCGAGGGTGCAGAATTGAGGTTGTAGTGTTGTGGAAAGACCGGGTGCTTTCGGATAAAGCCCCAAATACTAGTCTACCCTCTGTCCAATCAAACTTGCTTTCTCACATTGAAAGTTTTCCAACGCCCATAATGGACTTATTGAGTGACCTCAACCCTGTGGGCTTGGTGTGTTGGACAGTGCCGTCCCCCGCATTGAGGCACTTCGCTGATGGTGTGCGGGGCCGAGTAATAGGACTCGGTCGGGATATCGTGGAAGCTACATGAAACTCCTTTCTGATTGGGAAGGTAACGAAGTCGGTACTATCCCGGGTTTCTTTGCTCCTTGATCATTTTGGACTAAGTATACAAAGCTTCCTCCAAGAGCTCTAGAGGGGCCGGCAAACATATAACTCGCTGAAATTCTCCGCCATATTCCCGAAGAAACATCGAACCAAGGCTTCCCATGATTAGGTAGCGAGGTGTTATGGCTGATTCTGTGATCTGCCTGGGCAGGAATGTGTCATCTGCTGCCGTGTTGATTAACTAAGTTAACTAACTGATATGCAGATGTAATATGAAGTGCTCATTGCACAGGCCTTTAAAAGTTACCCTATTTAAATAAAAAAAATATAATTTTGAGACGCCCCTAGCCTGGGTGAAGAACGGATCCTTGAGCGACGATCTTGAAGGCATCTCAAGGGTATAAATTACCTTTGTCGTCCGAACTGAGAATGGATGTTAACACACTTCTACCCAACGCAAACACACAATTGCATCATTGTAGCGATCATGTTCCTCGCCTTAGCATTCGCACTCGCCACTCGTATTTTCGCGGATGACTTTCGTCCAGTCTACCATTTTGTCCCTGAGGCGAACTGGATGAACGAGCCCAACGGGTTGATTAAGATCAAATCAACCTGGCACCTGTTCTATCAGCATAACCCAACGGCAAATGTCTGGGGTAATCTGAACTGGGGCCACGCAACCAGTAGTGACCTGGTTCACTGGACTCACGAGCCACTTGCCATTACAAGCGAGAACGGCGTCGAAGCCTTCACCGGCACCAGCTATTATGATGCCGACAACACCTCCGGTCTGGGATCTTCTACCAGCCCACCCTATCTGGCCTACTACACTGGGTACTTCCCTTCCAATGGCACCCAGGACCAGCGCCTTGCCTTTAGCGTCGACGATGGTGTCACCTGGACGAAGTACCATGACAATCCTATTATCTCAGCTGCCGAGGAGTCGCCGTCCGACTTGACGGGTGGGCTGGAGACCCGCGACCCTAAGGTCTTTTTCCACGAGACATCTGGAAAATGGGTCATGGTCCTTGCTCATGGCGGACAGGACAAGCTGTTGTTTTGGACATCGTCGAACGCAAAGTCCTGGACGTGGAAGAGCGACCTTTCTGCTGGCCAAATCGAGGGTCTACCGTCTGGAATCACTGGGTGGGAAGTGCCTGATATGTTCGAGCTTCCTATCCAGGACACAAACTCGACTACCTGGGTGTTGATTATGACTCCTGCAACCGGATCTCCCGCTGGTGGTAATGGTGTGGTAGCCCTGACTGGCTCCTTTGACGGATCAACATTCAAACCCGACCCCGTCGACCCTTCTACCCTTTGGCTCGACTACGGTCGCGATTTCGACGGTGCCATGAGTTGGGAAAATGTCCCTGCTGTAGACGGGCGGCGGATCCTTGCCTCTGTCATGAACAGCTACGGCGCTAGCCCACCAACCAATACCTGGAAAGGGATGCTCTCTTTCCCTCGGACCATTAACCTGAAGGAGATAGCCTCCAAGCGATACTTCCTCCAGCAGCCTGTCAATGAGATCAACCTTGTTGGTTCCTCACTCGCGATAATTCAGAATCAAGCAATTATCAGCGGCCAAACGTTGCTGTCATCCATCCGCGGGACCGCATTAGATATCAAACTTGCCTTTACCATTGAGGCAGGCGCCAAACTCTCGCTGGCGGTGCGCAAGGCCGCATCAGAGCAAACAATTATCCAGTATGAACAGACAACCTCTTCGATATCTGTTGATCGAACGACGAGTGGAAACATCTCCTACGACCCAGCTGCAGGCGGTGTCCACAGTGCGACACTTAAACCAGATGGCTCTGGGGTAATTCAACTCCGCGTCCTAGTCGACACTTGCTCGGTGGAGGTCTTTGGCGGAGAAGGAGAATTTGTGATTTCAGACCTGATTTTCCCGAGCGAGGCCTCTGATGAGGTATACTTGGAGGCCAATGGGGGATCGGCTAATTTGCACTCCGTCGAGGTGCGCGGCATTTCGCTCAATTAATGCGGGAACCATGTGATTCCCTCGTAACCTCTAGTCTGCATTGCCAAGTCCAATGATTTTAAATTTGGTTCTCTACTCCTCAATAAGGTTTCTTTTTATTTCTTTCGGCTTTCTATTTTCCGGACGTCCAAGATGTAAGGAATACGCAACCCAATTTCCATTTTTATTCCCGTTACTTTTGATCTCATTTATTTCTCTTTTCTATTTGTCGATTGAGGCTTCTGCGAAACTACGAGGCTAGCGCAGATCAAAAACGAAGCCACACCATTGGAATTCATCCCAAGGCTCTCAAAGTTTCTAGCTATAGTAAAAAGACTCAAGTTGATTCCTAATCAACTTGGTCTTCTTCCTGTAAATATAGCCGCATTCATTCTCTCGGAAACTACTAGTGCTAGTGGAATAATCAATCGTCTTATGAATAGCATAAATTAAGCACAGTCAAGTACACCAGAAAGCCTTTCATTTTCCAAGTATAATAAGCATTCTAACATTACATATTGTAGTGGAGGAATCGCTCTGGTGATGTCAGGTGAAGTTGTAGGCCTTTGGCCTTACATGCAGTATATAAGCCCTCCATGATAGTTAACTTACACACCACCTTTCGGGTCACCAATGTTATTTTCGTTATTTGGATGCACGCTGCGGTTATGCTAAGGGCTCGAATGCTCTGAATACTGTTTTCTCATGGGCACCGCTCTGTCTACTACTCTCCTGCACTCTGCGAGTGTGGTGGTTTTGTCCCCTTGCGATCGACCCGCCTGCCAATGGAGACTGCCAGCGAGCATTCCCATCTTTTGCTAGGTAACTTAATATATAATCCAAGGTTATAGCCTACTAGCAGTTTTTATATATCCAGATCCAGTAGGTAGAATTATAGTAGAAGAGCTCTATAAGATTATCTATAATAACAGTTTTAGTGGGAAGAGGCTAGGTAAGAAAAAGAATCCTTAGATCTGTAGGGTTTATAAGGTATGTAGATATGTGTAGTAGAGAGGAGAATTCTACTAGAGTTCAGTATATTACTATATATAAATCTTTCCCAAAGCATTATAGCCTTTGTAAGTACGAAGCCCCTGAATGTGATAGCTCTGATAACTTGAGCTTACGTCCTGGGGTACCCAGGAGCACGCACAACAGGCCAACTATCAGGCTAAGAACGCCATTAAGCCCCTGGGTGCACGCGGACTAGAGTATAGGTAGGAAAAAAAGATACCTTAAGAACTGGGTTAGGCCAAATTGTTATTCGTAGTTCTTGGAGTTAGAGAGAACAGAACTAGAATATTAGTATTAGATCAATAAACTTATAGGCTAGAAGGGGAGCGAACAATAGGTTAATTTAATCTTCTTATTAAAGCCAGACATTAAGGTTGATTAATACTTCAAAATAATCTTGTTTTAGCAAAGTATAGATAGTAAGTATAGATAGTCACAAACTCAACAGGAATTAAATCTCGGCTACATCGACATTTTACCAGTCATCCCCGTTAATCGTAACAGATGATTATCCAGCATCCCCGCCTTTATGCATATTCACCCTCTGATTCGCCGTCTCACTCCATACTTCGTACAGTAGCAGTCTCGGGCCAAGGATGTACCCCGCAGTCCGTGCCCAACCATGTCCCCAAGCTCGGAGTCGATACCCAATTCAGTGCAGTCTTCATCTCGTTCATCGATTTTGTTGGACGGCCTTTATTAAAGCTCCTAACCACCGAGCCCCGATACAAGCGAGCCCTCAAAGCAAGACCTTTCGGATCATTCGGATCTCTGCCTTTGACATCATCGGCCTAGCCCCATGCTCATACGCCAATAATTGACCACTCCTTTTTACGTAGTATTCCCCAAGTTGTGGTATTAGCGCGAGTTCGCCGAACCCCGCTCCCTATGTTTGGCTCTGCTCAGCCTCGGTGCCTGTGTTGCCTTTACGATGAACTTGACTAGTGTAGCCGAAGCGAGCTGACTGTGTGCCTGAACTCACTCCCCATCCGGTTTTAATATAAGACCCGACGCTGGAGGGCGAGTGAGAGATTTTTTCTTGCTTTTATGTTTCTGCACATCTTTCTCTGGTAAGATGGTTGCTAGTTTGCCGTTGCTGTCGCTGGTTTCAGCTTGTTTGGCCTCTTCTTTGCCGGTGGTTGACTTGGGCTATGAGCGCCACAAGGCTATCTCATTTAATGTAAGATTAATTTTTCTTTGTTTCCTTTTGCTCCATATCTGACTGGGGTCCCAGAGTTCCCACGGTCTCTATAATTTCAGCAACATCCGTTACGCCGCTCCTCCGATTGGCGACCTGAGATTTCGGGAACCTGTGCTCCCAACGCAGAACCGAGATCAAATCCAGAATGGAACTGTTGGCAGGATCTGTCCCCAATCAATGCCAATGTGGGAGGCCATCGAGCAAACTTTCCTGTTAAGTTACTTGTACAACAAGACTTTCACACTCTCCACCAACATCTCGTCCTATCCGTACGAACCAGCCGCCCAAGACCCACGTACCACCGAGGACTGCCTTTTCCTCGATGTGGTCGTTCCGAAGAAAGTCTTCGATCGCACGAAGAAGAAAAAACCCTCGCATTTGGGGAAAGACCTGGCGCCCGTGCTGGTATGGATCTATGGTGGAGGATATGTGGCGGGCGAAAAGAGTAGCTCGGATCCTACTGGGTTGATCCAGCGGAGCATGCTTTCAGGTGATGGAATCGTATATGTTGCCTTGAACTACAGGGTGAGTTGAATAATATTTTCTCCCAGTTGCCTGAAGCTTACCCATTCTAGCTGGGCGCATTTGGCTGGCTTGGTGGTGACAGTATCACGTCCAATGGCACAGCCAATGCAGCACTACACGATCAGCGCTTCGCCCTTGACTGGGTCTACAAGAACATACACTTATTCGGTGGCGATGCGACCCGAGTCACAGTTATGGGAGAATCCGCTGGAGGCGGATCCATACTCCACCAGATCACCGCGTACGGAGGCACCCGAGGGCCATCCCCATTCAGACAGGCCATCATGCAGAGCCCCGGCTGGGTACCAGTCATTAGCGAGGAGCAGCAAGAGAGTACACTTCAGCAGTTCCTAGGGATCTTGAACGTCAGCACGATCGAAGAAGCCCGCAAGCTACCTTCAGCTAGGTTGATTGCCGCCAATGCTTACCAAGTATCAACCAAGTCCGAATGGGGCCAGTTCACATACGGCCCTACTGTAGACGGGACATTTGTTCCTGCTTTGCCAGGCCAGCTCTTGCTCAGCGGCGACTTCGATCACAATCTCAACATCATGGTTGGTCACAACGCCGATGAAGGACTCATATTTACCTCGCCGGATAGCCTGAACAGTAGTGGCCTGATGTCTCAGTTTGCGAGACTATCGCCGAACACCCCGAAGAACGTATCAGAATTCATCACGGACGTTCTCTACCCGGCGGTGTATAACGGCTCCTACGGGTATAACGACTCAGTGCAGCGCACCGCGCTGGCTATCTCCGATCTCATCTTCCAATGTAACACCGACTACATCAACCGGGCGTTCTTGAATCGGACGTATTCGTATGAATTCAGTATCCCACCCGCATTACATGGCCAGGATGTCCCGTACACGTTCTACAACAATGGATCGTCTAGTGCCTCTTCTGAGAGTTCCTCTTCATCCTCGATCGCTAATGTGACAGTGGCGTTGGCCATGCAAGACTTTTTCACGAGCTTTGTTCAGCATGGCGTGCCCAATTCCCGCTTGGCGTCGGCGTTCAAGATGCATAGCAAGCAGGGTCTGCTTATGAATATTGATCAGAGTACCATCCAGGAGGTGCAAGACCCGACTAACAATGCGCGTTGTCGGTTCTGGCAAACTGCGCCCTATTATGTCCCGGCATGAGTTGTGCACAAGTTATTTTGCGTTTCGGGCCCTGTTTTATATGGCCTATCATTATTGTAACTCACAAGCGATTTGCACAGCCCGAAATATCATATTAAATGCTTTAAACTGCCACTATCTCAACAACAACAAGTTTAATGCCCTCAAAATTAGGATTCATATTTAATTAAATCAACTTAGTCTACTATGAAAGTGATCACAAAGGCTTTGAATGCTCAGTTCTTTCGCCTAGTCGGCCATCTCTTTTCTTAATAAATATACTATTATATATCTTACAAATATACTCTGTAGCTAATTTTTAGTTATAATTATTAACAAATAACGTATCTACTATAAATACTATAGAATTAGTTAAGAATTAATAGGCTAAATTGCCTCTAGTCAGATATATTCTTTCTTCTTCTCTGTCTGTAGGTCATAATTATAAAATACTTTATTTAGTATAGATATACGATGTCACGGGATTCGGAGTATGCGATACCCCGGACTCTCGAGGCAGATTCATGTTCGAATCCCTTCCGAGTCGCTGGCGTATGCAAGCCTGCCCTAGCCCTAGCAATATTAAGGACATATGACAACAGCTATGATTCTTGTTCTTCAAGAATCACTCTGTATATATCAACTGACCAATCTGATCTCCGATATCCTTGCCTAGTCACAGGTCTCTAGTCTGACAACTCAGTAACCATTACAACTAGACTACTATCTATATAGTATAAGGCTATAGATGGTCTAATATTTTTTTTTCTATGACTAGGCTATATATTACCTATATTATTACCCCACAAGATTACTTTAAATGTCTATTTATATCTAAATAACTTATTAGTAACTAGTTATATTAGAGATCTATTTAAATAATATCCTTCTTTCTGCTCTATTTAGCCTTTATCTTCGTTGGGTTTATAGGAGATTTGATCAAGTATAAATTTCAAGAAACTATATTAATGATCTTATGGCCCCTTGACATAGTTCTATTGTCACCAGGATCGCTAAGGCTTGAGGCCAATATTCTTCCTTGGTTGGTGTACCCAATGGGATACAGTGGCGACCATTATTGCCTTCCATAATAGAAACATAGATTCACTCTTTCAAACCCTAATCACAAGATATGCCAGTCACGATATTGTGAGGAGCTCCGGTACTCACAGAGATCAGGATACGGCGTAGCGTAGTAAGCAAAGGAATTAGTATCGTTCGGAATAGCTTGAGGAGGATAAGAAAGAAGCTAGGAGGGAAGGCTAGATACACAGGTGTATGGCGTGGATGCCTAGAGTGGTGCCGTAGGCATGAGGCATCCACGAATGGTAACAACACCAGTTCGTTGCAGATATGGTTATTCCTGTGTCTGAGGCTTTGTTCTAAGGTTGAATGGTATAATACTAAACGCGTAAAATCCCAAGTAATCCGTATGTTCATGTATTGTTATAGATCCAAAGATAAACCACTCCCACCATGACATCTTCAAAACTCGAGCACCAACATCTTACCAACCCACTACAAAGTGGCCGTCTTTCTCTGGGGTGAATTCCAAACGCTATTAATGCTATTAACGTGCTGCGGTATTCGGAAGGCCCTCATTCATAAGGACTAGCCTAGAAAGGTCGCCCGGTAGAAAGCTCAAGAGCAAAACGCCGACTTACAAGGATATTATTTAGAAAACTTATCAGCTCATTAGTTGTATCACTTGGTACATGTCAACCAGTTATTGTCTAGACATCCTACCATATATACATGGCTCTCCACCAAGATATGTCCATCCCATTAACTCCCACAATCCGCCCGACTGACTCGACCAAAAATGAGTTCACCGACAAAATACCCGACAAGCACTGCAAAGAAGAATCCAACGTTCATCGTCATCACCGCAATCATTCTAATAAAACAGTCAGACATGGTCTCCTTTTTATTTCGGATGCGCAGCCAGCGTGGTAGGATCTTACAAAAGATATGCGATTCCCTGGTTGGCCATTCGCAATACCGCACGAGGAAGATTGACCGACAGCCGCCATGTTTGAATCAAGTTCTGCCGTGAGGGTTCATCCTGGCCACCGTTGATAAGAATAGGGTATCTTGCGTTTGTCGCAGCCCAGGAAGCTTCGAAATTGGCAAGCTTCGCGCTCATGGCTCGCCAAGTCACAGCGAGGAAGAAGAGAAAAAACCAAGTACCCACGTAGCCCCCAGTACTAGTGGGCATCCACGAAGTCGAGTACAGCATCGTGGAAAGGTTCTCGGTATTGAAAGTCATTTGCATGGAGGTCGACGCGGTAGAGGTCATCACCGGACCGGATGCACTCATAGATATTGTAGACATTTGCATGACGGGAAAAATGGATTGGACAATGTCATTTCAAACTTCAATGGAAGGCATCGAAGGTGGTATTGGGCCGCAGTTCAAAAGGAATTATCGGTGAGAAGAAGCCTCAACAATATAAAGGCTAGCAGAAGGTTCACGGATGGCAGAAATCATTCATTTGGGAACACGGAAATCCTTCAACTCCAACACAGTTGGCTCTCGGAAGAAATTACAAAAAGTGTTCAAATAAAGAAATTTCAGAATCTACACCGGGACAGCTAGGGATATCTATTGCGAGGATGGGAGGCCCCCCGCAAGACTGGTTAAACAACTCTGGGGAGGCTTGTGGAAGCGCAAAATCTCGCAAATGTGCTCAGCGCTAAACCGGAAGCGGCAAGGAGAAAGGCATCATCAGACCAAGCTTTTATATTTTGCTTATTTCCCACGCTTGCACCGACGGGGCGGGTCGGAAAGAAGTGGGGCGGCTGCGTGTACCCCATCGTTTCGATAAAGATATTAATTGATGAACACGGCTGGTGCGACTCCCTTGATGGAGACGGGTTCTGCTTACTCTTTTGTCAACGGAGGTTCTTTCAGTCTCCATATCGTGGCCCAGGTGTATGTCGGTCAAGATGGACATGGACAATATCATGTCTGGAGGCCCCGGCCTCACGGATGCGGGCCTAAATATGTCGAATTATACAATTGCATCGGAATTTCTAGCCGCGCTTCTCGATGACACCACCCTGCAGCAGTCCGATTATGCTATCGCTCGGGCTTTTTGGTACGGCGTTGTCATTGTCATTGTGCTGGCGGGCATGGTCAACTGGAGTCAATGGGGTCTACTGAAGTTGCGGTCGGTTTCACTAGATATCGTGTTGATCATACGTAGATTGCTGACTCCTAGTTTAGATTGCGTGCAGCCGCAGCAAACCATCCACGACCGTCAAGTCCATCTAACTCAGTTACCTCCTTCCTAGCTTGTTGCACGGCTGTGGTTCGAGAAGTTTCCTACCATCAGATTACCCCCACAAAATCGTGGCTGCGGATACCAGCAGTTGGATCAATCCTGTTGATTTTAATATATCTTGGTTACATCATGGGATTGCAATTCTTTGATTGGCACTATCTTGGCGCTCAATACTGGGAGGCACAGGGCCTCCGTGCGGGCTGGCTCACGATAGCTCAATTTCCACTTGTCCTTCTCCTTGCTGGGAAGCGGAATCTGATTGGATACGCAGTAGGTGTGTCGTACGAGCGACTGCAGATTCTGCACCGTTGGGTGGCAAGGATCATGCTGCTGACTGCTACCATCCATGGTGGTGTTCAAGCCTATGGATGGAGAAAATATGGTGTGATGCAAATTGAGATTGACACTGATAGCTGCATACCTACAGGTATGTTTGAACATCCTCATACTTAATAGTTGGGAACTAACATATAAGAAGGGTTCTCTAGCTGGATTCTCTTGCTTTGGCTCGTTCTTTCCGCAACTGCTCCAATTCGCAACTGGCGTTATGAGATATTCGTGGTTCAACATATCATCACTTTCATTGGATTCGTCGTGGCTGTTTTCTACCATTTGCCTTCAACCGCACTGAGTTCAAGGCATGTTATCCACCTATTACTTGAAAGCTACGACTAATTCGTTTTTTAGGATATACGCTTGGATCGGGGTCGGTCTGTTTGTCTTTGACCGGTTGGTCCGGACCCTTATCTACGCTTTCAACAATATGAAGCTCGCAAACTTCACCCTTCATGGTCTCTCGGGAGATGTCACGAAAGTTCGGATAAATTCCCCCCGGATCAAAAAATGGAGCCCAGGGCAGCATGTCCTTCTGTCTATTCCCGAGCTAGGATTTGGTCAATCGCACCCGGCGACAATTCTCTCTATTCCCTCATCTCATGACAATGACCTAGTGTTCATCTTGCGAGCTCATCGAGGCTTCACTCAGCGGCTGCTCCGCTCGGCCAAATCATCCTCCACGGACCTATCCCAGGGGGCTCGAGTAAAAGAGAGCACTAGCAAGGAGGATGCTATTCGGATAATAAAAGGGAAGCACTTCTCGCTCATCGGCGGTCCTTATGGCGGATCCCATTCCGATTTTGCGGCATTCGACACCGTCCTACTCATCGCGGGATCAACCGGCGTTACATTCACTCTACCAATATTCCTCGACATTGCTCATAGGTCAGCAAATCAACGGCTTCCAGTACGCAGAATAGTGTTTGCTTGGGTCATAAGGGCCATTTCGTGCAAAGAGTGGATTGCAGACGAGCTTCAACGGGCAACCGAATCGCTGCTCAACGTTGGAATTGAAATTGAAGTGCGATTATTTGTGACTTGTGAGCTTGATCCGATGGAAAAATCAACAAAGAAAGCAGGATGCAAATGCAGGATTGTCGAAGGGCCGTGTTGCTGCAGTGATTTAGGTATTGAAGAAAGCCAAGCTGCTTCCAGCACATTAATCACTCAAGGAAGTGAGGATCCAGACATCGGATCATCTTCATCCGAAAGTCTACGACAAAGGCAGCCGAAAATGGGCAACTCGTTTCTATCTGCCTGCTCCACAATTCAGTCTGGCCGGCCTCAGCTGAAGCCCCTTCTCTGGGACCTTCTGGATCATGCCAAGGGAGAAACTGGTGTGGCAGTGTGTGGACCTCTGGGATTAGTGAGCTGTGTTAGAAATACGGTTGCTACTGTTAGTGAGCAACGCGGGTCAAACAAAGGAACCGGTGCTGAAGGTGTGTATTTACATGCAGAAAGTTTTGCGTGGTGACACTACATCTGTAAAGTTTAGTTATCAACCTGAACAGAGCTTTGATGTCTAAACAATTGAATTATGACGAAATTAAACTGGATCTGACGCCCGTGACAATTTCCATCTAATCCAGCTAACCCCTACGGAGCTCGATAGACGCACCCTAACCAGTAGCTCTACCAAAGGTAATTGGGGGGATTTAGGCTGACCGCCCAAGAGGCCGCCTGTCACATCCGCGTCCCAAAATTACTAGTGTTCCTCATACAAATTTGGACCTGGCTGATCTACCAAGCCTCTTGGTATCGTAACCTTGCTGCCCTCTTTCACCCTCCTCTGCGCCCGATGAAGCTATTGTGCCCTTACGAATTACTCGCTCTTGGTGGTTTAAAATGCTAAAAATGTAACCGCAAAGCATGTGATGGTAACATCTTATTTTCAGCCATCTCCAACACTGACCATCTACATTCACACTGACACCGACACCGACAACAGAGGATAATGGTAAAAGACAACTAAAAGCAGTAGATTCAAGGGGTTCATATAGCAGAAACAACAGCAGATAGTGGTACTGTATCGAGCGAGCGAACCAAAGTAAGCGACCGAGTGGGTGTTGAGGGAAGGAGACAGCGGAGGCGGCGTAGGCAGGCGGGACTTAGTCGTAGCAGCCAGGTCCAAATTATTAGTAAATTTAGGACGTGGGTCTTACGGGCGGCCACTTTCTCTGCTGGCTAAAACTGCCCTAAATACCCTTGGCTGAGCTACTGGTTAGGGTGCGTCTACGGAGTATAGAGCTCCGTATGACCCCTGCTGGCCACTCGACCAGAGCCAAGCCGCCAGTTGGTCGATTGACGGCCTAAGTACACCAAGAGCTGTAAGAAAACGTGCACCGGACCAATGAGAAAGGGCCGGCAAGCTCGGTAAACACTTTGACGCCGCCCCTTCAATTCTGAACCAATCATAAACTAGATTAGCATGTACATATGTACTCAGGCGGGGATGCTCACAGTGACACAACCGAAACGTGTGCCCATGTGTGTCAAATTGAACATGGAAATAACGTCAAAACCACCACTAACCAACTATCGAGCTATATTAGTAGATATGATAAAGTTACAAGAGGATATCAAAGCTGTTCCTACTAAAAGACCATCATGGAGTGTGGGGTCACGGGAGCCTTTGCATGCAAGGTAAAAGACGCCCCGAGGGAGCGCTTGTATTTGAGACGGAGTGGTTTTGTCAGTACATATTTTTGACGGTGGCGTTACAAGAAATTCGACTACACCGTTACACATGAAACACATTCTGGGGTTCATTGGGTGTTTTTAGGGCCGACGCCCTGCCAGATGGAAGCCGTCATCTTTGATCTACTTAGTTCCCTGTGGCCGTCGGCAATTGTCGGGATGAATTTGCATTGCGTAGCATGACCCTCTGAAGTTCCATGCGCACCCCTCCGGCAGATTTTCTGACCTTTCCTGAGGCTTCGCACCTTGTTCATATGTCATATTTCTGTGACTTTCCTTCGGGTCAAAAATGAAGACATCAAGACCAGAGCCGCCTTCTTTCCATGTCAGTCCATTGGAGCTCACCCGCATGGCGGTGGATTTGATCAAAGAGATTGAAACAGCGACAAAGAAACTACTCGACAAGCTCTCCCCACAGGATGCCACATTTGATAATGTTGTCTTGCCGATGGCTACGATCGATAATAATATCAAGAGCAAAGTCCAATTTCTGGCATTCTTTCAGGCCGTTTCGCCCTCATTGGAGCTACGCCAAGCATCCTCGGTCGCCGTGAGCATGGTCGACACGGCATACTTGGAGCTTTTTCAGGACGAAAATCTGTTTGCATTGGTAGATGTTGTGCATAAGAACTGTGATACGAGCCAAATTGAAATCGAAGACCGAAAGTTTCTCACAAAGCTTCATTCAACCTTTATTGATGATGGCCTTGGGTTAAAGGGGAATAACAAGAAACGGTCCCACGAGATTTCTAAGCGACTCGTTGAGCTTAGAGTTGCCTTCACAGAGAATCTCAGCTTGGATCCTGGGTATATGTGGAAGGAAGAAGAGGATTTAGAGGGACTTGATGCTGACAAAATCCAAGCACTTCCCTTATGTCCCTCGAATGGCCGGAGGGGCGTACCACTAAAGAAGACATACGTGGATGCGGTGCTCTCCAGCTGCGTTCGATCTGAAACCCGAAAAGAGGCTTTTCTTCAAAGCCAAAGAATCTTTCCTGAAAATATCAAGATCTTTAAAGAGATTATCGTTCTTCGAGATGAAAGGGCTCGTTTGCTTGATTTCAAGTCATATGCGCATCAACAAGCCCGGTCTAAATTGCTGAAATCTCCCCAGGAAGTTAAGGTTATGCTAGCCGAACTTTCGAATCATTTGCTCCCTATTGCACAGACAGAGCTGGAGGCATTGCAGCGCGCTAAAGATCCGTCCGGGAGCCCCTTCTATCTTTGGGATTTTGACTATCATCACGACAAGATGCTGCGAGATAATTATCAGCTAGATCATGATCTTATTGCGGAGTACTTCCCTGCCAAGGTCACGATTCAGCATATGCTCAGTATCTTTGAAACAATATTCGGGTTGGAGATTGAAAATTTGAAATGCATTGGAGGTGACTATATCTGGCACCCAGAGGTCAAGGTCTTCAGTGTACATGACAGAAATTCATCTAAATTTCTTGGCTATCTATATATGGACATATATCCTCGTGATGGGAAGTTCAACCATGCAGCTAATTTTAACATATTCCCTGTATGTGGGGCCGCGCCGACAACTTGAACGATGATTCAAGTTTTCAAGTTCTATTCTTCAACCTTGGAAGTTGCTAACACCCGCCTTCAATAGTCCTACTCTGTTCCTGTGGGCATAGATCAACCTTTGGTCTGCACAGCTTTGGTATGTAACGTGGCACACCCCCTAGCTGACAGGCCAGCCCTTTTAAAGCATCACGAGGTTATCACACTCTTTCACGAGCTAGGCCACGGTGAGCAACGTTGGAATATCCGTCTTCGTTCTCACGTTCACTCACAATATACACGTTAGCCTTTCATGATCTCTTGGGAAGGTCCAAGTACGCAACATTTCATGGGCACAGAACAGTTGCAGACTTTGTTGAAGCGCCAAGCCAGTTGCTAGAATATTGGTGTTGGGTGCCGGAGTGCCTTCAGCGACTCAGCTGTCATTATAGCTATGTCTCTCCGGATGCTGATGAGTTTGATACTTTCATAAACCATTCGACTCGCCCTCCCAAGGAAATCCCTCGAAGCCTAGTAGAAACACTCGTCGAGGCTAGGTCGATAAATCAGGGGATTTTGACTATGAGACAGGTTGCGTTCAGCAATTTTGACTTGGAGATTCACTGTCCATCTTCCCATGAGGCCATTAAGTCAATGGACATTGCTGAAATCTATAACTCCCACTTGCAAAGAACAACTCTTCTACAGGGCCCGAATAATTGTTATCAATGGGGGCATGGCTATGCGACGACACCCCATTATATATGGGGCCAAGAAGCGAACTACTATTCCTACTTATAGTAAGTTTTTCTATATGTGGGTGTGTAAACTCTGTTATCTATTGAATGGTTAACTTTCCTTTCGATCTAGCACCCGTATATTGGCAGCCAATATGTGGTGGTTGAATTTCCATTTCGATCCAATGAGTCAGGAAGCTGGTCTCAAATTGAGGAAGATGATACTCGAGCATGGCGGCAGTAAGGACGAGAAGATGGCCCTTGTGGAATTCTTAGGCGGTGAACCAACAGTCAAAGTATACTTAAGATATCTCTCATTAGACAAATGAATAGGTGATATATCTTAAATATTGCTTGTAAGAACCTCCATGAAAGCGTCAGCTCCAACTTCATATACCACTCAATCCCGTGTACAACCATCCCATGGGTTACCTCCTGCATGGTCACTCTTGCCGGAATACAACACGTGTAGCTTCTTGCGGCCGTTCATCAAGTCCCCCGCGACTCCGTCACTAGGAGATCCAACCAAGCTTCTTGGTCCACCGTGGCTGGAGAGAGATATTATCATTCGTCGCATATTAAGATCCAAACAGTTTATGAAAGTCCAGAGGCCATGAAAGCCATATCGACGCCCCTATCAGCCCCGGCATAGATCAGCTTTTCCTTGCCACCACCATTTTCTTCTACGGGAGTACCAAGCAGTTGGATTCTGCCTTTGGTTCCAAACTCCTTCTGCAGGTGGCTCAGCGCCAGAACGTCTGTCATTCTCCTGGTGGTGGTAAGGTTGTGGCCACATGCATGGCTAATGATGGGCAACACAACATACTCAGCATTGAAGTTGATGAGTCGACTTTCACTACCACTTATACATTCAAAGGATGTGTCCACTCCATACACATCCCAAATGACTGTGAAGCCCTGGCTTGCAAGGAAGTCTCAAATAGCGTCATGTGCCTTGTGCTCTTCGTATGCCAATTCGTAATCCGACCAAATCTATTACTGTTAAGCTCTTGGGTCACTCGGGCGTCTCTAACCATTCAGCTTCACGGAGAGCATGGAGGACTGCATAAAGGAAATCCTACGTAATTGTTTAGCTCACGGAGCTCCTTGCCTACATTCCCAATGGATCTATCAATAGCGGCCTGGGGTTTCTAAGGGGAACCCAGATTATTTCAGATACCCATTTTGTCAATAGTCAAGCGCAGTCACAGCAGTAGAGAAGAGGCTCGATTGGGGGTATTAGACAGAATTCGGTGGTATGAAAATGACAGAAGAATCATTGTAATAAAATATTGGCCTCGTTGCAGGTACATGTTTCCCTTTTATACTAGTTCTGTGCTGTGATAATATTATCGAATTGAAAATTCAAATGAAAGCATCGAAAGTCGCGAATTTGAATACGTAGTTGCATAAGTCAGTGATTCAGGCATAAAATCCATCTCAATAGATTAGCTGATTGACTATCCTGTCATTTATAAGACTATGATTAGCATGTTACAAATACCTAGCTTAAGGTACCTATGTTCACAATTTTATCCCTTTGCGCCATGGTGTGGCATAAGATAACGATGGCCAATGCGCGGGCTGCGATTAGAGTTCCGGCTTTAGCATGCTTGGAAGTGAGCCTGCGGTCCACCAATCAACAAGCGTAAATTTGCCGACCTGGCTGACAGTTGCCAAGTCCAGGGATTTATGTCCTTAACCCCCTCTCCAGCTCGCCTCTTTGATCCCAATTAATATCTGTGAATTTGCCGACCCGTATCCGTTACTCGAGTTGTCCCTGTCTTTCACTCGCCATCAAAGAACTCTCCGCGGGAAAGGAAATGTCTTCAGGTTCCTTCGATAGGGAATCTCTTTAAACAAGACAATAAGTCGCTTTACATCTAATCTTATCGCTTTTATCTTCTGTCTATACTACACCCTGTGGGGTTTTCAGGCGAGAATGGACGAAATTGTCGGAAATCGGTGTCTCGTGAGCGAAAGTTGATGTCAACAGTCCAAAGATAACGATGTCATGGCGCAAGATATTGGACTTGAATCGTTGTGTAGTGTTTAACATAAATTCACCAACTATGCCATCCCTGAGTCTGCTTGGATATTTCGAGACCAATGAAGAACATTGGATACTGGTCTATTCTGTCTACATTTGTACTCACATAAAATCCTGTATACAATGGGCACAGTGCAAGAGCCGTACAAATACGACGAGAAAGGTGGCGATACGACAGAGGAGACGCAACTGGATGCCAGTGTTGGTGAATATACTGACTATCAGGCATCCCCTGAAGACGAACGTCGACTGCTATGGAAGTTGGATCTATTGTAAGTAATAGGGGGTCTGACGACTGAAAACCCAAGGCAAACTTCAAAGCTTATCACTCCTCACAGTATGATCCCCACGATGGGAATTTGCTACATGTTACAATATATGGATAAGCTTGCGCTTAGTCAAGCAACTCTTCTGAATATACGAGGCGATCTCGTAAGTGATATCAAAAAATCCGTTTCGTCCACCTGGGCAGCTACCAACCATTTTCATATGCAGCACCTGGTTGGCCAGGAATATACCTGGTGCTCTGCGATCTTTTATTTTGGCTATCTCGCGTGGAGTGGACCCACTTCGTATCTGATCATTCGCCTTCCCCTGGGCAAATACCTAGCTGTTTCTGTGTATGTTTGCCGAACCATTAACTCTTCTGTCCACCCTAACTTATTCGTGAGCAGGTTTTTATGGGGTGGAATCCTGATGTGCCATGCAGCCTGTCAGAACTACGCGGGTCTAGTCACTGCTCGATTCTTCCTTGGTGTCGGTGAAGCTGCTGTTGCGCCAGGATTTGGCCTCATTACTGGAATGTTCTACAAGAGAGAGGAGCAACCCGCTCGGTAAGCATAAAATTGCAAATGCGCGAACAATGATACAACATACTCACCTTTGTCTTCCTTCAGCCAAGCAGCATGGTTTATCGGTAACTGTGTTGCTAACATAATTGGTGGCATCGTTGCGTGGGGTATCGGGAATTCTGCATCGGCAATACAAAGCTGGCGCCTCTTGTTCCTGGTACTGGGGGGGGATCACTTCTGGCTACGCCATCATTCTCTTCTTCATTCTTCCCGATTCTCCCGCGAAAGCTTCTTTCCTTACTGAGGCCGAGCGGAGAATTGCTGTACAGCGAACACTAAAGAACAAGACAGGAACTACACAGGTGACAGAAGCATTCAAATGGAGTCAAGTTGCCGCTGCTGCGAAAGACCCACAAGCCTGGTGTTTGGTCTTTTACACATTCTGCGTCAACCTTGCCAATGGCGGTCTCACCAGCGTACGTGATTTCAATCCCGATGTTCCTTCAATTTTCACACTCACATATACATAGTTCTCTGCAATCATTATCGCAGGCTTTGGCTACTCAAACTTCGAGTCCCTCCTACTTCAGATGCCTATGGGTCTTTCCCAACTGGTATTCCTCATTATCACAGCCGCCATTGCTACATATATACCATCATCAAGGATCATGGCCATGATTCTCAACGTGGTGGTTGCCGTTATCGGTGTTGTTTTGATTTACACTCTCGATGACCTGCACAAAATTGTCAAGCTAGTTGGCCTGGCTTTCGTTGCCGCATTCGCTGCTAACATCCCACTCTGTCTGAGTATTGTTACCTCTAATGTCGCTGGATCTACAAAGCGAAGTACGATCAGTGTTGCTATCTTTGCCGCATATTGCGTGGGCAATATTGTGGGGCCTCAATTCTTTTACGCTTCGCAAGAGCCAGTATACTTGGTACGTATATTCCATATCCGTATTGGTGTTCTTCTGACTCATATTATGATCGATAGAGCGGCATCCAAGCATCCCTGTGTGGATTAGCACTCGGTGTGTTCTTCTTAGGCTGTTTGCTTGCTTACTATGCCTGGGAGAACAAAAGAAGGGATCGACAGAATGGAATAGTATCTGAGGATCTTGATGCTCATGATATTATTGAGGAGATACACGATAAGACAGACAAGGAGATACCAACTTTTCGGTACGCTCTATAATGTACTTACTTGTCTTCTATCTACGAGTATCATCCAACGGCCCCAGCACTTGAAATAGTGTAAGGGGCCTCTGCTTCCACACTCATGATAAGAAGGGCCAACTTCCCCAATCTTAGATACAAATATGTCGATTCCAAACTACTGAGGCTTTGCCAGCCACACTTCATGCATGCAGGACTAGGGTCTACTCGTGCCTGCATTACATTGCTCTGATTACTTTGGTCATGTCCCGAGGTTGATGAGGCGTTTGCATGTCGATTGCACGCTGTTTATCATTCGATAGGTAGATATAGCGTGAGAATTCCCTCCTCCATTGCATACATCCGCCTTCATCTGCCATCTCATTTTCCACCTCTCTCGCCACAAACACGCTCAAACCAGCCACCGTATTACTTGTCTTCTGGTCCATTATTGTGCACCCTCCAGTACCTCTCCACGTCTCCGCAATCATCTAAAACATGTGGGATAGACCTCCATCGTTCAACCTTGGAAGTTGACTGCCCACTCATGAAAACATGAGGGAGCAGACTGTTGGTGGGCCCATTGTTTATCTGAGACTCGGATGATCACGGGGACTCGGAGCACCACTTTGATGGAGATGTGCTTATCTCTGACTACGCCCAGATTCAATTTTCAAATGCAAGTCTACTCGCTACGATCCTTGTCTTTCAATTGATTATTATGATATACTCTGGTCTAGAAGGGGAAGCGGGTCCCTTATAGACAAAGCTTCAAGTTCCGAGCCGATGATGACCCGATGATGACCCGATGATGCGCCTGTACACCATTTGGATTCACAGTAGTCCCAGGGCTGATTGGTTGGCTGGCGGTTCGTCCGTGTATAAATGTGCAATGCAGAGAAATTTCGAAGTGAAGTGTGGGATTCGAGCTTGGTGGGTTTTGGGTGTTGGGGTATTAAAGTGTTAGGATGCGTGATATAGGAAGATCATAGATAGCTGCCCTTGCTGAACCTTGAACTGTAGTCACTAGCCTTGCTCACCATCTCCCGGCGTTGCGCATTCGAGATCTTGGAGGAAACAGCCATATCCTTCTCGCGGTCGAAGGCGCGTGTGCTTGGATCATCTTCTTCCTCTTTGCGCTTACTTTCTGACTTTTCCAGTCGAGCCTTTTTTGTAGCACGGTCCTGCGGGAATGAATTGGCACACGATGCATAGAGAGGTTGGGTAAATGCTGGTAGGAAAACTCACATTGTATTTTTTGATCTTCTCCTCCATTTCCTTATCCTTGGCCGCATTGGGATTGCTGGCCGAGGATTGTGTTGTTCCGCTAGAAGGGGCACCGACACCCATGACTTGGTCCTCCAATCGCCTTAATTTCTCCTCTGGCGTTTCAACCCATGCGGCATCTAGACCCTTTGAACCCGCGGTTGCTGAGCGGGCTGATTTTCCAGTTTGAAATTTGCGATTCCGTAGCTGTGTTGGGTCGATTTTGGAGGCCCAATCGCTATTCTCCGGTGGGTGTAGCATCCAGTCATCTCGTTGAGTCTCTGGTTTTTGTTCCTTGGCGGGGGTATTCGCTTGGGCTAATGAAGCGGAGGTAGCTATAGAAGCGATTGATTGACCGGCGGGAGGAGGTAAACTGGGACCAAAGTCATCGTCACTGTCATCGCTATCGCTGGCACTGCCACTGGCACTGGCAGCATCTGAATTGGAGGTTGGATCGGTGGGTGGAGGGAGGGAAGGGCCGACGACTCGTCGTTTGGGTACCCCAGCAGGCTCAGCAGCATCGGGGGAGAGTTTCCTTTTGTCCATCGCAGAGTATGACAGAGTATCACAGAGTGTCGACAGAGATGTGTATATCACAAGTTGATATCGCCAGAGGATGTCCTTATGGACGGTACATTAGGTAAGCCAGACCCGTGACCCTGGTACTTATCTTATCTCAGATCAGGTGATGTCATGGGACCCGTTCACTCCTTCCGATTTCTCCCCGTTTTTGTTTTCCTTCACCGGGAGATCCTCTTGACTTCCTCCTCCCCCGCACTCTCGGGGAAGTCAGGAATCTCGATTCTCGTGGGATACCTTTGATCTTCCCTAGAGATATGCTTATGCTTCTTCTTTCCTTTATTTGACCCCCATAACTACTGAATATGGGCTGTCTCACTGCTCACTCCCAGGATATGGCCATACAACAGCGGTCAACTGATAGCTCGGAGCCCACCGCTCCACAACAACAAAAAGACGTACACGCAAACCAGCCCTCCGAAGAACCTACCTACAAAGCTCCACGCAGATTCTTAGCTCAACCTATCGAGACAACATCCCGAAGCTCTCAAGTACCATCTACCTCCACCGCCACCTCCAACCCCGCCGCACCTAATGCATCTCCATCATCACCGCAGCAGAAGGAGGACGAGAAGGTCAACCCACCTCCCCCTCGCAGGAGATTCCTCCCTGAACCTATCGAAACCACGACAAGGACCAGCAGTGCAGGTTCAAACTCAGCCAAGCCCAGAAGGTTTACACCAGAGATCATCGAGACGGAACATCGCTCCGTGGACCCCGATCAACCTCCTAGCCGGTACAATGCAAAAGCACCAGTGGGACTGGGACATCTCGGCCTTCAGCCAACGGGATCCCGTTCACCAGCACGGCTAAGTCCGAACCGTGCTACTCCCCATCCAATCGAGTCGAAGTTCTCATATGCAAACCTCCTCCGCCGACAAGAACAGTCTCGAAAGCATTCCTTTCGAGTACCGGAGCTCCCTTCCATCCCGTCCAACAGCAGCGAAGAATCAGACACTGCCTCCGAGTCTCGATCGGTATCCTCGTCCCCGAAAAAGCGGGCCACCAAAACTGCCAAGTTTCAACCGAACAATAATACTGGAGACACGCTCCAAGAAGGTGGTGATTCCGGCGAGTTTTCCGATTACCTGCTTGCGCTCGCTGCACGCTCTGCCGAACAACAATTGAAAGACCAGGCACTAGCTGCCTTTCCAAATGAACAGGTCTATCAGCATTTCGATCACTTCGCCATCGATGACGAGGCACCGTCAAGAAATTCAGATGAAGAGGAGAATTGGATCTACCCACCAAAGCACCATCTCAAGTCTCGGAGACAATCTTCGGCAGATCTAACTTGGGAACTCGAGCACCTGCGCCACCATAAAGAAGAAGCAGAGCAACGCTCGCGAGTAATGACCAGAAGGCGGAAACCGGACCTCAAGCTTTCCGAACCAAAGCGCCTGGGTCCAACCCCTCCAATGTTGGGAGCAGACATCATCTTACCACAAAGTCTATCTCCGATAGGGTCATTCTCCAACAACAATGGTGCCCAGGGCGAATCAAATCCATGTACCGACTGCGGCACCCTCTGGTGCGGGCCAAGTCGGCCAGTTAACGGGCGAGGATCCGGTCTGTGGATGGGCACATGTCAAAAAGATGAAGAATCAACCAATAACCGCGGCTCTCAAATCATGACTGGGATCATGACCCCAATGATACGGGATGAAATGCCTCCGAGTCTAAGCCCCAGCCCCAACCCCTGTCACACCCACAGCACCTCCCCAGACGCCCATGCCCATGCTCGCGCAGCTCGAAGAGAAGAGCAAGGACACCCGGCCCGCTCCGCCCATCGCAGTGTCCCCAGTTCCAGCCCGGGCCTCGGCCTCAATCTCAACCTCAACCTCAACCTGAATACAGTCAGTTCCATCGAAGACGAATTCAGCGACGAATTCGTCACGCAGATCTATAATTATCTCTCCCTCGGATACCCCTGCGTGGCACGATACTACGACCACGAACTGAGCAAGATCTCAGGTATCCAAGTCGACGACATGAGAAAAGATGATCTCCATACCGATGCGAAGGGGTATGTGATGGCGCCCGAGAATGAATTCGCCGTGGCTTGTACCCGATGGAAGGCCCTTCGTTTGTATATTCAGGAATGGGCTCGGCAGCAACCTAATATGGTCGAGGAGAAGAAGTGGGGTGTTGGTGTTCCGGAAAGACGGGGAAGCTGGGCATTCTAGGTCTGAGCCAGGATATCACCATTTCGATGTCCTTCTTGTTGTTTCTCCTCTTTCGGTTTTTCCGTTTTTTTGTTATGTTCCATGTTTCTGCAGGCATCCATACCCGGCGCGTTATATCTTGCCTACATACAGAAGCGCTTATATACGATGATGACGATGTTGATGATTACGATGATGATGATGATGATGATGAAGGTAGAATATAGAGAAACTTATAAGCATTCATTTTATTCCTTACGGTAGAGGATTAAGCGTTTGTTAATTAGCAAAACATTCAACTTAAATACTACTACCTAGTACTACCTAGTACCACCTGACACATGGTATCCAGAGTAAGATAAGGAAAGGTTAACCCTATTATTTTTATGGGAATCCCGTAACCGGCCAACATCAAATTTCTACAATACTTGTTGGTCAATAGACCCGCAAAGCTCACATTATTTAATAGCATTTGATACCCAGTCCAGTATTCCAGCCAAGCATGGGTATTCGTTTATATTTCACCACATTTAAAACGCTCGGCCCCTTGGGATCTGTACACCGCTCCCCTCCCCTCCGGGCGAATGGGCATACTCCGTACATACCATGAAAGATATGGGGCTCTGTCAAATTTTCTCGTCTTGCATTGCAGCAACCTCACGGTGATGAGCATACTTATTACTCGGTAGGTTTATCACGCATCCTATTTTCTGGCCGAGGAAGGTCTTTGCTTCTTGTCAATAAGAAATCTCCGCAATAGACTGCATCTGTATTAATGGCTCCAATATAAAGCTCCCCAAAGTATATAACGCGCCTAAGAGATTAACCAATTAACATTAAATCAGCAGACGCTAGTACGGTTTTCCAAGGTTCAAATACTTCAAATACTGCTTGTTACCTAAGAGGATATCTGCAAGCGCTGCAAGCGGAATGGGCTAAGAGAACGCGAACAAGAACGGACGTAAGTAAAATCGGACTTTTACCCCTTGCATCTGACCCCTAGATAGTATCGAATTGAGAAATTCCTGTCATGTGATTAGATTCTAGTTCGAAGGTGAAGTATGGTAAATTCTGTTGTGCTAGTGGCCGACTGAGAGGAATGTGAGTGATACGGCAAAATATAACCGGAACTTGAAGGCTCTGTTGTCCTCTCACCTGGACAAACCTACAGTGCTCCATACCCGCAATCGGCCCAGTAGGTAATATGAAAATAGTCGTAATTAGGAGCATTTGGGCTAACCGCCATAGAGGCCGCCTAAAAGAACAGCCTGTGTCCCAGGATTCCTAATGTTCACCGTACAAACTTGGACCGGCTGCTACGCTGAGCCTCTTGGCACTGCAGCCTCACCATTCTGCCGCCTCCTTGAAGTATGCCACCCCTATCAATTGCCAGATCCTAGCGCTTTCTAGCGAGTTAGAGGGAGAGTCAAGCATGTGATTATGTGTGATGTTTACATCTTATTTTCATGTTGGCTATCTTTAATGTTATTCATTAACATTAACATGCTTTTACTACCTAAGAAGCTATTTGCACAATAAGGAATGGCAATTGTAGTTGTGGAGGAGTGTTAGCTCGGAGGGATTCGGAGACGGGGGCAGCGAAGGCAGCGCAGGGGGGGCTTAGGTGTAGCAGCTAGGTCCATACTTGTATGGTGAATGCTAGTAATTTTAAGGAAGCTAGTGTTACGGATGGTCCTTTTTTCTGCCTGCATAGCTGCTCCAAATACCATTTGCATACCTACTGGACCGATTGCGGCTATCGAGCGCCGCACTAGAATGATACAGCTTATTCATCCTGTAACGCATTTTTCTCCAAATTAGTTGTACTGCGAACGGTCGATTTAAGCCAAGGCAGACAGTACCTCTGCTCTAGGATAAGAAAAAATCGTAGGCCATAACAGATTGCTGCCTAGGTGGTCACATTTGATCTGTGAATGTCTTCATTCCATGCACTCGTGCACTCGACCCCAGATTAATATTACCTTCCCATGGCAAAATGATGCCCTCATCAACACGACGAAGAGTTCAAATTCTCGCGATAATTGTCTTCCTTATTGGACTCATCGTCCTATTTCCCTCCGAGCCACATCTTATGCGATTGAGAACCTCCACAATAGACTCGACAACTCACTATCTACACCGGCCATGGCGTATCAAGCCAAAGTACAGACAGGACATTGCAGTGGCCACATTCTTTGCGGGCGAAACAGCCCCCGGTGATAACGAAGAAGAAGACAGCTACTTCATCGCCATTCGGACGTTAGCATATCAACTACGACATTCACCACAAACCCGCCTTGACCCAAGCATCCCCTTTATAATCCTGGTGGCACCCGAAGTAATACACGAGAAACGAAAACAACTCGCCGACGATGGCGCGATAGTGATTGAAGTTGATAACGTCAAGACCAATCTCACCGTGGATGTACCCCGCTGGCGCAACTGCTGGACGAAGCTCCGCCTCTTCGATCCACAGATCCTCCCATTTGAAAGAGTCCTCTTCATGGACGGGGACACCGTCCTGACCCGGCCCATCGATGGGGTATTCGACGACCCGGCAGCTCAGGTCAGAGACTCCAAGAATGTAGCTGACCAGCTCAAATTGGACGAAGTTCCTCTGCCGACGACGTATCTTTTTGCCGGGAAGCCGGAAGCCTTTACTTACGATCATCATTACCCACCTGATATGTCTGGCAATTATTTGAATGCGGGGTTTTTTGTGTATTCACCCTCGAAGGAGATCATGCAGTACTACATGTCCGTCCTAGGATTGGGAGGGCGATTTGAACCGAACATGCCAGAGCAGAACTTGCTCAACTATGCTCACCGTATGGAAGGGAATATGCCGTGGCAGAAGCTGCACTATAGCTGGAATGTGAATTTCGTGAACCCCGAGGATCTGAAGGAAAAGCCAGCTTCGTTACATGTGAAGTCTTGGGATGAGAGTCTTCAGCAAGAAGTGATTAACTACGCTTTGAGATGGAGATGGGAGATGGAGGGCTTTTGGGTAGGAGTTAATCAGAGTAGGAAGGGGATCTCGAGTTTATTTTAAGCCGATCAATTCTTTTCGAATCTGAGTCTCACGTATTAAGTTGATATTGTGACTGTGAAACCTAGAATTTAATCGTTCTTGGGTTATTTCGGCTCCTAGTATTGTGACATTGATTTTCTGCTAGGTCGTTTTCGCGCAGAATGTCTCAACCTTACCTAGAAGGTTTGTTCTCAACAGTGGTATTCTCCAATGGGGGCGGGTTGCGTTTCATTTAGATGAAAGCACTTATACTCTAGCTTCGGTGTGTGATCCTCATGTATCCGCGAACTGAAAAGAGAAAACGCCTTTGCGCAGGCGAAGTCACAAGTGTTGCTTTATTTGAGATGGATAGAGGACAAAGCGACTCGCTTCTAGTATAGGAATTGCGATTTTGACACAGAGAGGATCTCGTGCAGGAATGGGCCCGATGATTTTGGTGGGCTCAAGGCCCTTCTTACTAGTCATTGTATGTTTGTAAATAGGGATTTTTTCAGTCGTCTCGGCTGGGGGAGTAATGGTGGCAGACTTGGAGCCCAATATTCCGATACTACAGCATCCGTGGACTACTACTTGCTTCGTCACTTCGTTTTGGCACCAGATACTTGCTATTTCAATAAACACACATTTGTGACCCACATGACGGTTACCAAAATTGTGTCTACAACATCGACCCAATGAGTCGTCCAGTCCTGAAGAATTATATATTCCCACCTGGGCATAGGTGCTTAACTTGAATGGTAACGCTACTTCTTCGAATATTCCCTAGCAGTCACATACTACTAATAACTCAATTGACCGTCCGCCAATTGGATTATCCCGATCCCATTCTAGACTTCTAGACTTCTCCCTACGATGGAAATATGAGTTACTAGTATTATTGTAAGAAAATGCGAATCAAAAAGAAAGAGAGTCAGAAGGACAACGCCCCGAAATGGTCCAATGACATGACAGAATAGTACCGTAGACTTACCGGTAAAGAGGCGTTCTTCAAAACGACTAGACAAGTGCCAATTCTTTAACCTTCGAATGTGCTTCTCGAATATCGGGTTGAGAATCATTCCGTTTTCAACCTCCTTTATGGCATCCATTGGGTCGTAAGGCCAATTGACAGAGACATTTGGTGAATAAAGTGCGGAAAAGGTTGAGTATGGATATCTTGAAGGATTTTCGATCAATGCATCCCGCATCTGGGGCCTGAAATGGAAGTTAGACGATTGAATTCTCGCGCGTCAGTTTTAGAAGATTTCCTCCCATGGGGGTGGTCCATTTAGATTAATTCCTTTCCCACTGAAGGATAGTGATGCTCACCATGGTATATTGTCTATCCATGCAGAGTGAGGGACTGTTATTTGTAGGGCGGTCGGCCGTAGCCACCTGGGCATTTGTTCGTAATCGAATTTCGAGGACGAAAGCTGCCACTTTTTACCTGTTAGCTGACGTGAAGGCATCTTGATAAAGATACGTACCCTCAACGTGCGGAACATAATAAACATAAACGCGAGCTTTTCAGGAAGGGCAACATCTCCAAATGTCAGGAGAATCTCTGTTAGAGTTTGGCAGGTAGGATGAACTGCTCTGATGTTCTCTGGGTTCACGAATCCCTGTACCAAAGGGTAATCGGGTCCTAATAAAGCACCTGCTGGGAGTCCCCTAGTAGCCAATGTACGCCGAGAAGCTATAAAGTTGAGAACTATTTTTTCAATCGGATAGGTGCCCGGTATGTGTTTGGGCATGACGGATTCAATGCTAGCGGGGAGTTTAAATTCATGCGCTGAAGGTACAGCGGGTGACGCTGTGAGTAGTGGTAAGTCTGCTTCGTCAGTGAAATCACGCGATGAGCCGGGGACGTTGGAATCTAGGAATCGGCCAGTGAGTCACATTCGCGACTGGGAAAAGATAGTGCGCTAATTTACCTTCTCGAGGAGTATACGCATTCTGGGCGGGGAAGCATGTCGCGATATCATTTATCTTGAGTGATGGCGGGTGACGGTGATGGGGCGCCGGTTTCATGGGAGGCAGTGGTCATATATTCATTCTGCGGCCGGATATCATCGGCATTTATGTTGATATCCAACTTGTCTGCGGAATCAACGCGGTCGCGTGGCGGAGAGGTCGGTTGTAGCTCAAAAGCAACGTCCATCTGGGGAACCGGTCTAACCTCAGCTGAGGGTTCGGGCTGGCCAGATGATACCAATTCAGTTCATCGCTTGTTTGGTAGACCCCCTGGTCGGCTAACTGTCGAATACTGTCTAGACGCGCCTTCAGGTGCCGGTTCTCGTCCAGCAGTAATTGAATCTCGTGGGTCAAGGTTTGATGACTGCTTCCACTATTTGCCTTGACGTGAGCGAGTTCATCTTCCAGAGTTTTGTTCCGGGATTTCACCCGTTGCCGATACGCTTGCTGGGAGGCTCGATCTAGGTCTCTTTTGTGTTGGACCTGCTGAGAAGTGAGGCGTGAAGTTTTAGGTGACTCTCTTTTCCCTCTAGAGCCATCATTTTCCCGCAGATTGACGTTAAAATCGGGAGTCGAAATCTTGCAAATTGTTCAGTGGGGTGGAACGAGGAGGAGAGCAAGTGTACAAATTTGCTGAATCAGCGCATAATCCGGCCTTTCTTCGACGAAGTTTCTAGACATTTGGCCGGCCTTAATGACACCGTCGGGGTCGTTCTATTTGGTTTGGTTTCATGCTAATCTCCGAATCGTTATATACACCCTTGTCAGGGCCAGATTATCACAACCCTCACCACCGTTGAGGCCTTATGGCCTCAGGCATCCCATCCAGCTACCCGCGCCTCGGTTCCAGACAACCTTGGATTCAATTTATAACCATGCGCTATACAAAAAAGAGGAGTGTCATTATTAATCAAATCAAATGTCCTGGTAAATGACTCCTAGCATTTTGCACAGCTTACGAAAACTAAAAAATGTGTCCTGACCTTTCAAGCTAGGAACCAATCGCAACATCTAGTTGAATCCCACGGTTCCGTTACGAGGAAGCAAGAAAATCCGCAATCGAGATGACTTCGACGTTATGCTATATAAATGTGATTCATATATGTGTGTTATATACCACCGAGGCACCTGGGTACCAAAATTCGGTCAAGAAACAACTCGGTGTACTCAAAATCATAGTAGACGCCTCAGCAAATTAGTCGAGTATCTGAGCCAGAACAAGGGCCCATGAGCAAGGCTTCCACAATTTCACCTTTCAGACAAAACCCACGTCCTGCACGAAGTATAATTAATGCATTGGCATCCATCCTGCTACCGCCCACGATATCCCGCCCGCCTCTTGCTTCAGTGCTTATGCTAGTGGCATATAATCTGGCATCTGAGAGTGAGCCCGTAACAACGGCAAGGTTGTACTCAGTTCTCTCAGGGTCGAGGGGAATGTGATGTGTCAGAACGACGGCGACTCGAGGCAGACCAAATTTTGGTGTTTTCCGAGGTTTAACACCGACAGTGTTCAATCTCTCATCCAGACCACCTGTTTTGTTCAGTGAAGGTAAAACAAATAGGTTGAGAGCCACTAGTGCTGATGCGGGATCGTTTGGCAGCGAAAAGAAAGGTATAGAGGGCGAATACGGTGCGCCATTTCCATCAGAGCTAGGTATTGTCGCAAAGGTGATATGGCTGCTGGGTTTCATGGGAACTCGATCGAAGTGGATGAAACCACCAAGAGTCTCTATAACTCTGTAGAAATCTAACTCATTTCCGGATGCACCATTCAGGATTAATAGAACGTCCACCCCAAAACTCATGGCATGTTTAAGCTCTCCATGCATCGTGGTGCGAACGGTCCCGAGGTCCTCAATCTCAAAGCCCCGTGAGATCAAACTGGATAAGACACCCAAACGACTGGCATTGTGCATAGGAGAATTATTTTCCGCGCCCCCTTCTCTCATGCTGAAGATGCCAATGCGAGGCTTTCTAAATATTTTGACGGTTTGAACACCTGCCATAGCAAGCAAACCGACTGCCCCGGATAAAGGTGTGAGAACATCACCACGGACAAAGATTCGGGACCCGCTAGAAATGTAACTGCCAGGATCGCGCACATTATTCCCGATGACGATTTTATCAGTCATAATTGTGATGCGTCCTTCTCCCATTACCTCGACCGTCGTGTCTTCTTCCTTGATTACGGCATTGGCATTAGGAGGAAGGCGTGCACCAATTGTAGTCCTCGCAACGGTCCCTGGTTGAAGAGGTTCCAAACTTCCACTGGTGTCGGTGCCAATAGCGAATACTATTGGAAATGTCCCCTTCGAAAATTTGCCTTCTTCCAAAACGATTGCATAGCCATCGACAGCGCTGACGTGACAAGGTGGCATCATCATTTCGGCAGAGACGTCCTCAGCAATAACCGAGCCAATGATAGATGTGGTCACTGGAGTGTCGACGGCAACAGGTGAAGGGGTTTGATCACTAATTATGCGCAGTGCCTCATCTACTGATAAAGCAGTGAGTGAAGCATGGCAGCTTTGTGTAGAGCGAACGGTGAGGTGCCTCTGGGCTTGGTTACTGCAATGTTCGTGATCTGCCTGTGGCTGAGATTGAAACAATTGAAAGATGCGCTGACTGAGTGTAACGCTGGCCTTGTTATCCAATTTCAGATCGCTAGCATTGGAAGAAATTGTGATGGCACTTTGACTCGTCATTTTGGAATGAGTTTAAATTCCAGGTCTGCCAGGAGGCACCTTGTCGTATGTGGCTCGGGTACTCGACGAGGGTCGACGAGTGCCTTCATAAGTATAGGAAAACAAGGATAGAGCACGAGAAGGAATAGTGAGACCTCGTGGATTTCCACATGGTCATGTTGTCAGTCTTTTTTCAATGTATAATCAGTGATACTGTAAGTGCTTCCTGTGGATTTCTGATCTGTGAAGCCATGGGAATCGAAGCGAACACTTGACGTAGTCCCGAGGCGAGCTGGTCAGTAAGCGAGCCACCACCCAAAACACCAACAAACGAACAGATCATAACAATGTGTATACGTTATGACGGTACTTGGCGAAGGGAATTTTGGAGAATGGATGACCCCCTTCATGGAAAATCAAGCTTTGATTGGTTCAATTGCAGTTACTAATCACCTGCTCGCTTCATGCCAGCTTCGCTTATTGTCCAGCCGGCCTCGCTTAACGTGTTTCACCCCTATCCGCCATTCCCACCGAGCCGCCACCCTCCAGACACCATGGTTAAGAAATAAAATTATCTCAACAACACCTTTAATTGATTTTAGTTTTGTATAGAGGTTATTCTTAAGATAAGTAAGAATACATTTTTCTACAGTGATTCAATTTGTCATTTGTGTATAATATTAAAAGTGACAAAGTGTTTTTGCTCAATAGGTTGTAATTATATATTTCTGCGGTAAATTTTCAGATCAAAAATATCTAAACATACTATAACCTTGGAACGAATGATAGGAATAATACTATCTTGTCCAGAACTTGATTAAAAAGTAACTATTGTAGAGATATTGAGCTATAATTTTTTGCTTTAACTATGTTGTTTGGGAGGTAGCGGCTCGGTGGGAAGGGAATGCGGATAGGTGGTGAAACAAGTCAATGACCAACGTACCATATGGTTAAGGCTCGAAATTCAAATTGAAATATCTCATCAATACCTGGGCAATAACTTCTTCAATTATAATATTTGCTAAGAAGCCATTTTCAACCAATGCAATTTCTCAGTATTTCTTTGGTGTAATTTGAACCTTGTAATCAACTTTTGAATCACCTGGGCATGATAGTACCTATGGAAACCATAGTACTACCTAGGTAGAGCCCAAGTCAAAGCAGCTTTCGGATGTGAATATATTGTGTTGTGAAATTTCGCATTTGGCATGGCGTTTTGGGGGTGCGTCACAGTGAATTACGTGAATTTTCAACAACAATATTAGCCCAGCATGATAAGGCCATCTTAAAACACAACTTCTTGCCCTGTACAGTTGCGAGGCAAAAATATGACCAGTATTCCACCCAAAAATGGCAGTAGTTTGGAGGCAATATTAAGGACATTCCCTGGTATGGATTTCCAAGTTGAGGAAAATTAGAACACAGATTTGTGGGTTCTTGAAGTCACGATCCACCCTCGCTGTCTCGCAGGGAGAGAAAAAAGCAGCGCTGGCTCACAAAGAAGTAGACACTTGGAAGGCAGGCACAGATAATCCCAACTGTAATTTCTGCACAGGTGACAAGATCAGTCCGCTTGGTTGTCCATGTTCTATCAACTGAGATTTGATATGAGATCACCCATACCAGCCGAACAATGGTCACAATGCATACCAGACCACCTGCTGCAAAAAGAGCAATAACTCTTAGCTTATTCATAAGGGGCAGGTGAAGCACTGGAATCACTACCATCGGCAGAGCAAAGACAATCAAGTCAGTAATTACATTGAAAGTTGTGTCGGCAAGGAAGACTTTCAGCACATTGAGACACGTCCCATTAGTAGCTTCGAGACCGAGCCAAAAGGCTTTAATAGGGTTGCAGATGCGGGTCTTCACAACTAATGCTGCCATAGTGTATGCCGCTAGTACGTATATAAACGTAACTAATCTCCGATATGGTGCAAATAGTCGTGCGAGCATAAATAAAATCAACAATTTAACTATTAAAATAAGGGGTGGTATTTTATTACACTAAATTTTCAAAATTTTTATCTTCTATAATGGAGGCTGTTGTCTGTGGTTTTGAGAGTGACTAATCAGGGCCCGGGGGGGGCTATTTATATTATTTAATCGGGGCGGCGCCCTCGAGGCGAATCCACCATCCACCACAATGCACCCCCCCATGAATGTCGTCGGCAACCCACGGCAGAGGTCAACGACGGAGACTAGCGAATCGGGGTATCGTCGTCGACGTATCAGACCCTCACGGGCACGTGGATTGAGAACCAGGACGGGATGGTAAGTTGATAGCCTGCTCAGTCAAATCCGAAGACCCCCCTAAGCGAAAGCTCACATGCACATCACAGCCTCACTTGCAGGGAGAGACGCGTGAAATGCGACGATGGTAAACCCACATGCTTACGTTGCTCGAAGTCCGACCGGATCTGTCGATATGCCCAGAATCTTACTCAAGACGTCGATCAACGGCATACCGCCAGAGTCGAGAATGATAGAGAGTCCACTAGGGCGCAACCAGATTCTAGGGAGAACAGGCCTGAGAACATAGCCTCCATTAGTGATGGCAGGGCCAACAATATACATGGCCCCCAAGGGGAATTGCAAAGTCCTTCCACACAACAGGGAAATATTGGAATAGCACCGCCCCCCCCAGGTCATTTGCCCCACCCCTGCCGAAGATGTCGCGCCCTTGCACCGAAGCGACGTGACTGGACCAACGCGGAATAACCACCTTGAGCCCCATGGGCAGAGGCTGGCCAGCTTTGACTCTGCATTCCCAGAATCGCCACTATCGCTGAGCCAGGTATCCCTGGTCAATATCTCTGCCCTTGAATGGTACGATTTATTGGCACGCGATGCCATCAGCGACATCCAACGGCAGAATGATACCTCGAATGGAGATCCCCACTGGAAGTCGTTTGAGATTGCCCTTTATCGCAAACAGTCAGTAGCCCCAGAATATGTTAATTCTCGGCCTGAGCAAGCTGGGAGTCACTACGAGCAGCAGCAGCAGCAGCAGCAGCAGCAACAACAAACCGCTTTGAACGATTGCGAAAACCGAACTGACGGATCTGCCTCCGATTATCATCCATTATCTACAATTTGGAACACAACAACTACGATAGAACTATCACAAATTGACCTCTCATTCTTCCGATATTACATCCAAGTTGTTGGGCCAATCCTGGACCTATTTGATCCCGCTCGGCATTTTACCAACGTCGTTCCCCACCTCGCACTACGAAACAAAGGACTCTTAAAATCAATCCTTGCAGTTGGCGCGAAGCATATGTCACTTTCTTCTTCAAAAGCGCCAGATGGGGGTTCATCAGGCAACGATTCCGAACCAAATGAGAATGCTCCCACACCACAAACAGCAACCGGTTTATCGCCGGACTCTGAGACTGCTCCGTCACACATGGCCACACAATACTATTACGAAACGCTTCACTATCTTTCACAAACACTGCTTTATCCCGCGTATGCCGACTCGCACGAGATTTTAGCAACAGCTACTATGATCAGCACGTACGAGATGTTCGACTGCGACAGCGTCCCGAACAGTGGCGTATGGGAACAGCACCTGAGGGGCTCTTTCTGGATTCAGCGGTCTCAGGACAATGATGGCGAGTCTGTTGACGGTTTGAGGCAGGCTGTTTGGTGGGCCTGGCTTCGACAGGATATTTGGGCGGCTTTTCAAGCAGGACGACCGACTATCACGTTCTGGCGTGCTCGAAAGCCTCTTGAGACCCTGAATTCGGATGAACTGGCGACACGAATTGTCTACCTGTGTGGAAAGTGCGTGAAATATGCTGCCTCTGATAAAGTAGTCCCGAATCAAGATCCAAGGGATAGAATCGAGCAAGGTGACCGACTTCTCAGCGCACTCGCTGATTGGTATCGTATCCTCCCTGTTTCATACCAGCCAGTCACAGTCGCTACAAACGCGACGTCGGATGTTTTGTTCCCACCCATCTGGATCCACCCGACGAACCATGCAGGGGCGATGCAAATGTACCATCTCGCGAGAACGGCCGTGTTGCTGAATCAACCGACGCTTGGGGGACTGGGCATATACATGCAGCGTGAAAAACAACTTACCGAAAGTGTTAAGATGGTCTGCGGGATAGCAAACTCCTGTCAGGAAAATGAACCCGCAATGGCGTTTGTCAACGCGCAGGCATTGTTCGCAGGTCAGTCTTTCCCTTATTTCATTGTTGTCTTTACTAATGGATCCCAAGTTGGCCAATTTGTTCGCCTACCCGAGATGCGCGAAGAACTGCTCCGTGTTCTAGATCATATGCTAAGAATCAGCGGATTCCTTTCCAAGGGCCTTCTACTAGCCCGACTCAAAAGGTGTTGGGAGGAATGACTTTTACCGATACTGCTACACACGAACCCAGTCTATCCAACTTCACCACTTCCATTGATGGTATATATAGCTATGTTTGTATACTCGACGGCGTCAAGGAACTTCCTGATTTCTAAGATGCTAAGCTTGTACCGGTACCTAGCCTATATATTCTGATGTATTAACCAAACGTCCATGGATGATGTGACCTTTCCAGTCACATTCTTATTTCATCAACAATTGCGCATATTTTCGTTGTTTGGATGATTGAAATATCCTACCAGGCCCCCACAATACCAGCAACGGGAATGTCGATGCCAGTGGTATACGAGGCACCGTCAGAGAGCAGGTACACATAAGCTCCACCAAGTTCTTTGGGGTCAGCCAGCCTGGGCATGCCGCCGTAGTATTGCATCTTCAAATCCCAGTCGGGGGCTTGGTCCACGAAATAGGTCATGGCAGTCTTGATAAAACCAGGCGAAATTGAGTTCACGCGGATGCCATGCTTAGCCCATTCCATGGCCAGAGTATGTGTCATATTTCGCACAGCAGCCTTTGTAGCCCCATAAGGAGCCGAAGGTGCTGCGCGGTTTGGGCGATAGGATGTCATGGAAGCAGTAAAGACGATCGAACCTTTAATTTCCAAATCAATGAACCGGCGGGCAACCGTGGTAGCGCAGAAATATGCGCCAAAGACATTGAGGTTGAAGAGCTGATCCAACTGGGCGCGACTGAAGTCTAATGCTGGTTGGTGCTTCGTCATGCCGGCATTGGCGATGAAACCATGAATAGCCCCCCCCTCTGCGATAACCGCATCGATTGCAGAGTTCACGCTGTTCTCAGAAGTGACATCACAGTGGATGTAGTGCAATTTCTTTGGATTGGCTTTTTGTATAGCAGCGAACTCCTCACCCGGCTCGAAAATGTCCAGGCTGAAAATGCTCGCCGCATCGTTCGCTAAGCAAACCTCTGCGAGGGCTAGGCCAATGCCCCTGTTGGCACCGGTGATAGCGATGACTTTTCCTTGTAGCGTGATCTTCCAATTGTGATCAGAGCCTGGTTGGGTGTCCAAGAATGTTGGTGATGTATTTGAGGTGGCTTGACTTGGTGCAGCGTAGTCGCCGCCGTTGGGATTGCCATTGACGGCTGGAATTTCCGATATACTTGGTGGCATCTTGAAAGAAAGATGTTTCTGTGAGATAAAATGATTTAAGCGAATAGTTGTGACATTAGAATGGGGATTGGCTATTTTAAATCTATCTCGGCACTATCGTCCTGCTAAACGACAGAGCAGCGATCGATAGACTCGAATCGCATTAACTATAACCGAAAGGGGGACCGACTTGTCCCCGCTCCCCCACCCGACTCGATCTGATCTTCATTTTTCTGGGCATCAAAACACACTCGAAGAAAGGCGCCGGCCTCGTTTAACGGCTTCTATGTGAGTCCGACCGACCTCTATGTCCGACCGACCTCGGTATGTGATTGGCGAGGAAGTCGATGGTCCCTCGTATCGAGTCCATATCGGGCCATCTTGGCGAGCATAAACGCCCACAATGCTCTTCTTGGCGAATTGAAACAATCAAAGTGGCCCACCACGCCGTGGAGAATTTCCCAGTGGCCTTTTACATGTCACCATGAATTACCGGAATTTCCAGACTTGATTTCCACGAATCACAATCGATATCTGAATGAAGTGAACTTCCTAACTAAGATATGGGACATGTTGGCCGCGGGCATAACTAATGCATCGATGCGAGACGTCGGTCCCTCTTCAAGGGGTTTGGATTAATTGCAACTCATCTGTTGTTGCTTCACCTCTGCCGTTGGATTTTGGGTGGTTATGCTATTCCCCCAAAGGATTAGCTCAGTACTCCGTTCTCTCATTGGGTTGTCATGGTGAAACCAGAGCCTAGAGCTCGGCCAATGCGCAAGTCTCGGGGACGTGGACTGCGTGTTGCTACTGGGTGGTTGGTGTTCCCTCGTACTTTGGGCTAGGATATCGTGATGTGCTTACACGACCTCAGCGTCATGTGCAAGTGCCGCCATGTCAAGTGCGACGAGGTGTAAACCCTTCAATATGATAGTGAAAAATCTCGGTATAATTATTTCTAACTTCCTCAGACTCGACCTCAATGCAGCTCTTGTACAACTGGGAACCGATCTTGCATTTATAGTCACGATCCTACAATGCTACTACCTGCATCCAAATCCCCGCCAAAATCAACTGGAAATCGAGAGGGTGAAGAGAGCATAACAGCTGCTCCTTTTCAAGGCCTGCCGGGATTACTTCAGCATCACGAATCAATTCAACAACTGAGTCCTGGTTCAGGAACAGGATGTGCGACCACCTATAACACAGAGGACAATGCGGCGGCACTCCTCACCCCCAGTACACTAGGCACATCTCCTTGTATATCAAGACAAGGGAATGGCATCTTCGAAGCGCACTTGTCGGAAGAACCGGGAAATAATCAACTTTTCGAAGCCCAAGGGCCGTTCTCTGCAGCCGACGCGACTTACGCGACTTCCTGGACTCTGGAGCAGCCAATTAAGCTCTTAGAATTCGACCTTTTTCTTTTTCGGCATTTTGTGGAGGCTGTGAGCAAGTTATTGGATTTGCATGACCCAGAGATCCATTCTGCAAGAATAGTTCCGCACCTAGCTCTGAGAAACGTCGGCTTGATGAAAGCATTGCTGGCCCTTTCAGCGCGCCATTTCTCTCTGGGAGAGGGACAAAGGGGGGATTTTAGCTGCACCCCATGTGAAAAGGCCGACGTCGAAAATGATGGAGACAGTGCAGTTGTTCGCAGCTTAGCGGCGAAATACTACACCGAGTCCCTTCATTACCTGAAATCGGCCATACATCATCCATCTCATACTCAGAGCTTAGATCTTGTTGCCGCTGCCATTCTCATCAGCACTTACGAAATGATTGATGGCTCGACTCCAAATTGGAAAAGGCGCATCGAAGGAATCTTTTGGATTCAACAGTTCCAGGACATTGATGGTGATTGTAAAGGACTTCGGTCGGCCCTCTGGTGGGCTTGGCTTCAACAAGATACTTGGTCCGCCCTACTCGAGCGACGTCGTATACTCAGCATATGGAAGCCAGGAAAGGAAATTGCATCATTAACAGCTCCAGAGTTAGCTAGATATACATGGTATCTGCTCGGGCAGTGTGTCAACTACACATCGCAAGAAGAGAGCCAAGTGGACGCCGTGCGGCGTGCTGATCGAGGAAGTGAGCTTCTACATATGCTCAAAGAATGGCGTGAAGCTCTTCCGCCAGAGTACAACCCTCTGCCATTGACCTCAGAAGAAAATGTTTTCCCCGCCATATGGGTTAACCCAGCATCCTATGCTGCGGCTTTACAAATCCAGAGCCTCTCCCTCGTACTTGTGGTCTCGCACCATCCTTCATTGGGATGTATTGCCAACGATCGGCGGCCAAACCACGTGTTAGCTGCAGCTATGAAGATAATATGTGGAATTGCAAAGTCTGTTCACGCAGATGACCTGGCCGCCAATATAGTGTCGATTAATTGTCTGTATGAAGGTAAATTATCATGGAGCAACCATGTTTTCCAATTAATAGCTAATTCACAATAGCGGCAAACTTTCTTTACGATGAGCATGAACAACTCGCACTTTTGGACCTTCTCGACCTTTTTCAACAGAGACTCCGGTGGCCTGAAAGGTCACTTCGAAAGGAGGTCGAGCTTCATTACTCCAAAAATGCCTTCGATACGATGGTGATATAAATTCCAATTTACTTTTACTTTACAATCCCCTCCATGTTCTTTCAATCTACAAATGGTAGCCAAGATTAATACGTATTGATCGATCTATGGCGCCACTCGGCTCAAGTCAAAGGAACAAGTTTTCTTCTTATTTTTTTCTCGGTATTTGTAGACATAGTTTGGTTATACTGTCCGCAAGTAGTAGATAAAATGAGCGACCCCGTATGTATTGATAAGAGGGCGTAAATTGATACAAGATTGTGCCTATTAAGCACGAACTGTTGCCTTCTTTCCCGTATGGGGCCCCATTAGAGAAACCGCTTTGTCTCGTATATTTCTCAATCACAATAGTGAGGTCACTTGGGCCTGTCCTGGTTTATCCAGGAAAACTATAGATAGATACTTGTGATATTTGTCTTATGGACTAGAATATGGGTCCTCATTAAATGAGTCCCGACCTCAGACGCCGGCGGAACCATATATGTAAGAACAAAAAGACAATCACACCCACTGTCAGCATGGCAGAAATAACCGAAAATCCCATAATGTACTCGGGACCATCATTCTCAGGAAACAGGTACTGTAAGCTTGATATTAGCCCTGTGGACGGTCAAGGGAAATTGTTGAGTGAGATCAGATGCCTACCGATCCATATATCTGCGCCAGATTGCCCAACGCATTGACCATAGCTAAGGCAACAGCCCGTGCCTGTGGGTGCATACTAGCAAATGCAGAAGATGCATAAGCCAAGGTTTCCCCCATTTGTAGACCACAGACCGGCCGCCATTAGGACCAGAAGGGCATATCTAGCCGTGAAGTCATGTATGATGCAGACGAGGATTGAGCAAATCAACGAAAACCCAAGCCAGCAGGCGATGATCAAACCGCGCCATGTGGAAATCTTATCACCATAATAAGAAGTAATTCCAGTTGCAATAAATGCCACCCCATAAATTGGGACAGTCAATAAGTTGATCTCTTTAGTCGATACATTTCCAAAAAGTCCTTTTACAAGGGTCGGATAAAAGTATGTCAGCGTACTCGAGCCAACAATCACCTGAAGACAGTAATCAGGTTAGCTAGATAGAAATATAAATGGGAATACTCAATGAAATAACATCCTTTAACGCAAAAATGTAAGGGAATTTCTTAGGGGCACAACGAAGGCAGAGCTGGAAATAGAATGAAAGGGAGCAGCGACGAACCATATAACCAATTATAAAGGCCCAAGTGCGAGGGTCTTGACAAGCCACCTTGCAAGCATTTAGATTACTTAGATGCTCAGTATCTGCAGTTGTAGCGGTAACATTCTGACTCGCTAGACGTGTCACAGCTATCTGTCTCTCGCGATCGGAGAGACGTCGTGTCGTCATGGGGAAATCTGGAAGGATGAAAATTGAAAATATAGCAAAGCCAATAGTGATAACGCCTTCGATAATGAAGAGCCATCGCCAACCTCGAATGCCATGAGCACCCTCGAGTCCATCAACGATGCCGGCAGCGATGAGGCCTCCAAATGCGCCCGATAAAACAGCAGCTGAAATAAACACCCCAAACCTCTTCGACTGTTCAGTTTGCTTGTACCATGAGGATAGGAGGAGTATAACACCGGGTGCAAACCCGGCTTCAATGCAGCCCAGAATCGTTCTCAAGGCTACCAATTGACCGAAATCTTTGACAACAGCCATGACACATGTTAAGGCTCCCCAGAGGATCATGATTGACGGTAGATAGATCGAGGGCCGTGATCGGCTCAATGCGAGGCTGATGAGAAGAGGTGATAAGTATATTTCACTCAGTTTTCAAGGTTTATTATTAAATAGAATGTCATACTTGCTCGGGACTTCAAATACAACATATCCAACAAAGAAGACAACCAAAGCAATCGAGTATTGGTTGGATGTCAAGTTGAGATCTACCTCCATCCCGGAGATCTTTGCGTTGCCGATACTATATAATTTTCACCATTAGTCCTTGAAAGTGAAAAACTTCATCGTAAAGACGGACCGACTCACTTAGTTCTATCCAGATAGGACAACAAATACATCACCCAGATGGTAGGCAGGAGGGTGAGATCAATTTTCTTCACCAGCGCTTTCTCCTCCTCATCAGTGAATGAAATCGCCCCAATGGCATCCACATTCTCAACCTCATGAGAAGCGATCTCTTTTCCTTGTCCTTCAAGATCTGCTGCGTTCATGATGGCGTGCAATGAGAGCTGGTAGGATAAGTTAAGGATTTGAATGATGGGGTAGTGGCAGAGACATTGGCCTTCTAAAAGAGTATATGTCTTACCATGCTTCCTCGGAGTTGACAGGCTGGATTCAGACCTGGCATATTGGACTTTGACCGAAATCAGCCCACTTTCGCCGGTTATTCCCCAAATTCATTGTAACAATTATCCACTTTCAAACTCACTCCGCCTTCCACTTGCCCACCCCCCGGAATTTTGCAACGCCGGTGGATTGGCTTATGGCCTTCGCATCGAGTCCAACTGCGGGGCCTTGAACCTTCTGGCATTCACGGAAACGAGACTGTTGTTGGGGCGTGGTGTCGCGGTGCCATCTTTCGACATCTCTCGTGAATAGTAGTGGCTCTCTTCTCTTCTCTCAACCAATTACCACTTTTGTTCAACACTCTGCTATACATAGTCGTTGCAATGGGTACCTGGTTTAGTTAGTTTCGGGCACAGCGGCATGGGCTTTCGAGGCGAGGGCCGTTGAGCTCGAAGCGAGGGTTCCACCAATCACGATGCCGGTCTGCAACTACCACAAAGGCCACAGACTGGCCTCCGCCTACAGATAGTAGTCTGCACTCGGTTTGAATCACCCGTGGCTTCGTATCGAACCCGACAAGCCATTCTACTCACCTCAACACAATGATATTCAGATATTTCCGATTTGGTGTGGTACGAGTATGTTTAAGTATAAAATTGGCAGCGGACTCGACTTCCGGTAGGTAACTTTGATTTAGTACTATCAAGTGTTATACTATTTCCATTATGGCACCTGCGCTGGAACTACTCGAGCAACCCATTGAGAATTTGCGGACCAAGGCAAAACCATCCATTCGCAATGGGGTCTCTCTTCACGATGGTCTGGTCTTAGCAAGTGCGGCGAAACACCAGCGGGTAATGAATGTGTTCCGAGCTTTCATCGCCGATGTCTGCCAGCAGTTTGGCGAAGGCCATGCTGGGTAAATACGCCTTGTCCCAGTACTTTTTGGAAAAGCAAATGCTAACATGTTACTGAAGGTCTCCTATGGGAATGGCTGCCATTGGAATTGCCTTATATAAATATGTGATGAAATATTCGCCTCGGAATTGTGATTACTTCAATCGGGATCGTCTTGTTCTTTCAAATGGTATGTCTTCAATCGACTATTAAGATACTTGAGTCTAGCTAAGCAAAATCGTGATAGGTCATGCATGTCTTTGGCAATATACCTTTATGCACCTCGTGGGCGTCGAAAGCATGACCCTCGACCAGCTCAAATCCTACCACTCAGCGAAGCTCGACTCACTGTGCCCTGGACACCCCGAAATCGAGAATGAGGGCATCGAGGTTACAACTGGACCTCTAGGTCAAGGTCTAGCCAATGCTGTCGGGCTTGCCATGGCCACAAAAAATCTTGCTGCGACATACAACAAGCCCGGCCATGAGGTGGTGAACAACATGACATGGTGCATTGTTGGTGACGCTTGTCTTCAAGAAGGTGTCGGTCTCGAGGCGCTTTCCCTCGCTGGCCATTGGAAACTGAACAACTTATGTGTTATTTTTGATAACAACTCAGTTACATGCGATGGAAGTGCCGATGTTGCCAACACTGAGGACATTAACATGAAGATGCGAGCTACTGGGTTCAACGTTGTCAACGTGTACAATGGTGACACAGATGTCGCCGGTAAGTTTCGAAACCTCACAGCTCGGTAGTAGAGCTTCTTGCTAAAATTATCAGCGGTCACGAACGCTTTAATCGACGCTCGATCGAGTGACAAGCCCACATTCCTCAACATCCGCACCGTGATTGGCTTTGGGGCCACCAAAGCTGGCACAGCCGACATACACGGAGCTGCCCTCGGAGTTGAAGAAGTGGCTACCCTCAAAAGGTCGTTCTGTCTCGACCCCGATAACCACTTCTATATTCCACAAGATGTCTATGACTTCTTCCATGGCATGCCCGACCGTGGCGAGGTTTACGAAGCGGACTGGCAAGCAGCCGTAGCAGAATATCGTGCGGAATATCCCATTCAAGCCGGAGAATTTGCGCTCCGTGTTGCAGGAAAGATGCCAGAAGGCTGGAGCAAATACATTCCTTCCAAGGAAAATCACCCTACTGCTTCCACCGCCTCTAGAAAATCCGCTGGTGTGGTTACGAATGCTCTGGCAGGGAATATCAATTCATTCCTAGTGGGCACGGCGGACCTTACCCCTTCGTGCAATGTCGCGTACAAAAATAAGGTTGACTTTCAGTCGGTAAGTTGATAATAAAGTCTCTCACCTCAAGCTTGACTTCAAATGGTTGATTACACTTCGCTAAGATGAAATAGCCTGACCTTCGAACATCCTGCGGTCTCGACGGAGATTACAGTGGTCGATACATACACTATGGTATCCGCGAGCATGCCATGTGCGCGATAACAAACGGCCTCTCTGCCTTCAACAGGGGTACATTTATCCCCATGACGAGCACATATTTCGTCTTCCACCTGTACGCTGCTGCAGCGATACGCATGGCCGCACTCCAAGGCCTCCAACAAATCCACATCGCCACACACGACAGCATCGGCGTTGGCGAGAATGGTCCTACACACCAACCTATCGCCGTTGCAGCCCTCTGGCGCGCAATGCCTAATCTTCTCTACATCCGGCCATGCGATGCAGAAGAAGTGGCTGGCGCATACATTGCCGCTATCCAAGCGACTTCAACGCCAACAGTCATCTCACTTTCCCGCCAAGGTCTAACACAGTATCCACAGCATTCTTCGCGGGAAGGGACGTTGAAGGGTGGATACGTTTTCACGGAAGCCGAAAGCGATGATTTCGACGTCAGCTTGATCAGTGTTGGTTCTGAGATGGTCTACGCGATGAAGACTCGGGACTTGCTTCTGAAGGATTACGGGATCCACGCACGAGTGCTTTCTTTCCCATGTATCAGACTTTTTGAAATGCAGACTCGGGAATACAAGCAATCGGTGCTGAGGGCGCGAGCTAACAAGCCCACCGTCGCGATTGAGGCGTATCCATCTCTTGGATGGGAACGATATGCAGATGCATCCGTCTCGATGAATAGCTTTGGCAAGAGTCTTCCTTCGAAGGAGACATATGAGCACTTCGGATTTGAGCCGAAGCGCATTGCGGCTAAAGTCAAGGATCTTGTGGATGAAGTCAGGCGGGACGGAATTGGAATTTTGAGGGGGGATTTTAGGGAATTTAATGAGGGGCCGCGGATTGGATTTGAGCATTAGAGATATACCTAATGGGAAGGACTAAAGCTGTGTTTATTTGACAGGGGTGCTATCTACAAGGTGTTATTGTAAACTTTAAGAAATGTAAATACATAGAAGGCCGGTGAGTCATGGGGCTTTCAGAGGACTCTCTGTTTGTTTGATTGTCTTCAAGAGAAGGCAATCTTATGGGAGGGTTGGAGCAAATGGTGATATGAATTGCAATGGCAACATTAAGCAGCAGCCAGTCAAATGGGGCATTTACCATACTTCATTTTCCGACAAATATGACGCTAGGTAGAAGAAATAGCATGTCATGCTTGTGTGAGGAATTGACAACTTGAAGGCGCTGCCCTCATCAACTCCAGAACCCTTTCTGTACTCAGGCTGTTTAACTACTTTTTTTTAAACAAAAAGACGATCGGGCGATGGCGACTAAGCCCTGGTAAAAAATACACTTTTTTCAAATTGTTAAACTGATTCGGACTTGAAAATACTAATCAATTATTCCAGGTTTGGAGTAATTCAAGTTTCAACTCGCCCATGTGTTGAACCTCAGGCTTGGTACTTTTGAACCATCTTGAATTACACAGCGGGTACCTTCTAAGGGCAGTTACTAATTAGTACCCGCCTGAGCAAGTATATATTTCAGCTGGACTCAGAGTGGATTTCATATGTTGGAAAATTCAAGATTATCAACGTTGGAAGCTAGTATTTCTGACTCGGGGATATCGAGAAGATGTATCGGTAACTAATTCCAATAGCGCGCGTCGTTACTGGTCTGCACCAGCCTCATAGTATCACAACAGGTTCTGTTTTCGCAATGAGTAGACTGTGGTCACCAGCATGTGGCCCGTGCCTCTGGTAGATCCGTCGTGATAAGAAGGAGCCTGAGGTATGCAATACTACTAGTACGCTCAGTGCACATTCCTCGGCCGATCAAAACAAACAGCCCCTGTCATCTTTTAACACGAGAACCTAGTAATATTCCTTAGCGTAAACTCTTAACCTATGGCGTTTTAAACTATCTGCTGCCATGAAGCCTAGCTTGTTGTGCATTGGCCTCTTTGCCGCCATTGGGCTTGCGGCAAATCTGGGATCCTGTCGATGTCAACCCGACCAACCTTGCTGGCCAACCGAGGCTCAATGGGCTGCCCTCAACAATTCTATTGAAGGAAATTTGGTCACAGTGAGACCACTCGCAAGTTCTTGTCACGACCCCGATTTCAGCGCCTCAGAGTGTAGCGTTGTACAAGCAAATACAAATAATTCTACCTATCGATCCTCCCAACCAGGTCGAACTCCCCAATAAATCCATCACTTTTGGCCCATCTCTTACTAACTTGAACCAATTCAGGTGCGCTTCAATGGGAAAACTGGGAAACATGGCCAGCAGCCGATGAGAAATGCTACACGGAGACTCCACGTTCGGAACCATGCGAACAAGGCCGATTACCGCTCTACTCAGCTGAAGTACGAACGGCTCAACACATTCAAACCGTTGTCAATTTTGTGACGCGCCACAACATCAAGCTAGTCATAAAGAATACCGGACATGACTTCCTTGGCCGGTCCTCTGCGCCCAAATCTTTGCAAATTCTAACTCACATGATGAAGAACATGTCTATTTCCAACGAATTTATTCCCACGGTACCACCAATGTTAAATCCTCCAGATAGTGCGAAAGCTGTAACTGTTGGTGCTGGCGTTCAATTGGGTGAGATGTACGCATTTTTGGGCTCCAAAGGCCTGATGGCTGTGGGAGGGACATTCAGCACGGTTGGTATCGCCGGCGGATATATCCAGGGTGGAGGGCATTCCTTCCTGGGCTGGCTCCATGGGATGGCGAGTGATAATGTACTTGAGTTTGAAATTGTCTTGGCAGATGTAAGCCCCAATGTGAACTCTTCGCGAGATGCTTCGTTACTGATATATCAGCAGGGCTCACTTGTATTCGCCAACGCATATCAGAACTCTGATCTGTTCTTTGCATTGAGAGGCGGCGGTGGAGGGTCTTTTGGTGTGGTCGTAAGCGCTACTCTTAAGGTCTACCCCGATTACCCCTTGATATATGCGACCCTCAACTACACCATGGACCCAGGTGTCGCATTCTGGGACGGAGTTGGAGCATTTCAAAAACACATCCTTCGGCTCAACGATCAAGGTGGCTCGGGATATTACGGAATGGTGCCAATATATCCAGTTTCCAGCACACAGAACGTATCCGTCCTTCTGTCCTCCATGGCATTCGTCAACCAAACAAACTCAACCACCGTGAAAGAACTTTTCTCTCCTTTGTTATTGGATTTGAAGCAAGCGATCGGTTTCGAACCATTTTTCGATATGGTTACGTATCCTTCAATGTCGAGCATGTATTCGACAATCCTGGCCGGTAGCTATGCAACCGGCACAGGTATGCGCTTAGGATCCCAACTGGTGTCTCGGGATTTTATGAAATCAGACAATTCTACCCGATTGACGCGTGCGATGTCAAGTCTTAACTTTGACCCGGGTGAGGCAGTTGCCGGCGTAATCCTAACCGGTGGCCAAGTTTCTAAAAATCGCAATATCGCTTCTGCACTGAATCCAGCCTGGAGAGATACTATGGTGCATGTGATTTTCACGCGGTTGATGAGCCCAGATATGACATTTGAAGAACAGGAAACGAAAGCCGCTAACATTACGCGCCATGAGGTGCCTATTTTCAAATCACTAGAGCATGGCAAGATGGGTGCATATATGAACGAAGCCGATGCTGATGAAGTTGGATTTCAGAAATCCTTTTGGGGTGAAAATTACCCACGATTGCGATCTATAAAGGCATCAAGGGATCCAAATGATCTGTTTATTGTTCGCAAAGGGGTTGGGAGTGAAAATTGGGACGATGATGGGCTTTGTCGATTGAACAGAACTTGAAGGTTGGTTCTTGATTTAGAGCCAAATGTTGGATTACAGGATATGTATGCATAGCGATGAGGGAGCCAATTGATGTGATGGATTGAACTTGGAGAATTATTTAGGACATCGGCGTGGAGGGATAATAAACCATTATAGAAATTCTTAAAAGAATCCCGTCATCACTCATCAACATCAATTATTACTATCTGGCTAATTACTCCGAAAGTAAACACATCAAGCACAATCATGATCAGAATCATGATCAAGACTTAGCATTAGCGGGCTTGATAGACGCTTGCTGAGCCGTATGCAACAAACCCGGGGCCAAGGCACTGCGCTCATCAACGCCAGAACCCTCGGCGTACCGTTCAACACTGGAAAAGGAGTCTGTTAGTCATATATCACTGGCAGTACATAATTCAAGATGAACTTACAGGGATAACTCAGCGGCGAGAGTATCATTCCTGAACGCCTCGCGAATATCGGGAACGTTACTCTTCGCAACATTGTTACCGCGCACCCCAGGCTGACTGCAATCTTCACCAAGCCATCTCTTCTTCAAGGTAATCTCGAATCCACTCTGATCGACAGAGTGCTTGGCAAGTTCGCACATGTCGACAGCGCTAAATTTGTAGATTTGAGCGGCTACCGAATATTCCTCGATCAGGGGTTCTTTAGTGAATGCGAATTGGAGAGGGTCATCGGTTGACAGGGAGACATTCAGTCCTCGCTTGAAGAAGCTGGCACAGGGGTTCTTATCGTAAGTGAGGAACAGGGCGTTGTTACTCAGTGGAGACATGGCGATGCCTATCTGGTGTAGATAGTAAAGATACTGGAGCAGAGGGACCTTGCGAAGTAAAATGCCGTGACTGATACTGTGACAAGCAAGGAAGCCCACGGCCAAATGGTCCGGGTCACCTGCTTCACCGCAGTGTGGGCGGAGAACGAAGGTATTGAAACCGCGGCGCTTCCTCCACTGATTGAGGGATGCGATGTTGGCGAACATGAAGTACAACCAGTAGCTGTAGGGTGGATTCTGTTTGGTATCCCAGTCTCGCGGGATGGGATACTTTCGGTAGAAGCGGCGCTCGGTCTTGCTTTCGTCATCCACACTGTCAAATCCGACGACGCGCTGCAGGAAGATGTGGAGTTTGGGGTGGCTGGATGGATCCTTGGTCACCTCGAACAGTGGTTGGAAAACATTGGTGATCACTTGTTCGAAGTTTTCCATCATGCCGCTGGACTTGTAGACATCGTAGAGGCGGGGCACCTGGATCAACCAGCGGACGTTGGGGGAAAACAGTTTATTGTCGACGACCCACGCAGCCAGCTTGTCCCACTCGTCGGGCGATCGTCCATAAATGGAGATACGCCATTCAACCATTTGATATTTGCTGGACTCCAAATCGGAGATCACTTCTTTAGTGATCTCGGCCAGGTATCGGCCCTTGATGTAGTTATCTGTCTTCAAGAAGATTTCACGAAGACGAGATTCTCCAACTGGGTTGTATTTGAGGTTGAACTTGTCAAAGCGATGGAAAGAATCGGTGTGGGCCTATTCGAGTGTTAGTAGGCGTTCCATCCCGACTGCACATACGAGATGAAATAGAGTAGGGCGAGGGTAACATACGTGCATATCCAAGGTATCAATACTGAGATCGTAAGCAGTCAAGTTGATACTTTCGAAGACCTCCCGCAGAGTCAAGTGCTTGCCATCACGGAAGAGAACCACCTCATCGGGAGATTTGCGCATCTTGCTCTTGATAAAACGAAGCAGATGCTTCTGGTTCATACACGCCGAGTGGTGAACGTGAGTGTCGACCTTTCGGACGTTGTAAAAATCACGGTGGGGGACTTTCTTGCTGTCTGCGACTTCCTGATATTCATTCAAGAGGGTGTATAGCTGATATTTGCCTTCCAAATATGAGAGACGCTTAAAGGCAAAACTCTTAGCTGGCCCATCCGTCGAGACATCCACCACGGCATCCAAATCCATGTAGAAATCCCGCAATGAAGGGATGCGAACCGCAGGCTCTTTCGCGTCTTCCGACTCATAGACTTGGTAGACACTGCTCCGGTCCAAACGGTATGTCCAATCCGATGGGCCGGGAAGAGGCAACAGCTCCTCGAAATCGAAATCTTCACCGATATCCTCGCCCATTTTCTCTTCTTCTCATTCAAATCCGAGGAGCCCCCAGCGGTCCCTGGTTGGTACTCCTTACCATCGTCCCAGGCAGGCTCTGGTGGCGGAGGGTATAGAACCCAATCGGGATGATCACGGGGGGTTACCTCCCGGTTGTTGCAAGGACAATTCCATATATTTGGTTCGACGATCCAAGAGACCCTTGATCTTGCGATAGATGGAACTCAACTCGGAGCTCACAGCATCACCACTCGGCGCGAACCCATTGGCACCCTGGGGGAGACCACCAATACCGAGACCATTCCCTTGGATGCCTTCAGCCGCGGCGATGTGTGAAGTCTGGGCGGGGCTGAACGTGGCGGCATGGCTTCGAGCGGCGAGATCTGCGGCCTGTTGGGCACTGTTAGGCAGAGTACCGTCCCCACCGGACTGGGAAGAGGTAGAAGGATACCACTCTGCTTCATGCATAATGGAGTTTCCTCGAGGGCGAGAAGAAGAATCGCCGTGGAATGAGCGGTCTCCTTCGTTGGACTCGACGATAGAGCTATTTGTGGGGACGGGGCTAACGGGGACACCTTGTGCAGTGTTCTCGCCGGTTGCAGACCCCGTCTTGGACGATTGTTGGTGATGTTGGTAGAAGAGTTTTGCCTCAGCGTGACTCATGGACTTCTCAAAGGCATAGTCGTAGGTAGCCGTCTTTTGTTGCTGGTCTCGAGGCCACAGCTCGCCGTTGTCATCTAGTGACGGGTCCGAGTCGTCGCGAGAGGTAGGGACGACGGCCTCGTCGCCGGAGCTGAAGTACCGTGGGTATTCATCGTTGGGAGTGTTGGCATTTGAATCGAGACCAAAGTCGGGTTGAAGGGACCCCATGACTATTGTTGATCGGCTGTGCGCCACCGGAGCGGAGGGAGGGAGGGGGAGGGGAAGGGGAGGAAGGGGTGGATTTGAAATAGAGAATTGGTGGATTGGATTATTGAGTCATGGCGGGACACGGAGAGGTGTAAATATATATGCGAGTATGTGCCAGTGGCCCGTTGGTATGCTATCAGCGATAATGATTTTTTTGACCTTGTGATCCACACCGGTGAGCCTCGCAGGTCCAGATCGGGCGGGGTGGAGCCGATTGGAGGGAATGTTTGGATGGGATAGATTGATTGGGTATCAATGGGACAATGGAGTGGTGGTGGTAGAGAAGTATACAAGAGGTGGCGGTATGAGGGTTAGGGGTTGAGGGGAGAAGAGAAGAAGAGAAAAGGAGAAGAAGAAGTAGTGAAGTTGAAGTTGTGAGGTTGTGATGGAGATGAGAACAGGTGACTTTGGGTAAGTGAGGAAAGAGCGGAGATGACGTCCCGTGCAGTTCCACTCGCTCTTTCCATAACAACACCCACCCATACATTAAACAGCAAGTCACCTGCTTAGCACCTTCCACCTCCACCTCCACCGCTGTCAACTTCACCTCTACATCTCCCCGCATATTCCCATACACATACTCAGTGGACCACTGGACCACTGGCCACTTCCTACTTGAATACACTCGGTATTATCCATCCCCTGCAGCTACCTGCTACATGCCCCTCACTGCACGAGGCATCATCATTTCCCCTCCCTCCAGCTCAACCCAAAACTGGAGCTGTGGCTGAGTCTTGGAGCCTAAACTGATATACTGATATACTGATATCCCCTTGGAACAGCACACCAACAAGTCAATCACCTTCTCTTCCACTGCCTACTGGTGCAAATACTCCATTTCTTCCTCCTCCACCTCCACCTCCACCTCTGCCACCATGGCATCTCTCAACCTCTCGACCAATGGTCCCTCCATCAACAAAAGCTACCAATCCGTTGTCAACGCCACTCTCCCCTCGGGCTCCCCAACTTATGGTCAATGGGCTCTCTTCTCCGTGTCCGCCCCGCTAGTCAATGCCTTTCAACAGGATGGCGGAAACAAAGAGAGTGTCCTGAAGGTCCAAACTACCGGAGGTGAGTGACCACAGCCGCCCGCCGTGCCGCCCCCATCACAGCCCCCAATGTGCAGCCCACAGTAATTGATTTGGATCACTGACTGCCAACTTATGACACCCAGATGGTGAATTGGACGATCTGATCGAAGAGTTCTCCGAGGGTCGTGTGCAATTCGCCTACGTCAAGGTCATTGACCCCAACACCGGTCTGCCCAAGAATGTATTGATCGCATGGTGCGGTGAGGGTGTCCCCGAGCGGACAAAGGGCTACTTCACCAGTCACTTGGCCAGTGTTTCCAAGTTCCTACATGTAAGAGACCACAGTGGCATGCATTCATGGCGCATTCCTTTCAATGCCATCGCCAAAATCATCAAACTAACCATATGCTCTCCGCTCAAATAGGGGTACCATGTGCAAATCACAGCTCGCGCCGATGGTGACCTGACCCCCCAGGGTATTATCCAACGGGTCGGAGATGCTTCGGGCTCCAAGTACTCGGCTTCATCACAGGGTCCCGCCGTGACTCCGGCTGCCAACCCCCGTCCTCCCGTCGCGACTAAGCCCGCCTTCACCCCGTCCCGATCTGGCGGCATTTCTGTCCCAGCTCCATCAACCGCCCGCCCCTCGGCCTCATCCAACGTGGATGACGATGGCTGGGGTGCCGATGCTCCCCCCCGTCACGAGATCTCAATTGGAAAAGGTCCAGCCGGCCTACCAGCCTACACGCGTGGACCTACAGCAATTGAAGTCGGAGAACCAGGCCCCCGCCCCGCGACAGGTTCCTACGGCTTCGGGGAGCGGTGCTGATGTGGTTGGTGGTGGCTACCAGCCCATCGGTAAGGTCGACATTGCAGCAATTCGGCGACAAGCGGCCTCGTCGGGTGAGACGAAAGATGATCGTCCTGCCATTGTCAAGGGCTCCTACGAGCCGGTGGGCAAGGTGGACATTGCAGCCATTCGGGCCAGAGCTCAGAAGCCGGAAGATGCCCCCGAGCCCACCAGGAGCCCTGCCCCTGCCCCTGCCCCTGTTCCTCAGAATGAGCCAGTGAATCTGCCCGTGCGACCGGCTGTCGGTGAGAGCTCCTCCGAGCGACTGACATCTTTGCCCAAGCCCAAGGTTGCCAACAAATTCGGAGGGGGCCCGTCGTTTGGTGGCACCAAGCCGCCGCTTCCCTCGGGATCCTCCTCGGCCGCTGCTGCCGCCTCGCAGATCGGCAGCGCCAGCCGTACCTTTGCCGACCAGGGAGGCAAGACTCCAGCCCAGCTCTGGGCGGAGCGCAAGGCCAAGGAGCGTGGTGAAGCTCCCGCCCCCTCCGCCGAACCATCGCAGCCCATCCAGAGCCAGGCCAGCGGTCAGAACGAGTGGAAGAGTTCTTACGCTGGCAAGTCTTGGGCTACCGTCCAAACTGTGCAGGATAGAGCAGCCCCAGAAGTGGCTGATGTCAGAGCCGGTGAACCTGCCGACGCAGCGGAACCTCCCTCTCACGTCCATGATGTTCGCGACCAGTTCGCCCAGGAGCCCGCGCAACCCGCTCCTCCTCCCGTTCCCCAGGCCAATCGTCCCGTCCCAGCTCCCGTTCCTGTCCCCATTCCGGTGCCTGGATTATCTGCTGGGCCTACCGAGCCCACGGAGCCGGAAGAGGAAGAGCATGATCGTCACCAAGAGCTCCCTACTCCTCCCCCGCAACCGCGCTCCCCCACTCCCCCCACTCCTCCCGTTCGTGAGAGCTCCCCCATCCAAGTCGCTATGCCCGTCGGCCGAGGCGTGGAAGAGTCCGTGGCAGATGCTCACGAGGAGCAACACTCTCCTCCTCCTGTGATGCCCGTCCGCAGCCTTCAGGAGATCGTTCCTGATGAGAGGGATCTCGAGGAGACTCAGGACCTTGGCCGAGCTGCCGCTGAAGCTACCGTCGATCATTCCCAGGGCGGAATCCGGGCTCAGGTGCAGTTCGACTACGAGAAGGCCGAGGACAACGAAATCGAACTTCGAGAGGGAGAATTCGTGACCGAGATTGAGATGGTTGACAAGGATTGGTGGCTGGGTGTCAACGCTCGTGGTGAGCACGGTCTCTTCCCTGGCAACTATGTTGAGGTTGTGGAGGATGACCAGGCCGGTGCGCCCATCCATGAACACGCCCATGAGGCTGTCCGTGAGCCATCGCCCGAACCGGAGCATGTCCCTGTCCCTGCGCCTGTTCCCGCTGCTGTTCCCGCACCACCCCCGGCCGCACCAACCAGCTCGAAGGCCCAGACAGCGACTGCGCTATACGACTACGAGGCAGCAGAAGACAACGAGATCAGTTTCCCTGAGAACGCGAAGATTCAGAACGTGGTAAGTTTTATCTTTTTCCTCTTTCTTCTTTATTTTACCCGAAAGCCCTAAAAACTGACCTGTGACGTTAGGAATTCCCCGATGACGATTGGTGGCTTGGAGAGTACCACGGCAAACAGGGATTGTTCCTGCGAACTACGTCCAGCTGGATTAGATATGCCTGCCCCTGTTCTCCTGTATTGATTCATTCCCTCTCAATTCCGGTATGATGATTGTGTCTATGTAAATAACTTAGCCAATGGAATAAACAATTACACAATACTCCAGTCTCCCTCTCTCTCTCTCTGTAATGATTAAAGTGGCTCAGCTCCACCTTGTTCCCCCCAGTCACGTGCCACCACCCATCAACAATTCCCGAGGCCGCAACCTCCTCCGTCCACGCCGCGCGAGGGTCCTTCGTTTCCAACTTCGAGCGCAGCCTATTTTTCGATTGATTTTCATTTCTCTACCCCTCCATTTCCATAGTCCTCTTCCTTTCGGGCTTTCGGTCCCTTCTGTCCTTCCATCATGGCTGCGCTGGGCGAGGATCTGCTCGTCACCGTGAACAAGCTCCAGGACCTGGTCTTTAACACCATTGGCAATGATTCCCTCGATTTGCCGCAGATCGTGAGTGGATCCCGGCTGTAGACATTTTGTTTTTCTGATGAGAAAACCACGTGTTTTAACTAACAATCACCACCCAGGTCGTCGTCGGTTCCCAATCCTCCGGCAAGTCTTCAGTCTTAGAGAACATCGTCGGACGGGATTTTCTACCACGTGGAAGTGGCATCGTCACTCGTCGCCCATTGATTCTACAACTTATCAACATCGCCAGCGACCGCGACGAGCAACATGACCATGACGAGATCAATGTCCCTCACACCGCGGCCAGCGTGGCCGGCCATTCGGAATGGGCTGAATTCCACCACCAACCCGGCCGCAAGTTTGACGACTTCGGCCAGGTGAAGCAGGAAATTGAGGCGGAGACTGCACGTATCGCTGGAAGCAACAAGGGCATCAACCGACAACCCATCAACCTCAAAATCTTCTCCCCTCATGTCCTCAACCTGACCCTGGTCGATTTGCCCGGTCTCACCAAGGTGCCCATTGGCGATCAACCATCCGACATCGAGAAACAAACGCGTACCCTCATCCTGGAATACATTGCCAAGCCCAACAGTATCATCCTGGCAGTTTCCCCGGCCAATGTCGACTTGGTCAATTCGGAGGCCCTGAAGCTCGCCCGACAAGTGGATGCCATGGGCCGGAGGACGATCGGCGTGCTGTCCAAGCTGGATCTCATGGACCACGGCACCAATGCGATGGATATTCTGTCCGGTCGCGTCTACCCATTGAAACTGGGCTTTATCGGTGTTGTCAACCGGTCTCAGCAGGATATCCAGTCTGGCAAGGAGCTCGCGGATGCCCTCCGCGCCGAGGCCGACTTCTTCCGTCACCACCCTGCGTATCGCAACATGGCCAACCGATGTGGAACACAGTTCTTAGCCAAGACCCTCAATTCAACTCTGATGGCTCATATTCGTGACCGACTACCCGATATCAAGGCCCGCCTCAACACCCTGATGGGACAGACCCAACAAGAATTGGCAAGCTACGGCAACAAGCAATTCAGTGGACCGGAACACCGAGGATCGTTGATTCTGCAGCTGATGACCCGATTCGCCTCCTCCTTCATCTCATCTATTGACGGAACCTCCTCCGAAATTTCGACCAAGGAGCTCTGCGGTGGAGCTCGGATCTACTATATTTTCAACGAAGTCTTTGGAAACTCCCTCGAAACCATCGACCCTACCCATAACCTGACTGTCTCGGATATCCGCACCGCCATCCGCAACTCCACAGGTCCCCGACCCAGTCTTTTCGTGCCAGAGCTTGCATTCGACCTGCTAGTCAAGCCCCAAATCAAGCTGCTCGAGTCCCCCGCCCAGCGCTGTGTCGAGCTTGTTTACGAAGAGCTGATCAAGATTTGCCACACATGCGGCTCGCAAGAACTTCTCCGCTTCCCTCGTCTCCAGGGCAAACTGATCGAAGTCGTATCCGACCTCCTCCGCGAACGTCTGGGCCCTTGCGCAGGCTATGTCGAGTCTCTCATCTCCATCCAACGAGCCTACATCAACACAAACCATCCCAACTTCCCCGGCGCGGCAGCAGCCATGGCCTCAATCATTCAGAACAAGCAAGAAGAAGAGCGCAAAGCCGTTCTAGCCGAGGAGAAGCGCAAGCGCGAGAAGCGACGAATGAAGGAACTCGGCACGGCGAACGGTGCTGCCGGCGGCCCGGAAGAAGAGGACACCCAATCCGAGAAGAACCACCTCCCGATCCGTAGCCAGTCGACAAAGGGTGGACGCAGCTTGTCACCCAATGTAGGCCGCGGCGCGGAGAATGGTATCGCGGCCACCTTGAACGGCACTTATGGGCAGAATCACACGACTGGTTTCGGTGGTCAACCTTCTACCCGCGACTCTTTCTTGAATTACTTCTTCAGCAACGGTGGTGCCGGTGCTGGTACAAGTACCGGTACACCCGTGCCAAACCGATCAGCGCACTCGGCCGAGCCTACTATCAGCCAGAGCCTCCGTCGTTCGGAAATGCGGTCTCCGCCCATGCAGGCTGAGGAGTATCCGGCTCCAATCGAGTTTGGTGATGGGTCTCTTTTCGTAAGTGCCTTTCTTTCCTTTTCTTTTTTTTTCTATCCCTAAACCCTAACCCACCCATAACTAAACAACCCACTAACCTCCACTCCAGCCTCACGAAAACGCCGAACCAACCCTCACAGACAGAGAAATGCTAGAAACAGAACTAATCCGCCGCCTAATCTCCTCCTACTTCCACATTGTCCGCGAAACCATCGCTGACCAAGTCCCCAAAGCAATCATGCACCTGCTAGTGAACCACAGCAAGGACGTTGTGCAGAACCGACTGGTCAGCGAATTATACAAGGAAGATCTCTTTGGCGAATTGCTTTACGAGGATGATGGGATTAAGGCTGAGAGGGAGAAGTGTGAGAGGTTGTTGGAGACATATAAGGAGGCTGCTAAGATTGTTGGTGAGGTTTTATAGGTGGTAGTGGTCTATGCGAAGGGAGTGCTGATATGCGAAGTACGTGCTTCGCAACACTGTTTTGAGTATGGGATGGATCGGATGGATCGGATCGGATGCAATGTGTGGGGATTGATTGAATTCCTATCTTATTACTTTTACTGGTACCTTTTTGATTACGCGCGGTTGTTTGTATGTACAATTATGGGGCTTGATGCACATGCTCGTGATATACCGTTTCTTCTCTCTTCTGGTTCAAGTTCAAGTTGCCTTGGGCGTTCTAAGGTTTCTCAATAAATACTAGTACTAGTACTCTGTAGAACATGAGATATGCATTTATGCTCAAATTAAATGAGATGCATCGTGACTGGAATTAGATGTGCTGCCATAGTTGAGCCTCAACCCTAAATGGGACTCGGATACCATACATCCTACTAGTAGTACCTTTTCACCCCATGGGATGGAGAAGTACTACATACAAGCCCGAGTATACACTCCAGGGCTGAGATCAGAATAAAAGTCCAGCGTAGAATAGCTTAATAGCTCCTACAGTTATTAAATACAGAGGAAGGGCGCAAAGTGAAGGCGCTCATTCAATGGATCTTGCATGTGATCCCGCGAAGAGATCTTCTCCTGCAGAAATCTCGGCTGATCCGTGATTTTGCGAGATTGACGTTGAGAGTGGCTCACCCAACGTGCCTAATGTCTAGTATCCCTCCTCGTCGTTGTGATCAATCTGGCCCGATGGACTTACTCTGCAGAGCCCAGTCGCTACCCTAGACATTCGAATATTAGCGCTCTCGAAATTCCGAGATCGCTCATCATTACATGACTGCTAGAATGCTATAGCAAAATGAATGTATAGGAATTACTACATAGCATCCGAGTACCCAACTTTATGTTGACATGACTGCGCCTTCTTTTTTTTATTAATTTGGACTTCTTCCCCAACATGACTCCGCCTAATATCGTTCCGTTCGTAAATGCTGTGGATAATACTACTACGTACTAGTAGTATACGACAAGTCTGTTTAGCCGGTAATTATCCGGGTGCCGTACTTCCCCGCACCCCCTGCGCACTGGCCACGATATGTCTTTGTATATCCAGGCGATTAAAGGGACTCGGGGTACGGAATAGAAGTGATGTGTTTACGACATCGTTGCGCAGTGACCTCCCCGGGGACTTCCCCTTTACCTGTGGAGTAGATATTTGTAATCGTTTTAAGGTACTTTCATATCCCCAGATATCATATAAGTATCTACCGTTACACTCCACATCTATGATTCATTAAATTTCCCAAGTCATCATCATGTCGCGAATCAACGTCGGAATAGTTGGATACGGGAACTCTGCCAAAGTCTACAACCTTCCGTACTTGTTACCTCACCCTGAATATCAAGTCTATGCCTTTCTTCAGCGTTCAGCAGCCCCTTCGGATCTAGCTAGTGCTAAGCCAGGCTCTCACTGCACCGTCGATTTCCCACAAGCAAAGCATTATCGCACATCGGACGAGTTTTTTGCCGATGCGAACATTAAGCTAGTCATTGTTTGCACCCAGTTCGACACCCATGCCGAGTTTGCGGAAAAGGCCTTGAATGCAAATAAGCATGGTAGGTATTCTCTTCATTTATGGACTGGCGGTTACTGATTTTGGCCGCAGTTCTAGTTGAGAAGCCTTTTACAACATCGAGCAAAGAAGCCGATAAGCTTATTGCACTTGCCAAAGAAAAAGGCAAAATTTTGACCGTTTATCAGAGTAAAGTTCTACCAGTTATTGCTAGTTATGACGGGCTGCTGACTTTGGCAAAAATAGATAGGCGTTGGGATGGTGACTTTCTGACACTGGAACATATCCTTGACAAAGGCGCACTGGGAACAGTTACAGAAGCTGAAATCCACTATGATTTCGAAAATCCGCCCTGGGTTAGCTCTATGGCCGCAAAAGGCTACACCCCTGGGGATGGAAACATGTTTGGTCTTGGTATAGTACCATATTGCCCTGTACCTCCAAGCTCGTATACTTATCACTATCTAGGTTCTCATACTATTGACCAAGCATTGGTTCTCTTTGGAAGACCTAAATCTGTTATTGGAATCATGACAGTTCTACGCGGTATTGAAAGTGAGACTGAAGATAGCTTCACTTTGATCCTGCAGTATGATAGCCCGTTGCTGGTTACTGTGAAAACCACAATCGTTACGCCCATGGTCAACCAGCCAAAATACCTTATTCGAGGAACCAAGGGCTCATATCTGAAGGTAATTCATTATCTATTAATCATTATTATAATTTCCAGTCCAGCTGATCAAGAAACAAGTTTGGGACGGATGTTCAAGAAGACCAAATCCTGTCAGGGATTCAATCTACAAGCGCAGAATTTGGCATAGGAGACTCGACTGATGACGGTATATTGACTACATACGATGAATTTGACGGCACATACCAAACCTACAACTCCAAGGCAAAGAAATTTTCTGGAAAATATCCAACTTTGCCTGGAAGAAATCGAGGGTATTATGAAAACCTAGCCGACGTACTCAGGGGAAGATCGGATCTAAAGGTTCAGCCTCAGCAGTCACGCGATGGAATCCGTTTAATGGAATTGGCACGGGAATCCTATCTTACCGGCAAAACGGTTCTTTGGTCATGATTTGGCTTAGATCTATGCTGCGAATTGATAACTAGTGTCGATCTAACAAGCCTTCCCATGGTCAAGATCTTGAATCAATGTTAGGGTCATCCTAAAACCAAGTTTACTCTTTCTCTCACAAAAATACACAAATATTACCAAAGTCTTATTTCAATATCACCGTCGCACCAAACAAAACCCGATTAGACAATTCGCAGTTTGATAACGATGCACGAAGACACAACACATTCAAAGAACAATGGAATTGTACTAATACACAGCTGCACTCTTCTTCAGAGTCACAACATCGAGCTGCTTGCCTTCATTCAGCTTCCTCAGAGTAGCGGCCAGCTCATTTGGGTACCACCTTGCCCCTACCTCAGGGTGGCTAGTAAGAGCATTGGTCAAGATAGCGTCGTTATAACTTGTTTTGAAAAGGCTCTCAAAGAATGTTTCAGCGTCCGACTTGCTATCCTTCCGTAAAGCCAAAATATGAGGTGGTATGTCCAACACGAGATGTTCCGGCATGACGCTGGAACTGGGGTACTGGAAAAATGCGGCACTGATTCGCTTGCCGCGCATTTCATTGTTGGCTCTTATGTACTGCTGCCGGGTGAGGCTTACCCGGTGAGTGGTAGCAACGCAAACTCCATGGGTCATTGCCTCCAATGATCGCCCGATGTTTATCACCAAGGTATTAGGAATCGGTGGCACTGCGATCCAAGAAAGACATAAGTATGCACTATTCTTTGAAAGCGGCACAGTATCTACATCCATGAATGCCGTGTAACCTGAAACAATCAATCTCGTACCAGATGATGTGCTACCAGGCGTATTGTATTACATATTACGTCCCACAGCCAAGGCACCTCAGAAGGTGCGGTGTAGCATCTTAATCGGTCCAAGAGATCTTCCGTTACACGACATAAGCCATTTGAACGATCCAAGGAAGCGTCACCGAATGATGTGTATAAGTGCCTAGATGCACCGGGCGTCCGAATCGTCCGAAAGACAGTCGGTGCACGCATGCACACATTCTTCGATCGCGGGGCTGGAGATCGATATCAAAATACGGTATACGGAGTTTCAGCTTGCAATTTTGCGCCTTATGTACTAGTATCCTGCATAAATGATACAATGAAGCCCTCAGAGGATGTCTTCCTTCAGTTACTTACAGGTATATGGTGATCTCGGCTTCAGTGTTTCCAGAAAATTGTACCACCAGATCTCTTTACTTGAAACCTTGGAAGACACCTGGGCATGTTGCTTTATTGAGATATAAAAAACCCCAATCACAATGAAATCACGGTAGATGCTCCCACGAGGACTGCAAGTGGAGATATTTCAGTTCGAGTTGCTCTAGTTATGTATATTCTCATGCAATGCACATTGTAAATAATACTATGCTAGGCTATGCTATAATCTATGCACAGTGAATAGTGACAATCGCAGTCTAATGGCCAATCCGATCAAACACGAGAGAAGATGCGAAGAATAAAATGCAAGAGCCCGAGAAAACCCCAAGTGGAATCCGAAAAGAATAAGAAAGTAAATGTAAAGGTAAGCTCCAAGCTACAACCCAACGAATGATATTGAAATCACTGGGCCTTTTTCTCCTTTGACATCGACTTCCGCAGTCTAGCACCTTCAACCCCATATAAACCCCCGCCAACAAAAACCAGCACGGCACCGAGTAAAACGCCCGAACCAAGCTGATTTCCAAAGAGATAAATCGACAGCAAGAGCGAGACGAGTTTGCGAATATTTAGCGCAACGGTCACGGTCAATGAAGATGATTTCGCTGAGAGGAGATGCACGCCCCGGATGCAAACGTATTGGGTTAATGCGTTCATGATGAGATATGATACCTGAATAGGGATGTGGTTCAGGATACTCCGGAGCTGCGGAGAGGTGTAGACTATTTCCAGAATGAATGCGAATGCATTACCACTGTTTGAAGAAAGTGGATTAGTCTTCGAGTCCAATCCAAAATGCTGCAGAATCGATGGCGACGAAGCCACAACCCGCCATTGCGAATACATTGTCGTCCAGCTGGAAAAGAAAATCGGGAGCGAAAGCACATGCGAGTAGAAGAGTGCTTCTTTCCAGTGATCACGGCCGTAAAACGCATAAAGTCTATCGGCATAGATACCCTGAAACGCCGAGAGGACCATAGCCAGCGCGAGAATGCTGAATCCGATAATCGTGTTTTTCATGGCCTCGCCGTCCCCCTCTCCGTCCAACCCGATTTCTAGGGACTGGCCCTTTGCCTGTGCGTCCGCTAGCGCCGCGGCCATCACGCCGACGGTCAGCATAGCGACGGAAAGAATCTGGCCGCGAGAGTAGCGCCGGCCGTTGAATAGGCATCCGACGATCATTGATGCGACAGGGCCGCCGGAGCGGAGAATTATATGCAAGGGCACTGAAATCTTGTATGCGAAGGCCCAGTTGTTGAGGAGGTTGACTGAGACGAAGTATGCGGTGTATATTAGCCACGAGCGGAGGGGGATGGCTCGGGGCTTGATGAAGAGCGCGGAGAGTCCGGCGGAGGGGGAGATGAAATGCGGTAGTGTGAATAGAGCGCAGAGGGCGAATTGGGCGAATGTTATCAAGGGACCTAGACGGTGGAGGGAATGTATTAGAATTGGGCTGATGCGGTTTGGCGCGGGGTGGGCGAGATATGCGGGGTCTTACCAGCGGTGGGTTGTTCTCTATCAGATGGTGTGTTAGTTTATTTATTTGCAGTATGGCACACACGGGAGCTCTGGAGTATGGTGGTCTGGCACTTACTTGATGATTGCTTCGAGGGCGAAGACCTGCGCGCCGCGGTATTAGCCTGCGCTCTTTGAGCAGCTCATTCATGCACATTGGCGATTGGCGCATATATGGACATGGATGGGGCGGTGGACTCACATTGGTGCAGCAGCCCCCCAAAATCAGAAAGACCATAAGGACAAAATTCGCCCAATTGGGCACCACCGCATGCGCGGCTGCCGCGAGTACGCTGGCATTGGTATCCTCTTTTTGTGAGGAGTTGTGGGCAAGTGCAGACTTGGGCGACCCGGTGGCATTGCTGGCGTCGCGGGAATTGCTGGTCGAGACTGTGTAAGTGTCTGTTCGGCGCTTAGGACCGTCGCTGTCGTTAATCATCTTGTTTGTAGGGCGTGGTGACTCGCGAAGTGGCTTTGTTGACTGAGGCGGAGCAGTCAAGTCACTCTCTCACACGCGCCGCGGGGACGGTTGGTGGAGGTGTTGTAAGCGAGGAGACCGATGCAATTGTTCAGTACATGCACGGATAATAGATGTTTCTCGTGGTGCTCGGGGAAGAAGTGGAAGTTGGAAGTGAAGTGAAGTGAAGGAGGAAAGAAGGAAATGCGGAGGTGAAGTGGAAAGCGGAGGTAAGCACTCGGGACACAGCAATCACTACAGACACTACATATTCGTATACTTATACTTATCCTTATACTTCAACACTCAACTCGTACTCAGACTCATATATTTCATTAGATTTCATTATGTTACATTATTCTGTACTTCACTCTCAATCCTCAATATCATCATCACTGAGAATCAGCTTCTCCTCCGCTAATGGCTGCAGCGATGGTCCAGGTCCAGGTCCAGCATTGCCAAAACTGCTCGACTTCTTCAAAGGCACCAAATCCTCCTCCTCCTCCTCCCCTTCATCCCCGTCTAAACGGCTTCCCCGAATACGAGTAATCTGTCGGAGTTGCCAAGCATCACTATCATCCCGTTTAATCATCGCCATGTACGGTAATTGGTCCAGCAGGACATCATGACGTCGCATCATTGTTGTCATCGTCGTCCTCGCCGGATGATCATCCGGATATCCTAATCGACGATTCCTCCAAGCGCTAACGCCAGACATCTCCCCGGTCGCAGATCCGCTGCCATCTTGCCGAGATGGGAGTTGGAGATTGCTGCTGCTGTTGCTGGTCGGGTCGAGTAAATGCTTCATCCACGCATCAACCAACCCATCAATCTCCTCCGTCTTGTGCCAGAGCCGTAGTGAAGAAGGGTATAGCATCTTGTAAGCATCGCCCGGGCGACCCTGTCCGGCTGTTGGTGTAAGTTTCCGTTTCACGGGGTACGGAAGCGCGAATAATAATCCCCGCGACGCAACTTGGAAACTAATCTCATCCTGTCTTAGCATGTCCACGCCACCGGCATTCATATTAGTGCCGATGCCAAGGCCCCCACGTGTTCTGAGCGTGGATCTGCGATCTGCGCCGAGGATATCACTATCAGACAACGCTTCAATACATGCACTCAAGGAGTCGGTGAAATTAGGCCCGTCACAGGATGGCGGGTAATTCTCATGCAAAGCGCTGATGAAAGTGGAGATGTCGGTGCCTGTTTCATCAACGAGTTCGTCGACAGCAACTTGCGAGACTTTTGGTCGGCGGTGCTGAGCTAAATGCTCCGGCGGTGCTGGGAGAATGACAGAATCACTAGACACAAGGCTAGGATCTAATCGTTTGTTATAGACGATTTTGCCTACGGCATGGAACATGCCCAAACTCGCTTCTCGCTGAGAGATCAATTCGAGAGATTCCTGCTCCATAGGTGTGAGGGCTTTATCTGCATCAGCGCGGGATTTTCTTTTTGTCAAACTCCCTCCCCATGTACCAGCAGCTGAACCCGATGCCGAAGCCGTACCCGCTGAATCACCCTTCAAACATAGAAATTCCAGAGAAGATATCGCACTGCGAATATCGCCAATCTCAGCAATCCTAGTCAAAGCAGCGGGTCCAGGAATCCTCATCCGCTTAGAAATGCTCGCTTCCTTTTCCAAAACCGTTCGCAGCGCCTTCTGCATGAATGTAGCGGCAATACTATTAAAGTCGATGATCGTCGTACTGGGATGATTATACAGCGTCGGACCGAGCAATCTGTGCACGGTCAAATTCTCTGAAATCGACGATGCGGAAGTCAGCATCGTCTCGGATACGACCATCACGATGGGCGGGTGCATCCATCCACTCGAGGATGATTGATCGTCCGAGGCTGATGCTGCAAGGTATCGTTGTAGGGAAGTTCGAAATGCGGCTAAGCTGGATGAGTTTCGATTTAATACCGTTGGGAATTCTTCTACGAGGAGAACGCGGCGGTTTCGAGAGGGTGTGGTTTTGTCATTATTCGTTTTCTTGGAGTCCGCCGAGGCCGAGATCGAAGCCGAGTCTTGTAAATCAAGACCACCAAATCGATCACCCCTTCCAAGGAATTCTTCAAATTGTGCACTTGATGAGACATAGTCGCGGGATGTATGTTCTGGAACAGGCGGATTTCTCCATTCAATGATATCGTAGCCCAATGCTTCGGAGAGGAGGGAGACGGTTGTTGTCTTGCCGCAACCTGCGGGGCCTCGTAGGACCAATAGTTTCTGCTTGGATTAGCCAATGCCTTCACTACACTTCATTTCTTCCTTGCTGGCTGGCCTACCTCTTTCCTTCTCCCTTCAAACACCTCATCCAACCACTTTTGTACGTCGGAGACCTTTCGCTTGTGAACGGCCAGTTCGTCTAGGCCAACCGGTCCAAATCGCTGTGCCCAGGGACGAGTATCTTCGTAGATAGGGGTTGAGGCTTGGGTCTTGGATTGTTTGTTTGTGCTGCCATTTGAGGCGGAGGGCATGAGGAATCGTTTGGAGGGTTGACTCTTCGGCCGTGTAGTCGTTGTTCGTTTCGAAAGGGTTCGACTAGGTTTCAAGGGAGGTGGATTTTGATCTGCGGTCGAACTGGCGTCGACCTGTGAGAATATCTCGTCGTAGGACCCATAATCATCTTCAATGTCATCTTCGATATCATCGACGTCAAACGTTGTCGTTGGTGTCGCGGCCCGGGCGGTGGGGCGCTTGGCCTCGAATTTCTGCGCAGACCATCTCTGGCCTTCTGAAGCTGCTGAAAAGAAGCTGTGGAGGGATTTTGGGTTGGATTTCGTGGGTGAGGCTGAAGGAGCTTGGGTTGCGGAGGCGGCGGCGCGTGAACGCGTGGGCTTGGGACGCGACGAGATGGTGACGGGTTTGGGTTGAGACGGAAATTGAGGTTCGGTATCGAGAGAGGAGGGGGTTTCTGAATGCTCCTTCTCCTGGACAGCCCTGCGCTGGCGCTTTGTTGGACGACCGTCCATGATGGGCGAGCGAAGGAGGAGGAAAAGCGCGGCTGATAAGATTAAACCACCCCGCGACTACACTAAAACACTAAAGAGACTACACATCTCCACTGTGGAGTACATCAGAGCAGACAGAGTAGAGAAATTAAATACAATTCATAACTGGTCTCTTTCTAGTTAATATAGGTACATATGAGCCTCTTGCTATATTTACTATCGTACTAGTAATATATACTACTAGGAGTAGATTAATATTAGTCTGTACTAGTATATCTACATAGAGCCTCAATATATAGGGGACAGTAGATATGGTCTCTAACTGGATAATTTTCTAGAATTCTAACGGGAAATTTGGTAATATTACTATAGTAGATCAGATTTAGCTAGCAGATTTTCAGTTAGTAAATATAGTAACTTTAGTAATATTAGTAGAAAATAAGGGATATAGAAAGGGTTTATATCTGGCCCAGTAGGGCGCTCTTAAAGACTAAGGAACCTTAGAAAGCTATAGATGCTGATATACCTGGTAAGTTAGATTTTTAATAATACTGTCCTTAGTATAAGTTTGCTTAGTTACTTTCTTTGATTAGAAGATCTGGTAGTAATTAATAATAGGTAAAGATAGGAATAAAAAGCTAATAACCTAATAAAGGATTCCTATAAGAATAAGGAGACTAATAACTAATATTCTCTGTTTAACTATAGCCATTCTATAATTAAGCTTACTGAGTATACTAGTTAGTATAAATAAAATTATCTAATCTTAGCTTTTATCTGTATACTCCTGGCTCTGTATAGAGAAAGGCTATATTATATTTTTATAGCCTATTTAAGACCTCTATAACTAAAGAGCTCTATAGCAGAAAATATATTAATATAGTATCTAATAATTAAAACTATAGATACTATAGGATTATAGTATATATTATAGTCCTATTTCTATAGCTTAACTTACTTAGATCTAACTTAAACTTTTATAAATACCCAACGGACAGAACTTATATATCTAGCGTATATCAAGTAAGTATTAACTATTTAATATGCTAAGGGCCCTGACTGTAAGAATATAGAAGCTGACAGGTATAGAATAAATAGTGCGTGAGTATTGACTGTCTCTCGTATTGGGGAACTTGACTAGGTAGAGATAGAAGCTGATAGGTGTATAATAAACAGCCTGTGAGTATTGGCCCTCTGTACTGATAAGAGTCAAGAAGGTTCTTTCAATGATGAATGAACCCCTGGACCTCATATATTCAGAGATCCGCCACTACAGTTAATGGTAGACAGATAGACAGATGATAGGTCATATCTCGCCAGAGTGTACAGAGCGACCTATTATAATTCCAAAGCCAGAGAGAGAGGATATTCTTCATACGGCCGCCGATATGGCTTACTATAAGACCCAGAAGGATATCTTCTCTCGGGAACGTGATGAGATTGCAAGCAGTTGGAACGGCATTGTGTGTCGAGCTCACCGGTGCGATGGGGCTGGCAGAGCTACTATATACCCAGCCAATACGAGGATACCTCTATAGGACCTCGGGATGCTCATATCGCGGAGTGACTTTCGAGGATCATGCATTGTCGAGGAAGCAGGCTCTCGACAAGGGAACCGAAGATGCACGTTTGTGACAATATTGCCTGCCTTACCGAGCAAATTTTACTACTTTGATTTGCATCTGCAGGGCAATTAGCTCTTCGAAACTACCACAGAGCAAACTATGGAATCTTCTCAGGAGGTAATTATCCTTTGAAGGCAGTATGGATCAAAAGAATGCTCATGATATTATTAAACATGTCGCACTCAGAACACAATTCTTTCTAATCCCGACCGTTCGGCCGCAAGGTCTGAATTCACCATTGCATGGAATTCACTCCAGTCGATGTAGCTCCAGTCAATATAGCCATATTCGTGCGCGCTGTCGCAAACTTGTTCATACGACAGAGGATCTTGATATTCAGAAATAGCGACTAAAGATCCCATATTCTCTTTAACTTGTTTCTCCTTAATCTCGAGAGATTCTGCTTCATTCTGCTGGTGAAGGAGCTTGGCATACTGCAGCGGGGTGTGACCCATAGTTCTTTTGAACAATCGATGGAGATAGCCTGGTGATAGATTTAACTCTAACGCTAAGTGATTTGAATTCGGTAAACGTCCGCGCGAGACCGAATCCGCGATATTCGCACATGCCTTTTCCACTGTTCGTTGTTGAGGATCGTCTTCGCTATCAAGTTGAGGCTTGCATCTCTTGCAAGGACGATAGCCCGCTATCTCTGCCAGCGTAGAATTGTCGTAAAATTCGACATTTGCACGACGAGCTAGACGTGATGAACATGAGGAGCGACAATAAATACAAGTCGAACGGACTGCATAGACAAAGCTGTCATCTGAGATTCTGGCAGCTATCACCCGCCAGCGGTACGCTTCGGACTTGTCGGGAGCAAGGCAGAGTGGCATTAACATAATAATAATATTTGGCTAGTCTCCTTTGATTTAACCTAGAAAAATTTAATATCGCTGTGCCCTCAACGACTTCACAAGATCTTACCGGGAAGGTACGTAGTGATGAGTAGTAGTGAATTTTCGTTTTTCCGTTTTTTTTGAGAACGAGTGATCGCGGCTTTAAGTAGTCTTCCCGCCTCACAGCTTGTGGTTGGCTACTTCAATAGCAATATTCGCCACTTATGTGGTCCATTACCGTAACTTAAAATGAGGCTGACCTTAAAAATTTGCGTCTACTGAAAAACAAGTTGTTAAGAGTAGCCCAGTAAGGGAACCAGCGCCAGTATACTTATGCTATATAATATACTCAGTAACTTGATTAATACTATACTACTATAGCGGGTCCACTAACAATAATAAAAATACAGCAGAAAATTGGTAACGCTGATGGTTATTTCTGGTAGGCGCAGCTTCTCCCACGGCTCTTGTTAGCAAGCCTTCCCTCAAGGCCGCTGGCGTGAGGCGCGTCTCGTTCATCCAAAAGCTTTTAGCAACTTTCCGAAAATCGAGGACTGACATTAACCCACGTAAAGGGCAGATACCAAAGCCCATTATGCCGATTAAAAACAATGCAACTACAGAAGCCTTGACTAGACGGACATTAGGGGATTGCGATTCAAACCCCTAATAGTAAACTGGGTTTAGCGTACGAAAAGATCACCGCGGACCTCATTGGCTAATTCAAAAGCAATGACGTCATAAGGATGAGAGCGGCCGTGGTATCATTGGTTAATTTGAAGGCATTTGGTGGGCACTCCATCACTTAATTGTCCTATTGGGATCAAATAACAAACCAAAAGGAACATATAAAATTAAGCTGCGAGTCGCTTCAGGCTGACATTTAATACATGCTCTTTTCTATTTACTATCTCCATTGGTAGCATAACAAAACCGGAAAATATAGCGGATTCGATCCTTCGCAACCAACTCTACCTCCCTGATTTGAAAATCTGTTGTCGATCGATCGATTGCCAAGAATCAAAATGTTGAAGTTCGTTCCGTTGCCAGCCCCGCTAGTTATCAGTCAAGAGAAAGCTATTTCCAAGACTGTAACCTCAGAACCACTGCCTTGCCGGCGCTGTTTGAAAGATGGAAAAAGAGGAGATGAAATGCTTCTCTTGTCTTACGATCCTTTCATTGCCACGTCTCCGTACAGCGGCACAAGTCCAATTTTCGTCCACAAAAAATGCGACCAATACCAATCAAATGGCTCGGTGCCTGAACAGCAATTCAAGCGCACGCTCTCTATACGAGCATACGACCAGAACCACATGATGGTTGACTTTTGTGTGATCAAGGGCGATCTTTTGCAAGAGAGAGCTGAAGAATTTCTGAGTCAAACCGATGTGGCTTACCTTCATATTCACTACGCGGGACCTGGGTGTTTCGCCGTGCGAGTCGATCGAGCTGTTGTCTGAATCGCATCCGATAGGCTTGGCTAAATACGAAAACTATTGCTTCTACTCACAGCTATAATTTTGAAATTTATTGGCCTTTGGCTTGTTGGATATTAGTCATATTACCTTGTATATTCGCAGCCTGATAGTATGAAATGTGGTAGCTAAACACATGGCAAATGAATTGGATGAGAGACTGGAGTCAGTACGCGAGAGGGACATATATCCCATTTATTGTTGACTTAGCGGACCTAAGTCCTGACCACAATAGAAATAAGCTAGAGAACTGCGTAATTGATTCGCTCAGAAATATTACTTTTCTTGAATGAGTTACGAAGAATCGCCAACGCTCTTTAGCTCTGCTGATCATAGTCTGCTGTTTTAGAGTTCAGATCATATTTGTTTCTCATTGTATTCATTAGTACTTGTCGAAATGACATGTTCATTCCTCGTTAGGCTTTGGCTAATCAGCCTTGAACATAGGGTGAAAGTCACTGCATCGCTATTTTAATCACGATGTCTAGATGTCTGCCAATCGCTGAACTAATAAATCTAAAATCGCAGATAATAGGTGGTTGGAATGGTCTGTTAGCAAGGACGAACATCTGACCTATCAAACTCCAATCAAAGCAGAGGAAGATCTTTAAACCAGTTTTGGGGACACATATAGAATCGCAGATTCCTATTTTCCTTCTCCGCTTTCCCTCCATTTGCTGCTTCTAGGAGATGCTTGAAACCTTCGGTTCGTGAATGATGATTACAACGTGTTCCAATATCATGTACGGCAACGAAAGTCCGTCAAATCATTCATAATATACCAAACCATTTGATCAGTAAGCGCCAAGATAGAATTCTTAGCTCGCTCGGAACTGTCAATATCTCGACTTCCAACATTCAATTGAGCTGCCGGACTATCCATCGTTTCCAAATCGAGGTTATAAGTATTGCTTTCACGCGCGCCAGGGATTTGTCTAGCATTTGCCTGATCGAGAAGTTCGATAGCCTTGTTTCAGCAGCAACACCACGTCTGAGGGAAATACTACTGCTGACAAGGACAACGATCACCCTCTTTACCGGCCCTCATTTTGAGTGATTTTGACCTCAATTCCCACAATGTTGTGCTTGAGAAGATCGATGTAGGATTTTGGAGCTTCAGAAACCGTCCATGGCTGTGGCTTATCACCACCGGTATAGCCCATGACTGTTGTCTCGGTGTGTTGAGACAAGTTGTGAAGCTGTTGGGCGAGGAAGGCCCCAGCCTCGGGGGTCTTCGAATCATAATACAGTGACAATTTGCCGTACACCTGAACGGCAGAATAGTTCCAAGTGGGAACAACCTTTCCAGTGCTAGGTTTGGTCTCTGTATAATACTTCGGAGTGACATAATGATCGTACTTTCCGTTGAAAAGTACCAAGACATCGTTGTCGAGCTCCAGAACATTTGGTGGCTTCTCGTCGACGGCTTCAATAATAGCCTTCACCTGGGGGTTTCGCTTGGCGATATGGGCGCGGATGCGGGGCTCTGTGCCCCCATATTCTTCAGGCAGATCGAGAACACAGGGAACATGGGTGCATTGCAAAAAGTCTATCTGAGCTGAGTTTTGGCCTGTGGTCAGGAGGCCGAGGGGGGTTCTCTTTAATGAATTGGAGGAGACCCTCCTTGTCGGTCTCTGCGTGAACGCTCGGAAGAAACATTTTCGATTGAAGGTGTGCAATGTACAGGGTAGCCATAGAGATGGAAGCAAACGAGCGATTAACGCAGCTTAAGTATTCTAATCCCAGATTCGTGGAATCTCATCCTGCGGGCGATTCATCCAATGCGTCTTACCCTTCCGGGAAAGTCCTTCCGCGTCAACGTCCTCCAACAGCGCATTCAACGTGATAATACGCCGAATATTGTCGGCTGATACGAAAGACGGGGGTCAGGAGTTGTCAGGCGCCTTCACAGAGTGTGTAATCTGCAAAATTATGTTTGTCTAGAGCTGGCTGCTTATTGATGACCATGTCAATCTCCATGGTTGATTGCATACCCTAGCTCGATTCAGTTAGTGTCGTTTGTCTGGGCCTAATATAGCAAATTGTGGGTCATGATTGCGATCCTGCGTGAGTTGCTTAACCCGTCGTAACGAGCCATTTGAGAAGACCCTGGCTAATTTTTGTTCTCTCAGTTGCACTCCGATTCCGCGTTATTTTGTTCAATGTCGGGGGTTCCGAGAAGCTTGCATTGTTTATATATTTGCAAAACTTAGCTACTGCTCGGAGTCATGTTGCCTGCATCAAAGTAAAGTTTCCATATTTTATTTTGTCTCCATAGCGCAAACTGTGGATGCTGCCCTTGTTGCGGAATTGGCCAATTATAGGGGCTATAGTAAGAGTTCAGTCGCTATGCCCAATAGAGTTGCCGAGTAAAATCGAAAATGAAAATATTGAGGTCACCTATTCCAATAAAACAGTGCGTCCTCCTTTTTCTATCTTCTTGCTCTCGAACTGACCAATAATGTCACTCCAAGTCATACACTCTTCCTCTCGCGTTAGCCAATTGCCGCCACCAATGCTCCTGCCTGTCGGTATTTTTGGAAGGAGCATCCGCAAATTGCTGTTTTCATGCTCCCGAATTGGCCATTGATGTGCAGTGGCATTAAGTGGTATTCCGCATTTTTCGTTGCTGCGCCAAAACTGACCAGTCAGACTCTACACACTGACGGAGCCATGACACACATTATATGTAACAAATCACTTTGAGGATATCGAAAATTAGGTACTTCGCACGGTAAGCCAATGATAGACCAGCATATGCGCTGAACTTACTCCGGGAACCCCCGGCTGTCGGCGTAAATAGCATCATATAAAGACCTCCCATGCAATGCCAATTTTCAAGCTTGTCTTCTTCCCCCTACGACAATACCCCTACTGCCGTCGCTGCCCTGGCAATTTTCATCCCATACCATGGATCATTCCCCAATCACGCCCGCTATTTTCTACTGGGGAACACCGGTGGTTCTTGTTACCACGACAAACGAAGATGGAACCTCGAACATCGGTCCGATATCATCTGCCTGGTGGCTTGGAAATCGCTGCGTTTTAGGGCTCGAAGGCAATTCGCAAACAACGCTGAATATGATACGTACGAAGCAATGCGTGTTGAATCTGCCTGACGAAACCATGGTATCAAATGTGAACGCGCTCGCTCGAACGACTGGCACCGAAGAGGTCCCGGAGATCAAAATCAAGCTTGGCTACCGATACGATAAGGACAAATTCAAAACATCGCGATTGACTCCGGAGGACTCGGTGAAGGTCAGTCCTCCAAGAATCCGAGAGTGTCCGGTTCAAATGGAGGCAGAAATGATTGGAGTCCACGAGCTCATGAAGGACGGGCCGTCCGAGTTGAAAGGATTCCTCATGGCGATTGAAGTTCGGGTTGTGCAAACCCACATTGAGGAAAAACTGCGGCTCGCCGGACATGCCAACCGCGTTGATTCAGACAAATGGAAGCCGATGATTATGTGCTTCCAAAAGCTTTATGGATTAAAGGATGGCGAGCTTGCGAACTCGACCCTTGCAGACATTGAAGAGGAAACATATCGTCTTCCAGTTTAAGCACTCGCATACATGTATGTAAGCATTACTTTTGTGGACATGTTGTTATTTGGTTTATTACAATTATGGTCGAATTGAATTTGGCCAAACCTGCAGGTCTTGATATATAAAAAGGCATCCGATTCTTAAGGTCATATTTCAGTCAGAGCTCGTTTGATTTGTCTGCAGCCCATTGGTTTACGGAGACCAAAATTTGCCCTGGCGACGCTGTAGAATTGGAGAAGACCTAATTGTATCGACACCCAAGAAAATCCTGCCATAATATCTTTCCGTATTTAGCTATTGCTTCACTGCAATATTTGCGGTATGACATCTGGAAGAGATAATATATTAAAAGGGGGAGGGGGGGGGGGGGAGCGTGTCAAAGCAAAAATTGTCACGCTGTTGGGTCTCGTTTTAAGTTTCTCCGGAGATTTGGCATGTACGAATATACTGAGCGAGACACCAGGTAATTACTCGGAAACGCGATTATTTATGAGGGTGTAGGAAATGCATCAAACGTAAATAGATGCTGCCCCTGTTGACTCCTTTTTGCATCAAGTCTAGAAAATGCCTAATCCTGGTATGCATTGCAGTTCCAACGGTCCAAGTCCATGCAAAGTGACACTAATAAAGAGATGGTCAGTTATTCCCCCCCTTGAAATTCGAGCAGGTTTTTTTGACTGGCATGCGGGATCTTCACGTGCAAACTCTGGCTCCAGAAGATGTTCTTGTTGCGACCTACATTGGATATTTTTTATACGCAGCAGCCTAACGCGTGGTAGGAATTATGACGAGGTCCAGATGTGGACATTTTGGTAGGATAGCAACACCCCATGGGATAAAATGGGGACACTCGGTTCGATAGGATTGATTGGGATTGGCAAGACAATTTAGTATAAGACCAAGTAAATCAATATAACCGAAAAGAAACTGAAAACAGAAACTATAAGGAAAACCAAAAAGTGCTTGAACCCTGAATTCTAGTCACAAAGTGCCATCTGTCCACAGCAATTTGCCGGCAGTATCTGTCCAATAACATTTATAATTTATATCTGGCAAAATCGCCCGGACCTTAGCGATCTGTATATGATTTGCCTCATTCGTATCTGTTATACCCGGCATCTTGACCCCGTCGTTAGGCGCATATTTCATATGATCTCTATCAATGAAGTTCTTGTTATTCATGCAGCGATCGCAAGATTGAGGAAATATCCATCGGAAAAGTTTGTTTTAAAATGTTTACCCAGACTCATTAACAGCACCGTCCCGGTCCTATGGATTCAAAGCGCTTAGTCTATAATGACCTAACCTGCTCCATTTGCAACGCCTACCTTCAAGTTGGAGCAATTCTTGCAGTTCGTGCAGTTTACCATGTTGGAGCAATTTTGACAATTGGTACAGTTCTCCATATTGGAACAATGCTCGCATTTTTGACAGTTGTTGCAGTTGCTGCAGAATGAACAGTCGATACAGTCCGTACAATTGGAGCACTGGAATTTGAAATAAGCATTACTTAGAAAGAGTGACTGAATGGTATGAGGAGGAATGGGCGTAGATAGCGTAGAAAAAATACATTATGGCATCCTGCGAAGCGACTGTTAGAATTGCCGACTCCTACTATTTACTATTGCAGGCTCACCTTTGCAATTATGACAGTTACTGTTGTTCCTGTTCCCATCATCGCCCCTGGGGAGACAATTAATTGGTGGTTAGACCTGGCAAGGAAGAACACCGCGTTCTCCAATAACGCGCGGGGGGGTGGGGCTTAGCTCACTCATGGCGCAGTGAAGCGTGTTGATTATGTACCATGTTGTCGACTTGGAAATTGTAACTCCGTCCAAGATATGTACAATTACTTCTCAAGTGGCAAGCCAACTGCAGTGGTCTTTAGCAGGGATTTATATATGCGTTACAAAACGAAATTGGGTCATCATGACGTAAACGAAATAATTAGCTTGGTGCGCAATCATGGTATTTGGCCTCCGATCTGCGAAGTCAATCTATGTGGTTCCATACGTATCACTGTATTTTTTCGCTTTGTTGATTTTGGCCATGATTCCAAGAATTGCGGCCGGCAACGGCAAGCCTTTTAGGAGTTTGTCAGCGTAAGTTGGAACTCGATGTGGTAGTGAAGCTCTAAAATTTCCCGCACCTGCAATCTTTGAAGGCTACTACTGGAACTCACCAAAGGGAATAACAGCGAAAAGTAGCTGAGAGAAAGGAATCGCCCAAGGAATTTATTGTGGGGGCAAGTTGGAAAAAGATTAATTATAGGGAGCCGTTGAAAGTCAATTTCCACTCATAGTTGAAGTGTTTAGTTGGAGAGATTCTTTGGAAGAAATCACTCCAAGGGTCGTTGGAGTGTGTCACTGATATTAATTAATTAGGGTAAGCCGCTGAAAAGATCATTCCAGATAATCGCCGACAAGGCTATTTTTGGGGCCCGTTGAGAGAAAGACTTTTAATTTCTCATCGAAGGGCTTGTTTGGAGGCTCTCTTTGAAGTAATTGAATCTGAGATACGTCGAAGGAATTATTAAAGGATTATCGGAACATTGACTCTAGAGCCATTGGAACCAAATGAAGGGAAACGCGGAGGTGTCATTGGAGAAATAATCGAGGGAGAAGTTGAGGGATACAATTTTAGGCGATCGTTGAAAGGAGTCGTTGACGGTTGAAGGGAGATGATGAATCTGAGCCTTTGAAGGAATCAATTTGAGAACTATCGAAAGAGTACAATTTTGGGGCTTTCTCGAATGAGATTAATATTCCTTGATTAATTAAAAGACTTGATGCCAGGTAGCTGTTGAAGGGAATCGTTGACGAACATGACTGAAGAAAGTCTCGTAGCGAACTAGCTAGAATGCCCAAAATTATAGAGATCGAGCGACAAGGTGAAGGAAAATGCACTTAAATAACAGATCCTCCCACCTGGCCTCGTTTCCAGACCTGCAGCACTTTGATGCCCCATTCGTGATATTGCATCCTACAATATATTTACCAAAATCAACACAAGCGAGAACCTTCTCACCCAGACGAAAGCCATCCGCCACGCCATGGATCAGTTCACAGACAAAAGTAAAATACAATTCATAACTGGTCTCTTTCTAGTTAATATAGGTACATATGAGCCTCTTGCTGTATTTACTATCATACTTCCAACGCATCGAGAACCAATCCTGGGTTGGAAAATGGTGTGAATAGCTCGTGTATTGGGCAGTGCAAACAAAACTAGAGGATGGTAATTGAAAGACGTAGCATGAGATGAATTATGGAATTAAATAGGGCCGGTGGCGACTCTGTCTTCTCGATTAAGACTAATTGTCTTGCGGGAAAAGGGGGTCGTCGAGATATCTTATCTTGAAGATTGCTAATTAAACCCTTGATCACCAGTGCGGAATACGAGTGAGTATTTTTGCAAACTGTTAATTTTTGGTTGGCACCTGGTGTAACCAAAATCGGATAGAGTAGAGTTACAACAAAGATATTTCTCTCGTCCAGCGATCGCGTCATCCCCTTTCTCAAAATCTAGCAGCGTATTAGCTAACGATAATGTGATGGGCTTAAATGAGGTGAGGACTAACCGCCATGGCTGAGAATGAATGTGTTTGATCTAAAAGCCGATTGTCATATGGCCGTGCTCGGTGGAAATGTTGAAGAATGCACGATTTCCCCAAGATACAGTTGATATTGCAGCTCATACACTATGCCTTAGTCAATACAATATGATCTTGGGGGGAGTTCTGACGTTTGAATTTAGTCATCATGAACTGTTCACTTTCTTATCAATACCACACAGTTGTTGACCGCTGGCATTTTCTGGCATTGAATGAATAATATTCCATCTGGGTATCTGACAATGCGAAACGGCTACTAGATGTCCTCGACCTTGCAGAATGCGACTGTGCGAAATGCAAATGCACATGATGATCATAATAATGATAGGTATGAGGGTTCCACGACTCTCTTTGAGATGGCGGCTGCATGTGGCTCGGCTGATGCGTTTGATGCCTTTCAGGCGGAGGATGGGCGCGTTGGCGAGGGTCATGGTTTGGTTATTGTTGGATTCCCAGGGGTTGGATGATTTAGTTATAGAATTGTAGGGGAAAAAGAGTGTTTATAAATTCCAAATTTAAGGACAACAGGACCATAAAATAAAAACAAAGTGATGGAAATGAGCGACAAGAAGTGAAAGAAACGAAAAGAGATAACTTCGATTAGTAAACAGACAATTAGATCACATTGACACCATATATCTGTCACACAATCTCCACAATCTCAGGAAAATCTGAGGTAACTTCTCAGAAGGCCGTTACCCCCGAAAATACAAATACAGCCAACACTATGCTCAAAAGCGCATACGGCGAGAGCCACGGATCAGCGAAGCAGAGCTGTTTGAGCCGCCGACCAGGCCAGCAACAAGCTTGTCACCGAGCGCACTGATGCTCTCCTCGAACTCGTCAGCGCTGCTCGCATCCCACTTGGCATTCTTGCCGGGGACGGCGTCCTTGCCGGAGAAGGCAATGTAGAGGACATCTTCGTCGTCATGACCACTATCGGCATTGTACTTCTTGCCAAAGCACAGATCAGCCGTAGCGATACTCGCCTCGCCGAGCAAGGGCTTGCCATCGTCGCCGTTGGTGTCACCCCAGACACCGTACACAAGACGGTTGTTGCAAACCACCGCTACAATACTCAGGGGCTCCACGCCAACCTTGCGAGGATCAAAGGTGGGGTGGTAGTCGCCTTCGTTGCCGAGAACGATGTACCTAACTTCAAGGTTAACACCCGAATGGCAGGCCGTGGGAGAGAAATGTGATCATATGGGCTTACGGGTGTATGTAGGCGTTCAAATCCGAGATTCCACCATACTTCTTGACCTCGTCCTTCCATCTGGTCTGCGATTGAGTATCGCTCGAGCCTCCACAACGGCCATCGCCCTTGGTTTGATGACCATCGCAGTCAATGTCCATGTTGGTGAGTTTGCTACTAGGGCCCTTGAGGTAGAATCCTTTGTCCTTCATGCCCTTTCGGCAGTACCCGTAGTTTTTGGAACCGTCGTCCTCGTCGTAGAACCCGCCCTGAAGGAGATCGCTTCCAGAGCAGGTTCCTCCATTCTTGGCGGAGTCGTAGAAGGCCTTTAGGCTCCTGGGGACATCCCGGGCGATCCCAGCCTGCGGACCAAAAGCAAGAAGAAGAGTGATTGCTGCCGCGGTGGCTTTCAAATGCATAGTGATGCTTTGGGCCGAATAAATTTAGAAATCGGAAAGGAAGTCTTGGAATTCGACTTGATGACCATGGAAAGCAACTGGATTGGATACTCTCTTATACTACGACAAACGCTGCCATGGGTGTTCTCGATTTTAATGCGCACCCGGGCCGGGCGAACGACACAGTAACAGGTTTGGGTGTCAGCGTAACATCACCTTTACAGTTTCATATATGAGAAATTAGGCCAATCAAACCATTTGGGGCCGATCATGACCTCGCTAAGGCCAGACAAACACTATCCTGGACCCCATAAGAAGAATTGACAAAAGCGCCACCGGCGTGAAAATAAAAAACCACAAAACCTAAGACGAATGGGTCTGTGGCCTTAGTCCAATGAGAGCAATTTTTGGACAGGCACGTGGCGCAGGTCGTTGTCCCTGCAGATAGACGGGGCCTCTCTTCGTTTAATTTCTGCAAGGGACTGCCTGGCGATCGCATGGGGCCAAAATGAAATGGCTATCGGCCGAACAAAATCATACGAGCTGTACACTGGAAAATTAGGGCACTTTGATATGCTTGACCTTATTAGGCTAGTAGGCACGAGTAAAGCACGAGCCACTCTCTCTATGTCGCATGCGGACTAGCGATCTCCACTGATCGTCGCTGCCAGATTGCGGATGACTCTAGCGCCATGTGCGTCGGCGGATGTATTTGGCGACTGATTGCCGATTGAATGTCTCATTTCATTGAGGTTTCCAAATCTGATTGGGATCGTCACTCGTGTTCTTAGGTCTCTGGAGCTCCTTGATTTATCTCGTTGAATAGGTACACCGATCTCGGAGGGTCGTCGGGGAAGGTTGGAGGCGGTTGGCTGAGAATACCTCGGCCAACGTCTATAGCGACTTGATCACTATGCTTCCCCTTCTCTGAGAGAACCCGAGGATTTCGTCTCTAGGCGAAAGGCCACGATAGTAGCTCGAACATACATGAAATTTGGGTTTTGCAGGACCACGATGCTAGGCCCTTCGCAGCTCTGAACCCACATAACAAAAACACGGAGATGAAGTATTTCCGGGAAAATTCTACAGTTCACCGGCGATTTCCTAGTCCAGGATGGCCCCAATCGACCATGTTTGAGGACTAGGATGCCACCTGTGGATCATGGTCATTGCAACCGCGTGGCAAGAACGTGGGTCGACTCTTTATGCAGGTTTCAGGGACTGTTGGGGAAGAGCGCATTTAGCTGTTTCGGCTTGAGAACGATTGTGTACAAACGGAGCGAGCCATGATTAGACCTCGACAACCCCCTTTTGACTCTTTTTTTCAACCCCCGCTGGTTTTTGAATAATCCTAAGGCCAGGGCTAAAATATCAATACAGTAAATAGAATATAACGGATCTATATATCACGTCAGTATCTCTGATTTGCAAAAGTTTCCGCGCCCACGAGCTTTGACGGGTCGGGTTCGGGTCCTGACCTTGGACCCGTTACAGGTTTTGTCGAGGTCTAGCCATGTTAGAGCATTTACTAGAAGGAGATAGCTGGGTTTGACATCCAGCCAGATACACGACCCATGATGGATCGGGTCCCTTTTCAGGAGCTCTTGGCAGGGGTCGTGGCTTGCCGAGTTGGAGTGAGTGGAGCTTTTGGGGGCCCTGGACTGAGTAATCACAACTAGTATACGCCCCACCCCCACCCCCGAAAGGTGTGTTGAAAGCTTGTCAAAAGCTTCAAGCGTGTCTTCTTTAATACAATGTTGTTGCTCTCGACCGTCACCTCTCGATGGATTGGGGATGCGGGGTTGCAATGCGTTGTTTCAGGCGCTTTACTGACAGGACAGGCCCCCTTGATACTGTGGGATGCTGTAGGATTTGACTACCAATGTTCTCTGGAAGATCCACATGATGGCTGTCAGATTCAGCCCCCAATGTGCCACAACGGCGATGTGACATCGCCGATCGCTCCCATTCTCATGCTGCCCGGGCCGGTGTCAGTGTTCAGGCGACCAGTGTGTTCTCTGGCGACTGTCGGGCGTTCTCGAATGGCTTGATCGAAGCCAGCCGTGAAAGTGAAGGCATCTGGGAACAGGTGGAGAAATTATAATAAATGGAAGCATCGCCACCTCGAAACTTTTCCCCAGAATCGACATTTCTTTGCTTATTGTATTTCATTACTATCCACCTAAAAGTTGTTCACTCGTCACTTTGCCGTCAATATGAAAGTCATCGAGCTCAGCCTTCTGGCTCACTTTGCCAGCTCCGCCAGCGGGCTTGCATTGGGCCAGCAGCAAAGTGAGAAGTTCGGTCTCAATGCTGACTGGATCCACAACGACCTTGTACAGGCTCGGAAAAATGGATCACCCACGTCCTCTTCTGTTCCGTTATCCACTCCTTCTGCGGATCCCAACGCCTGGAAGAATATGCAATGTTCCCAGATCCAAGGAGATACCAAGCAACAGTGGGAGGAAGCCAATGCCAAGGTCGCCTGGGACACTACTCTTGCGGCGTGGCAGACTGATCCAAATGGTGGCTTCCCTCAATACGTCAGCACTTATCTGCACGGGCCGAGTGGCATGCGATGTACTGATATCTCGAGTGAGAACCGCTGTTCCCAGCCGGTCGATTGCCAGGGTGCTACCATTCCTGCCGGGTATGTTATGTTGATTTCCAGTGTGAGCTGTTGAGACCCCGCTAACATCTGTTTAGAGCAATGATTTTGAATGGGTTCGCAGGTATTCATCAGGTACGTTTTGACTGAAGGGAGGTCGTCGTTTTCAATTACTAACAGAATAGTAGCTGCATGCATCGGCCTACCAGGCAATCGAAACGGTTCAGATCGACGTCACAGACCAGTCTGGCACCTTCACTTCTACCTTTGCACCTCAACCGCCGGACAACTCGCTGCTTGAGAAGAACATTTTCGACGCTTGCAATCTGGTTCTAAGCTTCGGGATCTCGATGATTTTCAACGTTGGTATGTTTTGCGAGACTTTCGTTACTGTGCAAATCGAGAATCATGACTAACTATGTTCTAGCTCTCAAGAATATGGAAAGTCTCATCCTCAAAGGCATTGCCGGTGATATGACCTCTGCTGTCCAAAGCACTGTCGGCACCTACTGGAAGACCAATATAAAAGGGTATGATTTTATCTTCGGTGAAATAAAACCAGTTTTCCTGACAGACATACAGTGCTACGGAAGGACTCAAGGCGCAGAACACCATTGCTTCTTACGTGGGCGAGACGATGAGCACATGGAAAGATCTGGAGGCACAATACCTGCAGTCGATCTTTTCGGGAAATGCGGGCTCCAATGGTACCGATGCTCTCTATGCACTAATTGACAATGGCTCTATGACAAGAGTCGCGGGTAATCTAGATCTCAGCAGCACCAGCGATCAAGTGAAGAAGATAGTTTACGGACAGATGATCCCCTACGCATGGAGCGTCTCACCTAGTGGATCGCGGCCTTTTATTTGGTGAGTTCGAGTTGTTGATTCCCTCTTCGATATTGAGTGAAATATTTTAATCAAAGGTGATATCATTCAGGCAAAGCGATGATTCTTGTGATGGGTCGACTAAATCCATCCCCGAAAGCGCCAGGTACCTCATGACGGACGACACTGCGGTCAAGACTAATGTATGCTACCGTGGAAAAGTTCATTACGTTCTGAATGCGCATAACAATCCCGGTGACTCTTTTTCTACCATGCCCCTTCCTGGTGGTGATCATATGACCCTAGATGGATCTGCGTGGGGTGGTGTCATCCTCGAGGATATCGTTGAGAGCAGTGTGGAAGGGTGGATCGCAAACAACAATCAGAACGGCTACCCACGCCCGGACATGGATAAGATTATCACCAACTTCGGTAGTGAGGTCCCCAGCATTCGCACAGCCGGTTTCTTCAATCTGCCAGTCTGTGGGAATGTGTCCGCTATTAGCCAGTCTCTGGAACAAGGGGATGGGAACTCGCCCTACTGGCCTTGTGATGCTCCTGAAGGGTACACTAGTGGTGGCACCAATATTGTATGTTAACTGCAATTTCCGACGCTCTAAAGACAGTTGCTGATGTGAGAATAGCACGTTAGCAGTGGATGCATTGTGATCAATGATGCGAAGCGCTGCCAGAACTGGGGTGGACCATACAGTAAGTCGGCTCGAGTACCCAGGCAAGAAAGCACCGCTGACAATACATAGACGTCGCCGACCAGAACAAAGGAAACAGCACGGCCACTATATACGCCCAGTTTGATGGCGACAACACTCTTAACCAAAAGGTCACACCCGGTTGCAAGATTCAGCCCTCGTGGCCTCGCGGCTACGGTGATCTCGACTTCACCGACAACTGTCTGAAAGACCGCAATGGCCAGAACATTAAGTGCTGCAGCAGTGATACGGCCACTACAGATGTTGTAGAAAACCCGTATGCCAAATAGACGTGCGCACATTAGGCCCGGTCAGATTTGGCTCAGAAATTACTGAGTAATGTATCTTCAATGAGTCAGCGTAAATTACTGTAATCTCATCTCACCGTAATATTCAAGATCAGATTTACCTCCATCTCCCCAAATCCGCCAAGATAATAGAATTACGGGAGTGTATACGCCAAAGTACATAGATTTTGGTAGTGGCATCATGATAATACTCAATTTAATTCAGTGGTGTATTTGCTTCCTGAGCTCTTGGGGACCCATGTACCTAGGCCCGAAAAAGCAATTTGTCGAGGTCATTCCAAAATTACAGGCACCGCATATGGTCGTTTACCTCAAAGCCAGTGCCTTCCTCGGCACGCGAATCTCCCTGATATTTCTGCAATTCTGGACTGCCTCTTTCTTCGCTTGACAACGTGTTTCGGTAACTTAAGAAAAGTTGACAGAACTCAGCCCGATTTATGTATGGGAACTAGAACAGTGACATAACGCTCTAATTGGAGAAACATATGGGAAGCTAGCAATAAATAATAAGCACGGCAAATGACTCATACGAGCTTTCTTGTATACAAAACAAAGACCTCTTGCGATTCCGGATTCCATAGGAACTATTAATTCCTCCACCATTTCGTCGAATAAAAGGCCTAGGACGTAATGCTCCTTGCGTTATTTCCCCAGAAATTCCTTCAAATATTACGGGTTTTTGAGAACTAGGGCGAAACTGGATGTCACAGAAATTAAGCGATATCCCATTCTCACTTGCACCAAGGTCTTTCATGGACACTTCTAGCGTTTCCCATGCCAAGGGTATCAGATCCGTTTCATGAACAGTCTCAGTCGTCCAGCATTCTTGCATCTCACGAGGCGAAGAAAATGCACGTTTAGCTATTGCAGATCCCATTCTTCCAAAAGGGCGTAGTAACCAAGAAGGACGGTCTCTAACAGGGAAAGGCACCCAGTATACCAACACAAGCAAGCAGACTATTAATAAAGCACAAAGAAGCCCTAAAAGTTAGAACTGTTTGATATTCTCCTCTGGACAATGGGACAGAGCAGTGCAAGGGATGGGCTCCGGGGTACCCAAAGGACAATAGTGATGTTGGGGGCACGGGCGTATATGATATCTGAACAATCCCAATCAGATCTGCAATTATTTACCAAAGTCAACACAAGTGAGAACCTTCTCACCCAGACGAAAGCCATCCGCCACGCCATGGATCAATTCACAGACAAAAGTAAAATGGCGTGGCTGATGGTCTAGCTCTTCTATCTGATTTCAGCAAGAGCAAAGCCCCATACAACTTGAACCTAGTCTGGTGGTGGAACCAGCCAAAGCAGTGCTTAAATCCAATCAATTCCCACGGCAGCATGATATCTAGTGTCTTGGAACTGCAAATTATTCACTTTTGATAAACTATCTAGCCAAATAAGCTGCAATGCATGCAAGCCAGCCTTTTGATCTGCATCTACTCAGCAATATCTTTTTCTTATTTGTTTGAAAAAAAGAAGCATCGCAAAAATTACTTTGTGATTTATTCCGAATCTGCTCGTGAAAGAAAAACTCGTATTTTTAACAAGTGACTTTGTGCACGGGATAGATCACCGGCTCAGCACTCAGCTGCAGATGGCCATGCCAAGTACCCCCACGGTGGAAAGTGCAGCAGCCAACGGAAGTACCTTTAGAATGCAAGGTAGCAGTACATATTTCAACGGCACTCAGGATTGCCCCGTGTTCCGCCGTAGTGTTATAATTCGCTCCAGAAGTTGTGGCCTTGTACGCATAGCCATAGAAATAATCATCACTAATATCCGTCCTATTTGTCAACGTGCACGAGTCCGCCTCTGACTTCAGCTTGATCATACCAGCAAGGAACTTCCAGATATCAATCACTACTTTGACCGTAGCAATAATTCTTGCGACGTACTTGACCACTATCATGACCGTGGAAATTCCCGTGCGCTTGCTGCAATTGGACGTGGTATTGGTATATTCCCATGCGTGGTCGGGGTTGATAACACCCAGAGTGACAGTCATGTTGGATGATCCGTTATTCCATTATTGGAAGATTAACGTGGTAATCCCAGATGTTGTCGCATTGTCTCCACCAAGACATGGATCAACAAGCCCGCATGCGAGAACGCCACACAGGAGACTGCTGATTTTGACCATGTTCCTTCAGTATATCGGTAGAAAATGGCAACCAAATCGAGGATAATAATGCTGGCCAAAGAAACCAAATCCATGTAGATGACCTTTTCGATGTCGTTCGAAAGCTGTCTTAAATATGTCAGTCCACATTCAGAGATGGGCATCCACAAAAATAGTGGCCACCTACCTACCTAAATGTGTAGATAAGAGTCTGCATAAAATAAGAAGCGGCAAGGTAATTGCCAACTTTTCAATGAGTCGATGGTTTCTTAACAAACGGAGATGGGGTCACTTTATAGATTCTATCGTCGGCAAATTATCCCTGTCTCACTTGAGCGACTTTGGAGAATAATCCTAGTTCATACCAGGTTGACGCCTCCTACGCACTAAATACCAGTATAGGGCTAACTAGCGTTGCGATGCTGCCTACCACTATATTTTATCGCACTAATTGCTGCCGGATCTACACTCCCTGGCCAGTGTGGAGGATCACTTTTAGTGTGCGCGGCCATTGTAATTTTACAGTATCAAAACAGCTGAGTGCTCATACAACTGGGGGGTTTAATGAGGAGAAATGTTGGCTAGGTATCTGAAATACGGGCCTAGTATTATGCATGCAGTCTTCTACACTGGCCAGACAATTTACATAGACAGTTTTAGCTTCCTTGGGGTGTTCATGGCCTAGCACATCGAAAACGATTTCCGCCGCCAATTATTTCTAGATTCAGTGTCCCATATTTATGCGAAGAGAAATTTCCCTGCTTTAGCAGATAATTTCTCAATTTTTTTCTTCTTTTTCCCTCGATAATTAACGACTCCTGGGCTGTCATGCTCTGCCAGGCTCTTTGTATTTCTTCTCTCTCGGCCAAACGTCGGACCATGGCTAGCTCGAAATTGAGAAACAAGGCGGTTCAAAAGCTAAGCTCAAACTAATATTTCACTCCCGGTCCAATCCAGTCGCTCATAGAGTATCCACCCTTGAAGCTGTCCAGGTGGGTTGCCTGACTTGATGACGCGGCCTTTAGCATCGCGACGTACGCATGTTTATTCTCTGTGGCGTTGGCTAATCGGATAGCTACAGACCGCCGATAGTCTCCCGGCGTTATAGTTATTCGATTCGGATTCTCGGCCGGGCTTTAAATGGCATTCGCTGCCTACCATGCAGTCGGTGTAGAGCTCGAAGTGTCGAAACAAGTTTCACGACCGGATGGACGAACAAACGTGGAATGGGATATTTTTCTCGTCGATGACTGGACTGTGCCTCCGGAGGTCCCATGGTTTAGCATCAAGGTTGGTTGCACCCGAACTAAATTCATAATAAATCGCAAGTTGCTTTATCTTGTTCATTCAGCATGGCCGAATTGATGTGTTGGTTGCAAGCCTCGAAAGTCCTCTCCATCGGCATCGTCAGAGCTTGGACGAATCGTGTGGATATTTCTCCCTTTCAAATACTGCTATTTCCTAGTAACTTAGAAGAACGGCCTTCCAGGCTAATCGATCAGAAGAGTCGTGTTTCGATAATTAATTTTCGACATGGAATGATAGTGTGATAGTGTTGGATACTACCGTGGAGGAGCGAACGGGATAAGATGAGACAGATGGCACGAAGGTGGTGATAGGAAGGAAACTACCTGAGGCTATCGAAACTGGAAACGGGGCAATGGGGGAAAGTGGAAAGCTGCGTTGGACTCTGGCGGTATACATACATACTCCGCTTTCCAGCTCCCGAATGGCTCTTCCGGGTTCAAAAAAAAAAAAAAAACGACAGCTGGCGGATTTGAACCGCCGCCTCCGAAGAGAATTGATTTCTAGTCAATCGCCTTAGACCACTCGGCCAAACTGCCTTGAGATAATTTCTGCGTCAAAATCTGCCTATATCAAAGATTTTCAACTCAAACAATCTCCAAAAACGATCCGCAGAGGGGCCTTCCTTAAATGCTTTAGAGGTCGTAATTCATCAGCATTAAGCCACATAGACATTTCCACTAGATAATCACCTGTCTTTCACCAGCAGAACGTGAGGCTGGATCTTAAAATACATACTAGCTGTATAATGCCACATTCAAGTTATTTCAACAAAACCCATCGAATAACCCGGGCCGTAACTCACATTTCAAATATATATTTATGCAAGAAGATATTTGAATAATATAATGTCAGCATTGTAAATTTCCAAGATTGAAACAGATCTGAACCATCTTCCAATATAGATTTCGAAAGGGTTGGCACCTCAACTTACAGTCTCTCTGGATTTGAGGCTTGGGATTTCGTGGGACACGTCCTTGATCAGGCAGGCAGCCATGTATTAAACTTGGACGATAACAAGGCCCTGTTTCCAAATGCGTTCCCCACAAAAGATAACTCAACAGGGAAAATGATAGGTATTTCCATTGGTTTCGAGCTCGGGGCAAGTCGGCTTTTGGTCTTTGCTCTTGGTAACTCGCTCCTGCAGACCTTTCGAGCCCGTCTCCTGCTATCTTCAAGGGTAATATAACGCGCATCCGCTGTATCCTCAAAAGTCAGGTGGTTGCACAATATGTGGAAGGTCCCAGGTACGGACTCTTTCAAGAGCAAGATACCTTTGAAGTGAAATTTTGACATTGAACAACGCTGTTGCTTTGGAATTGGTTTGAGATTGGATATCCCACCAAGGATGCGTCGAGAGCGGCCGGCAGATATCATCAACCTTGAAAATTGAAAGCACGAAGCAGCCTATAATGTGGATGTCAGGCAGGTGATATACTCCAGAGTTGGAGATAAATTTACCTATTATGAATAATCCTGAGTGCTGGTTTGCCACGGCATGGTTTTCCAGATAAAGTAGTAAGTGTTTCTGAGGTCAGAGAACGAGCCGACCTTGATGCCTGAGGCACTGTAATGCGACAGGGATGGGACTTACGTGCCCGGGCACGTAAGTCCCATCCCTGTCGCATTCGTTTCGCTTGTGTCCTGGTGAAATGGGAAAAGCATAATCATTCGCAAGAGCGGGGAATTTGGTCCACCTATCAGTAATGAGACAAACTTCAAGTCTCCTTCAACACATTTGTTGAACTCTTGGTCAGATCTAAGCAATAAATTTTTTTATGAAACCGCTACTGTAATGTTATTCATACATATTAAATGAATACAAATCCCGGCTGCGAAAATCACCACATCATACTAAAGGGGGCCGAGCAACCAACCTCCACGTCCGAACCACCTTCCAGATCACACATCCACACCCGCTCCCCTTGACTACTGTACCTCAAAATAAAAATACCCAACCGGGAGGTGTGCCTCGCCAGATTTAGAAAACGTCTTTCCACATCGAATCCCAGAAGGATTTTGAGAACATCTATATGTGTATACCACCAGACAAACAAAGATAAATCAAAAGCCTCTTACAATCAACACTGATCTTCTCAAATGTTCAATATGCTAATTTTCATTCTAGAAAGAGAGGTTGGGATGACCTTAGCCTTACACTCCAGGTACATTATGTACCACAGGTAAGGAAGAACAGCAGATCCTGCTAATTGTAGGTTCAGCCGTAAGCCCAGCACAGGGCGAATGGGCTTCTGTATTAGCCTGGACCATTGTAGCTTCTTCCACAATGACACCTGAGTCTCGGGGCCAAGGAAACGAGACGAGTGCTGAGTGGAAACCTGTCTTATCCGTAAATTATCAGGCTGCGCACCGGCTACTTAGTACTAACTATCGATGCGGGCGATATGCACTAACCCTGGGAAGTCCTTAGCTTATGAAAATCAAGGCTCTTTGACCGTGCTTTGAGCAGAGAACTTTTCCTAGTTGGGTTAGATTTTTGGGCATACGGATAAGCCGCAAGTCATTAACTTACTTTGGTAGGTTTGGTACCACAGCTCGGGATCCACGGGCGCATAGTTACGTGGGATCCACTTACAAGCTTAACAAGTCATCGCCTAGGTTGATCGACAAAAGCCGAACCCTACGGTTCTCTATAAATAATCTTCCGCGGACAACCTTTATGCTTGAGATTAATCCCAACTCTCACTTTTATTCCGCAATATCCCTATGATTAGGCCCGATATCCTGGCAAAATGGAGCCCGCTCTTCTATACAATGCGATGTTCCTGACCGAAAAGCCCCGAAGATGCTTCCAGGAACAAGTCTATACAGCAAACCGAAACACTGATAGCATACCAACATACGCAGAACTGAATCCTTTGCTCGAAGATATCGAGCCTTTCACCCCCGACCAGGTACTGGATTCCCTCGCGCCATATAGCCATGATTTCAATTCGGTTACTACGCCTTCAAGCCAGCAAAATACAGTGTCCGAATTTCAAAACGTGATTGAAGACCGAGTCCCAAAAATTGATACATCATCCCGCAACCAATTCCAGTTCAAGAGCAAGTGAGATTTACACTCTGCCATATTAAAAATCATTTCTATGCAGTGCTGACTATTAACTATAGCACGAACTCTGCTTTAATATGCAACATGGAAGGTTGCAAGTCCCCCGGCCCATTTTCAAACCGCGGAACCCTCAAACGCCATATCCAAACCCAGCATATTGCTCCAGGTGCATTTAGATGTCCTTATCACGGATGTCTTAAGGCTTTTAATCGAAGGGATAACTTGAAGCAGCATCTACGAGCTGTTCACTGGGACAGGCGCTGAGTTCAAGTTGCGCCTATTGACCCTGGAGAGGTCTCTGATAAGAGAATTTTTGTAATACACCAGTTCGAGTTATTTCCATTACTACTTGAAATTTCTGTCTTTGATACTAGTACTACTAAGACCTAAGCGGCCTTCGGCCTGCGGCCCAGTCAGCCAACACTGCTTTGTGGTGCGTTTCAAGTTCTCCTTTGGTAGTAGCCTTAGTATTCAGTGCTAGATATTGCTCTGAAGGCTTTGCCTCTACATATATCATCTATTATGTATGTCATTTTGGTTCCGCTCCAGCCACAGGGCTATACATTATGGCCTGGTCCTTTTTCACCACGTTGTTTTGAGTTACAGCAATATAATACAGGTAACAATCACCAGCACGTCGACAGCTATCCACGCAACAGTCGACAGAAATTTGACAGTCGTCCACATAACAGCCGATAGTAGCTTGACAGTAGCACTTCTCTTGAACCTTCGCCATTTCATATTGAACGATGGGTGTAGCAGCTTAACAGCTATTCGAGTAAAAGTCGACATTGGCTTGTCAGTGGCACTTTTATTGGACTTTCGCCACGATGCCGGATGTAGCACATCCTCTTAGTATTGAGCAAACTGACAAAGAATGTGAAACTAACACGAGGGTTGTCGCAGTCATACCGGCTATCCTTTTGTTTAATAGTATGTGGCCTTTTTAGTGGCTTTTCTTCGGTGGCCTTTCAGTGTGGTCTGCGGGAAGGGGGAGGGGTCTGGAGAGTCCAACCTTGGAACTGCTTCCAAGGTTCAGGAGAAAGTGTACAAAGATAACTGCAATTGGTATATCTCATCTTAATCTGGCCTTAGGTAGAGGGTATATATATCATATAGACAAGACATAAACGCAAACCAAATCCGATCCAATCCGACCCAAAATGAACACTGAAGAGATGGAAAAAAGAGAAGAAAAAAACAAAAGGAAAGATTAGGCGAACAAACGCAACACGATATTAAAGTAGGGACGAGAAAAAAAAGAAAACCCGAAGGAATCATACTATCCCACCCACCTCATCACACCCCACCAAAAACATCATAATAATAATCCTCATCCAACCCCTCCCTCTCCCGGAACAGTCGGCGCCTCGCCCGCAAACGTAGCATCATCAAAGCGAACATTAAGCAATCGAATCTTCAATCCATAATTACCAACGAGGTCAATTAACTTCGTCGTCTCAGCCGTAATAGGCTGTTGATTCAACAACATGAGTAAACCATCCAACCACTCCGAAGCTTCACTGTGCGAGGAAGGACGGAGGACGAGGAGGACTATTTCTTTTGCCGTTGAGCGGGAGGTTGAGCGGTGATGTTTGGAATTGGAGTGGCTGTGGCCCTGGCTGGTGGGAGACGGTGCGTAGCCGTGGATGGTGATTTTTGTCGCTGCTCGGGGGGCTGTTTTCACTGTTGATGTGGAGGTGTTGTCTGGGGCGGAGATGTTGGATACAACCGATGAGACTGTCGAGAGGTCGACTGTGATAGGGTAAGTAATTGATAGCAAAATCCCAAGGTGAAAGTGTTGACATACTCTTCTCCGGAAGCGCATCCAACTCCGGCGCCCGTTCGCCCAAAGAATTAAACTCTCCAAAATGAAGATATCGCCGATTATGCGACAACTGGACATACTGATGCGATGCATTCGACGACCTCCCCGTCACCACCGGATCGGATTTCGAACCAGAACCAGAACCCGCCTCCATCGAGAACCAAGCACCACGAAGTAAACACCTAGTCCTTTGCTCCTTAACAAACTGCAAAGCTTCATGATGAAGTTCCTCCCTAACCTGACGAAGATGTTGACCCCAAGCATCTTCATACGTAAGTTCGAGTAATTCCATCTGCAACTCACGCAAACGGGCATACTCGTAATTAGCGAGTTCCTCCTCAACATCTTGAACGTCTTTAGTCCTCGCCGCACCACCGACAACAGACTCGATTAGAATCCGAACCAATTCAACAAGCTTATCCAGATCATCAATTTCCGCCGCCGTAGCTTTCCACATTCGGAAGAACGCTTGTAAACCCGCAACATGGAGACGGGTCCAGTGTAATAGTAACGGTCTGAATAGTCGATCCAGACTGGATCGGGAATCCATAAGCATGTAATTCTTCGAATCGTCCATTTCGGACTTATCGACTTCGAAATGTTCGTATAAGATGGATGTTACAGCCAACGAGGCTCGCGCGATTGGGCAGCGCTGTCGGGAGGGCTTTGTCGATTGCTCTAGGAGCATCTTTTGAAATTCATCCTGGTGGCTGCGGACGTAATCTGCCAGATCCACCATGCCGAGGAAACCGACTCCGTAGAATTCTGTCGCGGGGCTTTCGGATTCAAAGCCCAGTCGGCGCCACTTTTCGGGATGGTGTCGTTTCGAACGTTTGGCGTCGTCGCCGGTAGTGGTATTTGTATTGGTGGAATACTTCTCCTTTTCCAGAACCTCCTCCGAGCCCTTCTGATTACTAGCCAAATGAATCCCCTTCAACGCACAGCGATGCTCAGGCTTCTCCTGATTCAGGGGAATTTCCTTCCACTTCCTCAGGAGTACCTTAGTAAGAGACTGAAATTCCAGCAACGGGTGCGCAAGATCCTGCAACGCAGAGTCCTGCATAAGATTATAGACCGCACGAATGACACCGAGATCCTGTAATCTCTGAATAAACTTAGGCCACTCAGCCTCGGAATCGTGGGTGATGGAGTCGCGCATCAGGGAATTGATCAATTGGAGGGCATTGGCGCAGAGCGCATGGTCAGCGGAGGATAGTCGACTGACGAGCATTTCTAGGAATTGTGGATAGATAGCGATGGCGGGTTTTAGGGCGCGAAAGCCGAACATATCGGGTTGAGGTGAGTTGCGGCCTTCGGCGTGTGGGTGGGAGACGACGGAGACGCAGATTGACATTGCGCCGCGGAGGATGTTGACGAGGGGGTGGGTGACGATTAATTGGACGATCTGTAGGAGAGAGAGAATATATTAGCGGGTGTTCATATTCAGGTTGCGCTTCGTCCATCCAACTGCAGTGCTCCATCCAGCTGCTGCTGCGCAGTCACTCACCCGCTCAACCAATTCCACATCGACACACTCCCACCCTTTATCAACATCAAGCAGTCTTGAAAAACTCGTCAGGCTATAAGCGAGGGTATTCCCACTCGCATTGAGGGTGAGGTATCGCAGACGAGTCAATCCACCCTCAGCGATAAAGAGGTCCGCGAAAGAAGGATCGCCAATATTGCCCTGGAGCTTGAAGACGGCCATTTTCCGAACGGCATCTTCATCGCTGCCCAGGCGCTCCACCAATTCGGCGACATTAACGTTCTCCATGGCTGGGGAGAAGGGAAGGGAAGATACTGAGTAACTCGCGAGTAACTCCGTATGGAGTGGAGTGGAGTGAAAGAAAGTTGAAGTGCGGAGGAAGTTCGGAGCGAAGGCGAAGGCGGCGTCAGGGGGAAGTGGGGCAGATGGTTTATTAAGGGTTTATTGGTTATTTTAGTTTATTTTATTGCATTATATTAGGATTTAGATTGATTATTTACTTTGGTTTAGGGTTTAGGGATCATAAATTATAGGTTTGGGGTAACTCGTTTGTACATTACTAGTTATTCGTCATACATAGGGCATTGCCCGGGGAATCAGGGAATCTATATACTAACAATCCAACCAACCCAACCAACTCCAGATGATGATGAGAGACATGATGCAATGAGGATGTGAGATGCAATGCAGATGAAATGCAGACAGACGAAGATGACCATACTATTTTGCACTCAAGTCATCACCGCCGCCAGCCCACGTTCCAAATGACATGGGCAATATCTCGCGCAGTATTCACCGTATCAACCACACGGCCAAGGAGGCCATTACTGACAGGTTCTCCTTCTCCTTCTCCCTCCCCCTCACCATACGGCATAAACATGCCCGAGGAGGTAAGTCGAAGTGGACGATCGGTCATTTCATCCTCATCTTCAGGGACAAACCATGGCTGGTCTTGAGTCCGGTAATGGCCCGTAAAATCGAGACTCGGATCTTCATCATCGTCATCAAGCAGGAAGTTGGCGGAGGATTGAGGTGGGCGGAGGGTTTCCACGGAGGGAGTGGGTGATAATTTAGAGGAAGTGGAGGTGGAGGTAGAGGCGGGTTGTGATGAAAGAGATGACCACCGAGCAAGGATTGACTCGCGTGGCTCCGGGGTGTCCCCGCGGTATTTCAAGGTGGTGGAGGGTAATGGGGCGATCGTTTTGCTGTCGCTGCTAAAACTGTTGCGTGGGGTACTTCGATTGCTGAGGGATGCTTGACCAGCGATCTGTCGCATCATGATCACTCCATCGTCTGATGAAGACTCGTCATCCACGGCCGGCCAGTCTCCATCGCCTTCTTTGATGTCGACTGCGATACACTGCTCCACTTCATCATTGAAGTGGATATGCCGCCGCTCACTGGGGGAAGTCATCCCGGAGGACGAGGTGGTGAGAGTACCGCCGAGGGAATATGTCGAGCTCCCCGTCCGGTGGTGGATTTGGTCGAGGTCGGTGTTGGATCGGGGGAATGGGGGGCGAGACCATCCATTTGCCTCTTGGGCTTTGAGAATGGCACCCGCATGCTGTAGGAGGGTGTGTTGGGAGAGGGAGCGTTGGAGGATAGCTTCTGATGCGGTTTTCTTTTTTAAGATGGGCTTCCGTTCCAGATAAGAGTTGGGGGTTTCCAGACGGCTGGGCGGAGGAGAGCAATCGGATGTCATGGCGTCGGTCGAGGCGGAGGTCTTGAGGGGACCATAGAGCCAAGTGACATCACAGTCCTTGAGCCTGGGATTGTTAGCAGTGTGCAATGTGCACGCAATAGAGGAGGGTGCTCACCAATTCAAGGTCTCTGGAGAGATAGTTTTGAGGTTATTCTTGGCTTTGGCCCATGTCCTCCACGACGCGTTCTCCAGCCGGACACCATTACTGTAGTCACCTCGGCGAGCGGTCACATATCGCCAGGAGGCCCAGATATCCTCTTCCTTCCATTCATGGGCCAGGTAGTCGACATGGCGCGATGGCTCGTCCTCGACGGAGGTATCGTCGGCAGCCGGGTGGGTGGTCAAGAGTGCGGAGGGAGATGGTAGATCTATTGAGGCGTCGCTCAAGGTATCGAGAATTGTCTCTGTCTCTGTTTCTGTCTCCACTTTGTCGGAAGGGAGGAGTAGATCCTCATCTAGCGATAGACTGCTCAGAGTAGGTGTGTAGAGGGGATCCTGGACGGCCGGAGTGAAGTTCGGAGAGGGCGGAAGAGAAGATTCAGTGGAGGCGACGGGACTAGGAGAATCGTGGGGGTTGAAATCATGTTGCATGGGGGATTTGGAGTGAATATCGTGGAGGTTGTGGAGGTCGTGGAGGAAATATCTTTGGGTGGTGGGTGAGCGCAACGGATCTGGGGAGAAAAGTGGCGACCGTTGGGGGGTTGCCAGGGCCGTCATGGCTAATGGGGGATGGTCATGTGGGTGGTAGAAAGAGTATAATGAGGTGTAGTAGAACAGAAGATAGTCCCGAGGGGGTATTAGGGTTTTAGGGGAGAGAAAGAGAGGGGAGAGTGGTGTGAGTGAGTGAAGTGAGGTGGTGGTGGAAGAAGAAGAAAGGAGGAGGAAAGTGGAAAACGTGGGGAGAATCACGGGGAGAGGAACTTCTCTTCTTCAAACCTCAACTTTCTCTTTATTTTTCTCTTCTCCCTTCTGGACTCTGTCTTTGCCACTGCTATATACTTGAATCTCTCGACTTTTATTTCTATTTTATTTTTTCCCTCTTATTCTATTTTTCCCCCGGTCGCCACTGGCAATCATTCCCCTCCGCTAGTGCGCACCGGCCTCAGTTACAGTTACGAGAAAGTCCAAGGCCAGACCGCACTATTCCCCACTTTTGCGAGCTTCGATCAAGTGGAGCACTCAAAGTCATGGAGTACTACAAGAGAGCAGAAGTAGCAACAGAAGCAGCAGCAGCAGGGTCTGAGCACAACACATGGTGGGTGGCACAGAGTTGAACAGATATCTGGAGATACACATACCGCAGCATGGCGACATATCCATCTTCTCCCAGTTCACAGGAATGTGAATGTCAGTGTCAGTGGTAGACATCATGATACCACCCCAGTCCGAGTCACGACAAAAATACATTACTGCCTGCCCTATGGATTCCTGATCGACTCAACCCCACCCGCTGAGCACAGGCCTGGTCGCGGACACTTGCTGGTGCCGAGAAGATAAGCTCGAGATTTGTGCCATTCCATCTTCTCCATGGCCGATGCCGATATGATCGATGACTATGAGGCTTGAGGGGAACCAATCGAAGAGGAGGAATGTGGCGGCACTATCAGACATCCATCCAGCCATCCAGCATCCAGATGCAGCATCTAGAGCTAGCATCCAGACCTAGTCTAGTCAGCCCGGAAACCTTGGCAGTTTCTACAGAGTCTGGTATGAACTAGAGCATCAAGGTTCAAGTTCCAGGTTCCAAGGTTCACTTCTTGGAACATCAAGTTTTCCAGGTTGACCAACTCACCACTCCTCCACCACCACCACCACCAAATGCTCTCCACCACACCAGGCTTGCATCATGCAGACTGGGCGCAACTGGGGGCAACTGGCAAAGGGTAAAGCAAAACTAAGAAAAACTCGTCGTACACCTAGAATTGCCTTTTGTCCGTGCGCTTGCAGGCCTGGGCGACTGGCTATTGTCGATGTCGCCGAGAAGACCAGCCCATGATTGGTTCTGGCTTAAACCCTCCCAGCATCCCTCCCAGCATTCAGTTGTCCGTCCTCGTCCGGGCCCTCGCACCAGGCCCGTGGGCCAGTGACAGCGCCGCATTGCTGCATGTCGCCGCCGCCGCCTCTTCTTTTTTTTTTTTTGCCCTCGATGAGTTCGGGCCCCGGCGTTAGCACCCCGTTGAAACGAAGCTGCACTGCGTTGCGCTGCGCTGCGTCTCAGATCCACTATCAAGAGCACGCCGTTCTGGCCCACCATATCCTCACCCAGTGAACGCGATATATTCATAACGTTCTCGTTCTCGGTGGGTACTCTCTGCGGGTACTCTCTGTGGATACTCTGCGGATACTCCTCAATGCGATCCGCGGAGATGAGATGATTCAATCAATGGCGAGCAGGATGTGCAAATTGACGCGAATCCCCACGGGCCCCCACGACCCCTGACCCTCGGAATTGCGGAGCCACCAGCCTGTCCTTTCATCGATCGACGCGTACGAATAGTGGTTGAAGGAGTGAATGAGGTGAACGAAACTCTGAGATCATCGGTCTGTGCTTCCCAGCTATCCGCACTAGGGAGGTACCTGGTACATACATGATAACCAGCTACCTAGCCCCGGGCAGGGCAACTCTACTATCTGCAATCGCTGCAATCGCTATCTACGATCATCCTCCTCCTCACCTTGGTATCCCATCCCATACCGAGGGTCCCTACCAATTTTCGTATCTATCTACCCGTCTCCGCATCGCTGCATCACCGTTACAATCCCAATCCTCCGCTCTTCGGAGTATTCAACTAGCGCTTTGCCTTAGGTACGGAGGGCTCGTACCTAGTGCCTTGCCTGCTCCACAGCCTAGCGCCTCACCTAGCGCTTTGCTCTGCTCTGCTGCACATCGTACTTTGTCATTGTACCCGTACTGGCACAAAAAACTCCGTATGCAACGCGCTTTACTTTCCACTACTGCGCGTCTTACCGGGGTCCCCAGCCACGGTGGAGCCACTCGTCCACTGGAACGCTGGAACGCTGGGCCCTTCATTAATGCACGACACTGATACTATCTTATCGGAGCTCAACGGCTACCTCAAGGCAAGGCTGTCGGGGTGCTCTGCGCTGCTCTGCTGCGGATCTACATATCATCAACCGCCCGGGCACCAATTGCGGATCGGATCAATGCGATGCGGTCGCTATCTCCCAGTCCCATCCCCCAGTCCACCTACTCTACCTCTACACCGGAGGTAGATGCAGACGCAACGCAACGGCAGCGGAACGCAGTTCTACCGTTGACATGCATGGCCCCATTGACAAACGGGCAGACAGGAAACGGGCAGGCAGACCAGGCTCGGCTAGGCTTTCGCTCGGCCAGGCTGGCCCCAGTCCGGCCGCAGCTTCTCGTCTTGTCTTCCCTCGGTCCTCCTTCCTCTCCCTCTTCTCCTGGCGATAACGACGGTGCATTGTCCTTTCGCGCCACTCGGGCGGGGTCTTAGTCTTACCTTAGTCTCAGATTACCCTACCCTACCCTACCCTACCCTACACCCGGTGAGATGAGATAGGATGATCTGCAAGACAGAGTTGGTGTGTTGTTCATATTGGCAGCTACGGTATTGTCTATAGTTAGTACCCTCTAGTTTTGTAGAGTAAATGTATACGATGCAATCAGCACCAGCTTATCACTAGCACCCGAATTAGCAAGCAATTGACCATTACATTAGCCCCATCCCATCACAATCGGTAGATCATCTCTGCACACTGATATCATGCAGTAACTAAAAACTAAGAACAATTCCTATAGTCTCCGAATAATCTCGGCCCGGAAAATCACGGGACATCACGGGATGAGTCGGCATCACGTGCACACCATACCCAAAGTGTCTTAGTAAGCGCCCCGCAACCGCAACGCAAAGCAAAGCAAGTGCCCGCACTGCCCGCACCGCAACACTGACGACTCGCCTCGACTCGACTCTTTGATTCGACCCATTGCATAATCACTTGAAACGATGGCTGAAGTTGCGGATTCAGGAGCAGGACCCGGTCCCCTCGAGCCGCAGGCTAGACATGTTGTATACTGTGGAGGTGAGTGTCCCCCGTGGTGGGATGGTGGGCTGTGGTGTGGTGTGGTGTGGTGAATTGGATTGGATTGAGCTAGCCAACTGCCCGGATGGAGCTTGGTAGAGCTGCACTGGACGGACGGAGCTTTGCGATGTGGATTGCCATTCCATTCTATTCAATTCAATTCCCCGCCCCCACCCCTCCCCTCCTTGCCTGGCCTGTACTGTACTTCTGTGCTTTACTGGTGTATGTTGCGTGATGTTGAACCTTGGCTAACACAATTCCTTCATAGTCTGCACTCTACCCCCAGAGGTACGTTATGTTATGCTGCGCTAGTTTATGCTAGTTTATGCTATGCAATTATTCCCATTTTATTCCTTCCCCGGGTCGATATGATATAATTCGATACGATAGCAAGCTGCGCAGCTTCGCTTGGACCCATGATAAAGATACATACACTCAACTCAACTCAACTCAACACGAAACACAAAGAACACGCCATTGACCACATCTTCTAATAGTACTGCGAGTTCGGCGGCACGGCGAAGAAATGCGAGGAATGGCTTGAGGCTAAACAGCCTGATCTTTGGAATAGATTATACTCGGAGGGTGAGTGATATATCCCGACCCATGCCCACACCCATGCCCATTCCCCGCTCGTTATGATGGGGATTCTATATTATCCCGCTTCCTATATTTCATCTCCATCTCTGCCCGCTTCCAAATAACCACAACTAACCACCACCACCATCACCCACAGACGCAGTAACAGCAAACCTCTCAACCCTCTCCCTCTCCGCCCAAGAACGCGCCACAAAAGACGCCGCGAAAAAAGAAGCCAAAGCCGCCCAAACCGAAGCGCGCGACGCGGAGCGCAAAGCAGCTTCAAAAATCCAAATCAAGCGGGTAGAGCGCAACAAGCGCAAATACGTCACCGTGATTATCGGCCTTGAAGTATTCGGATTAGAGAATAAGAAATTGGCCAAGGATTTGGGGAAGAAGTTTGCGACTGGGTCTTCTATGACTCGTTCTGCGGCCGGGACGGAGGAGATTACTGTTCAGGGAGATGTTAGTGAGGATGTTCGGGAGTGGTTGCTTGAGGTTCATGGGGATAAGGTTCCACGGGGGAATATTGAGTTGATTGAGGATAAGAAGAAGAAGAAGGCTGATGCTGCGGCTGGTATTGTTTAGTGCCAGTGTAGCTATGAGGTATAGAGCAGAGGGGTATTTACTAGGCGGAGGATACTATACTGATACTTATACTCTGGTATGATATTTGCATCACTACGCCGACTGTTGAGTGCATTGGGTTGGTTGGTTGGATTGATTGATGACTGGCATTAATGATCGACGATTTCATTGTGGTTAGTTAGGTATGGATATGGGTATGGGCATGGGTATCATGACACGACTAAAATAAAAATATATGGAGACCCGAAGAAACAAAACAAAACAGAACAGAACAGAACAGAAACGCTTCATTCAATGCTGTGCTGTGCCTTTCTTTGCCGATGCTTGTGCGTACTGCCAAGGGGCCAGTGTGCAGTGCGTAATATCATAAACCTTACAACTCATCAAGAACCCGCAAAGGATCATATTCCGCATCCGTAGCTTTCGCCTTCACTGCCCGTGAACTCGAGCTTTCACTCGAGCCTCCACCTCCACCGCCCCCATCCGTAGCCCTCGCCTGAAGACTCTCCCGACGATCCGCAAGGCTGGCTGGATACCACGCCGAACTAGTCTCGACCTGAACCCCATGGTCATGGAGGATGGACTCAACCACAGATTGAGGTGTTGTACCCGACACGGGGAGTGGGAGAGATTGGTTTGAGATCGGATCCGACGCCGACGCCAATGCCGGGCCCATGTCTAGATCTAAATCCAAATTCGGCGAATCGACGGGGAGATTCCGCTCAATCCCAGGCCAATTCTGCAAAACAACCCCCAAAACCAAAACCATCACCGCACTACCAACAACAGCCCAAAAGATTCTAAGTCGTCGACTAATCCGCTCCTGCCAATCCAATTCCCGTCGTTCCCAACGGTCAATCTCAGACTTGACAGCTTGAAGACGAGTACCCAGTTGCTCGACTTTCTCACGACCGGATTTCATGCGGGATTCTAGGCTCTTGGATTTGTCGCTTTGAGGGGTAAACCCCTTTAAGTCGATGATTTGTTTGCGGATTTCCGTATCCAGGGTGCTTGTTTCGCGGTCGAACTCGTTCAGGAATGTAGCCGCTGATTCGGAGAGATCTTGAAAGGAGGCGATTGTTGAATTTAACGCTGTTACTCGCTCGAGGAGATTGTAGTATGTGTAATCTAATCTTCTTGTCGCGTCTGTGGCTTGTGTTCCGGTGGAGGTCAGGGCTGATCGGAGATATCTGCAGCGAAGTGTAAGTGTTAGCTAGCTAGCTTAGCTTGAGTTGAGTGGTTGAGACAAGACTGCCAACACTCTAACTCACCCTTCACCCTGTTTCCTCCTCCTCTTAACCCTCTCCAAATCCTCCATAGACTGAATCTCCTGTCGTCTAATCGGTCCCAACCGCTCATGCTGCTCAGGAACATCAAGCAAACTTCCCCTCCGACCAGTCCCCCTCGTTGAATCCGAGTCCCAGCGAGACCGTGTCGTCGACGCCGTCGTCTCCCGCGTTATCGGTCGGAGTAACCCATCATCTGCATCGCGTGGGCCGGGGTCCTTATCCTTCCCGGACCAGGTGGGTAGTAAGCCGCGCGCACTAGCTGAGGAAGCGAGATGGCTCATTGGGCGTGGGAGTCTTAGTTCGCGCGATTTGGTGTGTTTGTGTTTATGGGAGGTTGATTTGGAGCTGGAGCCGTCGAGACTGTAGCTGTGGCTGTGGTTGTGGTTATGATTGTGACTGAGACTGTGGCCGAGGCCGAATGGGTCGAAGGTGCGTGGGTGTCGGTGGCGTGGTTCGGAGGATCCGTGGTTGGGGGTGGAGATGGAGGTGAAGGAGGGTTCTTGTAGAGTTGGTCGTTGTTGTACTCGTATTCCTGATGTTGATTTTGATCCTGCTCCTCCTCCTGCTGCTGCTGCTCCTCCTAAGGAGGTGGTGTATTTGTGCTGGACATGGCGAGGGATGGCTCGGTCGCTGTCTGCAAACGGACTGGAGACGTCATTGGGTCGGGGGGTGGGAGGTTTGTGGGTCAAGGGGAAGGTTGCAGAGGCCGTTCTGGTGTGTGCGAATGGGATGGGATGGGGGTCCATTTGGCATTATAGTAGTTTTGGGAGAGTGGTAGTAGTGGAAGTGTAGTGGAAGTGTAGTGTAGTGGAAGTGAAGTGGTGAAGTGAAGTGCGGAGGAGACGCGGAGGCGCCAAGAAGATCGACACGCTACGGAACAGCCTGAGCCATACTGAAGACATGGCATATCTACGAGTATGCATACAGTGATACAGTTATGGAGGTATACATTATACAGTCAAGTAAAGGATACTGGTAAATAAATTGCTTTTATCAATGGATCGCTATGAACTGAATCAAATCAATCGAATCCTCAAAACACTCCCAGAAACGCCAGTGCCCAACCCGAGAATTAGCGGTAGCTGTAGAGCAGCATAGCTAGCATAGAATAGCATAGCCTGGCTTGCTGTAGTATCCGGATCATGCAGGTAGATGTATGCCAGTGTGCCAGTGTGCCAGTGCGTACTGTGTACACCAGTGCAGGCAGCTCCACCTTACGAGTTGAGAAGCTTGTTGCGCTTCTCTCTGCGCTTCAAGCGCTCGACGCGCTTGGCATGCATCTTCTCGGCCATCTTCTCGTAGCGAGCCTTTTCTTCCTTGGCGGCGCGCCTGTCCTTGATGCGCTGGATGTGGGCCTGGGGAGGTCCGAGTTAGCGATGGTAGGCAGCCAGGATGAGGATATAAAATAGCCGGGGACAGGAACAGGGACAGGAACAATAGTTCACAACCCAACATTAGGGTTTTAGGGGAAAGAAAGAGAAAAAAAAGAAGGAAATCAGTAGCTGTGAATAGCAATGAGCACCCACCTTACGCTCGGCCTCCTTCTCATCCTTCATCTCACGCTCCAACTCCTTGACAGCCTTTGCCTGGTCGGCAGCCTCTTTCCGCTTAGCGTAGGAGGTCAGGCCGGAATTCGGACGGAAGGGCTTCTTGGAGGAGTCATGCCAATTCTTGCCTGAAAAGGATTGGATTAGTTGGGTGGAGTGGGGACGTAGGTGAGTTGGGTTGGAGTGACATACCGTTCTTGCGCATGCCGGCGGACTTGGGGGCCTCGGGGGCTGGCGCGGTGGCCGTAGTAGACATAGTGAAGGGGAAAGGCACAGAATGTATGTGTCTGTCTGTATGTGTGTGTGTATGTGTGCGCAAAGTATGACTGTTGTAATATGTATCACTGTGGTTGCAGTGATGAGTGGAATAAGATAGACCGAGTCTGCGTCCACCGGGCCCGTCCAAGTGAAAATTTGCTCGGAGATTATCAGATCGAGATAATCAGGCTTGGCACGAGAATTTCCCACTTTGGCAGTATTGGACACTTCCATTTGTCACTTCACCTCTGCCACTCTCCCTCTTCTCTCCACTGCAGTCCCGCTTTCACCGTATTTGGCGCCCAAAAGGGCCCCGTAAGGTCCATTTCCCTGAAACTGACGACTTCGCTTCTGCAAGGCTCTCTTGGCAAACACTCTACTCACCTCCGGCGTACACGAGGCATTTCATTCACCGCCAAATCCCCTCTTTTTTTCGTCTTTCACCCCCCACCCACTCCCACTCTGCAGTGCCTGAGCCTGCGACAGCGCCTGACGCGCCCGATCAAATCGCTCACTCTTAAATACTCCGTCCCCCTCTTTCTTATACCGACTTGCTCTCTCCTCCCGTCGTGGAAAATCATGCTTCTGCGATAGCCCCGTTTAGCCTTTCCTCCCTTCCTCTTTCCCTCCCCCTGGACTGTTAAGCCTTGATGGCGACGGCCGAGCATGCAATTACGGTCAATGAAGCGATGGAGTTGCCCGTCCTCCCGCCTAACCAGGGGGTTGAGGCTATGAAGGATATCGTCTTCGGATCGGTGAGTGCAGCACAACCAGCACACAACCAGCACCACTGGTGGTGGTGGTGTGCCCATCTCGCCACTTCCAAATGACTCACGCTAACCACCACCACCACCCCAGTCCGCCGGAATGGCAGGAAAATTAATAGAATACCCCTTCGACACCGTAAAAGTCCGCCTCCAATCCCAACCTGAACACCTTCCCCTCCGCTACACAGGACCCTTGGACTGTTTCCGCCAATCCTTCCGAACCGATGGCTTCAAGGGTCTATACCGAGGCATATCCGCCCCCATGACCGGCGCCGCCGTCGAAACAAGTTGTCTATTCTTCAGTTACCGCATCATCCAAGATGCGCTTCGGGCAACCGTGTTCCCGGGAATCGATCACCTTCCCTTCGCCGCATTACTGTTCAGCGGTGCAGCGTCGGGTTCGGTTACATCTCTCGCCCTCACACCCATCGAGTTAATTAAATGCCGCATGCAAGTCCCCTCCGAAACATTCGGCGCGCAGCCCCGTCCACTCGCCCTAGTCGCAGACATCTTTCGTCGCGAGGGATTAATCGGTTTCTGGCGTGGTCAGTTGGGTACACTTATTCGGGAAACGGGTGGTTCTGCAGCTTGGTTTGGCGGGTATGAGGGTGTGAGTATGTTATTTCGCAAATATAATTTGAAAAACGCCGCCGCCAGCACCACCACCACCACCGCCACCGGGAACGACGGCGCCCTCTTCGTCCACCAACAATTAATAGCCGGAGCAACAGCGGGAATTAGCTACAACTTCCTCTTCTACCCAGCCGATACGATCAAGTCCCGCTTACAAACGGAGGATATTTCACTCCGCCAACCCGGTGCCCAGAGACAGACGTTTTGGAGTGTTGGTCGGGCTCTTTGGAGACAGCAGGGTCTTAAGGGGATGTATCGTGGTTGTGGAATTACTTGTGCGCGATCAGCGCCGAGCTCGGCTTTTATTTTTTCCGTTTATGAGGGGTTGAGATCATTTTTTGGATAAACACCTCGGAGAAAGAGACACATACACAGAGAGAGAGATACATGTTTTGCTTTTATTGCATATAGACTTTTGTTGTTGTTGGTTGAGTTGAGTGTTGGATGAACATATATCTACGATCACGATTCGATTGGATTGGATTAGATGCGATCGAGACCGCTTTCTTGCTTTTGTTTTATACCCTGATATACAAAAAAGATCATGATATTTGTTGCTGGATAACTATAGATTTGTTGAATGGAATAATTCAAATGAGCATAATAGCAGCAACCTGAGTGGCATAGTTCAGCCTGTGTACTAGTTAGTAGAAGCCCTGGAGAAGAAGAAACAAGTGTGAACTGGCAGCAGCCGATTGCATCTGAGTCTACTAGGAATTTCGTAACAGTTTGCGGTGTTTCTTCCGGTTTATTATTGCACCACCTGGCGTCATACTATCTACTTTGCTTTTGTTACGGTTGGGCGTGGCGTTTGGATAGGTGCTGCTTTCTGAGGGATGAACGACTGTATAGTCATTACGTTCTGATTTACATTCAAGCTGCGTCCCGTTGACAAAATCTTGAATTGAACTGAATCAAAATATGCTACATATTTCTCGTTTTGGCGCTTTGGCCAGAGAAATTGGAAGGGGATCTTGGTGCACCCAATTGTGTTTGGTGAGCTTCCTAGCTTCGACGAGATATCCACTCAATCAATAGGAAATAGGATGGGAAGTTGAACGCGTCCTGGTCACATTCAACTTCTCAAAGCCCATATCTCCATGATTATGTGCAAGTCGGCAGTTATACATAGTAAACTGATAATGACTTTGACTTCGCCCCAGACTCGTGCAGCCAGAGTTATATATCACTGCTCATATTAGATTGAGTATCAGTATGCATTTTCTTAGGAAGGAAGGCATACGCTTCTCGACTTGGTCGGATCTCAGTCCATGCAACTCCCACGATAATCGATGGCAATGCATACCTGGAGGATAGGCTGATGACTTCAATCCATACGTAAGCACATTGCACATCTCTCATCAATCAATAAGCCGGCCTCGGCCTCATGCTTCATAATGATATTCAGCTCAGGCGTCAGCTCAGATGAATCCAAAGTCCTGAACCCCAGAGACCTATAGAAACCTTCATTCCATGGCACATTTCGAAAAGTTGTCAGAGTAACGGACGAGCAGTCAGATGTGACTGCCCATCGTATCACCGTTTCCATTAAATTCCGACCGACTCGCTTGCCCTGATGAATTGATTGAACGGAGACCTCATGTATGTGGAAAGTTTTCTTCGTCAGGTTCCCGTTGAGAAATGCGATCGGGGCATCCTTGGCATCAACAGCCACCCATTCGAAACCGTCCTTGATGAATTTCAAATGTTGCTCCACCGATTGTGTGTCTCCATCAGCGAGCCATGCATGTTTAGGAAGCTGTAAAAATGCTTGAGCTGCCGAGCGCTCCACCGCTGGTAGGAGTGGAGCGTCTCTTGCTTCTGCTTGCCTGATCGTGAACTTGAAGTTATCCATTCGAAAGGTACGTTCATATGTGCAATAGATCATGTGGGGGGAAATTCGTTGACTCCTGCTCACAGTTCAAGGGAAGGGGCATAACAGGGGAAGATGATTTTCGACGTAGGGTATATTTAAAATTACAAGCAAATGTACCCTACAACAGTATTAGTACAAGTAGTTATTTCATTTGTAGGGTCTTCTATCACGTGGTATCTTTCAATACCATGCGGTATTTGAAACCGAGCGAAGCCCAAAACGGTAATCGGTGGTAATGTAATGCGTATCTTCCCTTCTATTCAGCAGATCGGCGGGCTATTACTGACCAGATGGAATAAGGGTAGAGAGAGTCGAGAGATGGTGTATTGGTTGTTTTTGTTGTTGTAGGATAAACTACCTGGAAGCCTCTTATGTACATTGGTTGTTGTCTGGTTGATTTGACGGCAACCACCTGTACCTACAGTAGTTCCTGCTTTCTTCTGCTTCTCTCCAAGCTTATTACTTTCCACCTGGGAAATATCGTCTGCTACTACACCTTCCTCGGTATTCGTCGTATCCGAGCCCTTTGAATCTATCACATATCTCGCATAAACTGGGAGCCTTGGCATTTGACTTCTGCTAGAACGGTTGATTTTGCAACGAAGAGAATCATATTTCTCATTGGGTGATCTGGAATTACTATAAGCTGGTTGAGGTGTGTATGTTAGTCCGGACCTATTTGGCCAATAAGCGTTTATAAACTACTACACATTGTATGGTTCAATCGTCACATCTTGATTTGCGAGTATCCGAGCATTCTCATATTATATTTAACCCGAAGAAAGATACAAATTAAATGGCTGTCATTATTGTCACGCTCCAGGACTATCACTGTTATTGATCCATGAATTGCCGATGAAAGCTAACAATCCGGCCTGTCCACTCCGTAGCGTGCGTCAAAAAGGTAGTCCGGAAATGAAATGATCCTTCCATCTGCCCAAACCCACTTCCTGGAACGACACAAACGCCTGTTGCTTCAAGCAGTTTCAAACAGTAAAACTCATCTGGCGACCGGCCCTCTAAAGCAGCGGCTTGCGCGGCCTTGGCCGGTGCCCCAACTCCCGGATATTTCGGCAGCCTTTATACTACGTGCTCCCACTGCAGCCCGTCCCCGTCTATCCTGCTCGAAGAAAGGCACGAACCGGCAAGCCGACGGCGGCCATATACACTTCCCCTTCTCCAGTCATCTGATAGGGATAAGACAGAGTCTATGACGAGGATCCGCCAATCTGCATCCACTACTTGATAGAATGGGATCAACAAGAAGGTTGTGGTGAAGAACACGGCAGAAGATCCGGTATTAACCCCAAGCGCCTACTAGCAGTTGTCTCTTAACCAGAAGTTATAGGCTGTAGTGGGGTTTTAGGCTCTGAAGAAGTTACGATGCCCAATAGAATCCGATTCGGAGTAGCGAAAGCGTTTAACATTTGTCGTGGACGAAGTCATGAACCTAGAGGAATAAATAATCATCCTAACTTTGCTGCATATCCGAAGCCCGAGGCCAGCTGCGAACGTTGTGATTCATATCTAGACCACCGATTTAAAACTACCAACAGCGTCTGCTATTTTTTCCAAGAGAACTCTCTTTCTTTCATCTCCAATCCAACTTCCACGCACTCCTGAGATTGCTATGGTGTTCCAATCGTCAATGCTGAAATCAAACGCCTCCTGAACTGCGCAGTAATTGTTCAATATCCCACCGCCAAAATAGGCCGGGTCATCGCTGTTCAACGAAAATAGCACTCCAAAATTTAGGAATTCCCGAAGTGGCAGAGAAGCGATGGATTTGACAGTGCGCAAGTAAACATTTGAGAGTGGGCAAATAGTAAGCAAGGTGCCCTTTGCAGCGATCTGTTCCAAAAGCTCTTGATCCTCAGCTAAGCGGATGCCATGGTCAATTCGCTCAGCATCTAAAGAGTCGAGCGCTCCTTTGATGTAAGAAACATCGCCTTCTTCGCCTCCATGAGCCGTACGCCGTAACCCAACCACTTTGGCTTTTTGGAATACGTTCGTAAACAGCTCGGGGGGGGAATCCAACTTCAGAAGAGTCAAGCCCGACGCCATGAATAGTACCATCACGGATAAACTCATTTACAGAGTCAAAGGTAGCTTCGGCGGACGCCACCGGCAGGTGACGGAGAAAACACATGATGAGACAAGATGTGACCCCCAATTCAGATTCGGCACGGTCCAGGGCGCGCTTATAGCCTCTGGTGACTGATGCTATAGGAACACCACGGGGGGGTGTGTGATTGTGGATCAAAGAACACTTCTGCATGATGAACCCCATCAGCATGGGCCGCGAGAACATAGGACCATGCCAATTCGTAAAAGTCATCCTCGGTAATCAAGACCGACATATTTGCATAGTGAATGTTGAGAAAGTCGTCGAGATTGTCGAATCCATCATACCTGGCTGCCAGAGCCTCGGGGCTTTGGTAGTGCGGCAAATCAGGAAGGGAAATCTTGTTCTTTCTCGCAAGAGAAAAAACCAGCTCCGGAGTCAAAGCACCCTCGAGATGAATGTGATGCTCACATTTTGGGAGATTGAGAAGGAACGAATGAAGTGGTGATTTGCACATAGTGCTGGGGATGGTTCGCGTTCTGCAGTGAAGAAAGAAATCGACTTTGATTTTGATTATTTCGCCAATCCCTTGGAGGTATAATAAACATATTCCACCTGAGCCATTTAGCCTATCTGTGACGCCAATTGCCGCGTCCCCAGAAGATAAGGTCCCTTCTCAGCGCGAAGACTTTCACCCTCTGTATATGCATCTCATGAGTAAACTCATGTGTCACCCCATATAATTTCTTGCCCTCAAAGGTTTGGCCGATAATCTGGCTATCTAATCTTATCCTACCCAACATTGGTGACCTGCGGGCTTTGCTATATAACTCGCCCGCAGATGAGTCCAACCGCAACTCCTGCCAAGGTTGGCACTAAGAGCGGTCCGAGTGTACGTCCGTGCAAGCGAGAGCCCGCCCTGAACATAGATGTAGAATACTAATCAATCGTGATATATGACATGAAGGGGCAGGTTATCTTGGGCTTTGACTAAATACCCATAGTAAGGAGCCTACCATGACATAAGTATTACTGAACTACAAGGTACATCTGCAAACGATAAACAAACTTTTGTGGAGAAGTAAATTGAAAATTTTGGAGTCGGTATGTTTTCTTTTCTTGATACTACTAACTTAGGTTGTGAGAAATAATTATTGCGGCATAACTGGGCATTACTTAGTACTAGTATATATTTTGAAAATTGACTGATAGATCGTGAAGGAACAATGCTTTCCCTGTGCTAAGCACTCTTCGACCAATATAGTGCAGCATCTTCTACTACCTTCTGTTCCCACCCCTCAGCCTTTAGTGGCCCTAAAACCTCCACGGGCGTTTGCCCCGCAGCAAAGACTGCCCGGCATGGCATATCGAGAGTCAGGTTCTCCACATTTCCGGTCCCCGTGAGTTCTTGTAATGTTTTCTCCGATGCCAAATAGACCAACCGTCCAATGTGAGCCCAGTAAATAGTTCCAGAACACATAGCACATGGCTCCCACGTTGAAACCATGGTACATTTCGCCAGGTAGTTCCAGTCGTAATTATCCGCGGCATTGCGGGCCACTTCACATTCAGCATGTCGAACATGTGAGAGCGAGAGAGATGATATCAACACAGTCTCATTGTCGGGACTTAACAAGAGCGCTGCGAACGGTCGCTTGGAATGAATCTCCCGTCCCAATTGTTGGAGAGCGACACACTTGGCTGCACCAGAATCAAGCTGTTGTGCTGTTAAGGGTAAAGGGGCATGGGTATCGGAGGTGGCTTCGAATGTCATGGCGAGATGGAGATTATGAATCGAGACAGATATTCAGGGCAGGTGCAATAGAGTTGGATATTTTCGAGGGAAAGAAAACATTCATCGAGCACGCACACTTACTACCTTACTGCTGTGAACGTGCTTGCTTCGAAGAGTTAACAATTCATTAGATCAGCAGCGGCGGTATCCGCCGATACAAGATATAACGAGAATATATTTTAAGCCCGATCTAGGTCTAGCTTCAAGTTTGATTTGCTTCTATGAGGGCGATAAGTACGCACAAGCCGCCATTCCCCGCCGTAGACGAGGCACTGATAGATAACCGGAACCCCGCATAGCATAAGTGCCGTTGCGTGATTGTGCTTATTGGCCCCACTAGAAAACGCCTCGCCGGGGTCATCCAATTGGATTCGGGACTCTACTAGTTATCCGCTAACACAATCCTCCATCATTCGGCGGAGTTCTACCTGATAACGTTCCTTTATCTTATCAACAAAAATTGCCAGAGTGAAAGCACTTTCAGATACATAGAGGTCTTAACGCAGTATAAAGTGGTATCTCTTATAAAGCATAGTGCGCATATTTAATTCACCAGGATGTGCTTCGGCAGTTTGGAAGCAAACATTATCCATTGAACAATTTGATGAACAATTTATACCATGTTTCGGCCATGAAGCGTTTTATACTACCTCGTTTGCCCCGGTTGCAGGTGCAGCAGACTGAATCCAGTTTCATACGTGGAGATGTGCGATGGACGAACAAAGATCTCGACCCTGTTCCCAAAGATATGCGAAAATGGACAGTTCTTAGTTTCATTGGTTACTGGGTTTCCGATTGTTTCTCCGTTGCAAACTGGCAGCTAGCGAGCAGCATCATCGCTATTGGACTCTCTTGGAAAGAATCTTTGGGGATGGTAGCTCTAGGATTCTTTATCCTATCCATTGTGATATCCATGAACGGGGCCATTGGATCCATCTACCATGTCCCTTTTCCTGTCATTGCACGTGCAAGCTGGGGATTTTGGGGCTCCTATATTCCTGTCATTTCAAGATTGATTCTCGCCGTATTCTGGTTCGCCACTCAAGTTGTGAACGGGGGAAACTCCGTTGCTGTCATGATTGGAGCTATCTGGCCAAGCTTCTTGGACATCCCAAACGGACTCCCAGCGGACGAAGGTATTACGACGCAGGGAATGGTGGGATTTTTCATCTTTTGGCTACTTCAGATCCCCTTCTTAGTTGTCCACCCAAATAAACTACGCTGGCTATTTCTCGTCAAGTCCATTGTTGTGCCAACTGCATGGATTGCTATGCTCATCTGGGCTTTTGTCAGCACTTCAAATGCAGGTGATCTCTTTTCACAGAAGAGTCAATTGGCTGGGCCATCCTATGCCTGGGCTATGATGTCGGCTCTTACCTCGGTCATTGGAAATTATGCGACTCTGAGCGTCAATCAAGCAGATTTTTCGCGGTATTCTTGTGTCAACCCTCGGTGGCACATACTCTACGTCTTCCTACTCCCAGCATTCTTCACTTTCATTGCATTTATTGGCATCGCCGTTTCCTCCGCCGGACAGGCCAAATTCAACACCGAATTAATCCCGTGGGACCCCAACGTTCTTATTTCCTTCTGGAGTAATCGGGCTTGTCGATTCTTCGGGGCGTTTTCTTTTGCCCTCGCCGCGCTTGGATCTAATATCTCTGCAAATTCGTTGGCGGCGGCAAATGATTTCTCCGCCCTTGCGCCTCAATTCATAAATATTCGACGTGGTCAACTACTCTGTGCTCTCTACTTGCCTGGCCGCTAGTCCCATGGAAGATCCTTGCCTCGGCAGGCAATTTTCTCAACTTTATGGCAGCTTATGCGGTTTTCCTCGGGCCTATTGCTGCCATTATGTTATGTGATTATTGGATCATTAAACGCCGGAAATACGACTGCGTCGCCTTGTATCGGCCTATGGGTATTTATCGGTACTTTCATGGATTTAACCTTTATTCTCTGATGGCATTTGTGATCGGTACAGTTCCAAGTCTCCCTGGCTTGATGCATTCAGTAAATTCAAGCATAGAAATTGGCGTTGGAATTCATCCATATGAGTTCGGCTGGCTTCTAGGTTTTGTTGGTAGCGCGGTGGTTTTCGTTGGTCTGAGCTTCTGTTTCCCTTACACTGATGCAAATATAACAATGGCCATCCTTCCGGATGACAATCTGGAAGAAGTTGTGCTAGATGAGAATATTGTGGTACTAGAGAATGAATGGAAGGGCAAGGAAAAGAACTGAGAACTCCAGATATATAGGACGGGCTCTTGTTCAACGCTGCATACACTAGTGCACTCAGTTCTTTATATTAACAATAATATTATCCAATGGCATGAACATATTCTTAGCACATGCTCCTGAGTGGCGTAAGTATTCTGTTTGAGTATTTTACTACATCAAGTAGAGCTCTTTCACTGCCAGGAATGAAAGGGGGAAATTATAAGGGACTTATCATTCGCAAATGTTAAGACTAGCTCTAAGAAAACCCTGTGTATACAAGACAAGCAAGCCCTCTGTGGAGTGGTCTTTTTGGACCAACCTTTAAATGCGACGGCCTTCCTGATGATGGCATCACTAGCATCTGAAATTCGTCCCACAGAAAGATAGCCTTTTAAGTAGATGATGGCTCAGAGCTTCTAGCTTTGGTGGGGTTATGATTCGTCTCCGACCGATACGATTTGGAAGGGCATAGGCGCTTCCGAATTGTCGCAAGTTCCTGCGGATCTTCTTGATGGTGCGCTCGCTGCATTCAGTTGCGTCAGCCATTTGCGACGTGGTAGATGGATCCGAGAAAGAAGACGCGCCCTTGGTAACTTCTTTTACATCCAGTTATTCTTTGTAGTAGCCGTGCTCTCTTTAGGTGGGTATATTATGGACCAGATCCATGGATTTCGGGATATTTTCGCAACATTGGATGGTGGAAGCCCTCTCCCGTTACAGCATTATATACTACGGGGCTAATGGAAACATTATTTTCGGAGGCGTTGTGGTTTTGACAGGCCTCCTCAGCCTTATATACCTTTTTTGTGGCCGTTAGCAGGGTAGGTTGCAGAACTCGTGCAGGAGTACGTAGACAAGAGGTAGGCTAGTAACGGATTGGGTTTAAAATATCGCCTGTATGCACTGCTTAGTACGTGATAATTCTCAGGCTATCAGAAATTAAATTAACTCACATCTCTCCCTTGACAAAAGAATAGCAATTGAGCAACCCAGGATCAGTTGATCCATAGGGAACCGAAATTGGCCTTGCAAGTCAAGAGCGACCAAAGCTTGTTCAACTGACGCACCAAGAATGATGTGATAACGACAAAGGACTCAAACCGTAAGACACATCGAATAATTCGGTCATCATGGACTTTCACAGCGTTGTTTACCCTGATTTCATGTTTCAACTGCCTCGCTTTAGCTTACGTCTTTTTCATGGTTCCTGAGATGGCCGGGCTGGCAGTTGAGGAGGTGGATGGATTATTCCGAGGACCGTGGTTCAATGCCTACAAGCGCATCAGGAAAGAAAGCGTCCTGAATGGTATCGAGACCACAGACAAAGCGCGGTCAGTTGAGCCGTGATATTCTATTCGAGCTACATGCTAATATGGGTCTACGAGTTTAGGTCGCCCGACAAGGTTATCAAGAGTGCAGATGCCAAAGTCGTGAACTTCGTATAAGTGACTCATGTATACTTTTGCCCCTATGTTCTCTGAGAATTCTGTCATAGCTTTCTGTATCCGTGGAGATATATTTCTGGCTGGATAGTAAATGTATTCGTGACATTCAATAGAAGCCATGGGCGACCACCTGGGCGCATTCCAGTAGGTCATCCCAAGATTTCTGTAAAATTATAGGCTGTCTTCAAGTTCATTAAGTACTACTAATGCCACTGCATTAGCTGGAGCTGGAGCTATCGAAATTCGAAATATATAATAAACCTTGGAATGCCCTAAGGAGGGAGACCAGAGACTCAGGAGACTCCTGCCACGTGTCTGCAGCCGAGCATGTAGTAGATTTACTATGTTCTGTGTTGGGTGGAAACAGCTTGAACCTGAAAGCAGTGCTATGAAATGTGATATATTTCAGTTATTCTCCTTTGTGAAAAAGGAAGAGCACAAGTTCTTAACTATTATACAGAAAAGTTTATACAGAATATGAGCAAATGCCGAGCCCCATTATGATCTGGACTGCTTGGAAAACTGGTTTATCTTCTCAATCAGATCCTTGATACTGTAAGGCTTATGGATGATATAATCCATCCCAGCTTTAAACAGTTCATCATCCTGCTCCGCCCTGGCATTCGCCGTCACCCCCAGTATCGGAACATGTCGAGGGCCATCCTTCTCCGCATCACGAATTGCCCTAGCTGCCGTACAGCCATTCATCACTGGCATCTCTTGATCCATTAATATGCAGTCAAATTTGGTGACACGGGCGGCATTGACCCCTTCCTGTCCATTGACTGCCTCTGAAATCTGGAATCCTTTAGACTTCAGTTTTCGAGAAAGAACCCGCCTATTGATGGCATTATCCTCAATTATAAGAACATGGTAGCTTGTGCTTTGATTTTCGCTATCAATAGCAGTCGAGTTTTCCTTGCTAACTTGACAAGCTAGGCTGCCTGTATGGACTGTTCTTTCATCATCGCTGGCGCCGGGTGCTGACTCTCTGGTCCTTGTTACAGCCGGACTTTTTGATATCACGGGCTCTTTGGTTGTTTGATTGACCCCACTCACTTCGTTACCCAGTGCTTGGATTTGAGAGGTTAGCCGATCGATTTGAGAGCCTTCATGCCCATCAGCTGCGCCATCGCTTGGTTTAGCACTTCGGCGCACTTTGAAAAAAAATCCAAAAGTGCTTCCTTGTCCCTCTTTGGAACTGACCCCAATTTCGCCACCATGTATATGGCAGAGTTTCCTGCAAACGTTGAGACCAAGGCCAGATCCACCATAGACACTCTCGGTTTTGGGAGTTGCTTGATTGAAACGCTCAAAAAGCCTTTTCTGGGCCTGATCGCTAATCCCAATGCCTGAGTCCTTGATGGCGACCATGAGGTATGCCACTTCCCCAGATCCCCATTCGGGTGTATTAGTTGCGTCCTCCCTTAATGCTTCCTCTCCAGATTCGAAGAAGACCACGTTTGGCGGATATGAGGGTGGCCGCTCTATCGCAGCTCCTATTGAAACTCGAATTGACCGCTTATTCTTAGATTCCGCGGTAAATTTGACGGCATTGGAGAGCAGATTAACAAGGACCTGGCCCATCCGATCAAGGTCAGCCATCACCCAATCAATACCAACGTCACCATAAGACACGTCGGCTTTATAATCGAAATGAATATGGAGCTTGCGGATCTCGGGTCGAAAAATGGCAAGCGGGTTCGTGAGATCTTGTTTCGGCTGCACACTTCTTGGTGAAAGCCTGAGCATAGATGCGTCGAGTTTTGAAAAAGTAAGAACACCATTGACAATCTTCTTTTGGTGAGCAATGCAAATACCGATTGTCTCTGCGGCCTCGGCGATATCCGGTGTCGAGACTTCACTCGGCTTCTTATCGTGTATTGCCTCGAGGATATCCTCGGTACAGTGCAAGATCGCTGAGAGAGGATTTCGAATCTCATGACTGATCATATCGATGAATCGCTCTTGTTGTTTCTTAGATTCCCGCGCTGCCTGCGCCGCCTCCCGCTGAACAATCTCAGCAGTCTTTTCGGATGTTTTATCTGCGACGGTACAAACGAAGCCGCCATCCCCGCCCAGCCCAAAGCATTGAAAGTCCGCGCTCGCTAACGGCTCCAGAGTCAATGCGCACCATACGATATCTCTGCCAGAGGAGCGGTATTCGATACGAATTTTTTCTTTATGCCTTGTGGCGTCGCGGAACTTAGCGGCAGCTCGGTCATGATCGTCCGAATGGACCGACCGCAGCCAACACTCGCGAAAATTCGTATTTGGGCATGGAATCAACTCCTGGAACCGGCGACTTGCGGATATTAATTTGTATTGGCGAGTAATTATAGCAATTCCATTCGGTAAGATGTCGACTAGCTGTTGTGCCGATAGATTTGGATCGAAATCAAGAGACATGGACATTTATCATTTAGATGGACAGCGAAGCCCCAAATGCAAGTCGAAAGGTTGAGTTGGATTAAGCACTGAAAAGTGAGGGAATCCTCATCAAACCCCAAGAGTCATTTAGGCCGAATACGAGTGGTTTGGATTCTTTTTCCTTAGCTCATTGACTCTTACGTCATTGCGGGGATATACCACATGTGGCGAAGTGTTGAGTGGGGTGGTTTATTGGTTGGTCTCTGCGTTCGGAAACCATCTGAGGGGTACTTGCTGTGTTGAGTTAGTGTCAAAGAAACGTTGTTTGCGTGCGGGAAACGTTTTATTTTATATATGCGAGGACTATGGTGATGAAGAATAGTATTTATTTAGCAAAAAGTCCGGGATGTTCAGTAGGGTGTTGATAGCTTCAGTAATCCGTATTGTCACTCTAATGAAGGCATTCAACAGACCGATAAAATACTAGTAGAGGGAATTATTGAAGCTCTGGAGGCTGAAACATATTTTAGCCAAGGAAGTGCATTTCAAGAGCAAATTACAATGTCAACTTGAAGTGACATGACCGCCGCAGATGGCATTCTTGGTGTTGCAGCATCTGCTCACATGAAAGGGTTGAGATAGAATTTGCATGGATGACAAAAATGATACGAGTAAAATATAATTAATTTTCAAATGTTCATAAAGACGAGGACGAAGTCGCATTCCCAAAAAGCAGACAGTTTCGATCTGATCGATCACGGCTACACCGAATGGAGGCAGAGAAAAAGAAAAGAAGAACCTGTTTAGAGGATCCACGGCCCTTTCCACACTAAACGAATCACACTTCTTTCTCAGAATGTGTATATTTTCCATCAGCATTAATTGGTTACTGCTTGGGTGGGCCTAATTCCTCATCGCCACCGCCAACGTTCGACCCCTTTGTTGAGCTTTCAGATTCACGATTCTTCTATGTATTTCGACTCAAGGGGTTTCATTCCGATGAATTTGCTGTGTCCACCTTTCTCTCCACTCATATAGACTTCTTCCCTTTACTGCTGCAGAGCTGCCGCCGCCATGTCACATCAACCCCCGGTCGCATTGCGACAGTTTGACCAACACCAAGTCAGCATTGGCACAAGCAGGGTGCGAGAATTTTATAAGTAAATCCCACCTTAGTAATTCGTATCTGCTCGGTTATACCCATTAGCGGTGCAACCCTTAGAACGCCTCCAAAGTCCATAAGCTAAACATGCGGCCGACTTAGGTACTTACCGAGGTAGATGAAACTGAGCAACAACAGCTCCTAGAAGATTTCCAGAACATGATTAGGGTCATCGTTTTGCTCGCAGATCCGCTATCCATCCAGTCACTTTCAAAATTTCTAAATATCGAGCCACAGGTGCTTCGCACACATCTGGACTCATTCCAGTCTATCCTAAGTTTGCCCAAGATAAAAGTCCTGGGACTCAGAGAGCAAGCATTGATCCCCAAATAATTGCTCGTCTCCTTCCCCCGGAGCTCAGCTATGCTTGCCGCTACTGGGGAGTCATTTTGAGGACAGCCCTCTCGCCCGACGGCCGATTTCTTCTCATCGTCGGTGTGGAAATAACTCGCCTTTTAGGAGCCGCAACAGGCGTCGAGGAACAGGTCTGGCAGAATTAACATGACTAGAAGGGAGGCAATAATATGGTTTTCGCTCACGACTCATTATACGTACGGACCGGGAGCAATGCGCTGGCTATCCGGCAAGACCCTGCATTCATCTCTGGCCAAAGGCGACCGGACATGATTGTCGTGGCCGATGAGTGGTTAAAGTGGAATGAAGAAAGACTTCTTTGGATTCCAGACAATCGGGGTATCCCCGGATTTGGTCAATGCATGGAAACTTCCTTGCTATAGGAAGCCTAACTGGACGAGTATTCATCTTGAAGCTTCAGCTTTGTGAAAATGCAGCATCGGGATCTGCAGGTTGGACTATATGACGAGCTACGTGCCGAATTGGTAGTTAAAGCTTGATTGATAAAAGAAATTGGAATTACCAATCGAGGAGGCTCTGGAATGCAGCTACTCTACCTAGTTCAATTACCTACCATGCCACTAATTCGCACTGAATCTTCATAGAAATCGGCCAATCAAGAGGGCAGGATCCTATTAGCCGTATCCAATATCAAAAATAATTTTACCAAATCTCTTCATACAGCAGCAAGGCTATATAATATACCTAAATCAACACTCTATAGTTATATAAAGGGTAGGGTTGTGATCTATCGAAAATGAGAATTACAACAAGTTGTGTATTCTCAAATTCCAGTGTCACTAGTTGAAAAATTTATCGTACGGCAGGGCAAATAATCTCAACAGGAAGCAAATCGTTCAATCGAAGCCACCACAGTATACTTTCTTCAACTTTAATTAACCTCGAAGCTGAAAGTCTCCTCCCTCGAAATGGATGTTCCAGCTACGCTCCGGTCCAACGCAGGACGCAGTTCCAGCGACCAATTTCTCATCGCATGAATCCGCATTCAAAGACGGATTTACTTCTAAGAACAGACTCCACGGAATTGAATTCTGGACACATATCTTCGTGCATACCTCTTTCGGTTCATTCCCTGTCACATACGATAGATAACAAAGCCCCAAGGCCAGCGACATGAATAGCGGACATGTGCCCAGAATAAATTTGATCTAGACCATTCACTTGTCCATTCTGGTTTTTGCCGGAATCGTCTGGATCGTTCAGGGAGGGTTTCCGCGACTAGAAATTCGGATGAGCGCCAAGGTGTAATCCACGTCTCGTCATGGAACAAGCCATGGCGAGGAGGCTGGACAGGTTGATTCTGATTCAAGTTACTCATGGTAGTTCAGCTTTGTAATTTGCATTTAGTAGTTGCTAGTGGGAAGGTGATTTCCAAGGTTGCCATGCTTGTGAATTGCTCTGCTCTCGGATGCCTTGGAACTCGCTTAACCGAAAGAGTCTCGGGGACAGATGCGCACTATCTTGTACTCGTACCAGTACAGTGGCGTTGCATTAGTTTGAAACACCCCCCCTACCGCCTTCTCATACCGCCCGCCAATTAGGCATACCGCCCCTATCCATAAAATTCCACGCGCTGTATATCGGCATGCTACAGCATATTTCACGCGTTATATTAAGATATCAAGCATTTAATATGCCTCCAATTCGCCAAAATACAATGCAATTGATGCATGATCAATTTGGTGCACCAAATCAGCATCCAAATGTTACACAACGCTCACGCCGTTGCCAATTAGGACCACATGAACGCGTTCGACTTGTTGAATTGAAGGTTATTGGATGGTCTTATAGCGAGATCTATGAACGATATCCTTATATTACAATTGGAACTATTAAAACGACAATTGCTCGAGCATCAAAAGGAGGTCCAACTCAAGTTACATTACCTCGTTCCGGTAAGCCAAAAAAGCTTGATGAAGCAGATCAAGCAAAGCTACTTCAACCTATTGAAAAGAATCCACGCATTGAATATGATGCTCTACTGGCTTTTTTCAGTTTTAAAGTTGAACGAATAACACTTTGGCGACTTCTTCAAGGTGAAAAGAAGTGTGATAAGACATACCTCTTCTTTACTGATAGGAGTAGATATCAAGGTCTGGTAAGTATAGTAGCGGCTGCCCTAGAGATAGATATCTACCTACCGATTTATCTTAGAATAACAGAGGATTTGACTGTCTATATAGCTAAACTTAATAGGATTAAGATAGCGCTTATATATTTCCTTTAGTGGAAGAGCTAAAGTACAGAGTTGGAGCAGAGTTCTTGCCAGGAGAGACAAAGTTCTTGTTAGTTAGGCTAAAGTTCTGGCTAAAGTATAGATTTAGAGTTAAGTTAAGTCTAGAGACTGTGTCTGATTAAGATAGTTATCTCCTCTAATATAGATGTAGGGAGATTGGCCACAGGATCAATACATGTAAAACTCGCTATATTTAGTTGAACTAATAGGTGTTGGTTGAGATAATTGGTCTTGAAATTTTCTAATGGTGTTGGGTGTTCGGGACGGCTGGAAATTACGTTATCGATAGCTGAGATGACATATACTGGAAAGAACCGTGCATGGACTTTAAGGAGACACAGCATATACAAGAATATGTATTGGTATATCAGTGATAGTTGCCCTTTCGGTTTAGCCGCTGGGCTTTAATAAATTAATTGTGTGTGTGTGTGTGTGTTTGTGTAACTGGTTCAATGCATACAGAGCCTGGGTGGGCACATATGTTTAAAAATTCCCTTAGACGCTCGATTCGCGTACATTCTCTACTTGATGGTCTTGACCTCTTTGTTTCTCGTCGTTAGCGACACGAGATAATTGTCGTTTCTTTGTCAATTCCATCATTTCTTTGGCAAACGGTGATCGCTCACGAATTGCTGGGCCATTGCGATAAAAGTAGTATATGGGTACTGTGACGAGTATAGAGACGCAAGCGAGAATCGTCGAAGCGTATTCATATGAGTGCGTACCGCCGATATTCTCAAACATTGGTGTAGAGTACATAGCCGCAATTCCTGCCAAGAAGTCACGAGCAAAGTCATTTCCGCCTGTGGCAGACGCTGCGTATGTACCATAGGCAGCAACGGTATAATCGATAGAAGATTGGTAGATGGAATACTTTGAAAGGTCAGTTATATCTTTAAAAAGGCACACGGACTCACGTTAGCAATGCCAATGACCACTGTGAAAATCATTGGGGCAATCCAGTGAACCTGCGGCGGACCAAGACTTGTCCATGCGAATCCAAACAGACCAATAGGTAGACATGGAATAACTATCGCTCCCATCCATGAGATTTAGCTTCTGCTCAGTGCGACGAATATAAATTAGAAAGAATTTAACTGACCATAGAGAAGCCACCACAGGCGTGCTTCTGGAGAGACGGATTCAGAGCCATACTTTCGCCGCCTTTGCCTAAACATGTGAATAGATGGTAGGAAGGAAAGATAAGCAATAATGTATCCTATAAGAAGTCTAGGTCATACAATTCTGTCAGAATAGAAACTTCCATTTCGGGCCGGCTTTGTGACAATGCAATAGAAGAACTCACGGAATGAAAGCAAGGCTAATTTGAATTGTCCCGAACCCCCATTGCTTATAGACTAGCTGGAATCCTTGAAGAAATGTGAAAATCAAGGAGTCACTAAAGCCACTTAGCAAAGAAAGCCACATCACTATCGGCTCGGTGAGTAGCATTTTGAATGGTCGTTTCCACACAGCCCAAATTTCGCGCGGCGATAGTGAATAGCCGTAAATCTCATGGGGTCCCCAAATGTTGACCGTTCCAGGGCCAGCCTTTCGTCTCTTCTTTGCAACTCTGTCAAGTATGATGGTAGCTCGGGTTTCCGGAACGAGAAAGAAGTGCATTATTTGAACAGCGCCTCCAGCAATGAGTTGAACCCAAAAGATCCAGATCAAGGGCTGTCGCACTTCCACGAAGCCGCCTACCACCGCACCAACAACAGATCCACCAACAGAAGACAGCACAAGAAACGCAACGGCATATTCTTGATCATCGGGCTCCCACATATCTGCAATAACTCCCAATGTCACTGAGCCTCCAGCTGTACTCAGCCCACCAAGCAAGCGCACCACTATGTAGGTTGCGAAATTGGGGGCGAATGCACAGGGAAATTGCCATATGTTCACAAGGAGGAGACTAAGCTGTTGGGTTGGCCATCGTCCAAGCTCTTCACTCCATGGTGCCCAAAGCTCACAGCCGAAGGCATAAGCGCAGAGGAAAGTCAACTGTGGGATCCTTGCAACCTGCTCACTGACATTATGCTGCTTGGAGATCGCTTGAACACCGTTGGCATAGAGACTCGCATTCAGATTAATCGAAATCTGAATGCAAAACATCACGCATAAAATCTGCCATTTTCTCCAAATGGGAAAACTATAGCCCAGATGATCATAACCCGCTGCTTCAGTCAATTCCTTCTTTTCGCCATTTTTTGATTCAGCATTAGCTCTACTGTCGCGGCTCTCATCCTGATTGTTGCTTAGTTGAGATGTCAATTCTGGATTCAGAACAGAATTGTAGCGATCGTCTCCGGAAAGCCGATAATTTGCTGCCATGGTATTGTCCATATTGATGTTGATTGTGTTATTATATAGCATATAATTCTGAAAGACGGTATCTTGGGGGAAGGACCTCGTAGCCTGGCATTAATTATAGGATGACAAACAGGGAAAATGTATGACGCAGCGGGGAATAAAACCATGGGAAAATGTTGTGGCCAAATACAAGATTGGTTGCCACCGTACCGGCATGGGCCGACACCAATATGGTGAATTAGTCCGATGGCACCGGAAACAATCCCTGTGCATAATTTGTTACGCTTGCGAGCTTGGGTTGGGTTTCGACTTTGGTGAACCTGTTGAAGATCCGGTCACTGAGTCTATCACGTGGCTCGGATCACGTGCACATATATATGTATGGCTTCCAGCCTGCATATTGAAGACATAAGTGTAGACTGTGGAGAACCACCTCCAACCACCTCCACAAGTGGTGCCCCATATAAATCATCATACTTCCGCCGTTGGCCGCTAGCAATTTCCAAAAAATCTTGAAATTTTATTTTCGATATTCTCTTATTAAATCAACTTGTGTCTTTGTCTTCGCGGGAAATATTTCGCCTCTCAATTGCAATGTCTTCTCTGACTTATATCAACGAACAAGGCGCTGGTCAGAAATATAGCGACCTATGCCATTTTTCCCAGGCAGTGGTGTTAGGGAACATCGTCAAATGTTCCGGACAAGGCGGTTGGGAGCCGTCTGGCGCTCTGAATGCTGAAGATATTCCCAGTCAAGTGGAACTCGCTTTCCAGAACGTGGACAGGGTGCTACAAGCTTCGGGTCTCCGTGTCTGGGAAGACGTTTATTAAATCCGCAGCTATCATGTTGATATCGACGCTTCATTTGACCTGATCGTCAAAAAGCTCAAGGAGCGTATCCCTGGCCATCGACCTATTTAACCGCCTTTGCTGCGCCCCAATTAGCATTTCCGGCTATGAGAATTGAAACTGAAGTGGAAGCGATGAATCAAACATGAGGAAGCGACGTGGGTTATATAGGTATTCAAGTTTAGCGTCTGCTATCTAAGATATGGACAGGACAGTTCCCGCTAATTATTATACCAGGAGACAGCTGGCACTCCGAAGCGGTAATATTGCGCATCATCTTACCACATATGATTGATCATCGATGATGTTCTCCGCATCGGAGACGATCATTTTCAATATGGTGCGTCAAATTGCGCAGTTAAGGCAGAATCAGGCACGCATAAACAGGTGTCTTGGACACTAGTGATTACGAGAATAGGAATTAGCAAAAGAAGCAGGAAGTATTCGGCTGTTCGGCTTATTTGCTTGATCGAACATTCTATCGCCCCTAAAGCCTTACGAGTCAAATACAGGTGCTATTTTTTTAACGAGTGTAATGAAATACTTCCAAGCCAGGGATTGAAGGGCAGAGTAAGCATAGCGGGTATAGAATGTTTCGGGATAAGGCTGGGGAAAGAGTCTCTGTGTGCAAGTGGTGAAGCTGATTTTCGGGCCGCAGTCGTTCCGTGGCACACTCTGGGGCAGGGCTAGGAGATTACGGTGGTGCGACTTGGGCAATGTTGTGAGACATTAGTCGGCCATTACTGATAAAAAATAAGATTTGATTTGAGCCGCAGCATAATGGTAAGCAATGGTGGAGATCCCGAAACTAAACCCTACTGTTGAAACTTGCCTATCACCTTGACCCCAGATGCACCCCCAGAAATTATCAAGCGCTGCAGTAAAACTACAGCAAGATGTAGAAGGCAGAAGTTGACACTTCGTCACTTCAGCTGTTGTTTTGTTTACGGTGTTTGTTACGTTTGTTTAAAAATGTCTAGAAACTCCAGGTACTGTATCTGATTATACATAGGCCTTTGTAACTCTGGTACAACCTATGAAAAGGAACAGGTATTATTACTGGTATGTACAGAGCATGTATCTACCTGTTTTATGTGATTATGGTTGGAAAGAGCTTCTCTATGTTCACGGCATGGAAACCGATGTCGGGCGCTTCTGTAGTATTCTCATAATACGACTACGATATAAAGAGAACTAATAGAGTGTTGAGTATAGAGACATATATCAGTCGATTACTATCCTATGCAATATTTTCGCAACAAAGAACAGAAGAAAAGAAGAAAATCAATGAACAGTAAAGCAGGCATCCACATTAGATGTGTCCGCCAAGTACATGTCGCAAAGAAAACAAAAGGAAACATGAAAAGAAATAATATCAAAGCAAGCTCACGCCTCGGATTCATCTGCCAAGCACGTGCGGCAACGGCAGCGAAGAGCAGTATTGCTCAGCCAGTCCCAAGCAATGTAGGTCTCAGACTCACGATGACTCACCCGGGTAGGGGATCCATACAGCCTAGCCATCTGTCTTCCAATAAACTGGGTGCTCTGACCCTGAACCCGCGCGTCAACAGTGATCGCCAATTTGTTAGCTTGAATATACAGCATGGAAAGAATGATAGCAACCTCGTTGTCATCAATGCTGCCGTTCTTAAGGTTGGCCCGCAAGCGGCCAGCAACGTCGGACAAGCGATCAACCCGCTCTTCAAAGCAGGCTGGAATACGGTGACCCCGTTCCTCGGCCTCGCTAAAACCAACCGACTTCACGAGACGTAGTAGTCCTGGAAGGGAAGACGCGAATCTCAAGGCCTCCGGTGGATTGTGAGAAAAGTCGCGAGAGTACTTCTGAAGGTTGACGACGAGGTGGTCCTGAATGTCGAACCAGTCCTCACCTGGAACAGTATGGATAGTCATCGTGTGTGTAAGTGTATGTATATTTGGGTGTATATATGTGTATGTGTATATGGAAGTGTGTGTGGTGTATGCTAAGTCTATACTAGTAGTAAGACGTACCTATGCGTGATAGTGTGTGATAGTGTGTGATAGTGTGATGGAGTCGCTAGAAGAGAATGTGGATAGCTCCGAGAGAATTTGTGTAGTAGAATGAAGCTGTAGAGTGGATGTGTGAGAGTGACTGATTTCTGTTATCTTGGAAATCCTGGCGCTTTTGTAGACAGCTAGCAGACAGAAGCGGGTTAAATTTATTGACGTGAACAAGGAAACATCGTGATCTTTGTTCGAGTCTGAAACTCGGGTTCCAAAGTTCGCACAAAGCCGATGGCCATTGTTGAGATCAGGGAATTGAGGTACCATAGTCCGATTGTTCCGAGAAAATCCAGAAACAAAGCATAGAGAACAAAGTACAATAATACTAAAATAGGGAAGAAATCATGAAAAAGGAAGGGATGCTGAAGCAAGAGCTCAATGTTCGTTCGCTGTAGGCTTTGAGACAACAAGGAAATTTAGTCCTCGATATCCTTGGTTCATCCGGAGAAGTTCAACTTGTTGTGCTACCTTTGGATCATGAGTAATGGGAATCTGACAAGTGTTTGTTCTACCTGGGGAGACTAATGCGAAAATGCCGATAGAATCACACATGTACTATTTGGAGCATACGTAACTAAAGTAATTGAGCATCATATCCTGCTACAGCAACAATGCACATCTCCCCATGGCCCCCTTTCGCGGCGGCGTCAAGATAATCCTGCACGGTGAAGGCAAGTCCCTTTTCGCTGAGCAAATCGCCCTCTTCCAGGCGTCCTCGAAGAAGAGGACCATTCAGGCCCCCATTCAACTCCCACACCTGTCCATCCTTCTGAATAAAGGCAACGAAATGATGATGATTATCATCGGCGGGGAAGGGGGGTTCGATGATCCCCTAGAAGCAGCCTCCATATGCGCATCTTCCAAGAACTTTGAGTTGTAAAGTAAATCCGCCCGCTCAGCTGGTCCCAATTCAATCGCCCGTTTCCGGAGTTTATCCAGCTCGGAGTCAGGCGCAACATAGAGTCCACCTTCGTAGTTGAAGAGACAGTGTAGAAGGGCCATAAGTCCACAAGCATGGCCGATAGTTTGTTTCATCCAAACGACCGGCTCATCGGGACCAGAGCCCTTATATTCGGGGATCGTCGGTTCTATGGCGGAGCGAGCCGCATTGTAGATCGGGTCATGGGCGAGGACGACGAGAGCATGGATGGGACGGGGAATCCACTCGAGCATATCTGGTGATGTAGAGAGGACATCGTGGAAGCTCAAACCGGGTGCGACGCCGAGATTCTCGCAGAGGTGAGCCAGTACATCAGGGTTATTCTCTGTCTCACTCTGATCAGATGAGTTCCAAAGTTACTCTCTTTATTCCCGTCCCGTCCCCAGGAGCGACAAACCGAGAGGGATGAACGTCTTGCAGCCGTTCACTATTTGGGCCGAGGGGGCCATGGTGAGACTATCGACTTGATAAACGTCACGGTGTCATGGAGTTGGAGTTGGAGATGGAGTGGGGTGAAGTTGAAGTGGGGAGAAAGCGGAGAAGCGGCGGGGATTTTGCATAAGGCTGAAAGGTCTTGGCAGTCACGAGTCACTCTCATGCAACTTCAACTTCAACTTCACCTCACTTTCACATACTCTTGTTCATTTGTTCACATCTTATTGTATATACCAGAGAGCTTGGGTGTCCACATTGGCATGGAAAACTGTCTGACCCTCTTCAAGTTGACACCTTGACGCCAACATGGCTGCAGAGTGTATATCTGCATGATGGGACCCCGAGCCAAGTGACTAGGCCAGCCAAGCTCACCCAGAAAACCTTCGCCGGTGGTTCCTGGCACAAGAAAAGCCATACCTCATTATGGATCGAAATGACCCGAAAACCGGTTCCCAATGGTTGGTGGACACTGCTAACCCCGGGGTCCTCAAACTGCCGAAGCAAGCGAGGGTCCATCTGACCCAATCAATCCACCCTCAGAGGTAAGCAAAAAGAGCAGATCCACTCTGCTCAGCCCTATGGACCTCCAAGCATGCGTGCCAGGAACAGAAATGCTGTTGTTGGTGGGCCAGTCAGCCCTATGGGATCCATAGCGGACCGCTTGGGGAATTGCAAACCAGGCAGCAGCCTCACCACCTGTGGACCTCACGATGGTGCGATAATTCATTTCACTCATTTCACTCATTTCACTCACTCGCACGGTCCCAAGGTACTCACGAGCAGAATTATAAAATGCGTCCTGGGTTTGCTGTCTGCACACCCTTTCATACTTTCCATCCTCATCCACATCCTGATTCATTCACCTTTGACAAACCGGGACAATGTCTTCCTTTGATCCCACCAGCGTCAACCTGGACACCGCTGCCGAAGAGGATGTTCTATGCTACTTGGCGATCTCTGAAAACGACTACAATGGCCACATCGGTGCGCGTATTTCGTCCATTTTCGTGATTCTCTTCGTCTCCTCGGCCTTCACCGTCTTTCCCGTCATGTCAAAGCGCATTCCCGGATGGAAAATCCCCCACGGCGTGTACATCTTCGCCCGATACTTTGGCACTGGTGTTATCGTGGCGACCGCCTTCATTCATCTCCTTGACCCAGCCTACAAACGAATCGGGCCCAAGACCTGCGTCGGTCAATCGGGATACTGGGCTGAATATTCCTGGTGCGCAGCGATCGTGTTGGCCTCGATCATGGTGATATTCCTACTGGACCTGGCCGCAGAAGTCTACGTCGAGCAAAAGTACGGAGTGCACAAGGACGAGTCCGCCACCGATGTCTTCATCTCCCACGAGCACCACCTGGACGTTGAACCCGCCCCCGACGCAGAAAAGAACCCGCAAGCTCCCAACGCCGAGCGAAAGCAGGCTGATGCATGGGACTCGGGTGCAGTTTCAGACGGTGACCTGGAAATTGCCGAGCGATCATTCCGCCAACAAATCTCCGCCTTCCTCCTTCTCGAATTCGGAATCATCTTCCACTCCGTCATCATAGGGCTGAATCTCGGAGTCACGGGTTCCGAATTCGCAACACTCTATCCAGTCCTCGTCTTCCACCAATCCTTCGAAGGCCTCGGTATCGGCGCTCGAATGTCCGCAATTCCCTTCGGAAAACATACCTGGCTGCCCTGGATGCTGTGCGCGGCGTATGGACTGACTACCCCGATCTCCATCGCCATCGGTCTGGGTCTCCGAACTACATACGCGCCAGGCTCGAAGGTGTCACTCATCATTCAGGGTGTTCTGAATGCTGTGTCGGCGGGTATCTTGATTTACAGTGGTCTTGTCGAGTTGCTGGCGAGGGATTTCCTGTTCGACCCGTGTCGGACTAAGCGTCGGTCTCGTCTGCTGTTTATGGTGTTCTGTACGCTTCTAGGGGCGGGGATTATGTCTTTGATTGGGAAGTGGGCTTAATTGTTCACGGGTGAAAGGCATATGGGAAAAAGTTTGTCTGGCGTCTATGGACGTTTCGTTCCTAATATTGTACAGTGGATGGTTTCATCCGAGAGAAAAAAAGTGGTTTTACATTAACAATGAATCAAAATAGAATCTGAAAGATTTATCAAAATCAAATGAGGTTGTATTCCAGTCGGATAGTGGTAGTACGGAAACAGGATGAAGAGAAAGGAGACATCCAATTCAACAGATAGATAGTCCTTGTATTCTTTGAATGCTAGACCATCTTCCTCAAGGTCCGGCTTTCCTGACCTCTCGCCGGAATGTAATAGTTGACAGGTCAGGACGAAGAAGCCTGCTCTTGTTCTTCATCGGCTGTCAGCGAGCTGGAAGCTTTGGGTATCCTGCCCCAGATCATCAGAATTATCAAGCTGGCACCAGCGATACCGACTCCGAACCAAAATGTTGCTTTGTAGCTTTTTTCCAACCCACTGTCCTTGACCACGTCCGACTGAATAATGTCTGTTAGCCCGAGGACTAAGGCAACGCCAAGCTGCAGAACAGAATTTAAAACACCCCCTGCCAGTCCCTGCTGCGAGGATGGGACGACTGTCGTAATAAAAACCGTCATCAAGATAGTAGACAGGTCGATGCCAATAGTGCTGAGGATGGCCGAGGGAAAGATCCATGCCCAGTAGCTTCCTCCACCGGGTGGAATGAGAGCGAGGAGGAGTTGCGATCCAACAGCGGCTAACCCCGAGATCATCATAAGAATATGGCCAGGGACGAGATGTAATATGTACCCTTCAATGATGCCGACGACAAGTCCAACGACGCCAATGGGTACGTACCACACGACGACCTGAAGTGGCGAGGCTAACAAAACGGTTTGGAAGTAGAGCGAGCCATTGACGGAGAAAATACCCCAGGTACCGTAGAGTAAGAGGAGGGCATTGAGTAAAGGTGTCATTGATTTCACTGAGAAGAGTGAGGCGGGCAAAAGTGGATCTGAGGCAACATTCTTTTCGACATACCACGTCCCAACAAGGAACATGATACCTAGGAGAAAAACTGCCAGGACATATGGCGTTTTCCATCCCGAAGAAGCATGTGCAGATTGAGTGATGGCGAAAATCGTAAGAACAAGTCCGCAAACGATGCAAATCGCACCGAGATAGTCCATTTTGACTTTCTTTCTATAGTCATTTGCCAAAGCCGAGTACGGCATAGCAAATATTGATGTAGTGAGCGTTATCGCTGCAAGGGCAGCGCCAATCCAAAAGTAATAGCTCCAATGCAAGAATTGACCCACGAGCCCTGCAATGGCAATGCCACCAAAGAAGCCCAGAACGCCTGCGGTGCCATAGATTGCAAAGACAAGATTTTTACGAGGCCCGGGCCGGTAAAGAGAGCCTATAATCATAACTCCCGTCGGGAGAAAGGCGGCAGCTCCGAGGCCCTGAAGTGCTCGACAGATGTCTAACATGACAGGACTAGAACTGAATCCTGCGATTAGACTCCATATAGCAAGCCACGCAAGGCCGGCGAAAAAGACAGGCCATCCTCCCCACATATCACCAAGACGACCGAATATGAGTAAAGTGCTCGAAATCACAAGCGAAAAGGCAGTCGCGGGCCATATTCGAGATGCCTGGGGAATCTCCAGCTCTCGGGCAAGTGGTGGCAAGATGACCGTGAAGCCTGAGACGAAGAACTCGGTCAAGAACTGTGACATGATTATGCCAAATAAGCAGAAGAGTTCAGTCCAGAGATTGGGGAATGCTGATGGACGTTGTCGTCCAAGACGCTCAATCCGAGCAGATGGGGATTCATCCTGAGGAATTTCCGGCACGTTTGGCCGAGAAGTGCTTTTCGGTGGTGTTTTGAGCGCCTGGCGTAAACTCTCGAAGACCATGTTGTCAATTTCAATATCTCCGTAGGACGAAGGGCGCAAAATGAGATCCCCAGTTGAGTAAATAATGCACCAGATATCGCGACGGCATCGACGTCAAGCTCCACGGAAGTCCTCAACGCCAGAAAATGCAAGACCTGATGGAAATATAGAGCCCTCGGATACTAGTAAGTCTCAGTCGCTTCGATTGGAGTTCCCAAGTGTTTGAGGATCAATAGCTTTCAATGAAATGCTTGAAAGAAAATGGAAAGAATAACGGAAAAGAGGTTTTGTGTCAGAAATTTGTGTCAGAAATGACTAACTCTTGGTCCGTTTTCTTGATTCAAATGCATAGTATGATCAAGCATTAACAGTATGGGGCCCGAGGACCATTTTGATTCGTTCAACCTTCGATAAACCCCCCCACTATAATTTTCCAAATGAGGCTGCCAAGACACTAGCCCCGGAGGCTGAAAACGGTGGGGGCAAGGGAGAGTTGTTATTGGCTCACCGCTAATCCACGAGCTAATGAGGTTCAAGTTCAAAGCTCAAGCCAGTGGTGCTCGTCTTTTCTTGCCTGCGAAATTATGGGAGCTGGTTTAAAATGAGGAAAACGATGCCGAAATTTTCATTTGTTCAGACCATAGAGGCTAGTGGAGACTGAAAAGGGAATTCAATCATCAAAGATCAGAATTGATAATAAAATACAATACATCAACAATAAATATTAGCCCGACTACGGAGTAGATCAGAAGTACTTTGAATTATTCTCCAGGCCGGAAAAAAAACTTTGCAGAGTGGATATTAAGCGATGCTGGAGAGTACAGGTTAGAATCGGAGTGACGGTGACTAAGAGAAAATGATAACGGGACAGACGCTTCAAGCTGAAGTAAAACCAATCGATATCGTGTGTTCCAACCTTATTGCCTCTCACAGGGCTCCGTTATCACCAATCAGACTAAAGAGAACGCTTGTATAACCTATCAACACTACTATCTGATGCTGCTTACTCTACGGAATTTCTTGTTTGCCTGTACTCTCTTTTCAGCGGCCGCTTTCTCTAGGCAAGAATCAATGAGTATCAAGCAAAGCGAGATATCCCCCCCCTAATGATATACGATGATGTTAATTATAGGCTGAATAACTGCACAAATATGTGTAGCTCATTCAACACTCAGAATGACCTACTGCTATTTGATTCGTACGACCAACCCGGCCAATCATCGCTCTTTGCCCCGACCCCGGAATATACCCCGACCCCCGGATATGGCATCTGCCAGACACCCTCCGTGATGAGCATGAGTAGCCTGGAAAACCTCCCAAGTAACGAATTTTTATGTAGCACCGACCGCCTTAAACAAACCAGATTCAAATACATCAGCTGGGTGAGTGGAAAGAAGGAAGATTTTATGATGAGCTTCCACCTACCTGCATTCACTATTCGATTGTGTGGAAGATGACTCCCAGCAACAACAAATCTATCTGAAAAACACAGAGCAAGACCTGGCGTTGGCTCCGCGATCTCACTGGCGTCTTTTTTTAGGGCCCAAGTTAAAGGAAGTTGTACAGCACTTAGCGAAATCTGCTTCCACCTTGTCACTCAGACTTGTTCTGGATGGCCCACTGCCAAGATATTAGCGGGTACCTTTTACTAGTTGGCAATTCATAAATCCCCAGTGGATATGAAAATCATGACTACGATCAGAGGACGATACAATCGGCTTACAATAGAATTGTTTACAGTGGTGTTTCATAAATCTTCGTCCACCTGGTGATGACATAATATTCTGCCGTTCAAACGACCTCTCCTTCTCCTACTTCACCCGCTCAAAATTTATGTGCCCAAGTTAGTTAATGAATTCTACCGTCCAAGATTGATGCAAGACATCTTGAAATAATCTGAAGTCTCTTCTATGGTCGATTAGAGACTAGCAGAGTTCAGACTGAGAGCAGAAGATTAGGCGGTTGAGCGAGGGTGGACGGAGACTTTTAGAGGATCACTTGAAGTTGATCTATGTGGCATATGGTGCATCTAATAATAAAAGAAGAGGCCGTCTGCAACCGACAAAAAAAACCACATAACTTCACTTCACTTCACAGACTATGCTTTCATTCCGTTCTCATATAGATGGAAGGTGTTAGAACATTCATTGGGGATCATGAATAAAACACCGATGGCGAAGGAACTAGAGACCATGTCTGCCGCTAGCCACTATAGAAGAAAAGGAATTGAAGTCAGCTGGGTATGCTCCCTTGTGGCAAGTGAGGCGAACGACATAGACATACCATGCTGCCAATGTTGAAATATGAGTTATATTCTAGCATTTGATATCTACGGCACCTCGCTCTATCAGCATCTGCACGATCTCATCATGTCCTTCCGAACAGGCAGCCTCGAGGGAACTTCCGTAGTTCCCACCGTGGGCGTTGACATCGGCTCCTCGCTCTAATAGTATCTGTACAACCTTAATTTGTCCTTCCGAGGAGGCAGCCTGGAGCGCATTCCCGTAAATTCCACCTTGGGCATTGACGCCGGCTCCTCGCTCCAATAGCATCTGGACGATCTTATCGTATCCTCCGAAAGAGGCAGCCTGGAGGGAATTTCCATAGCCTCCACCGTAAGCGTTGACATCGGCTCCTCGCTCGAGTAGTATCTGCACGATCTTATCGTGTCCTCCGAAACAGGCATCCTGAAGCGCATTTCCATAGACTCCACCCTCGGCATTGATGTCGGCTCCTTGCTCTAGTAGCATCTGCACGATCTTATCGTATCCTTCAGAACAGGCAGCCCGGAGCGCATCTCCATAGCCTCCACCGTGGGCGTTGATGTCGGCTCCTCGCTCCAGTAGTATCTGAACAATCCTATCGTGTCCTTCCGAACAGGCAGCCCGGAGCGTATTTCCGTAGCGTCCACCACAGGCGTTGATATCGGCTCCTCGCTCGAGTAGCATTTGCACAACTTTCTCATGTCCATTCAGCGACGCCCATATGAGAGGGTATGTTGATATATCATCTGCCCTATTCATATCATTTTGCTCCGCATCAAGGAAAAAGTGGACCATTTGCTCATGGCCGTTAAGTGCTGCCAGGTGCAGTGCTTTCATCCTCGGCGGCTTTTTCTCAAAAGGCCTGAATGCCTCCCAAAAAATCTCGAACCACAGCGCGAACCGCTTCTCACTCATTTCGTATACTCGTTGCAGGAGATCCGACATTTCTTTATCTGACGTCAAAGCCACCTTCTGTACGTGATCACCCCAATAAACCGCTGAGTATTCCAGTAAGTCTCGGGTATAAGATCGTGAATCGGCCTCGTCATCATCCAAATCCTCCATCAACAGGTATCGCAAACAGATATGGGCCATTAGATCTTCCGCGTCACTCAAGCTGCTCCAGTATGCAAAATTGCAATTGTCTGAACTCTTCTTTTTGATGAGAAATTCTCTGGCTGTCTGATGAATGAGATAAATTTTCTGGTTCCTCGTGAAGATAAAGAGGCAGCACAATTGACGAAGCTTCCTGTCCAGATGAACTGGATCGAGCCCAGCCTGTACTGTTGTTCTCGACTCCACGCAGGTTCCAATACCTAACGCCATAGCCATCTCTTGTATTGTTAGAGGACGCCGTGCTGCTACGATGATCACCAATATCTTCCTAACTATATCCTTCTGATCGTTTGGGACTCGACAGAGTATTTTTTCGTATGCTGCATTAACAGAAGGCGGTATGAGTGTGATGGAATTCCATGTGGGCCGAAGGCTATGCTTGAAGGTAGTACGGATATCATTAATAGCAAGATAAAGCCAGAGATATGTGCGGTGCTCCATTTGAAGAAGCCGCTCTTCAACTTGCAGTTGCATATCCGGAGATAGTGGCACTGTTTCGGCTAGCTCTCTCACACGAATCTTGACCACGAGATCAATCTCCTCGTGAATTCGGTCATTTTCTTCCTCTCCCTTGATGTGAATATGAGGGAAGGAATCGGTGATTGCTTTAAAATGATCCTGTATACGATCGTATGGACGACTGGTGACCAGGAATTTTAAACAGGTATCTTGTGTTGATGAGTTTGTAGGGTGGTAAAAGGACTGAAGCTTCTGAATTAACCGATCCTGATCGATCTCAAGACATTCATCGAGCGCATCAAGAATGCAAATAGTAAAGTGTTTGTCAGCTGATGTTGCTGCAAGAAATATCCGCCAAAGTTCATTAATCTCTTGCCGAAGCTTATCCCCATTCCTTTCCCAGGATGGCGTCGCATGAGACAATAGATGAGGCCGCTGGGTGAAGAGCTGATGAAGTACTGAACAAAGCGCTGTGGCAAGATGATTTTGTTCATCGTTGTCTTTGAAGAAAAAGTAACAAATTGTCACTGCTAGATCAGAAGCTTTAAGATAGTCATCAACTATAGATCTGGCTAGTACAGACTTGCCGCAGCCGGGGTCGGCTGATACCCAGAGGAGGTCATTAGAGTTGCTCTTCGACCAACGGATATATTCAGGGCTCTGTAGAGCCCATTGACAGGTTCCTTCTGCTCGTTTAGGATTGATGTTCTTTTGCTCCTCGTAATTGGCGGTCTTGAGAGCTTGGTGACAACGCTTCTGCTCATCTGCCGAGGCTCTATTTACACCTTCACAATGGTGTTGCTCTTGTTGATCGTATGCTCGGTCCAGGCGTTGATTAGTACCCTGAATTTCGTTTCTGAAACCATCTATGTACTGTCAGATCAGCAAAACATTCACATTCAAAACCTACGCTAAGATATATTGTACTTACTACAAATATCCACCACTAATTCCTCTTGCGATATGTGGCCCAAAGGGACATAGCCCAGCAGCTCTTTTGTATAGGATGCTGCTGCTAAGGCTGCGTATCCTTGCCACTGTTTGTTCTTATGTGAATCGGCGTAATCGCAAACACCACGGATGACGATACATGGAAAATCCATCATCAAACCAGCCGCCTCCATCTCAAAACACAATGCCCCAGTCTCCAGCCTCAGCTGCTCACGCGTCCATCCATGTTTGATCACAGCATTTCCAGATGCAATGATGCCGTAGTGTGGTTGTGGGTCACTGTCCTCACGCTCACTTCTCGTTTCTTCCCACTCCGCTGGACATTCATCGCAGCTATTCCCATTGGCAGGATGATCTTGTTTTGCCTGAAATAATCGATCGCATTGCGCAGCAGGTCTGCTGAAATTTTTCCGAGTTCGTGCGGTTCTTCCAATGGCGTTTTGGAGATATTCTAGGTACCGGGGTTCGTCTCTTAGCTCGGCGGCTCTCATAGTGCTAACTGCGGTCAATAGTGCCCTCGGAGGGCTATTTAAAGAACCGGTTCGTTCAAATTCCCCCCCCCTGCAATGACCTTCCCCATATCATATTGGATCACCCCACCAAAAGTGCCTTGGGGGTAGCTAATCACGACGTCGCCGAGGCGAATATCATGAGCAGCGGACGGGATTCCGCCCCCGATACCGACCATCAGTCCGATTCGAAGTGACTTTGAGAATGTACGAATCATATTGTTTGCGACAGTAGTGGCTGAGGTGGTTCCGTATTGCCCTCCGGGAAGGCAGGCGATCACGACGTGGTGTTTACCAATTCGGCCCAATGTGTAGGTATTTGAATCCGCTGCGTCTTGCTCCTCGAGAATTCCAAATTTCTCGTCCAGCATTTCAGCGGCAGCGGCGGCCTCGATCGGGAGAGTGCAGATCCAGCCAATCTGGAAAGCACCTAACGGAGGGCAGGCCATGTGGAAGGCCGACCGTAGTTGGTAGGAACGGTTCAGTAACAACAGAATTTAGACAACGCTAAATATGGTTGGAAGGGTTGATGAGCTGTCGACTCGATCTACAGAAGAGAGGAGCCTCATGGCGTGGCAGGCTGCAGCCCCGTCGCCAGCAGTGGCTGTCGCGACATGTATACCATTACTAGTCGGATACACGTCCAAATTGCTTGGCATTGTTAAGTAAACAGCTTACAAAGCGGTAATTGCATGTTAAATAGTTTTCATCCAGTATTTCAGAAATAACAGAGTTATTGCGATTTCCATACCAGTACCAAATGACGATTAGTGGCCTAGTTTAGACTACGAAAGTGGCAGCTCCCGAATGATAGCCCAGCAGCGGCAAGAGCCTAATTGCCATTGGTGGAAAGGCACCAGCCCGCAAATTAGGTGGCTCACGTGACAATATGGTCCCGTAAACCCCAACCTAAGATTTAGGACACGACAGGATGGAGCACGATCCATAATATGTCACAACAGAAAAATGGGTCAAAACATGCCATTAGACCAAAAAGTGCGCACGCACAGTTTAGTCTCTGTACGGTGGTATTTTTGCCTGGACAAAATATTCCATGGTATCCTACAAAGATAATCGACCTCTTTTCCCGTTTAGGGTAAACATCAGCAACCAATTTAAAAAGCCCTTGTCTAGGTATGGCTATAAGTCTGGCTGGGAAATACAGAAATAATTGCCCGTAAATGAGTGGAGTATGGAGGATCATTATCAAGAGCTATGTCAGTCTGGCTATCCTAGAGATTCTTACAAGGCTGTCATAGAAATACGGTCATTTTGTAAGGCACTGGTATTATACAGTATTTGTATTGTTATACATACCAGCTACATCTATTTTTGTCACAGTAGTGGGGTAAAGGTCCTTTGGCAGTGGGGCCCGAGCAAAGAAAAGCAGTCATCAGGGTAGAAGCCATTTTTCCTATCGACTGTAACATATATGACAACTTGAACTTGAAATCAGCACATATCAGCTCGTCATATGTACCTCCATGGTGGAAACTCGTCCACGGAAGCACCAGTAGAAGAGCTTTAACACGTTTCCCGGATAGATTCCCCGTCGCGTTCGGTAGAGAGGTAGGTGGGGAAATAACCACTCCTTTTGACTTGTGTTAGAGCTGGCTCGGTTTCTTCACGTTATATCATGTATATCATGGTGCTGAGCCCGGCCGTTGTCGAGGGCGATTTATTTTGTAGACCTCAGGAATTCATGAATTCTTCGCGAAGTGAGGGCGGTTGACTTGAGTGATTCCATGTCCGTGACTTCTCGCAGGATAAGCCCCAACAAGCACTTTCTTCTTCCCAGTCTCACGAAGGTAGGGCACAACAAAGAGTGCCAAGTTCGAGCTGAATGCAGCAAAGCTCGACCGTTGACTCACATCGGTAAATGAGTTGAGAGAGAACTTGAAATTGCAGAAAAAGAGTGAAAGGATCCCGAGTCTTCGACTAAGAGTGCCTCCAAGCACAGAATGTGATTCATTGTCGTGCCTGCCATATTCAGAAAGCTCCTCGGTTCTGTCATGAGACAGTGTCAAAAGAAAGGCCATATTTCCTCAGTCCAGAAGTCGAAAAAGGGCTGTGAGTTAGCAAAATTTGCTTCGCAGCTAAAATCCTCTCTCAAATGCTTGCAATCTGCAATCAACATGAATAGCTCTGCAGTCCACAGAATAGAACTTATATTCGGGTAACTGACATTAAATCAGACAACTGACACTTCCAGCATTCTCATACCATCTAGGAACTGTTTAATCGATCAATGTACCATATCGATGACTATCAACCCCGAGCAAGCCACCCTATGCTAGTGGAAGGCACGGCCTCGGCACCGGGGCTTAGCAAAATTTGTTTGGCCTCCCACCGGGATTGATACTCTTCACCCGGCATCATTCAAAAAGCTTGACCGTAAGTTGGAGGTCTATCGAGACACTCAAGACCTGTTGAGGACGACCCCATAACGGCACTGCGCTTGCTTCGTGTAAGTGTAGATACATAGTGAACGGGTCCTGAGTCTTCTTCGAGTGAGACTACGCCAAAGTGCAGAAGGAATAGCAGCCACGCCTGCCACATTCAGAATGTTCCCCAATTTCGTGCCGTGCCACATGTTCATATTTGAAAGAAAGGCGATATGCTGGTAAAATGCACAGGCCTCCGCACCGGGGCTTAGCAAAATTTGTTTGGCCCCCGAGCGGGACCAGCAAGCTCCAGTCGGCATTTCTCAAACAAATTTTCTGTAAGCTGCAGGTCTATCAAGACACTCAAGACCTATTGGGAATGACCCAATAACCGGGCTGCATTTGGTTCTTCCAAGGAAACACCTTGACCTTCTCGAATATATGAGACAAGGAAGGGTTCCATGTTCGAGATAAATGCAGCGGAGCTGCAATGGTGAGCTCCATTGGGGAGGAATTTGAAGCAGAGTTTGTGGCTGCAGAAAAGGGGTGGCTTGGAAGATTTCCCGGTTTCGCAACGAATGGAAAGTACTTCTTGTTCATTTCTTGTGGGCTGGCAGTGAAGGTGAAAATCAATCGGTGGAAAATCGCGACGCGGCCCAGAAGATGGTCTTAAGCTTGGGCGATGTGGCGGTGATGATAAATCTCGGGCCTGAGGGGCCGGAAGATAAGGCAGTTGCAACAGCAATCTCATCATCGAAGTATTGAATGTATCTCGGACCTCCGGAATGAGGTGTCGTAGCCATGTCGGGGTTGGGTCAGTTTTGAAGAGAGGCGGAATTGGCTCTGAGATATCCGAAGTGGAGGAGTGCACTGGGCCACTCTCGGTGGCCCCGAAGGACGACACCGGTGATGGAGATTGCGGGTAGGGCATGATAATAGTTGTAGAGTCCCGATCTGGGCTCAGGAGGGGATTTGAGTGACGGAGGTGGTAGAGGTAGTGATAGATTGGCTGCAAGATAGCCCACCTCGGAGGGTGATGAGTTAGCCAACATTCCACGTGCGGACTGGGACGAGATTTTGAGGAAGATCAGTGAGATAGAGGTCTTCTTACCAAGAGGGCGTTGAATGCAAGAATGAGGTAGAACCAGAACGAGGTTCTCGTCCGGCTGTGATTCGGACTGGACGCACTTGGTAGTGCAGTCCACTTGGCACTGCCCTGAAGGCAGGCAAGGGACGAAAGTAAGCGAAGATAGGAGTAGAAGAAGAGAGATCGACACGTCGATTTTGTCCGAGGTGAGGAAGGGAGAGGGGTGGATGAGAGGAAGTGGTGGAAAGGAGAGGATGCAAGAAAGAAGGTTGGTTTGTTGTTGTTTACTTTTGGCCGAGGAGTACAAGTCTCTTGTGCGGCAGGCACCACCCACAGTGAATGTGGTGGTGGTGAATGTGGCAGGTGCCAACCTTGGAACGGGCCTTCCTAGATTCAACGGCTTAGTAACCTACTATACTTAGTATGTCTATTATACAATGTGAGCTGGGTTATCAATGTAACATCAAGAGGATCAGAAGCATTGATGGCAACCCTCTTATCTTGATCATAGTTCGCAGTCATACTCGAAGCTTGAATCAACCACTTATACAGTAAGTCAAAGTCAGTTATCTCTTCCCTCGTAACTATCAAATTGGAAATATGTACATCTCATCTTGCATATACATACGCTCGTAGGATCCTTTAGAGACCGGCATGATGGTAAGGAAATGGAATACAATCGCACCGACCGCATGCGGGACATTCACCAATTAGGCTGTGCTACCATCTTTCCTCCGGGTGAAAATGAGACTGAGTGACCCAGTCACCAAGGTAAAGGTATCCTTCTTAGCTTCAATGAAACCAGACACAGTCTGTCCCGGGGCAAAAGACACATCATATCTTAGGAAGACCTCGGCAGCGACACGACGAAGCTCCATTAGAGCAAGTTGCTTTCCGACACAGGCATACGGGCCTAAAAGATGCATTCAGAAAGGAAGATCACGACAGCACGCATTTGCTTGTAAGGGAAGAACTGTAATGACGTACCGGCATTAAATGGAATAAAGGCAGCAGGGTCCTTGACCAACTCTGGCTGTGTGGTCCACCTCTCAGGCAAGAATTCTTGAGGTCGCTCAAAGACGCGGTTATCTGAGATTGTCAGCGAAAACGGACTGTGCATAGTCGGGAGGAGGCGGAAAGGGGGAGATTTCTAACCTCGGAACATCGTATGCGATGGAATGCAAACCATCACGTCTCCGGGAATATGCCGATTGCCAATAAAAATACCCTCTGGAGGCGTCACACGTTGAGTGCCCGAAGGTACAGCAGGATGTAGACGCAAAGTTTCATTGACTATAGCATCCAGCAACTTGACGCCTACCAAATTATTATTGGACAGTGCCGGCAGTGCGTCAAGTTCTGCCTGGAGCTCTTCCTGCAATCTAGGCTCGCTGCCAATATGGAAGAACATGTTGGTCAATGTTGCTGCAGTTGTATCACTAGAAGAGCAACCACAGGCTGTTAACAAGTCTCCTTCCATGTATGAAGACGGAAATAACCAAGGAAATGTCATTTACCTTCCAGCAACGATAATGAGATAGGCATCACCATATATATCAGCTTGGTTCTGCTTAGTCTTCGCGCCACGCTGGAATGCATCAAGAAGCCAAGAGAATACGTCTGGATGGTCTGGTGTGTTCTATTTCGTATGGGTCAGCGAGTTCTTCGTAATGGCCAGCTCTATTAATTACAGACCTTGACTCGTTCATTCACTTGCTCGCCAATGGATTTCCAGAATCGAAGGTAGTCCGCGTTTAACCTGGGGGTTCGCTTGAAGAACGGAAACAGCCATGACAGATGGCTAAAAAGTCCGACACTTTGCATATCCATGTGCAACTGTTTCAGGATGTAGGCCTCCTTCCCATCAATCAGCATATTAAAAGATTTTCCAAACGCAACATCACCCATGATGTCGAAACTGTAGTAATTGAACCCATCTGTCATGTTCATGGGGGCGCCAACAGACTTCTCAATAGCAAACAACATCTGCACTAAGATCCAAAATATAGCCTATCCATGGTATTAGGCAGAGGCAACGTACCAAGATAACCTACAAGATATTAGGCGACCCGTGATTAAAAGCCTGCCCTTCTATAGAGTGAGTCATCAGCACAGGATAACTATCTCAATTTTACCGTAATAATAAAAACTTACATTATTAGATATTGCTATCTGCTCTATCCAGGAAGGCCAAATAGCTACATAAGGGTTTCCCTTGACCTAACATTGATCGTTAATAGGCAGTCTATAAAGGCAGCTTATAACTTACAGTGATCATAGCTTTAATTATTTTCGAGGTCATTCAAAGTCCGTTAAGAGGTTCCAAGAGGAATAGTAGAGGAAGGTTGATCTTAAGCATATTTCATATCAGTATAATTCCAAATAATCGGGCGGCTACACTTACTTGCTTTTAAAGAGTCAGTATTAAGCGTAGACAAGCTAGGGGTGATACAAGAAGTCAGTCTAATCACAATTACATAGCAACAAGGGGTTATTCTATGCCAAAGAATAGCCACGCATTCTCCATATTGTATGTATACTATATTGATTTCTTCCAAAGGCAAACCGCTATGATTGGATGTCAGCATAAGCCATCCGACTCCGGCTCCGCGGGAGTTCCGTCGCCGATCATCGGACCACAACATAAAGTTATCAGATCATCTGATAACACCTCACTCCTCACTCCTCACTTCCACCTTCCACCTTCCACTAACGCAGCCATGTTGGCCCACCTCCTTCTCTTCGTCAAAGTATTTGGCGTAGTCATCAGCCAAGCAGGAACTCATCTCCGATCATTTCTCTCATCCTTCATCCACCGCCGAATCTATAAATCAGGTTCCAACCCCAAAAACATCGTCGTCGTCGGCGCTTCTTTCGCCGGTTACAATGCTGCACGCTGCCTGGTGAACTCCATACCGTCGGGGTATCGGGTCATCGTCATCGAAAAGAATAGTCATTTTCAATTCACCTGGGTTCTACCACGCTTCTGCGTCGTCCGGGGTCACGACAAGAAGGCCTTCATCCCATATGGCCCATTCCTTCGCGCGCCACCGGGCTCCCACTTATGGATCAAGGACACCGTCGAGGAAATTACCCCATCTCAGGACGCGAGTCCTGGAGGCAAGATCCGCGTCTCGTCCGGTGAAACGTTCGACTTTGAGTATCTCGTCTTGGCGACTGGATCATCGGCTGCTCTACCGTCACGCGTCGGCCAGGAAGAGAAGAAGGCTGGGATGCAAGCACTTCATGATAAGCAGGAGGGGATTGCCTGTGCCGAAGATATCGTCGTCATTGGAGGTGGTCCTGCGGGCGTTGAGCTGGCCGCAGATGCAAAGGGACAATTTCCCGACAAAAATGTTACTCTTATCCACTCGCGCAAGACTCTTCTCCATGAAGGATTTGGGATCAAGATCCATGAAACTCTCAGCAATTCCTTGCGAGGTCTTGGGGTAAATCTGGTTCTGGGAGAAAAGCCTACTGTTCCGACCGGTGTGACTGTCGGGGATATCCAGTTGAGCGATGGATCAGTTCACTTCGATTATTTGGTTTGTCGCCCTGTGGTGGAAATGAGGCCTGTCCTGATCCGTTGGCCTTGCTATATGCTAATCTATCAACCCAGATCAAATGCATCGGCCAGAAACCAAACACGGCCTTAGCAAAGTTCGCAGCTTCCTCCGCCTTCTCCAAGTCAGGACATATTCGCATCAAGCCTTCGCTACAGATTGCCGATAACGAATACCCACGCATCTACGCAGCTGGTGATGTGATTGACGCCGGAAGTATCAAGAATGGTCGTTCCGCCATGCAGCAGGGTGAGGTCGTTGCAAAGAATATCGTCCGAGCCATCCGAGGGAAGAGCCAAATCGAATATCAGCAGAAGTGGTGGGAGGGACTGACGAAGTTGACCATGGGCCTTGTAAGGAGTTCCAAAGAACAACCCCTTCGACTTGTGATTGTTTACTAATCTTCCAATCTTTTCATCAGACCAAGAGTGTTGCATACGTTACCGATGGGCGGGCTGAGTGGGTGATTCCAACAAAGTCGAAGATCGATCTTGATTGCAAGCAAGTGTGGAAGTTTATGGGCGCCACGTCTTTCGTTGATCCCGATGAGGAGAAAGAAAACAATTGAATTACGGGGATGGCGGCTTTGAGCTGCCTGCCCTCAATTCCAAGCTACATTACCATTCGAGCGAGGCAGATAGATACCCTCTACAACAAGTATGGAGCAGTGCTCAGTCTTTCTTGTACCTTTTCAGCTACACTGCTATTCCAGTATGTAGTTATGTGAAACAATCTGACTAATATCTATTCCAGCATTACACATAGTATCGGGATTATAGAGATTCAAGTTGATGTTATTTCTTGTCAACTCGATTTTGATACTAAATTCCTATGGAGTCTCGGAAACTCCGCGGACCCGATGACATAATCCACTCACTAAATTAAGAAATCATTCAGTGCCTGGAAATCGTTGCAAATTATCCATTCCCCAGATCCAGGCTTGCTCTTGTGTAAAGCCATTTCCAGGCCCGGCAAGATCCGGGAAAAGCGGATCGAGAGGAATATTGATGTCATTTCCCGAGAGAACTAGAATATGTTAGATTTGTTGTGACCACCATTGGAAATAAACAATGAATATAGAACACAATACATACCCTGGTCAAAGTCGAGAAGAGCCTGGGACATGGCTGGGTCTTGGATAAAGTCGAAAGTTTCTTCGTTTTGTATTGATTCCGGAAATTCTGCAACTTGGTATTGACCCTGTGTAGGAGCCTGGGCCATATTCCCATATCCTGTGGGTTCGATCCGCTGTGCCGTAGATTGGGGAGTTTGTTGGGCGACACTGTTACTAGCGAGCATCTCCTTCAGTTCCTTCTCCATCACCAATCTAGTCAAGCGCTCCAGAATTTCCAAGCCCTGTGATGCGAGAGTTGACTCAGTCCTCGATTTCAAATGCGTCTGCATCTTTATTAAGCGTCGCAGTCCCATTTTAGACTCATGGGACTGCGGACTGAGCGGTTTGATACTAGTTAAGATGCAAAGCATCACACCAGCGGTAAAAGTGTGAATACCGATGAATGCAGCGGCGTAGGTATCGGCGGCTAGGAGGAAGATCGGAGACTCTCCGAGATTTGATGTGTGCAATGCAGCATCTCGACACGCAGATAACGAGAAGTGCAGGGGATTTCGACAAGGGGTTTGATTTTCGGTCTCGGTCTCGGCACGGGGAGTTACTCTGTAGGCAATAAGGGGGCGGTGGAGGAGGATTCGCGCATTCTCATACGCAAGTTCGAGGGAAAGGGCTTGGAGCTGATAGATGTGCTGCTCGAATCGGGGTCCCGAGGCACCAACTTCGGCATCCATCTCCTCCACAGAAGTGTAGTTTGCAGTGTTAGTACTCGGATTTAAAGTCGCTGGTATCTCTTTCTTCCATTTTCGAAGCCGATCATCTAAGCGTGATACCTTGCGGATAAGGTTTTGCAAACTCCGGGAGTTCAGACTGTCATTTTGATTAGCCCCCTGATGGCTTATTCTATACAGATCTGTCAAGATGTCCTTAATCAGAACAGAAAGTTTGGACATGAGGTATTTGTAGGATAAAAGGCTCGCTGGGCACTGGTGCGTTGAGTCAAAGGTTGCAGGGGATTGGCCGGCCGATGTAGCCAAAGGGTCCAATAGCTCAACATCGCAATCCCCATCCTTGATCCCGTGTGGATATCCATATGACATGGAGCAAAATGTCTCGATCTCGTAGATAGCCCACCAGCAACGCTTGCGTGTTTCAGCAAGCCGCTGTGTCTCGGGTGATCTGGTATCCGCATCATCTGTGGCAAGCTTGCGATGCAAATTTAATGCCTGCGCGACGCGTAATCCACAACCACACACCGGCCAGGCAAGACCGGGATTTCCATGGTATAGGTAATATGTACCCAGCAAGACACACGTCTGGACTGCTTCTAGCGAGCCGAGAGATACAATATCCAATAGTCTGGCTCTAATGGTAGACAATATCCCCTCTTTCAGATCCGAATGGCAGACACTGTGATTTCGCAGAATTTCCTGTCGGTGGGAGCCTGTGTATTGTAGGGCGATGGCAATCACAACGAGAAAGGTACTGATAAACCCGGGATTCGGATATTTGATTATGAGATCCTCAGCCGAGAACTCGTACATCTCTTCCCAGTTCCGCCGGAAGTCATCTTGATGAAATATCAGTATGAACCAGTGCACGCGGTCGAAATATGTGTCGACTAGTAAGGAAGCAACTTCTCGCGAGGGAAGCAGTCCGACCAATTCTGCTATGGCAGAACGCGATCCTTGCATCCAGGGAATTGTCAATGCTGACCTGCCAAGTCTTCTTTCCGGTGGTGAACTGATTGCCGCTCCGCCGGGAAACGCCGTCGTCATTGAGGTGTCCGGCGTAGAGGAATTGTGGAGTTGAAATGCCTAGATCGTCAGTAACCACTCTCTCCACTTCCGAGCACGACATCCGAGAATATCACACTCACCCCTGCTACTAGCGACATAGTCGAACTAGACCACGTTTGATCAACCGAACGGTCACCAGCATGACTGTCGTCCCTATTCTGCTCTTGTACTTCTTGTCGTGCCACCCTCTCATGGGTACTAGTAGAGCTTTGTCGTGTCCTCTGCCACTTTTGTCTAGGTCGAAAAGGACTAGCAACCACAAACTGGTCAGACTCACCCATTTGACACTCCACTCCGGCGTGAACGCATAGTGTGCATGGGCGCTGGATGTCGCACTTCAAAGCGATTAGTTAGAGCCCGCCACGTTTCACGTTTAATTGGACTAGACTCACTCTCAACTTCTGACGGCGACATCTTTCGCAAGCTCGGCCGACTTTTGTTCGTTTTACCCGTGATGCCATTCTCCGATTGGATTGGGAATCGCAAGGATTCGGCGCAGGGGAGTGTTTCGGGATATTCGGAATGAAAGCCCGAAAGAGAAATCTTTCCGCCGGGAATCGTACTCCACGTGACTTGGCTCTACGCTGGCGTCGCCGCTCTTCTTGCTTCTACTTCTATTATTATTGCTGATAATAGTATGCTAGTTTGATTCATATCTGCTTGCTCCTAATTCAATTCGGAAATTATATTACTGAGAAAATTGGGAAATGCTGGTGGTTAGCTCGGGAGACCGTGACCTAGGTTGCTTTCCAGTCCCTACATATGTTTCCGCGTAAGATTGTCCGACAATCTTGGAAAGTGATGGAAATTGCGAATCAAATCTTCAACCTACGCTTACTATGTGATAGAATTGTACTAGAGAAGCCTCCCGGCGGACGCCCGCGGCAATGTGATGATTTAATCGTCACAACATTTGACAACTTCATCGCCCGAGTGTCTCTGCACTAATTATCTCACTGCGTGGCCTGGTGGCGTAATCCCTCATTTGCACAATGTTGCAGGGACGTTTCTTGTGGAAGCGATGGCTTATGCAAAACACACCATGTGAGCGGACCCTTCAGGGCTTGAGTCAAGATTCTTGGCCTTGCTTAACTGAAGAGGCGTTTTCTTGTTTTTCATTTCCTTGGCCATGTCCCATTTAACCTTTTAGCGTCGCGTAGAGTTGGCTATTCTAGGGGAGTTTAGTGCACTGACTCAAATATATTCATTGTATGCCTATCACAGTCGGCTGACACGATAACTCTGGAACGGCAAGTCATTATCCAGATTTGTTCCTTCGCAATTATAGCAGATAGATTCTCGGTGGTATCCCAAGAGAGGAGTATAGAAGGCCCACTCGCTTCGCCTGCATAATGCCGGCATCCGGCAACTTCCGCTGATATAATTAAGAACTGCCGGTTTATGTGGACTCTGCAAACGTGCTAGAGACGTGTTATGGTTATTCTCGAAGTACTATCATAGTATACGGAATGCTCCGTGAGGGGTAAACATGCCTAGCTCCCCGTGAATAGTCACATCAATTGTGGATCTTCATCAGCCCAACCCCGCCACGCTACCACATACGGAATCGTCCCCCGCTGTGGCGTTCGTCAAGCATCGAAGGCCGCATCGATATCGCGGAGGTCCGTCGGTATGTCTTGGGCCTCTTGAATACTTCGCTTGGGAATTTAGTGTGAAGTATCGAGGTGGTGAAATCGCTTTTGTTTAATCGCCTTGCCTAGCGCCCAAAGCATTTGCTGTATATCTTTTGTAGGAATAACGAGGACAGTGGGCTGGTACTGCGTAAAGCAGACTGTTGACAAACGGCTAATGGTTAATTCTAATAAACATCTTAGGGGCTGACTCTGGCTTCCCCCACCCCTTAAAATTACTGCAAATCTCCCGAGTACCGAATCGCAGTGCCTAAATCTAGACCCTTATCTCCGGTGGGTCTTCACCACGAGACCAATTCGCCAGGTCCCCGACCCGATGTTACCCTGATTGACATCGTCAAAGCCTACGATTGGACCATACGAAAACAATGTGAGATGATCGCGAAGCTTTAATTCGAATTTACCCACTATCGCGCGAGCTTTTCAGCTTAGGCCTCGTGGTCTGCAGATTCGTTTATGACCCGACATTGACCAAATTTGGGAATGCGCTAGATCGCTGCAAGTTTGCATGCATCTTAGTTCCTGGACTTGTGAGATCATTCGCTCGCATCTCTGGTGAATACGAGTGAAGGAGATACCAGTTCCATCGAATGGTCAATGGTCAACCCTTCGAAGCCTTCTTCCAAGCCCTGGGCGCATTAGCGTCCGTAGCTTGTAGATCGGCGTTCGGATTGCTCAGAAGGGGAAACAATGTCCTCAGTCTTCCAAATGACGCGATGGTTGGATGGCTATTGTATAGCACTCCTCTATCTGCTACTATCACCCTCCTTTAAAGGAGCGAGGCCTGGAAATGTATAAAAGGGCATGAAAATCCGTGTCTTTGGATTCATCCAGCACCAAACTATCTGCCTTCTCATTGTTCAAAAGCTCCTCCTCAAGATATCATCATGGTTGTGATTCACAAGATTCCCATTACCCTCGCTTTCCTGGCATCAATTGCCGCAGCTGTTCCTACTACGGCCAAACCGGCCAGCAAGTTCTCAGTCAACCAGGTTTCTCGTCCCGCGACGAAGACTACCAACTTCGCTGCGAACTATGGACGTGCTCTGTCCAGATATGGAGTATCTGTCCCTTCACATGTTGAGGCTGCTGCCGCTGCCAGTGGTAGTGCCGTCACTACTCCAGAGTCTGGTGATGTGGAGTATTTGACTCCCGTCTCCATCGGCGGTACTACCTTGAACCTGGATTTTGATACCGGTTCTGCTGATCTGTAAGTCGTTTTATTTTGTTTCCGTGGATGCTGCTCAATGTTCTGATAAATGAATAGCTGGGTTTTCTCCAATGAGCTTTCTAGCTCTCTGCAGAGAGGTCACTCTGTCTATAACCCCAGCAAGAGTGGCACTAAGCTGGCTGGTGCCTCCTGGTCCATTTCGTACGGCGATGGAAGCGGCGCAAGCGGTGATGTTTACACCGACACCGTTACTGTTGGCGGAGTCACTGCCTCGAAGCAAGCTGTTGAAGCTGCCAAGAAGATCAGCTCCCAGTTCCAGCAGGACACAGATAATGACGGTCTCCTGGGTCTCGCTTTCAGCAGCATCAACACTGTTTCACCGACTCCTCAGAAGACCTTCTTTGACAGTGTCAAGAGCTCGCTTGCGAAGCCTCTGTTTGCTGTTTCCTTGAAGCACGCAGCCCCTGGTGTCTATGACTTTGGTTTCATCGACTCCTCCAAGTACACCGGTTCCATCGCTTATACCAGCGTTGACAACTCCCAGGGATTCTGGAGTTTTTCTGTTGACGGATATAAGGTCGGTAGCAAGTCCGGCTCTGGTTTCGATGGAATTGCCGACACTGGCACCACCTTGCTTCTTCTTGACGACTCCGTTGTTTCTGCTTATTACTCGCAAGTTCGCGGTGCCAAGAATGACCAAAATGTCGGTGGATATGTCTTCCCCTGCTCCGCCACCCTTCCTAGCTTCAGCGTTGATATTGGTTCCTACACCGCCACCGTCCCCGGTTCTCTGATCAACTACGGTGACTCTGGAGCTGGATCTTGCATTGGAGGTATTCAGTCGAACTCTGGAATTGGCTTCTCTATCTTTGGTGATATCTTCCTCAAGAGCCAGTATGTTGTCTTCGATGCCAGTGGGCCCCAGCTGGGCTTTGCTCCCCAGTCTTAGGCTGCTTGATATTCTTTGAGATATTGTGGGCGACTTATTTTGATGAAACTATGTCTCAAACAAAGTATGTCAAAATTAGGGGCCGATTTTATGAATGGGTAGATATATATAAAATTTGAATGAATATTCAGATATTTGCTCTCAACGATTCACTGGTCGACCGCCACGCCATCCATAACGTATAACGTAGACGAGAATAATATCTGGTTGTGGCTCGGCACTCACCATTCAAATTCCTATACGTCAGGCTTCGTTAGAGGTTTTCATTTTCATTATTTTCGGAAAAATTGCTTCATGAACGCTTACCTCGGTGTTATGGGTTGTAGATGGTCGGTCGTCGCGTGCAATCCGAATCGGGATGCGGTATCTACAATTCACCCGAAAGAGGCAACCATTCCGGTGGAACACCTGGAACTCACCAGCCCGCCGGAACAACGCTGACCACAAAGTATAAAGAACCCCGCTGATCAAGTTCAAGCTGATGAATATGATCTCCAGACAGGATCTAATATTTGATTTACCAATCTACTATATCAAATCGACCATTTTCATCTACCAACATGGCATCCGCCACCACCACCACCACCACCACCAACACGATCACTGTGACTCTCTCCCAACTGGCCAAGATGATCGACCACTCTCTCCTTCACCCAACAATGACAGATGCCGAAATCATCAACGGATTACGCATCTCAAAAGACTGCAACGTCGCCACCGCCTGCGTCAAGCCATACCTCATCCCCCTCGCTAAGCGCGAGCTCGCCGGCTCCGATGTCAAAGTCTGCCCGGTGATTGGATTCCCCCACGGCAACAGCACGACGGAGATCAAGGTGATCGAGGCGAGCGCGGCAGCTGATGCGGGCGGCGCTGAGATCGACATGGTTGTGAACATCGGCAAAGTCCTCGGTGGAGATTGGGAATACGTGAAAGAGGAGATCGCCGCGATCAACGCGGCAGTTGTCAGCCGCGGCGCGATCTTGAAGGTAATCTTCGAGAACGACTATCTTCGACCTGAACATATCGTCCGACTGTGTGAGATCTGCACGGAGATTGGGGTCGCGTTCGTGAAGACCTCCAGTGGATATGGATTTGTCAAGCAGAGCGATGGATCATATAACTATTTGGGGGCGACGGTATCGGATCTCAAGCTTATGCGACAACACTCGGGACCGGAGGTGCAGATCAAAGCGGCTGGTGGAATCCGCTCGCTCGATGATCTGCTGCATGTGATGAGCTTGGGGGTGACAAGGATTGGTGCGACAGCGACCGTGGCCATCTTGGATGATGCGAAGAAGAGGGGCATTGGGATGGAGCCGACCACAGTGGAGTTCAAGCCGATGGTTGAAAAGGCCGGGGGCTATTGAGAGACGCGAAAGGATGGAATGGGAAAATAGGCAGACGGGAAGCATCCGGGTATTACGAACAAAAAGAACTTAACGAGTCAATGCTAATCGAACATGTGTTGGCCCAATAATATCTCAATTACCTTTGATATTAGTACAATGCACACGGAAGCCAACAACACTCAACTTCCTTCATTTCTATTGCTACTTCCAAAGCCAGTACCAGTACCTATTTCTCTCCGAATATTTGAATCGCCCATAGATCTTCAATTTGTAGTCATAGTACAGTATTATTAAGGTTGCCGATCTCAGGAGGTCAGCATGAAATCGAGATAGGTGAGATATGCGATACCTAATGTCCGAGCTATATATTTCGGTATCTGTCAAGCTCTGTTTGGAGTTCCAAGGTTGATATCTAAATTATGATGTAGTCCGGGTCTAAGACTTTTTTTAAGACTTCTTGTTCTGCAGTTGATTAATCATGATCTCACTTCTACCAGCAGGTGGTATTTCTTTCACATACAAGTTAAGGCTCGGAGTCGGTCCCCTTCCAAGGTATCCCGAGGCCTACATCCTACTCCAGAGCTACGAATATTCGCCTCAGGAATCAATAAATGCCTTGCTTGCTGCCTCGCTCCGTCCTAGATCTCTAGTCCCTTTTCATCGCTCGGAACTCCCGTCACCAAGGCCAATCAATCGCGTGGCCTACGTGGTGATAGGGTCCTGTTGTTATACAGGAAGCGAGTGGAATATGAACGCGATCTTGAATCGGACCAAAAATAACAAGTTTCGGCACAGAACTGTACGGAGTCGCGATCGCATGAGATCACGATCGCGGAGTCCTGTGTCGATCCTTTTGTGGATCTCAAAAGGGGTAGCAGATCATTTCTGCATAAGGAGCTACTACTATTGTGCTCTCCGAGAAATTTCCCGAGCGAGACGAAGTGAATGTAATCCTCGAAGCGTGTTAACTGACTACTAGTTAGCCCTGCTAGCAAAACCCTGCCTAGACTTTGGGACGCGTCACACATAGCTACCGCGTAGCGATATTAATATTTAGGTTATTTAGGAATGTGATGGCCCAGATAAAAGCACCTCTCGAATGAAGTCCATTATCGGCGCTTTACGTCATTCAATGTCTCAGATCAAGCAGTGATCATCGTTCCACGACCCTGATTTCCTGCATCTGAATGCGATATGTATACGTGATCAAATCTAAAAAAAGTGATGCCGAATTATCACATTCAGATATAGGGGTGGTTCGAGTATTTAGAAATTCGGGAGTTGCCATATTGGTGGACTTGCTTCAAGGGCGTGGGCTTTTCAATCAAATACTCATACAGCTGCAGATTTGTGGAAATGGGTCTAGTGTTCGTGAAACTCCAGAACCAACGGAAACGGATACTGATAAAATGTTACCAGCTTGGAAGGGTCCCCTTTGAACTGGAAGGATTCCGAAAATGCCCGCCTACTCGCTCGCCGATATGCGGCAAAGGTTAGCTCATAGTCTAATTGCTCTCACTCTCGCGAACGCCCAACTGAAAGCTCTTGACAGCAAATCCTGGCAGTATGGCTAAAGCAAAGGCATCGACACGATTCCGATCCGCTATGGGGCGATGAAGTAGGTCACCAATAAATCATGATAACCCTGAGCAAATCCTAAAATTACAAATCATAGATAGAATTCTCGCTAGTTGATTTGGACGCGAAGCTGTCGCGAGCAACCATGCTCTTAGACCAGGAACGTGTTATTAAAAGCTGGGAGAAAAGGAACATTTGTCAAGAAAATCCGTGAGTGAATCATTCAAAGACGAAGTAAGAAAATTTCTTCTAATAAATGGCCAGTGGATTGCTACAATGGGAATGGGCGTCCTACGTTGTGGAATCAACCCCAGTGAAGCCATACTCAGGACGCATATCAGACTTAATCCATGTCGAGACAAATATGCGATGCAGGTATGGTTGAAGTCAATCATACGGGTTTTTATTTTATTCACTAATTTGCCTAAAAGCGAGAGCTAATTGAGAGCTTCCTTGGGCCGAATCAACATGCAATGTCTCTTTCCATGTTCCCCAGGGCCGGAGTAAAAGATACCTGGACAATGCCCAGCCCTCCAACTGAGATACGCAGCAACCAACCACGTTATACGATTCTGACAGAGAAATTCAAAATTCGAGCTGGAGATCGTGTGAAAACATGGCTTCCTATATACCGAGACCGCCTGACCCAGTCTCCGTTTGTTGATGAAGTGATAAGTGGACGTGAAAGAGAAGACCATGTGTGTCTGGAACAACTAGACATGGGAATAGGATGCTGTAGCATTCAAGCCACCTTTCAGACTTCTAATGAAACTGAGGCGAGATGGTTACATGATCAGTTAATTCCGCTGAGCCCGATATTTATCGCCATGACCGCCGCAACACCAGCCTGGAAGGGTTATTTGGTTGACTCTGATTGTCGATGGCAGAGATATGGGGATTTGGTGGACGATCGGTCGCCAGATGAGAAGCACTACATTGTATGTCACTTCACTTACTCCTTGTGGCTTCGGCTGAGCTGACACTGAATCCGCTGTATAGCCTCCACGATGGACATGGAAACAAAGTTATATCTCTGCGGAGCAACCATCGGGGTTGAAAAGCCACCAATTACTACATCCAATCGATAATGATGTCCGGGAATATCTTATTAAAGGAGGGATGGATGTTTTTTTAGCGGACCATTTCATATCCATTCTCACGCGAGATCCTCTTTTGCTCACCGAAGCGGACTTGGAAAATAGCGATCCCCCTGAAACGCGTCTTTTCGAAACTCTTTATGGTTGCGTTTGGCACCCCGTGAGATTCAAGCCACCAACTAGTGATCGCGGACCGGGTTGGCGAGTCGAATTTCGACCAATGGAAGCCCAGCTAACGGATTTCGAAAATGCTGCTTTCGCGATTTTTGCATATCTCGTTTCTCAGGCAATCACCATTCTTCGCCTGAAGCTTTACATTCCGGTTGAAAAGCTAGGCGAGGCATGGGCCTCATGTCAAGAGCGTGGAGCAGTCATTGATGGGCGCTTCTGGTTTCGCAAAACAGGATGGCTTTCTGATTCGGACCAAATCAATCCAGACATCATTCGCATGCTTTCACAGCACGGCTATCATTATAGTGGCGAGGAGAAATATGCTCAGATGACTGTCGATGAGATAATTAATGGGGAAGGTACTATCGATGGGTTTCCAGGCTTGCTATTGATGGTGCGTTGCTACTTTGAATATGTCGGAGTCCCCTGGCAAGAACAGGATCAGATCGCTCAGTACCTGAATCTCATTCGAGATCGAGCGAGAGGCACAAATCCAACTCCTGCGACTTGGATGAGAGATTCCATCGGCAACCACAAAGACTACGAGGAGGATAGCTATGTCAGTGAAACTGTATGCTATGATATAATGAGGGCTATTATCCGGTTGAACGAAAAAAAGACAGAATAGATAGGTTTGTTGTGGAAATTTTTACTATGTGGAAAAAATGCTTAGCTATCAACGTCCGCGTAAGAGCTTGCTGCTCTAAGCCTTCCTCCATATTTCCACAAAATAAATGGAATCGGACAACCGATGAACAGAGCTATGAAGGCCAAAATGCTGTTACCCCACCCATAGCCCAATGCTGCATACATATTTGGACTGAACAAAGGAAAACCGAAGCCCGTTAGGCCACGGAGGATATAAACCGTGCCATTAGCACTGGCAGCGTAGAGCGGGAATGTGTCCAGTAGATAAGCGCTCACACATTGGAAGACAATAGTTGCTCCCATGAGTGGTAATGCAATCCCAATATCAGGAACAATCCAATGAGTCTTATATTCCGCACTCCAGCCATACCAAAACAGGCCAATCGGTACAAGTAGTGACGCCGGCACCATCATTGGTAGCCGATACTCAGGCTTTTCTTCGCCATTATTCCGAGCGACTTGTCGACGATAGATGGGGTCGGTAAGAAAAGCACAAATAATCGCACCTCCTAGGTAGCCGCAACACGGCGCGATATAATTCAAAGTTCCAATGGAAAGGTCCATTTGGTACTTTTCTGTCCAGAGATCCGAGAAGCTCGATAGAAGGAGATAAATAATTCCGTAAAGATATCCATAGTAACAGGCTAAGCATTGGGCGATAGGCTGGGTGCCTAGGAAATATATCGCGCGGAACAGTGTTCGGCGATAACGCTGATGGAGAGATTCATTTTCGCTGTCAAATTTGGTTCTCAAGGTCCGAGATCCAGATTTCTCAGCCTCTTCAAACTCTGCGATACATTTCCTCTTCTTGCGCTCCAGTAGGGTAGGCGCATATGTCTCACGGGAGAATGTAAAGCACACCACCAGAGAAACTCCTGCAGCGATTGACGTTGTAAAAAAGCACCAGCGCCAGGAAGAGTATTCCGTGATAAAGCCACCGACAATTGGGCCGACACAGGATCCCAGAACGGGGCCCACGCTGACCAAAGCCACAGGTAGCCCACGTTCTTCTTTGCCAAAGACATCGCCAATGGTGCTGGCTCCCACCTTCAATAAATGTTAGGCGATGGTGTTATTGTGCAATATTTGAGTGAACTTACAGCCAACGATGTACTAGCTCCAACTCCACTTAAAAGTCGAAAAACCAACAGCTGGGTCATTGAATTCGAGAACCCGGCCGCAAGATTGAAAGCCAAGTAGAACATATTCCCTCCCTGTAGGATTGGTATACGTCCATAAAGCTCACTTAAGGGGCCGAACAGCACTGGCCCGAGGCAGTACATCAGCAGGAATAATGAGAGTGCCAATGGCCCCGTGATCGATGAATCGACATCAAATTCAGATGCAATTGTAGTTACCGCAGGTGTGGTGATCGTAGAAGAAAGTGGCATTAGAAACAGCGGAATAGTTAAAGAAAATGCGACCATCCATTTTCGACTTTTTGGCCAGTCATGAGGATGGTCTCCGTCAAAATCGATCAATACCTCCTCGGGCGCTGGTTTCATTGTACTTCCTTATTTTGATTTGGTATAGATTCGGGAGAAGTTGACTGCATAATAGCAGCGGGCGATCAAGTGGCAAGCCCTGATAAGAAGACTAGCCCCTAGGTACCATTTTCAATGACGATAGGGTGGATCGGATCGACAAAATAGGACAGGTTGCTCTGATCGCTGTCTTGAATACATAACCCACACAGGGCTGCCGATCGATTCCCCGATTCGACCCACAAGATGCCGATCAAGAGATTGTGGAAGGTTTCGGCCGACATCGCTGTTAAGCGGTCATGAAAATCAGGATTATCTCAATGCAATAAGATCAAAAGTTGTTCCTATTGCTATGTATAAATTAAAAATATTGTAACAATTTATTTCCACTCTCGTCAGCCTGGTTTATTCTTTATCCAAGTGTAGGACTCAAAGAATTTACGGTTCATCAAACATCTAAGCATATAACTAACCCAAAGAAGGCTGCCTTACTTCTTGCGAGGTAAAGCTACAATGACCTTTTCTGGCATCGGTTCGATCCCCATGTTCAATGATCCAGTCAGATGGGAAATCAGTCTTTCCCCACATTACCTCACCATGAGCTGCGGTGGCTAAGCAAGCATCATCTCCAGGTGGGTGACAGGCAGCCCTGACAGAATCACTGCGGGTTGCTGCTAGTGGTACAAGCGACTTCAGTCTTCGAAGTGCTAGCGCAATAAGCAAGACGCTCAGGAAAATCACAAGAATCCCAGCAGCTGCTAAAGGTACCATTAAGATGAACACGGGGCTGTTTTTGGCTATATATATTAGGTTTCCATTCTCATAGTAAGGAATGGTCAGACTAAAAAAGTAGCCTTGAGAGACAAGCCAGTCGATTGCAGTAATACTATCATCACTGGAACCCCATATTTATAAGGAACAGACAACCAGTAGGTTGAACGCTGTTGGCTGTTTTTCACAGGCCAAGTCACACGAAGTAGCAGAGGATTCAGTCCCTGGGAGTTATACTCTGCAGCTGAGAGCATTTCGGTCAGTGTACTATTGTATAAATAGTAAAAGATAGTGACAATCCATTGAGGGCAATTCGTCACGACAGTGAGCCGTAGCTCAGAATAAATGCTATTGAAGATACTATCCCCGCTTTGCCCTGATTTGAGTAGCGACGTCCAGATTTAACCCGAATTATGGTAAAATAGGTTGGCAATGAGTGCGATCAAAAAGTATAAGCTTCCTGCAATACCCCCAACCAGCCTGAAGTATGTCAGTTTTCAAGATAGTCGATACCAAAGCCAGTAAATTAGACTTACAGAGCGATATTTACAGTCCAACGGACTGGACCAGTTGCTTTTCCCCACTTGTTCTGCCGTGGCAGCCTCTTATACAAAATGGGAAAGTATTGCCGCTCTAGATATGTTGGAAAAGGCAGCCAGTCTCCTCTCCGAAGATGTCCAGCACATCCCATTTGTTGTGCGGTCTGGAGTTCCCAGAAATGATGCCATCGCATCGCCCACTGTGAGGAGAGGCGGTGCTTGTGATCGATAGCGCCGGGCAGCAAAAAGCATTGTGATCATTTTGACTAGGGTGCAGACAATAACAATGACACCGATAGTGGGGTTGTAGAACAGTTGGCAGCTTCCATTGGTCTCAAATGCTATGCACTCGGTCACATGCAAGAAGTTATCTTCGCCACGGTTGTAGCCAGCTCTGCATTGATGAGACTGGGTAGCTGCGGTATCCAAACTGTTTATAAAGGGAAAAGCCAAGATTTGGTTGTCGGAAGACCAGCCAGCGACACTCAGGACTGACACATCTCCTCCAGCACCCATACTTCGATTACTCGTCAGGAAGATAAAACCTTTGTAGCCGAGAAGAGGTTCGTTCTGGTTGGTGGTTTTCTCATAGCAGTGCCTGGTAGACATCCTCCCGCTTTTGAATTCTGCAATTTGCACAAGTTGTTGATTTCAGTCAAGGGGTTCAAATATTGGATTGCGATAGGGCCAGTTGAACCAACCTTCTCCTCATATTAATACCGTCCAATGGAGTCCATTGGAGCGACCACCTGGGAATTGGCCACAGTTAATGTCGGGACTGTATAGCTGGTTTCGATCTTTCGTTGAAGAAGATTACGCTTACAGGTACATATCAGGAAATTTGGGAATTATATCAAGCGTTGTTATGTCCAAAAACGTGAAGTAAGGTGGTTTGACTGCATCAGAACGTCCATCAGAACGTCCACTCATCTAGTAAAGCTTTCATACACGCAGCACCTGTTGCTGCGGCATACGGTTGCCAAATTTTATTTTTATGGCTGTCAGCATAGTCACACACTCCCTTGACCACCAGGCAGGGTAGACTATCCCACACTCCCACTCCCTCCATTTCAAAAGCTATAACATTATTATGCTTAGCAATGAGATCTCTATCTTGTCCAGATTTCATAACTGTATCCCCAGATGCGATAAGACCAAGATGGATAATCGGAGAAGGTGGATGTTCCTGACTAAGTGCAGCCTGAAGCCGCTTGCGTTGAACAAGTTTATCTTTGGAGCATTTCAATTCATGACACGATAGGTCAGAAACCTCGTCACAGACTGTTCCATTGCTGGAATGGGCACAGCTGATACAATCAATGGAATCATGATGGCTATGTCGATAAGTAGACTGGAAGAGCTCATCTTGCTCTATCCCTGGATATCGGGCGGTGTCATTGCGGAGGATCTGATCATTGGCTTTCAGATATTTCCTCATATTGTTATCAATTCGTTCTCGTGCCATCTTCGTTTTAATTTTCGAAAGGAAGCCCCGTACCGCCACATTAGGCCTACCAATGTCATCAGTGACAGATGTCTTGCGAAGGAATGCCCCTGGTACTCTTCTGCCAAAGTCATGCTGGATAATCCCGTCACTGACTACTACATCCCCGAGTATAATCTCTGCGTGTCCTTTCCCGTACGGAACGCCGCCACATATTCCGACCACTAGGGCAAGATTGATGTTCGGGTAGGTTGCTCGTACAGATGAAGCAGCTTGGGATGCAACGCTTTTGCCCATTCCCGGAAGGTGTACCAGAACTGCGTGGTGGTGACCTATTTGACCGAGGGTGTATGTGTTTGAGTCTCCTTGTGCGTTCTGATACATGGTAGAGTCTTGGAAAACCATGTCAAAAAAATCACCAACTGCATCGACTTCTAGCGGCAAAGCACAGAATATTGCAACCGTAAAATTTACCTTAAGAGGTGATGAAGCGGTAATCTTCGCCGAGATATCCTGTTTGAATATTGTCTCGCTTGAGGTTCTCGTGGGAAGACTTTGTATATCCAAGTCATCTCGGAACGCGTCGGATAACCTTTTCAATGGGACCACAATTTTCTCATAGAGAACATTCTGTCGGGCTCTGATTTCCTCGGCGTCTGAAGACTTCTGTATTGAGCCGCCGTTGAACAGCTCGGGATTGAGACAGTTACTAACAGCTTCTTCATACAGAGGATGCACGGTGTGTTTCAAATTACTTCTGTGGGCTGTTTCCCATGCCCATGCATAGTAATCATTGATCACGGTTTCACTCAATGGGCGAGCACTCTCATCACATTGAAAGGGCTGCTTGGCGGCGATCTCAATGAGAAGAATTCCTAGTGCAAGAATGTGTGGATATTGGTGCATGAGATCACTGGCATAATAATAGTCCATAGGCTTCACAGTCGCTCGAACCAACCTGGTCGTCAGGTACGGATGTGGCCTACCCTGACTTGTCGGGCCACATCTTTCGTTCAGCAATTGAATGGTCTCGTGGGTCCATGGTGTCATCATCCATGATGAATTGTAATATTGCCAGATGGACTTGGCAATAGTATAGGCTAGATGGGACTTACCCTTTCTGGAGATGTGGGGGATACTCTCAAGCCATTGCCCTAGTGAAAGACCTTCACAAGGAAAGATACCACGGCGTGGGCTGGGGGTAGGAGTTTCAATAAGCTTAAGCGCGTTTGACTGGACATAAAACTGAACAGGATGTCCAAGCGGATCATTAATCAATTTGCAGAATTCCCCCAGCTCAAGTCTCCTTATGCTTTGTGTCAAGAGAGGGTGATTTTGATATGGTGATGGACACCTACGGAATGAAGTAGCGAAGCCTACTTTCTTCCGCTTCTTCATTCCAGTCCGCCTGCGAACTCAACCCGAAGCTTTAGCTGTATTCGTTGGCTTCATTAGGGGCTGATCTGTCTCACCTTGGTACTTTCACAACTGACTCCTTCCACTGCACAAATGGTTGGGGATGTTCCTGAGGAGGATTGTTGGCTTTAAAGATGACTTCAAATGAAACATCTTCATCTCCGTTTTGTCTGTCGGTACTTAGTCGCACCCGCGTCCACTCCAGGTGACCCGTAAGGCAGTGACATGTAACATATGTCTGTAATTGCGTGTGGAGTGTTTCATTTAAGTATCCCGGATAACCAATATCACCGTCATCTTCGTATCTCTCCTCCATGGACAACAGATCGGTTTCGTCCACCGTTGAGCAATCCTTGATAAGGCGTAGAAGGGTGTGGTATTCCGGGCTTTGAAAGACAAAATTCACCAGGTTCGCTTGTGTCTCTTTAATCAAGTTCTCTCTTACTCTGGTCGTGGAGTCCTTATGAGCTCGAATTCTCTTCAAAGGTCGGTATCGCTCTGCCTCGGTCAACGACCTCTGCGCAGTGTGTCAGTGGAGGCTGTCCGATTGAATGTATAGGATAAAACCCACTGAACATGCTTTGTTGACGATCTCAAATATTTTCAATAGCCTTTGCCGCGGAGCTGCTGTTTCACTGATTGATGCTATCTGCTGGGATAGCAGGAACAACTCGCATCCTAGTCTACCATAGGCGTTATTCCGAGTCTGCTGTCCTATGACAATGGCCTGGTTGCTGATCCATGGCAGAACCTGACAGCCCAGATCCAGAAGATCTTCTTCATCCATGAAGCATAATGGAGATGAATTCATGCGAGATAATGTTTGGATTTCAAAAGAACGTAAAATAGGCGAGCGTGGTGTCATGTCGTGCGGGGTACCGGTGATATACATCACGTGGCGACCTGATCAAAATTCATCGAGAGAAAATCCAATAACTTAATCTGCACATTACGAGTTGTAGATGCTATGTTAAAGTCATGGCTGACCAAGTTGCCATATGCGAGGCAACACTAGCCTGCCATCAGGTATTCCGAGACTTGTGTGTTGTGCCTACCGTGGATGAATGGGCAGAGAGCTGTCTCGTTGACTTTAACTTGTGGGCTAAGGGGGCCGGCGCTTTAAGGGTTGGGAAGGCATCCCTCGATGCTCGACTATCCACAAACCTGGACGCAAAGATATTTTTGATAAACCTTCTGAGAATGCTGCAAGGGTTTTTGGAAAAGTGCGCTGAGATAGGTATTATCAAGATGTTCCCCTTATGATAAATAACAACTACTGACTTATTCACTAGGAAAAAAGGTGCAAAACAATACACCAGGATCTTCTGATCTATCCGAAGCTATAACAGATGTTAAAGATACCCTACGACAACTTAGCAGAATCACAATTTCGATTCGTAGAGCAGGTACGAATGCTCGCATTCAAAAAGCAGATGCTTCCTATGACCCTGGTCATCCACAGGTTGAAGCTTTATCTCAACACCTCCAGCTTCTATTACTAGTCAAACCTAGTGAAAGTGGCACTCTGCAGGCAAGGTCCTCTTCGCAGGGCATAGTATTATATTCATGTGCAAACAACGCTACCGCGATTGAGTCACAGACTTTGACCGCTATTCAGCACCGACTCATTGAAGCAAATTTGAAACGGAGAAATCGATTTTTGTATGCCCAGCGTCATGCGATGAAACTATCCGAGAGAGATCAGGTGCTCGCGAAATCGATAGCAGCACCCCAGAGCTTATCCTTGCCGCCAGCTCTCGACGCTTTCAAAGGGAGTACAGAAGAGCACAAGGTAGCGAGAGTATATAGTACAACTACCGCAACGGAGATACAAGATCCAATTGCGTTACCAACACATGTCAGCGCCCAACCGGCAACGACAGTCATCTCTGCAATTAGTTCTCGTGTGGCCTACCCACGGCCTCCTCCGCTCAGGGGCGATCAGAATGTATTCCAGTGTCCTTGTTGTTGTCAAACATTGCCAACATATATGAGCAAAGGAAGCCAGTGGAAGTATGTATAGATGATACCTTAAGGCTTTTATTTTTATGCTAATCATAAAACGATCTAGGAAACATCTCTCCAAAGATATTCTTCCCTATACATGTATTCTAAAGAATTGTCCTGACCCCGAAAAGCTCTATCACACCAAGAATCTCTGGTTATCCCATATGTTCACGAACCATGGAGGTACTTCTAACTGGATATGCCTTGCTTGCAATGATTCGACTACGCGTCCAGTTTTTTTTTCAGAAATCAGCGTTTATCGAACATCTAGAGGAGAGGCATTCCAGCGGTATTAAACCTCAGCAAATACCTATATTGGTCTCTGCATGGAAACGGAAAATGTCGATGTCAATCCATTCCTGCCCTCTCTGTGGCTTTGAGGATTTAGATTCAGACACTGTCTTGAATCATACTGCTGAGCATCTGCATTCATTCGCCATTAGGTCTTTGCCATGGGCACCGGGTGAGAATGAGTCCGGTAGTGACTTTGGCGATGACTATTTTGAAGAGCATCCTTATTTTAACACAGAAAAATCAGATAATACAGAAAGTGAACGATCAGGATGTTCCACGTCATCTGAGCAGAGTTATCCAGAAGACTTATATTCTCTGGGTTCTGACGGAGACGAAAACAATGGGTTGACAGAAGGGAACGTTCGAGATATATTAGAGAATCCGGATCTTGAAAAAGATATGTTGAAAATCTTCTTGAATGGCATTGAAGACAAGGGGGCCTTCGAAGAGACATCCCCACTCAGAAGCAGCAGAAACCTTGAGTCGGTTCTTTTCGGCGAGGACGAATTTGCAGAGGCCGAGGCCATGTACCGGCGAGCGTTACAGGATGGAGAGAAGCTGCTAGGACCAGAACATCCTGACACGCTCACCAGTGTCACCAAACTTGGTAACTTGCTTGGCAACCAAGGGAAATATGAAGAGGCGGAAGCAATGCATCGACGGGCGTTGGAAGGGAGTGAGAAGGTTTTTGGACGTGAGAGTCCTCACACACTTACTATTGTCACCAACCTTGGTAATGTGCTCTCTAGGCAAGGGAAATATGAAGAGGCAGAAACAATACATCGACGGGCGTTGGAAGGGAGTGAGAAGGTTCTCGGACCTAAGCATCCGGATTCTCTCATCAGTGTCACCGGCCTTGGTAATGTGCTCTATAGGCAAGGGAAATATGAAGAGGCGGAAGCAATGTATCGACGGGCGTTGGAAGGGAGTGAGAAGGTTCTCGGACCTGAGCATCGGGACACTCTCATTAGTCTCAGTAACCTTGGCAACGTGCTTGGCAACCAAGGGAGATATGAAGAGGCGGAAGCAATGCATCGACGGGCGTTGGAAGGGAGTGAGAAGCTGCTAGGACCAGAACATTTTACCACACTCACCAGTGTTAGTAACCTTGGCAATATGCTTGGCTACCAAGGGAAATATGAAGAGGCGGAAGCAATGCATCGACGGGCGTTGGAAGGGAGTGAGAAGGTTCTCGGACCTGAGCATCCGGACACTCTCATTAGTCTCAGTAACCTTGGCAACGTGCTTGGCAACCAAGGGAGATATGAAGAGGCGGAAGCAATGCATCGACGGGCATTACAGGATAGAGAGAGGCTGCTAGGACCAGAACATCTTAACACACTCACCAGTGTTAGTAACCTTGCCAACATGCTTGTCAACCAAGGGAAATATGAAGAGGCGGAAGCAATGAATCGATCGGCGTTGGAAGCGAAGGTGCTTGGACGTGAACATCCCGAAACACTGGCCAGTATCGATATTCTTTAGACTTTCTGGATCAACACGCGAAACGTGAAGAGGCTTCCGAAGCTCAGACTCGTATCTCTAGCATTTGGTATGAATGCAGCATACGTGAAGATAAAATAAACATGCTTGATTAATGCCCCTGCAGTACTGTATACCCATTAAAGTTTGATGCGGTCACAAAGTACTTATACTAGATTTATGTTTCCTTCAAGCTGGCCATCTTCGTGATTACCGCCTGTGTTTTCTCTTCCCTGGCCGCATCTGATCTGTTTTGGCCCTTCATCCCCTGTTCTCCGCCCCCCTTTATCTCCTTCACCTCCTTTTACTTTTATTCTCTTTTTATTTTATTTTGTCTTGTAGGTTGGATTCATCTCTTCTGAATGAATCTCCTGCTTGCAGACAGGGTTGTGGGGTGGCAGTTCCGTTTAGTGGCGTTAGTAATTTTCATACATTAAGTTATACTATGACTGTTCCCATTCCGTGTATTTCCCTTGTCAGTACTTTTGTTTATGTATCTTTCTGCTGCCTTGGAAGAATTCCTCCAAACCTGGTATATTATCAGCTAAGTGTAATTTGCCACTTTAACCATTCGTATTCTTTGTTTGGAAAGGGGTATCGAATAAGATCGAATAGTTATTGCTTTTACTACTCTTGGGCAAATGTAAGTATGTGAGTCGGGAGTGACGGCGCTTGAATGTGCAGGTACCTGGTGGACGTTTCATCACGCAGGGCATTTTATGTCACCGAGGTGGGGGTTACTCTACAGTTGAAAAATAGGAATTCATCATCTTCGATGTGCGAGTTCGATTGGTTTATTCTTTGATGCCTGATACGAACTACCAAGCTCGATGAATGGGCTTCGTTTAACCCTCCGACGTGCTGTACACTGAGATAAAGAAAAAGGTATTTAGTACTTGTGCCTCTTCAGTAGTCCCTCGTACAATCTCAGGGACCATTCGGTCCAACTTGATCCATTATGAGAAAGTAAGCCTCGACTTCATCAACTTTCGCAACTTGCTGCACTAACCTTGTATGCCTCTGAATGATCCTCTGCACTAAACACGTTTTCTGTAGCTGTCTCAAAGCTAGCAAAAAATCTCTCGGTGAATGCCAAATTGGCGTTCACCGTGGGCCTTCCATCTAGTTGAAGGCGTCCTTTCGTAGAAAGCGTGTATCGTCGAATGAATTTCTTTGCTAAGGTAATATTGGGAGCTGAAGATCCCCTCTCTAGCTTATAGCCAATTGGAACAGCCCTATAGTGAACAAGAAACCTGAGGAGTCAATAAAAATGGAAGTTTCAAAAAGAATATCGCGGCTACTCACACAATCCAAAGCTCAATATGCCTCTGATAAAGGGCTTTCACCTTACTAGCATGCTTATGCCTATTATGAATAGAACCCTCAGCGGAGTTCCTGGTGAGACTTAGTAAATTTTTGTTGCGGGTTTTGTCCTTCACTTGGTAAATCGAAGGTCTGAAGATGCATTCTTTATTTATCTCAAGACTGGAAATGGACGCAGGGTGAGGTTGAGGACTCAGGGTAATAAAAGTAAAAGAACTAGCCGGATTGTTGTAATTATGATTTCCCCGCGGAATTTCTGATAATCTACCATCCATGGGGAACCGGCCAGTACTTATAGCTCATCCTTGAAACTAGCAGCCGACGGAATCTTCCTATAGTAGCTAATATCAAGGCAAAAGGGGGCGTTAAACATTCCCAGGAACACCAGGCCCGACGCTCACACACAAACCCAGCCCGAACCACATTCAGTTCGCCCTCGGAGCAATACGCACGATGGGAAAATGTGCAGCCAATTTCCAACCCTTCCTCCACTAGACGCTTTATAGTGGTTATGATCATTCCTAGGATCAACAATGCCCACTTTCTAGAACTAACTAGAACTCCTGTGGGCAAAAAAATCTGCGCTATAAGAAATTTCGGAAGACGCTGGTACTGACCGATATGCTTTTGTTGGGTCTCGGATAAAGAACATTCAGATGGGATAATGAAATTAATAGTTCACGAGGACGTGGTGCCCTTATAGCTAAAATTTGAATTTGGGACCTCCCCGTACATGAGAAGTCAAATGATTTTGACCCAGATCATCCTGAATTGGATGACATTCTCCGCCTTCTTTGCCCCTGATAAGGAAATGACGCACTTGTTTGGTGACAGGGGATCCTCCAGAAAATGAGTGCAGCCCAATTATCGTCAACGCACTACCCATCACAGAATAGATGGAACTGTAGGGCCTTTCTCTTTCGGGTATGATCTAGGTTGAGTTGGACAAATGAGGGGTACTCCCGGAGCGCTCACTGAGCACGCACTGAGCATGCCTGAGTAGTCCCGGAGCACTCATTAACGTAATTCCCGCCCGAGTGAAACACCCGCCCGAGTGAAACACCTACCCCCATTAGAAAAATTCAAAATCGATTATCTCAACCAACACCTATTAATTCGGCTAAATATAGCGATTTTTATTAGGGGTGCACACGATAAAACGATATAACGATATCGTACCGTCGCTGGCGGTACGATATCGTTCCGCAGAAAAAAAAATTCGACGGTACGATATCGTTATCGTACCGTCAATTCAATTTTTTTACGATATTTATCGTTTATCGTACCATCAATATTGTTGTCTTGACGGTACGATACGATAAAGACCCGACGGTACGATATTATCGTTGCGATAATGCCAAGCGTAGTCATCTGACCTTAGTCATCGATGTTGACCAATAGGAGGTCTCTATTTGCGGCATGACACACCTCCGCGCTTAATATATATATATGCACCATGTTAATACTATTCATCTGATCTATATTCATGCCAGCAATAGATACAGTAGCGTACTATTGCAAAACAACTTTCCTCTGCTTGCCATACAAATTAGTATGGTAATTGAGGAAATCTTAATCAAAAAGAGTATTATTCTTCATGCTATAGGCTATTATATCTATATACTATTGGATTTGTGGCAATTTATTGCTACATGAAGCGGCCCGATATGACGCTATCACAAAATAATAGGATCTCGGCCGGAATAACTAATATTCCGGTCGTGCTAAGCCTAATTGGGCGAGAGCCTGCACGTCCGCTATGCCCGCCGAGACGGCCGAGTCGCTCGGACTTGCACGCCGGCCGCGAGCACCAATATAATCATCAAATTCAGCACCACTACGACGCGTTGTATCGCTCAAAAATGTAATAAAAGATAGAGTAGCCTCTATTTCCTATCTAGACCTAGTTCCGGTAGTCTCTAGCGTCGCGTGTTGATAATAGTTGCGTGTTGACTACGGTCATGTTGCGGAGGTTCCAAGATCAGCCACCTCAGACCCCAACACCACCACGGTCCACAATGCACTGAATCGCTCAAAAATACAATAAAAACCAAACAGCCTCTATTTCCTATCTAGGACTAGCTTCTATATACTACATAACATCGTCCATCAACATTAATATTCGCATCGTATCCGCACGCAACGACGTTCGTCGAACCTTTATAAGATCACGACCAGCACTAAATAGACGTTCAACAGATACCTCAGATGCAGAAATTGCAAGATAATCCCGTGCAGCTGCAGCCATCTGAGGCATACTATCACGACGATCCCGCCACCATTTAGCTAACCACTCTCGATCCCCAGATGGTTTAATATCAACTCGCGGTGTTGTAAAATACTCATCGATATCAGATCCAGCTGCCTTTCTGGCAATAGGTGCTAATCGCCCTAGCATTCTGACCTCAGGATCATCATGGATATCCAATATAGGATCAACAGAGACTATAAAGTCTTCATTAACTGACTCATGATGATACTTCTGATGCATATTCTCACGAATTGAATCAACAATCATTTGTCCAGCCCCATCACCAGATAGCTCACGAAGCAGAAGATCTCCCTTTATCCTCGGATCCAGAATTAATGCAGTATAATAAGCATCAGTCTCATCCATAAAGGCATAATACTTCTGATACTTACAAAACCACGATATATTGCAACTGCAATATCGTCATCTATATCTGCAAATAATCCTTGCTTCTCAGCTCCCTGGTTAAGCAAGTCATGAAGCTCGTAGTAAATAGGGATAGCCATGCTCATCTGAGGATGCTTTTGAGACACAAATAGCGTCAAATTATAGAATCGCTTGAGGACTTGATGAACCTGCGAGAGACGATACCAATCCTGCCTGGTGAACTGAGGAAGCTCAGTCTGTAATTTAAGATACCGATTGATTTGCGGTTTCGCTCCTAGGGCAGTGTCCAGCATCAAAAAAGTTGAATTCCAGCGTGTATCAACATCACATGGAATATATCGGTCAGAAAGCTTTATAAGAGCACACACACTTTTCCATGAAGCTCGTCGTTGGTTACTTCGGCTGATCTATATTGTAAGGATTCGAATACGTGATAGAGCAGTCTCAGATGGAAGATCATTATCATTTAAGTGATTGCAGATCTCCGAAGCTTCATGGACAGTACCAGATCTCAATGCACGAAGGATATCTTTCACAATAAGATTCAGAATATGAGCAAGACAGCGGATATAACTATCAAGACCGAGGAACTGAGGCTCTGGGCACTGGGCCTTTAGAAGATCATGAAGGATTAAAACCATCGATTCATTATTACTTGCATTATCGCCAGTAATTGTGAGTAGCTTTTCCTCAAGATTAAGCTCTTGTAGCATGTCAAATACTGTATATGCAATGTTTTCACCACTATGAGTCTCTCGTAACTCCGTAAATTCAAGTACCCTTTCCTTATAAAGGAAGTCTGGTGTAAACCAGTGCCCGATAATGCCGATAATAGAGATATTGTTTGAGCTTATCTATATATCTAGAGAAAGCGCAGTAGACTTGCATGTTGAGGCAAGTTCTATCTTCAATTGCGTACGTTGATGCTGAAACTCTGCCTCAAGTCTTCGTTTTAATGTAGTTCGTGAACACAAAGCTGTATCAAGCTCCGGATGTGGTAGATCCATGAATATTTGGCGGAATGAGGGTGACTCAATAGTGGTAAAGGCCATCTTTTCCTTGACAACCTATTGTAGAATATTCTCCTGGAACTGAGCTACCACTGATAGCTTTGGCTTCATATTAAAGGAATCGACGATCGAAGGTTGTTTAATTAAATCAGAAGATGAGGAAGATGGCTCAGAGAGAGTATGTTGGGTATATAGATGAAGCTCCATGTTCTTAGACGATCCTGATCTAATAGAGTCAGATGTTTCCCAATTGCACTTCTTGCATTGGATAAGACGGTCTGTATCCATTGGCTTCTTGGCACGAGTGGTCCAGGGACGCTTAATTGATATAATATCAAAATGGCCCCATAACCATTGAGTTGATAGAGCAGTTTTGCGAGGTCGTTTCCGAGTTGAGGGTTGGGAGACTATACTCAGGCATGACGATGTATCAGGGTCTGGTAGAATAGTCTGTAAGGCTGATTCTGATGGGAGGATTGAATCAGGAGTTGTCTGAATAGTATCAAGTGTATCAGAAAGGAGAGTAGTCTGAGTGGGATAATCAGGATATTGGTCTTCAATTGGGACGTTGTCTTCGTATCCATAATTCAAAGCTAGATAATCACGCTGCGTATTTGTACGCTGAGGTCGTGATGAAGCCATATTGAATAGAATGACAGCATGGGTGGTAAAAATTCAAAAGTGTGGTAAAGGCTTCATATTGCAGAGTCACGTTGAAAATGTGGGGTCTCTCGGGTATAGGGCATAGGGTATAGGGACTAAGATGGTACAGAAGCTAGTCCCGGATAGGAAATAGAGGCTGTTTGGTTTTTATTGTATTTTTGAGCGATTCAGTACATTGTGGACCGTGGTGGTGTTGGGGTCTGAGGTGGCTGATCTTAGAACCTCCGCAACATGACCGCACTCAACACACGACGCTAGAGACCACCAGAGCTAGGCCTAGATAGGAAATAGAGGCTACTCTATCTTTCATTGCATTTTTGAGCGATACAGCGCGTCGTGGTGGTGCTGAATTTGATGATTATATTGGTGCTCGCAGCCGGCGTGCAAGCCTAAGCGACTCGGCCGTGCCCTTGATTAGTAATACTCTATATTAGGTAATACTCGACGATATCGTTTTACCGTCCAATATCGTCAATATCGTACCGTTGGCCTCAATTTTTTGGACGATAATTATCGTTATCGTACCGTAGGGTGCTTAGATGGACGGTACGATATACGATAATATCGTCAAATTTTCGACGGTACGATAACGATAACGATATGCCTAAAATCCGACGATATCGTACCGTGTGCACCCCTAATTTTTATATGTATTAATCTTGTGCCCAATCTCCCTGTACCTACTATACCTAGGCAGAGCCCTAGTACGTGGTGGATCTGCCTGAGCAGGCAATTCGCCCTGCTTGTGCGATACTACCCTATTACCTTCTACTAGCTGGTTTAGCTGTTCAACTAGCTGTAAGCCCTCTTCGACGGTTAGACCCTCTTCACAGGGTATCTACCTAGTTGACCGATTACGCTTCTTGATAATTTTCTCGTTCACTATACGTAAATTCGCATTATCCTGCGCTAGCAACATAGCGTTGTAAAGCGATAGTATAGTGCCCTTGATAATTTAATCTAGTATGCTTTTGATTAGGCTTGGAGGGCTACTTGACCGATAGTGTAGTAGATCCTTAAGCATAGATACTTATTTTTGTAGCTGAACAACAGTTCTAGGCGTTTTTAGTATAAATTGGCTAGATCTGCTGCTTAGCCGGCTGCTTAGTGGTATAGGCGTTCGTAGAGAGATATTAAGCTTTAAAAGTACTCTTTCTGTATCGACTGGTACTAGGCCACTAGCTATAAAGCTATTCTGAATAATAGCTGGCTTTTAGAAGGCCTCTAGCCGTGCGTATTGATAGTTCTCTAAGAAATCATACTTATCGATATGGTTATATCCCCTATGCGTAAGATTGCTAACGAAACGACTATACGCTCTCTTAACTACTATAAAGCAGCCAACATCTAGTAGCTATAGTAGATGTGATGAATATGAAGGTATACAAAGAGATATAATATTGTTTTCTTTATAGATTTGGTCGAATTAGGGCGTAAGGTAGCTACTATGACCGTTAAGAATCAGTAGGCAAAACTGGCCGCGTACGCGCAAATTTGTTGATAGGATAAAAAGCTTTTGTAGCCAACGTAGGCCAATCTTATCAGTGGTCCAGCCGTTATTAGAGACCTCGATTCACCAATCTTTCAGAAGATTATCGGTAAACCATCCTGCAATAGCTACTTTGCCCTTAAAGATCACACATAGCAGTAGCGAATAGCCATCTGCGTATATTGTTTCGATAGCAGTAACCTATTCACGATTTCCCGGTTGTAATAGACGTCTCCGACTGTAGTATTCTGCCCGCGTTACTACCTTCTGTAAGGATATAAGGCCTATTACAAAGCCTGTCTCATCAAAGTTATAGATATCCTCCGGTTGAATACCGTTCTCATCAATAACGCATTATACGGTAGAAAACCACTCTCGTAGTAATTTTGGGTCTTCGTTTAGTGTACACTGGTAGTCGTATCGTACTGAGTAGCGTATACGTAGCTCATCACGACGTTGAATAAATTTAGATAGCCAATTCTTGCCAACAGTAGGCGGAGGTTGGCTACCGCACGCAGCCAGTAGGATATTAGCCATTTCTCCTACAGTAGCCGGCCTAGGCGCTGCTCCACACGCATCCATAGAGAGAATCCACTCAGTAAGCAAATCCTCCTCTAATTGGGTCAATTTATGGCCGTTTGGGCGTATATCGACGCATGAGGGTAGGCTATTCGCCCGTCGAGACAAGGTAATATAAGATACACCAAATTGCTTCGCAGCTGCGCGAATTGATTTGAATTAACCCTTTTGAATAGCTTGCAAGGCTAATAGAACCCTGCCCTCTTTCTCGGTCGCTTTTTGCCAGGATTCAGTGCGTTTTGGTGGCATGGTAGATGGTTGAAGCATGTAAGTTGGTCAGAACGCGCGATTTCTGGTGGGGTGTTTCACTCGGGCGGGTGTTTCACTCGGGCGGGTGTTTCACTCGGGCGGGAATTACGTTAAGCGTGCCTTGGATTAGTCATGTATCACGTTGACCGTTTGAGCGTGGTCAGTGAGTCTTAAACTGTGCTGACTTTTACTCAGTGAGCCTGAACGTGAGCGCCCTCATAAAAGCGGCGGCAGCCCAGTTAGGAAGGCCCCACCCGGCAGACATTATCTTGTCTACATAGGCGCATATGACTAGTATATTCGGGCGTTGTGCTACATATTTCGGGCTTCCTTGCCGTTCCCGGCCGGACTAGTTCAATACAAGAAGTTGAAAACTGATATTTCAGTTCGAGAATATTTTCGCAGGGACCGGTGGAACCTTGGAATCTTTCTAAGTTTCCAGGGTTCCTTTCTAGTTCGAGTATCAAGCTCGAGTATCCATGGATGGTGTGAGTTACTTCCATTTCCAGCTTCTATGGGCAATACCCACTGGCACAACTTCCAAGGAACTTGGAAGTTGTATTCAAATACACAAAGGTTGTGTCCGAGAATAATCCTAAATATTTCCCAAGTATCCCATTTAGCACTCTATAGTCTCTACTAAGCAATCATGGCTATTTACAAGGATCAGAGTTACACACCGCTCTCACCGTTGGCCGTTCTCACTTATCGCCCTCGGACTTTGTTATCAACTTCACTTCCCCACTTCACTCCGTCCACTCTGCAGAAACCAACAACACTTCCTAACAACTACAGCGCCAACAATTCAAACAAAAGCACAAAATGCCACCCCTTCCCAACGCAGTCACAGCTTCCGAGCTTCAAACTCTCTCATCACGCGCTATCTCTGCCAAAGAAGCCGCCTACTGTACTCCCCTCCTCCCCAGCTACGCTTATCCCCGCGTGCGGGGGAGATCGAGCTTTCCTCCGCCTCTAGCTGAGCTGAGCTGACCAGCTAACTCATGCTCAATAGGCCCATACTCCAAGTTCCGTGTCGGGGCATGTATCATCACTGATGCGGGCGAGTACATCGTCGGTGCGAACGTTGAGAATGTCGCGTATCCGGTTGGAACGTGTGCGGAGCGAGTTGCTTTTGCCACTGCTATAGTATGTTCACCCGTTCTATTTTCACTTCATTTCACTTCGGTTTTCTTTTGTTTGGGTGCTGTTGTGTAAAGCAGATATATGCACCTCTGTGCTGAAGCTGCATCGAATCCGAGCTAACATACCAATGTAATTATCGCAGGTCGCCGGACACAAGGATTTCAAGGCTATTGCTGTCGCGACGGATATCAAGCCTGGTGCATCGCCTTGTGGGATGTGTCGGCAGTAGTAAGTATTCCATTTCATGGCATTATATTTAATCCCAGTGGTCACTAATTGTGTTATTCCAGTATGCGCGAGTTCACAACGCCCTCGTTCCCGGTTTATATGTATGATGGCGAGGGGAACTACACTGTTAAGACTATGGGCGAGGTAAACCCCCACCTCTCTAAAAACTCGCGATAGTGGCGATGCTAGCGATACTGATATGTATGCCAATTAGTTACTACCTGATTCGTTCGGGCCAGCGGATCTGCCAAAGTAAATCATACCTAGTTTACTGGGTGATTCCGCTTCGATATAATACTAGCATCAGGTGCAGTCGGCCCAAGTTTAAGGTCTTGACAACATGACGATATTATGTCGAACACTTGATAGTCAGGGGAGTTATGAATACACATACTTCTCACGTTCGGAGACTATTACTTCAATTTTCGGCATTCATGCTATTCATATCGTTTGCATTACTAGTATTTTTCACCTCGTCTACTATATCTAACCTAGTCGCATATGACGCGGAGCTGATCACACAAGATGCAAATTGACCGATGTCCATAAAAGGACGTCTATTGCTATCAAGAACCCTTGCCCCAACTCACTCGTGCGCTAAATTGGGTATCGCCGGGCTTGGGCCGATGTAGACCCTGATGAAGTCTAGTAGCAAACGTGGTCGAGGCAGCAAGAAGCTGTATTCAACCAGCAGAAGGTTTGGGCCAGGTTGTGTGTCTTTTAGCATCCACTGGCATGGGTAACAAAATAAGGAGTATATCAATCATCTATTGACGTTTGAAATGGTCTTTCAGATTGACAAGAATTCATTCTAGCTATAGCCAAAACCATAACTAAAACCATAGAAAAGCGACTAGGTTCAGCTCTATATCTGCCGATGTATTTGCCCGCATATGCGTACATAGAAGAAGAAAGAAAAGGATCAGACCAAGGGAGAAAAAAGAAGAAGAAAAAGAAAAAGAAAAAGAAATAATAATCCGCATCGCTCATAATGACACATCAATCCAATAAATTCCATCACATTCACAAGATAATATCACATCACCAAATCTTCCCGAAACACAACACACAAGAAAGATAAAGCAGAGATACATAGGAGGGACGGGAAGGGAGGGACTAAACTACGCCTCCTCGTCCTCCTCAAAGTCCTCCGCCCCGAGCAACTCATCCTCATCATCAACAACATGAGAATAATCCCCGCGCCTCGCAGCAAAAGAACCCCTCGTCGCATACGGACGTTGATACCCACCCCTAGAACCAGAACCAGAACCACGCTTAAACAACCCAGCCCCACTCCTCCAAATACTAGAAAGAAGTAACGGCAAAGCCTGAGCAACAGCAACAACAGCCGCAATCACCGCGACGGGGATAGCAAGAGCAACTTCACGTGCACCACCACCAGAACCAGAACCAGAACCGAAGCCCAAGCCACCCAGGCCGGAGGACTCGCCTAGTCGGATCTGACCGAACTTTGCATCCCAGCGCGTATAAACAAAGTAGCCGAAGGCTGTGGCTGCGGCTATGGGAATGACGATAGCGAAGAAGAGACCCGCACCACTGATGCCGTGTTTGCGGTCGAATTCTTCTTCTTTGTCCGGGCAGGCGTGCATTGTTCCTCTGTCCATTTCGCCGCGGTCTCCGCCTTGACAGGTTGTTTGTGGTAGGCGGCGGTAACCGGTTGGTTCGTAGTATTCTATTAATTCAGGGTCGGAGGCGCAGGCGAGGCTGTGGTCTGGTTTAGGTAGACCGGGGACTAAACCGCAGCTACCGTCTGATTGGATTTCGTAGTTGTAGTCACTGTTTTCGTTAGCGTGTGTCCATAGGTATGACTCGTTATTTTGTGGTTGGGTTGGCTGGGGGTGGGCTTACCATTCAAAGTCTGCGCGGGTGCAGGTACAGTTATTCGCGATGATATGCGAGTGCGGCTCACGCCAATTAACCCAGCACTCAGCATCAATCTTCTTGATATGGTACTGCTCGACATGACCGTAAAGACAATTATCATCTTGCGACGGGTGTTTCGGCGTCCAGAGGTCGAAATCCTTGCTCGCTTCGTCCGAGTCGATATCCGCACATGTCCGGCTCCACAACCCGCTGAAATCGAGGTTGATGGTGGCCATCTTGGCTGAGGAGGAGGACTTATCTTTACCCCAGAGCAGGAAATTCTTCGATGTATCCGAGGGCACGGTGGAAATGTCAGCGATGGAGATCTCCGTATCCGAGAATTGGAACTCTGTCCAGGTACTACCGCGGTCCAGACTGTAGTGAATGACCTTGGTAGGCTCGAGTTCGCGAACAAGGACAACGATCGAGCCAGCGTCGCCAAATTCCCACATATAACGACCCTTCATGACGTTTCTCCAAGAAATTCCACCGTCCCTGCTGAGGAAGGTATCCGCCTCGTCGCTACCGGAGAGATATTCGCCAACGTTACCAACGCCGAGAAGGAGGCCGATAGCAGAGCCTGAGTAAAATGTATCTCGCCAGTCGCGACGCTCAGTATAGCCATGGATATGCAGGGCACAGTCTTCCGTGCCATGACCCTGTCCAGCTGAGCAGTCATATTTCGTATTGTCGAGATCTTGAACCGGAGGCGAGAGGAACGCCCACTGTCCACCGTCATTGTGAGTAGCGACAGTGCGTAACTTCTTCGATTCGGATTTGCTCTTCACCTCGTCCCGATTCACAACGATGTTGGCAATCGCAACACCTTCCAGATTGGAAATGCGTTCATAATCGATGTATCCATAGTCATTCTCACTCAAACCCTCAAGACTGGAAACGAAATAAGTACCGTTGCTATTACTCTTGACCAGCGAGCCAAACTTATGCCCAGACTCGCCATTCGCCTCAACATTCATGAAAAGCGCATGCTTAGATCCCGGCACGGCAGTGTACTGCTTAACATCTCCGAAAGCAAGGTTATGCGGGAAATGGGCCTGCGCAAACACCTTTCCATCCATACTGGTGCTGACATTCAAAAACTCATGCTGTTCAGTCGGATACGTCGCGACAACGAAGAAGCCGTCCATCGTGACGAATCGGGCAATGTTGTCAAAGATAACATCCCTCGGCGCGAGCCAGTCGCGGTCCGGATCGCCGCCGTTGGTAACGAGTTGTCGGTCGTTCTTGACTAGCTCGTTCTGGTACTTTTCGCAAATGATAAGATGTTCCGTGCCATCGACGTTGGGCTGGTATCCGAATACGCACTGTCCAACCCCACTGACCAATTGCTTCCAATTGTTGCCGGAGTTGGTGCTGATGTAGGCATCCAAGGCGCAGGAGGTACCATCGCTTCCGTCACAGTCCTCGGATCCCATCCAAATCACCCAGTCCATGTGCTTCTCATGGAAAGCCAGTGGACCGATGTACTTGTCGATGTACTTGGTTGGTCTATCACCACCCGAATGGAACTTTTCCCCGCGATTGGTGGTATACCAGACTTTCTTCTTGTCGGTTAAGAAATACGCGCCGTCGGTGTAGTGGTGATGCGGGATCATGTCGGTGATACTCTCCCCCTTCAACTGGGACGGTTGCTCCCAATTTTTGCCATGGTCGTGGGTAATCCAGAGTTGGCCATTGCCGGCAAGTTGGAAGATCGTCTCGTCGTCTCCATTGCTGCTAGACTGTCGTTCAAGGTAGAAGTATGTCGGCTTGACTGAGTTGAACAGCTGCGGCTTGCCAACACGAATCTTGCCATCGGCGACGGGAGCACCGGTAGAATTTCCACAGGGCTGTTCCACCTCTTTGTCGAGACTTTCGCCACCTTCACGGATACAGGAGTCACCGGGAATCATTCGCCAGCCCGACGGACCGACGAACGTATCGTCTGGCTTCTTGCACGTATCGGCAGGGGTGTGCAGAGAGACGGCAGGGAGACAGCGCTTGCCATCATCGCTGCGCTTGAAGTTATAATCGCATTCAAAGTCCTCGGCTGTGCATTTGCAGTTCTCGGCCTTGGGAGCGTCAATGGTAAACTCGTCCTTGATAAAGCATTCTGCATCGGATTTGCGACGGCGGAAGACCTGCTTGTGACCCATCAGACAGTCCGGCTCGCCCTTCTCATCCAAACGAGCAACCCAGTCCTCGAAATCATCCTTGTCACACTTGCGCTCGTGAAGCTCGTCAAAGTCGAGCTGGTAAATGTGGAACTTGGGTTCTTTCGTCATTCCAACAAGCACGAACTTCAAGCTGGTTGAGTCCGGCGTGGTCGTGATGAAGAGGGGCTTAATGTCGTGCTTCAGCTTGAGCGTCTCCCACTCTTTGCCATGGTTGATCGAGTACCGCACTTCGTCAGTAGCATCACCGTCATCTTTAACAGCCACGATAACGCCGCCGTGGTCGCCAAATTCGAATCGGTGAGGTCCTTTGAGTGCCTGTCGCCAAGTCACGCCTGCATCATCGGAAACATAGAGGTTGCCCTTTGAGTATTTCTCCAGATAATCGCCAGTATTACCCACGCCCATGACCAGTCCTGGCGCCGGGCTCGAGAACATCCGCCCAAGGGCAGCCAATTCATGCAGTTCCTCATACGAGGTCAGCGAATGGATATGCAACGGATCCCCATCAGCCTTGAGCGAACTAAACGTCCTCCCATCATCGAAACTGATCTTAGTAGTGAGCTTCTTCTTCTCACTAGCATCCTCCTCAACATCTTTCCAATTCTCAACCGTATTCACCATAACAATGCCCTGGATATCCGCCAATTTCTCAAAATCGACATTCCCCCTAACATTGCGATTCGTATGCTCGATATTCGGATTGAAATAAGTCCCATTCGAGTTCGACGTGAAGAACACACCAACAGGATTCTCATTCAAAACAGTCTGAACATCAACCTGGATACTGTAATTCGTACTTTCCAGGATGGTATACCCATCCTGTTCCAGCCGATGTCCTCCAAATTCCGCCCGATGCCACTCCTTCGAATCATCACTGATATAAAGCGTCTGCTCAAGCGTGCCCCTTGACTGAAGCGCAACAACAATATACTTCTTAACAGCAACCATTCGAATCTCAACGCCAGGCACCGGGCGCCCACGATCAAGATTAATCTCAACCCCACCATCCTTGAAGAAGTCATCCGACGCGATCAAACGCCTGCGGAAAAAGGCCTCTAATCCTCCGTCCTTCTGACCGGTCACGACACACATAACCCGGTCAGCGAGTTTCTTCATCAAGGACTCAGAATCCAAATCCCGACCGAACTCAGGCGTGCCAGCCGCCCAGGTACAATCGAAAGTATCCTCATCCTTAGCCAATTTCTTCACCGTCTTGAAATCATCAAGTGTGTAATACGCCGTCGGAAGGCACCCATGAACCGAACAATCGCGTCCCATAAAGATAACCCTCTTGGCATCGGAACCATGAAACCTCAACGGCGAAAACTTTCTCGAATCATTAGGCGTAGTATCGACTTCGAATGTCTCCCAAGATTTCCCCCGATCAGTGGTAATCCAGCCCTTGCCACTCTCGCCAAGGGCATAAGCGCGATGATCATCGAATGGGTGCGCTTGCAGCATGACGACAGCGCCTTCCATGGCATCGCGGGGTCCTTTGATGATGTCCCATTCTTTACCGCCGTCTGTGGAGATATATGCATTTCTGGCGACGACGTCTTCGAAGAGGATGTTGTTTGAGCCGGGGAAGTAGAAGAGGTTATTTGGTTGGCGGTCGAATTCGGTGGAGTGGGCTTTTAGTTTGTCTTTTCCTCCTTTGGCGATTGTTGGTGGGGTTAGGAGTGCCAGGAGCCCGATTACGAGCAGCAACCACCGTTGGATCATGATCGGGGATACGTCGGCATCGGAGGGTGGAGGAGGTGGAGTGGGAGCCTAGCTGGAGATGGCGGAGATGGATGGAGATGGAGATAAGAGAATGGTATTGGAGAATGGAGGAGGCTAAGTGGCACCAGCAATCACAATCGACAGTGGAGTACAGATAGAAGAGAGTAGAGGGAGTGAAATGAAATGAGATGAGATGGGGTGGGATAAGGAAGTGTGAAGGTGAAGTTGGAGCTGGAAGGGCCGAGGCCACGCAGCTCCGTGTCACGTGAATGGTGGACCGGAAGTGGAAGTTGAACCATGGAACAATTAAAGATCAGCGAAGTATGGAAATGGATAAAAGTAAACAAGGGAGTTTATTATTATATATACTAGTTATTCTAGCTTGAAAGCACCAGAATACTAGCGCTGGTGTTGCAATCTAGGTCCAGGTCCAGGTACAGTTGGTGCTGAAGTATGCCGGGTGATCGACATGCAGATGCAACTCAGGGCAGGGACAACTAGTAGTCATAAATACTGCTCTAGTATACCTAGGTAGATACAGATAGAGATAGTTAGTATGAGTACTATTAATACTCTGTTTATAGATATATTAATGCAAGCACTTGGCTTCAATGGATTATCAAAGATAGTAATAGAACCAAGCGGCTTAGCAGCAGATATATACAACGCTGCACTATATACAAAGCCAGCCCGCCGTCTCAAAGCACAAGGGGGAATAAGAATAAAGAAGCACGAAGCATGAAGCGAAGCTTCAAAGAAAGAATAAAAGAAGTAAAAATGAAAGTGAAAGTGTCCCACTGCCACTGCCGCTGCTGCTTCCTCACACCCTCCGCCGTAACTTCCTCCACATCTTCTTCACAACACCCTGCTCCTCATCCAAATCATCCCAAATCTGCTGCGTGCGATCAGCCGGCGGAAGCTCCGCCAGACGCAAAGGATCATCAGGCGTGGCAGACGGGGTCGGAGATTCCTCACGCAGGTCCGGGCGGGTGAGAGTCATTTTCAGAGTCATCTCGCGATTACCCGGGAGGCGGTGAGGAGTCTTGCTGGTTGATTTGGGGAGGATGGATTGACGGCGTTGGAGGAGGGATGGGGTATGCGTATGTGTATCGACGGAAGGGCGGGGAGTATCTCGCATTGAGAGGCGGGGGAAACTTTGCATCTGAGGCTGCGTTGGTGCAACGGCGGCGGGTGCTGAGGCTGATGTAGATCCCGCCGCGGAGTTAGATGTAGGTGCGTACCCTCCGTGTCCGGAACCCGGCGCAGAAGCGGAGATTGGCATGGGGGGGTTCTTCGATTGAGTCGCCCGGGCTACCGACGACGTTTCCGTCGTCGTCTTCGAAGAAGGTTCCCGCGCAGCTGCGAGATGGTCGGGGGGATGTTGGTTCTGGGGAGATATTCTCCTTGTTTTGCGGGTTGTGGATTTGGTCTAGAGAGGGGAATCCGAATTCGATTGCCTCGTCGAATTTCTGCGGTGAGGCGAGGTAGACTCGGAGTTTGAGTCGGGCGTCGGGATCATGGTAGTACTGGGCTGATGGGTCGATGCTGGAAGTGGACGATTTGGCAGCGTGGCTGCTTTGCAGACGGCGGGATGGAGGCCGGGATATCGTTGAGCGGCGATTGGAGCGCGGGGTGATTGGGGTGATTGGGGAGAGAGGGGAGAGAGGCGGGAGTGGTGATAAAGGTTGGATGGTATGGCTAGATGGGAAAGCTCGGATTGGCATGGACGGTGAAGCTCGGTGCTTCATGGTGTTTGTGGAAAAGGAGAGCGAGCGTCGAAAGGAGGGAAGTCGAGGCATTTTGGCCTTGCCTGTCGCGGCATTGGCAACGTGCGAGTGGTACTCGTCCAGCGAGAGGTCAAGATCGCCATCTTCATCCAGCCAGCGAAAGCTGTCATAGATGGATTGGTCCATGGTGGAATTGGAATCCCAATCGGAGTCGTCCGAGTCGGAATCGTAGAAGACAGTAGAAGGTTGGGCCACGGGCAGCGTGGATTCTGAGGGGAGGGTATCGCTGGAGGAGCGCCGGTGGGAGTGGGAGGAACGATTGCCTCGATAAAAAGCCTCGTCCGCGGCGTCACAAATGAGGCTTTCTCGATATGTGCGACAAAAGCGACGGCGTTCCTCGGGGGAGAAAAGCTTTTGTTGGAGTTTAGCGGGGAGAGAATGAAAGCATTGCGAGTCCACTTGAGTGGCCAAAGCAACCAATTGCAAGGAGCCGGGCTTTCGTAGTTTTTTAGGGGAACGAGAATGCGAGCGATTATGGGGTTGATGGGATTGATGGGAATGATGATGACGACGATGATGGAATCTCGAGCCCGAGGACCTCTTCAAGGAGATTGAAGGGGAAGGGCGAGGGCGAGGGTGAGTCGAGGTCAAAGTCGAGGGGCTCCGCCGTGGACGGATGGGCCGAGCCCGGGGGGAACTGGCGGCATTGACAGGATGGTTTGGCGTGGAGCAGGGATCGCTCTGATCTAACCGAAAGCGCAAACGCTCGACATTCGAGAAGAACTGGTCGAGTCAGCGACGAACACTTGTGGAGAGAAAGTGGGGGCGATAAGTGACGATCCAATGTTGAGCCAGCGGAGAACCAGCGGAGCGCACTATCGAGTGCCCCTGAGCCAGCTCAATAATGGTTCAAACTAGTGATCCACTGGGGGGGGCGTGGCACACCGGCCAGACAGGCAAATCCGTTCACTCATGAAGAGTGGCATGGGATGGAATGGAATGGAATGAGTGGGGGATGTTGATGTGAGGAGTGCAGTGAAGTGAGGTTGAGGAAGGAAGTCACCTGGTCAGGAAATCAGGAGACAAGGGAAGCCCTACTTTGCGACGAACAGCCGGAGGAAGAGACTCAAAGTCTTGCGAATTCATTGTAGAGTACTCCGTAAATGAATTGAATGGCTGAATTATTTCAGTCCTTGATCAATTGATCATAGAGTCCAACTCATAGGCTGTGCCCAGGTGTGAGCAGTCAGTCGGTGTGTATACTAGTAGTATACTCGTACACTGCTGGTGCCTGCAAGAAGCGAGGAGCTTGCTCTAAATAAGAACTTGAATTCAACTTGAACCCGAATGCAAGCGCTTCCTGTCAGGCTTTACCCAAAGGTCAAAGAAGGGCAAAAGTCACGCACAGACGACGAGTACCTGTCAGAGTATGTAGTCAAGTGGAGCCAGCGCGACGATGGATGTGATGAGATGTGATCAGTCGTGAACGGCTCATCGACAGCAAACGGCCGGCCTGGCATGGCAAGCAAGGCAAACAGGTGTTCTTGGGTCTGCAGGCTTGTACAGATTACCAGTATCCTTGAGTATTTGTTTCTGCGCAGGTGTTGGCTAGGTATTCCCTCGAGTATTCTGTTTCATTATGTTATGCCATTCTATACTGTGACCCTTGATGCTAGACGTTACACAATTTAAACTTGGGCCAACACCCAACCCGGAATGATGCTGACAGCCTTGCGCAGTGCAAGTCTGGATCGCCGCAAGGGGTGGAGTCTGTTTGAGTGCCAGTGCCATGCCCTCATCGTACATACTTCAGATGGATCGAACGGTGGGATCTTAGATCGATCGCATGGATGTGATATATCATGATCCGAGTCTGGTACGAACATGTTTGTGACTTTGTACGCAGTACCTAGAAGTATGTATACTTTAAGTTATCCCTGGGTACGAGTACCTCTACGAAACCATCTACATTGTATTTAACCCTGTCAGGTCTACTCGTACAGGGTATCTCCCATCCCATCCATCCCAGTCTGGAGCTGTGCTGTGCTGTGCTGTGCTGTACCTGACCACTACTAGTACCGGCGCTAACTGAAACAGTCATAGCAGACGGCAAACGGCAAATAAAACAAAGAAAAGAAAAAACGTGGGAATACGAGGAATCCACGGAGAAATAACCCAACAATTGCCAGTGATAACAACAGTACTATACTGTAGACTAAGAATCCACTAGAGTAGACTATTTCAACTAGACCAACAGTTCGTATCCAGGAGAATTCGTGTCATGTCAATAAAAAAGCAAGGCAGTACAAAAGTACATGTATGTACATGCATTCCTATCTCCTTAGTACTCTGTACTCGTACTTTGTATCCACTTCTGTACTTACACTCGTACTGTACCCCTCGACTGATGTGATCTATCAACCCCCCCACATAATTCTGCCTCACAGCAGTTCTAGTCAAGTTCCCTACTGTACATGTATGTACGTCAATCTAATTAATTATCGAACAGGTCAAAAGAATCACCCCATAGAACAAACTAGAACCAGCAGCCACAAGCCCAACCAGCCCGAAACAAAAAGAAACGAAACAAAATCTTCCATTCCACGCGAGCCGCGAGCCGCGAGCCGAGCTGCGAGTAATTTCAATTTCAATTTCGATGAGATACGATAGTTATGTATACCCCCCTAGTCCCTAGTCTAGTGCGAGGCCAGCCGTTGCGCCATGCCATGCCATCCTTAGCACTTATCCGTATCGCCCCCACATCAAACAAAGAAATGACACGACAAAAAAAGAAATGAGAGTCGCGCTAGTTCGACACTAGTTAGGATTATAGTGAACTTTCCTCGCTACGAGGACCATTCCCCTCAGATTAAGCCAGGTCCAGGTCAAGTCAAGTCAAGCCAGGTCATCGTTCCGCTCCACATCTGACGTGTCTGGTGCCTGACCTGACTCGGGCCTTTTCCTGAACACACATGCATACACACTACATACGCCTCGTACATACCCAGTAGGGTCCTCTTTAGTCCTCTGAGGTACTCCATTCCGTACTCGCACTCTGTATTGCATCTATCTATCCATCTAATCAAACTAACCGCCCCCCTCCCACTACAGCGCATTAAGAACCTGCTGCATAGCGAGGGTATTCGAATCCTCACGCCTGGAAACATAAGCCCTAACCTCCGTAACACTAAGTTTAACCTCCTGCCTCTGCCCAGCCGCTGACGACCCCGACGCCGAAGCCGACCCCGACCCTGCAGACACACCAGAACCAGACTGCGAACTCCCCGCAGCAGTCGCACCACCCCCACGAATCCTCTCACGAAGCGCCTCAACGCCAATGACAAATAAACTACCCACTTCCAGCAACACGTCCAGCGCGCCGCCGGGTCCTTTGATATCGGTATCTATGTCCCATGATCGGAGGAGGTCGGTGTATTGAGTCATATCTTTTGTGACCATTAGACCGCCGGGTCCGGAGACGGGGAACTTTTTGAAATGTTCCAGTAATAGGTCTCGTGTGCGCATGGCGATTTCTGTGAGGACTTGGCGGATGTTGGCGCCGCTTTTGGGGAGGGTTGTTTTGGCGATTGTGTGGAGGCGGGATAGGAATGTGCAGATTGAGGCGCAGGTCTGGATTGGATGTTAGTGGGGTGATGGGAGCAAACAGCGTAGTCAAACCCAAGTCAAACGTAGAGATGGGGAAATAGGGCAATTTGTGACGACTTGGCTGACTGCTGCGAGACTGATCACTTCACGTACCGGCGTTTGTAGCATCTCCAACCACGACGCATTATCGGTGTCTCGCGGACGGAAGTCATTCTTCTTCTGGCCCGAGAGTAAACGGGTCACCCAAGCTAGGGTCCCGTCAATCATCTTCTGCTGGATAGTATTAATTTTCTCCTCAATACGAGACGTCGTCTGACTCGTGCGCTTCTCCATATCCCGCCTTGTGGTGATACTAGCAGCAGCCAATGGAAGCAGTACTGCATTCGCACACATCACCATCAATGTAGTGATACTAATAGTCGTTCTCACAGACGGAAGATACGCAAAGTCGGGCTCATTCTTGCCAGATTCTTGCGAAGTTGCTGCATCCAAGGCTGCATCGAGGCAAACATCAATGTACCCATCGCCCATCGTGACTAACAGCACGTTCAGCATAGCCGAGACATCTTTGTGGGTATCTGTGTTGACGCTCAGTTCCAGTCCACGACCCACAGCCTCAGCCAGCCACTTCAGCATTCGTTTGACGTCGCTGAGATTCGGCTGTCCGTCTTCCTCGGTGAGTTTGATCTCCGTTAATCGGACTGTCTCGGGGACCTCGCCTATCTTTGCGACGTGTAGGAGCATTCGTCGCTGGATCGGGGAGACCTCGGGGGAATCGAGTCGAGAGATGAATGCATCGCGTGCGGTGGAGAGAAGCTCGGTACCGGGTCGAGAGAGCGAAGCCATGAATGTGGTGGCGGCCTTCTTGCGACGAGCTTGGTAGGTGGTAAATTTGAACAAGACCGCGTTGAACAGTTCCTCCAACGTCCGTCGTTCGCGTTCGATATAAGATGATCCAACGAAGTAAGGAACGAACAGCTCTTCCAGCTGCTGATCCAAGAGAAGCGCACTTTGAGACGAAATAGCCTCAGGATGCTCAGTCAATCCATGTGCTTTGAGATCGTCAATCAAAGCACTGATATACCCCCGAGAACTCTGCAAACACCGTAGAAACGCCAACGAGGACACCCCGCTAGCCTTCTCCAGCACCATCTCCAAGCGCTGCTGAATCGACTGCTGAAACACCCGCTGAAGGAACTTGCCCAACACCTGCTCGTAGTAAGGGAATGCACGACGGATAATCGCCGACTCTTCCTGAACAACCACTTTAACCTCATCAAGAAGAGACTGTAAACTCGGCTCAACCCCTGGCAATTCAGCATCGGGATCGGCCACGCGCTCCCAGGAATCCTCATCACCACCAACCTCCTCCAACTCGTTCCGGCTGCGATCAATAAAGAACTGATGCTGATTCACAAACAGAGCAATAACACTAGCCCCGCCATTAAAATCCTGCAAAACAGTAGCACAATCCTTCATCCCATCGAAATTGGCCTTGCGATAGAAATCATCAAACTGCTTCAAAAGGTCCTTTTCCAACGTTTCCGAGAATTTCTCAATCACTTCACGCGTATTGCGACGCGGCGGACTCTGACTCCCACTCCCATCACGACTAACATCTTCGGAAGAAGCATTTGAGCTGGGCCCATTGCTATTGCTGTTTTCGCGTCCATGTCCATTCGCAGTCCCACTCCCAATAAACTTCCCACTCGAATTCTCCCTCCAACTCGACGGATCCAACCGCTGGCTAATGCGCAACAATTGCCTCGCAATATGCGCACTGCGAACCTTCGCCTCAGCAGTCCCCGATCGTCTAAGATTCTCCAACAGTGAAATTTCACCCCGATTACTCACGCCCTCCCAACATTCCAGCAAGAAATGAGCATCCAATGCCCGACGGCGCTGGCGATCGAGTTCTTCAAGCTTTTTGCCCGTTTCCACGGCCATATTGCCTGTTCCTCCGCCGGATCCAGATCCAGGCCCTCCATTCCCATTCACAATCCCGGTCGCGCTGTCCAACCCGCTAGTGCCATTCAGAGATGTATCGAGTTGTTGGAAGGACTCGATTGTTTGGCGAAGTTTGCGGCCTAGCGTGGTTAGGTTCTGCGAGTGTTGAGCTTCTGCGCGGCGGACGGCGGCGGAGAGTTCATTTTCGCGGATCTCGAGGTCTCCGGAGAGGTCACCTAGTCGGCGCTGGGCGTGTTCGAAGGTGCGGATGAGAGGTTTTGGATCGAAGGGTTGGTTGGGGGTGGAGGTGGAGGTGGAGGTGGAATTGGATGTGGTAGGGGCTGCGATGGTTGAGCGGCGGTTGGAGATGGCTGTGTCGGAGAGGGCCTCGATGAATTCTTTTACGATGAAGTCGCGACTGGAGAAGTCGTCGAGGGTGAAGCTGGGGCCTTGGGGGAAGACGGAGCGGGGGGTGGATATTATGGATGCATTGTCGGATGTCATGATGCCCTCCAGGGCTCCCTGGGTGGTGGGAGAGGTAGATGTTGCGCAATTGTAGGAGTAGAGTAATTGCAGTAAGTGATTAGTGTAGGTGGTGGGGGTGCGCAGTGGTGGTGGTGATGGTGAGGGGTGTGGAGGAGTGAAGGTGAAGGTGAAGGTGGGAGAGTTGGAGAGCGGAAGGAATCCGGGGAAGCTGCGGACTGCGGCAGTACTAATCAGCGTACAAGTAACTATACAAGTATACTACTAGTAGCAGTCATGTTACTACTATACTATAGTATACTATAGTATATAGTATAGAAGAATAGTTTAATTTATGGAGATAGTATTCTATAAGATACACTTATACATAATAATCACCTCTTTACTACAATTCCGTTAGATTTGATATACCAAAGGAAGAATTATACCTTAAGCCACCGGTATTAGTAACCATTAGTATATCTACAGTGCTTAGCATAATAGTATATAGCAAGTATATAGCAGCGTAGTAGATATCTAAATTAAAGAATTCCAAGGTTACCTAGATATTAAATACTCTTACAGTCGTATAATACTAGTTACATAGCCACAGCCATAGTTACTTGGTACTGCCACTTGGCCTCAAGGCAGCATCATTATAGTATTAGTATTCTAGTCTACTATATTTATAATTATATTTATATTTAGCTATTAAGTAACCAAAAGTATTCTCTAAATATTCTACTTATTCTACTCTCTCAGAGTATAGCCCAGGTGTTACTACTACTACTCCTCCTACTACTACGACTGCATCACCACTTCCGCTTTCCACCTCACTCCACCACTTCTCCCCTCCTCACCACCCCGGGCACCACCACCACAATGCCCTCAACCTCGCGCAACACCATCCGCTCCCAAATAAGAAACAAAGGCGAATCACTCACCCCAGCCGACCGCGAAGCCCTTTTAAAACCCTACCTCCCGGACCCAGCAGACCTCACAACCCCCCGCTCAGCCCGTTCATCCCGCCGAAGCAAAAGCAAACAGCCACGCAAAACCCCTATCCGCACCTTCATCAAGTCGCAAGTCCACCGTCTCGCCTACGCCCTCACACACATCATCTTCGGCATCGTCGTCCGCCTCATCCAAGCCTATCATGCCGTCGTCGACCGAATTCTCGCAATCGTTTATCACCACCACCGCACGCCGGAATTGATTCGGAAGGATGTGCGCTCGCTGAAACGATTGCCGCAGCATTTGAGTGTTATTCTTACATTGAGAACTGAAGATGACGCCCTCGCTGTACTTATGGATGAAGTTGCTGAGCTTACAGCTTGGTGTACGTGCGCGGGGATTGCGCAGTTGAGCGTTTATGAGAAGAGTGGTAAGTGAAGTGCTGCCTACCTGGCCTAGCCTGGCCTGGCCAGAGATTTCGTCCAGAAAGAGCAAGAGCTGGACCATAGCTGACCACTCCCCCTCACTATAGGCGTCCTAAAATCCTGCATCCCAGCCCTCCACCAAATAATCTCCACAAAACTCGCCTCTTACCACGGCACATCGCAACAACCCTCCCTCCAGCTCTACGCACCACACCACGCCGTACACGGGTCTCCCAATCCCAGCACTACTGGCACCGGTACCGGCACCGACTCAATCGCCCTCCTCCTCCTCTCCTCAACAGACGGCCGCGAAACAATCGTCGACCTAACAAAAACCCTCGCAGAAATGTCTCAGAACGGAAAACTCTCGCCAGAGGATATAACCCCTGAACTCGTCGATGCGGAGATTACGGAAATCACGGCTCACCCGCTGCGAAATGGTGGCAGCACTCGCCCGACCAACGGTACCGGCACTGGCACTGGCGCAGGTGCAGGTGCTGGCGCTGACGATCTACTCAAACCCGAACCAGATCTTTTACTAGTTTTCGGCCCCTTCCTCAAATTGGATGGGTATCCGCCTTGGCAGTTACGGTTGACGGAGATGTATTGTACTGGTGATCGGAGTCATGGGTCGACGGGGGATGGGGAGGCGGTTGAGTATCAGGGGTTTATGAGGGGGGTTGTGGCATTATGCTGGGGCTCAGATGAGGTTCGGGAGGTAGTAGTTTCATCCGAAAGGGGTGGAGAAGGGAAGAGAAGAGAAAAGTGGTGAGGAATAGATCTACCTTGGGTTAGGTGGTAGTGGGTGGTGATGGTGATGGGGATGGTCATTGCATGGGCTTTACGTTATACCCTGTGGTCTGGTTGTGACCGCGTTGAATTAATTCTAACCGTATTATATCTTGTTGTGTTATATCATATCATACTAGTATTTTATGAGGATTGTATTAATATTATCTTGTTCTACTACAATGTTCTACTCCAGGACAAATGGTATTTTACAGTTACTAGTGGCAGATCACAGGCGGTGTTTATATGGACACTCCCGAGGTCATTATCAATATACTACCAGTACATGATTGTATAAGTACTACTGGTATAATAATGAATGTCAGCGACTCGGAGGGAGATATACAACTTGGAGTTCTTAAGTTTACCTCCCACGGTGTACTAGTAGTAGTATAAGGGTATGCAAAGAAAAATGTAAATATACTAGCATAATAAAGGTGACCGCCTTTCGCAGGGACGCGGATTCATTAGCCTCAACCTCGGAACCATGGTCGTAACTCATCCATGACATAGACCTGATGTCACTTCATCCTGTAGACTCCTCGCTGGTGTATATGTGTTCTTCTGTGCATAACGCCTTGATAAGTGCTTTCAAATACATTATTCGCACAGGGTAATTACAGCCAATCAATCTAGCGATGGTGATAGACTTCAGTCTACTTTTCTGGCTTCTCAGAGAATATGTGAATCCCACATCCCTCCTACCTTCTTTGAAATACTACTAGTAGTAGTTCATTACTGACTACCACTACCCTCTAGTTGGACGACACAGACCTAGCTAGCCTGGCCCTCACTTGCCGTGAATGGAACTACATAGCCACCCCTTCCTTATATCATACAGTCCAATTCCACAACCCTGGTCGCATTGCGGCAAATGATCTTCTCCAGGTGAAATTAGAAATATTTGGAGACCCGCGATTCACTCAACTTAAGCATACTAAGCGGGTACTGATCACGGGTTCCTGGTATGATAGCTACCACGCGATTGACTCGAATTTGGGCACTGAGAGCATCCTTTCACCTGCTGCAAGAATGCTCAATACTATTATTGTGTCATGCGTCCTTCGAATGCCGCAATTACGGGAATTTATGTTCGTGTTCACATACTGCTTGTGGTTACACATTTCTATCGTGTGATGACACCGCTGACTGCATCCAACACTGGCAGTTGGGACCTGACCGTATCCACCACTCAAAATCTCGTCACGGCGGTCATGCTCACGCCAAGTCTGGAGATCCTACAGCTGCGAATGGGTACTGACAATACACCATCCCCATATTTCCATCCATCGTTAGAGTTTCGACCTCTAATTAATGTCAGAACTTTGAGTTTGATTGAGATTGATGATGAATCAGTTCTAAGGTCGTTAGGCCTCGCAATTTCGAATTCCACTAAATTGGAAGAATTGACCATATGGGCTGACACTGAAAGCGTGCTATGCTTTAGCGAAATATCCAGTAGCCGGGACGGGCAGCTCATTTCCGAATTGAGGTCTCTTGATCTGCGAGGATTCGTGGATTTGGGAACACCTCGTTGTCCGCTCTGGAGCTTGATTTCGCCTGTCAAGCTAAAATCGTTAACCTTACACGCTGGCTCTACTTTCGATGTTTCCGACTGTACAGAGTTCTGGGAGAAATCCGTCGAAGCCGGGTTGCGACCTAGACAGCTGTCTACGGACCTAGTGGCTCATGGCTTCGTGGAGTTCATTCACTCCTTTAGCGGCCTAGAGGTATTGAGCATTGCATCGCTATATACCCCATTTCCGCCTGAACTGCCGTCCCTTCTAGTTCAATCTTTGCGAGTGCAGCATTCGGCGACACTCAAAGTACTCTCAATTAACCCCCGAGGCTACATGGCAAATCACCTAGACAAGAATTTACTGAAAGAAATGACGACCTTCTTCACTGAAGTTGAGGAGTTTCGGTTCGGAATAGTCCAAATTGACACTGTGAATAACGCCATAGTCACCCTTCAGAGATACAGGTTCATTTGCTGATCATGCACTAGCAGCAAGCGATCCAGGCAGCATTGAAGTCTCCCCGAATCCGCTTGCTCCACATCAACACGCACATTCAAGCTCAAAAACAGATTGAATCTAGCCCAGAAGAATACGTACTCCAGTCTCTGCATGATGGCCTGGCAAAAAATCTCAAATACTTCATATTTGATGACGGCCCTCTATATAAAGTTCTACGCCATCCACTCCGAGTGATCAGAGAGAGCTTGCCGATCGGATATATTCACGATACTTTTCTGTTTCAAGAAAAAGCTTTTGGTTGGGTTCAAAGAACGTAATTGAGCCTAAACAAGGGAATCAGATTACATAAATACTGGCTTAGGAACCGGTATCGGTTTCCATTGGTCCCTTGTCCCCGGAATTTGATAGAGAAAGTTCGTATCGCTGCTTTGAAGATATACGGAATGTGTTAGTGACCCCCGGCAGTTAAGAGAGACAAGACAAGAGAACAGTGTTTGGTCGTATTTAGTTACCTGCCGCTTATGTCTCAAACGGACACACATTAGACCGTTGGGCCAGATAAGGCATGTCCGCGAACCCTTGAAAGGAGGAAATGTTGCTGAAGCCTGAGGGGCTCAAGCTCCAGGTGCTGTGTCATCCCACGGTTTGTATATAGTTATTTTATACCGATTCCTAATTCTTTAAATCTAGGTACTAGATTGGACAATATCATAGAGACACGCACGACAAACTTAATAAATAGTCTCTATGCGTAGGATTAAATCATAGCGAGCCTACTAGATAAATGGGTACGCCGCTGGTATATTTCCTGACAAATTTCTGATAGGCGCATACCACCCCCGATTATGTGCGCTGAAGTATATAGATTTATAGGGTCCATGAAGGTATTACCAACCCAGTATGGCTTGTTTGAAAGCAATATGGCTCCAGAATGGCAAGAAGAAAAGTCTCGGCATTTTTTACAAACACAAGGTTGGAAACCAAAACCTGTTTGGGGAAAGGTGAACAGTGAAGAACGCAACCAGCCCGGTCAACCAGCATTGACTCTCCTACACGGTGACGTCACAATACGACTCTACCGATTTTGATTTAATAACAACCATTAACCATCATTTTTTGAAACAGTGTTTTGTATTATTGCTACCATGCCAGCCTTTACAGGATCCTGCGTCTGTCGCAAGCTTGAATACAAACTGTCACTTGCGTCTCCTGAAGATGCGCGGACCTCGCTCTGCCACTGCCGAAACTGCAAAGTAAATCGAACTCCAGACCTGTACTCAAATTTGAATGCTGACAAGCAAACAGAAAGCATTCGGAACTAACTACGGACTAACTACCAAGGTCCCCAAGGACAGTTTTCAGTATACGAAGGGAACCCCGAAGCAGCATGCCGCTGATAATGGCTCTGGTGTGACGATCTACCGCGAATTCTGCGATACCTGTGGTAGTTTTATTCTGGAGTATGGGGTATGTGGTAATAGCACGGAGAAGCCGCATAGCATGTCGATCTAACAAGCTACTGGAATCTTTGATTCCTCACAGGAGATGGCCAAAGACAAGTTTAGATACATCGCGGCCGGTTCTTTCGATGATCCTGAAGCATTACCACCCAAGGGTGAGTTCTTCGGCAAGGCTCGAGCGAGCTGGATGCCAGAAATCCCCGGTATGTTCAAGACATGAAGCCAAGTGAAGTTATATGATTCTCATATGTGCAGGTATCTTTCATAAATGGGAAATTAAAGAGTAGACTATGAATACTTGATCATGGATCAAGGAGGCAGCATCGATTTATCTTGCTCTATGCCGTGGGCGGTTTCCCTCAATTATATCGTTTGTATATATAAAGAGGATAATTCCATTACTTGCAAAGAGATATACTGGTATCATCTGCCACAATGTGCAGGCTTAAAGACGTGAGGACTATTAACAATTTGCGCTGTAGTTCGTGCTGGCACAGCCGACGCTGGATTTGTTGTCGTAGAAAATTGCGTTCGTGCGTTATGTGGATGGGAGGTTATGGGAGGGATTTGTTGGATGTGGCAGAGAATGGGAAAAGAAAGGGTATTCAAAGCGGCGGGGTGTTCATTTACAGCTGAGCCCACTCTCATCTCTTCGAGGTTTACATGTGGCAACATAGCCGGGCTGTGGAGTAACTTGGTCGATCTGCTTTACTTCGCTAGCTGGGTTGCCGCAAGATGTATTTATAGTTTCATTTCTTTTAGCAAAATAGTGCTATAATAGAGCCAGCTTAACATTTTGAATCGAAAGATATTACTTTAATTTAGGTCCTTTCTTCGCTCATCCATGGATTCTGCTCTTCGGCGACCACCAGTAATTGTGCAAACCCACCAATACCTCAGTCCTCAATGTGAACACGTCTTTTGAAATAAACAAGAATATACTAGATTCTGCTTTTTGTGGGGTACTTTGAAGTGAAACTGAAAGGGCTATTGATCTATAAGTAAATAGCTGGAGAGTCAATGGCGAAATAGATCGTGGTTTTAGAATACGACGCAGCAGTCATGAGTAGCCAGGGCTCTCTCTAGTTACTATTCCCCAACTGGTACAGCTCATTCAAGAACGTCTCCGTCCATTTGACACTTAAAAATTCAGCTTGTTGCGTAATATGTCGGAAGGAATGGAGATTTACCTTGTATGAGTATTGACGAAGTCTCGCAATTCCTCATAGTTTGCCTTCCTCTCTTCATTCTCCATGGTAAGTGCCTTATACAGCATATGGGAAATAGTTCTCGTATCGGAGGGATTGATCAATAAGCTGCCTCCTTTCATAAAAGTTGCTGCTCCAGTGAATTCGGATAGTACTAGCACTCCGTGTCGCTTTTCCTGACATGAAACGTACTCCGATGCCACAAGATTCAACCCATCTCGATGCGAAGAAATTAGACATACGTCCGAGATAGAGTACAGTGCTATAAGCTCTTCAAAAGAGACTGAACGATGAATATAAAGCAACGGTGTCGAGTGTGGAGTTGCTAGTCTGTCAGTATACATGCCAACTAGCCAGTGATAGGAAAACGCATAAATGCATACCGTATTTTCCGATAATCTGGCCTGCAAGTTTGCTAATCTCATCTTTAAGATCCTTATACCTTGCAACGTCTTCACGGCTCGGAATAACAATTTGAACGAGGACGATCTTCTCGGCCCATTCTGGATGCTCATCAAGAAAGACCTGGAATCCAAGGAATTTCTCCGGCAGGCCTTTTGTATAGTCTAAGCGATCCACACCAATGATTATAGTCTTGCCTTTATATAAAGACTCAAGTTCCTGGGTCCTTGAGATAATAGCTTGGTCGTTGAGCGCATCAGAGAACTTTTGGGGGTCGATACCGACAAAATACTTATCAAGTCGGACGGTATGATTATCATATTGGACGGAATGCTCCATCACATCAGCACCACTGAAACCACAGCTCTGTTAGTAGAGATATAGCTTTGTAAGATAGGGTTGAAACGTACATAAGTGTCTTGCATGCACCGATAAAATTTTTCATATACTCGTCTGTATGGAACCCAATGATGTCGCTCCCAAGAACACCACGAAGTAGGTCTCCCTGTACGGGAAGCCCTCGCCAGAAATCATCCACCGGAAACGGTGTGTGGAGGAAGAACCCGATCGGACAACATTTATTCTGGGACTTAAGGCGTTCTCGTAACATCGATGGTAACAGAAGTAAGTGATAATCATGAATCCATATCAGATCACCATCTTTTGCTTCTTCACTGATCCTATCAGCAAACACTTCGTTCACTTGCTGATAAGCAGTCCAGGCCTCAAAGTTCATATGAGCCCCGGATTGATAATGAAGTATAGGCCAAAGAATTTCATCTAGGCGATCTCGATATAAGTAACTGAAAAAGGTCTCACTTCTTTTTCTCACGTACTGGAGAACCCATTGTAGTGGTTTTGAGCCATTTCATCGCTAAGGTAAACCGCAGCGGCGTTTTCCTTTGCTAAAACGGCATAGACCTCTTCTCTCTCCGTTTCACCAATTTCTATCCCTGGCCATCCTAGCCATAGGTAGTTGGCTACACTCAAGCCCCGCAGCGCAGTCACCAAGCCGCCACTGGATGGTGTCACTCTATAGTTGCCGTCATACTTGTCAATAGAGAGTGGTAGACGGTTTGATGCAATGATAACTCTTTGCTTGCTGGAAGGTTTATCATCTGTCATAGTGTTGCGCATTTCTGTTGCTCAAATGACGCTTGTGGGTAATTGACTCGGTCGAAACGCTACGAGGGCGTTCCGAGTTGCAGTCTTATAGAGCAGATTTTACCATTGAATGAGAGGTTTCTCATGGATTCTCTTAACAAGTATAATCCGAGTTTACCACCACGTAGAAGGGAACCGGTTTTCGACTAATTTTGGCATAGGTTGGTCAAGAGCCAATTCAAGATCATCAACCAGGCGGGGGCTTGCCAAGGAATGTGGCGCTACGATTCCCATCGACCTCATAATTACCTCAACATCAGGAAACATAGCGACGTATTTAACTGTATTACATGACAAGTGTGATAAATTGACCAATGTTACAGCGATGTCATCTGATATAGATCTCTTCAAATGTAGAAATGCCCTATTTAGCAATGCAATACACATTTTCTCTTCGCTCAACATGCGCCAGCAATATATTTTCGATAATATACCTTGCAAGTTTTTCAGGTCTTCCCCTTTAGGATCAAATTTTGCTTAGAGTACTTAAGACCTGAAAATACCCAACCCCGAAGCCTGTTTTTATCTGATTAACACAGACCGGCATTGAGAGATAATTCTTGTCTGTGTCGGCCAGAGATGGGTAATCTGAGTGAACATGTCGCTTTCTCATATGCTTTTGTATTCGGTTTGGTTTCAGACCTTAAATCATATCCGTATGAACTGCTCTTTGTACAGATAATTCTATAATTTCTGAGATGAGTTCCTCAAACGACATCCCGTTTACCTTAGCCGACGCTGGTAATGGTGAATGCTCTGGGAGAAGGCCAGCAATAGGATTAACCTACAAAACCGTGAAAATATAAGTTTCTTGCGTTTGGCAAATGGGGGTAATATATTGAACCTACTTCTAGCACGTTTGGGCTTGACCCTGGCTTGTCGGAATCGAACCGAATGTCAACACGCCCACAATCACGACAATTGAGGAGTTTCCAAGTATCCAACGCTGTCTGACATGCGGCTTTGATTTGAGGTTCAGCCATGTCGTGCGAATCCTTATACATCAACATTTTATCGGCTTGGCTGGATTTGCTAAGTCTGCATGCAAAGTTCGGTGGCGGATCTGAGTTATAACCATTCTCGGTGCTGTGATTTGGGGTCGTTTGCCATAGGTGTTCTCTGATGCCGATTACCCGACTTTGCGCGCCCGTTCCCATTATGCTCACTGTAAACTCCCGGCCCGACAAAAACGATTCCACGAGGATATCTTGACCCGGGAATTGGTAGCTCAATTCCTGTAATGCCGGTCTCAGTTCTGTCGGACCATTAACTTTGTTGTAATTATCGATTCCTTTAGAGGATCCCTCTGTGGCAGGCTTAATAAATAGAGGGTAAGGTGGTGATACTGTATAAAGGTCAGAGAGGTCTGCCAACCCGTCTGTCATAGGAATCACGGCAAAAGGCGCATTAGGGATGTTGTGACGATCCAAGACAACCTGGCGCCTTTGAAATTAGTATACTGAATCTTAAGTGCAGACATTTTCCTAGGGTACCTTAGTGATTGCTTTGTTCTGACATAACGTAATCGTCGCAGCATCGCTGAATGTGAACGGAATTCGATAGGCCTCCAGCAGTGCCGGAACCTGCGATTCTCTCGCTGGCCCATAGAAGCCTTGCGCCATATTAAATACTAAATCCCAATTCTTATACGTCCCTGTTGCGAGTAGCTGGACTAGAGATTGGATACCAGGTACTAGAGTGACTGAGTGGCCTAGACACTGGAGTGCAGTTGAGACAGCCTTTATTTCCCCGTCATGCGTGAGAGCCGCGCACTGTCCTTCTGAAAACCCGTACTCAAGATATGTCGACTTTTGCTCCGATACCAGAGCTATATTGAGACCATGAATCTGTGCATCGCCCATGATGCGACTGGAGATAGTTGATAATGTAAGACGGATGGCAGAGAAGACAGGACAATCAGTTCTATAAAGAATTTGCATATCATTGTTGAAGGGAGTTCAGAGAAGGAAATTGATGAGAGTAGTCAAAATCACGTCATGCTATCCCCAAAGGGCTATAGCTGCTACAATTGCGGAAGTTGTAATGTTCTTGTAAACGTCATGTCTTGATGTCCCTGCTTTTATGACTTACTGTAACACACACCCCAGACATTCTAGTTATGATGTCATCAAATTAATATGAAGAAATGTGTACTTGAGTGTTAGAAGAATATTACTTGTAAACAATGTTGGTCAAATAGCTAAATTGGTGATTTCTAATAAACCGGTTTATTCACCTAGCATGGTTTTTCCCCATTATCCACTCTGTGATACTAATAATGAGTCAAATTAGAATCTATTCAGTGCTGCTTGCTAGACGAGATTCTGACTCACACTCGTTAGCCCTCTATCTTATCTATCCCGATGACCCAGCCAATCTCGCGAAGTAACTATTCAACCCAGCTGTGTCTTCCAGGCTGCCAATCCATGCCACATGCTGATCAGGTCGACAAAGAACCAGACACCCTGGCCCCCGCTCATCAATACCATATCCTGTATAAGCTTGATTCTGATCGTCGGTAAATGTCTTCCAGTAGTCCCAGCCCATCGTATCATCAAAAGGGTGGAAGAGCTCCGGAAGCTCTAGCAGATTGAGGGCGCTTCTGGGGCTTGATTGTATCAGAAGTAATTCCATGGTGGGGCGACATTTCTGGGGTTTCTTCTGCTGTCGATGAGCTAGATGAGGCCGTCTGCTAAAGCTTTCCGCAAAACGAGACAAAGCTGTCAACCTCTCGAGTTTGCGTAGATCACCCGAAAACACCAGCAGCCGCCATGCTCCGTCACTCACAAGGATATGAGTTATGTGTATAGGGACTCCATCACATTGATAGACCACTGGGAAAGAAGGTAGCCGCATACCCAGTTTGAGGTTTTTCGCAAGCTTAGGAACAGCAGCTTCCGCTTCTCCAGCAATTAACATGCTATTAGGATATGTTATTTCGGTGCCAGCCATGAAACCCGCATATTGATCTCGTATTTCGTAAATTCCGCCTGACATATTTTCCTCTCCCTCGTATGCTTGCACAAGACAGGAATCCAGAGTCATCAGCTGCTTCGCAACTGGGCGTCGCTCGGAATCATACGTTTTCAGAATAATGGGGTCAGCACCATTGGTAATAACTTCTCCCAGTTTCCATAATAGGTTGTAAGTGTCTTGGATAGACACGTTCATACCTTGCCCGCCCTTTGGAGAGTGTGTATGTGCAGCATCGCCGGCAAGGAACACGCTCGAAAACAGTAAGTAAATAGTCTGCATAGATTGCGGTATGCTACCTACTGCTCATGAGGTCTGTATTGTCTGACTAGACGTCGACCTATCTTAAATATCATCATCAGAATAGGGCTCCCGTCATGGATCACGCATACTTACTGAATACACGGACCACCAGTCACAGTATCTATAAGTCAAACTATACGGTCTCATTATATCCTTCGCTCTTTCCAGCATGACCGTAGGGGAGAAACCAGGATGCTGCAAGGACGTTTCATCTAAGTCCCGAAGTTGAATGTAGAATCGAACCAGCCTGTTCTCCCTCGGCACTGTCATGATACTCCCGTAAGGTTGACGGTCTATTGAGCAGGAACGGCGAATATCGGCTGAATATATGGTCAATCTGAGGTTCTTTAGCATAGGGAGGTAGACGAACGAAAGTCGGTTATTGGGACTATATCTAGCACCCCCCAATTCGAATCTTCTGATACAGTATCGACCGAGACACCCAGTTCCTCTCTAACCGAGCTGTGCGCACCGTCACATGCGACAAGATAGCGTGCATGTATCGTTTCTTTCCTTCCAAAAACAGGTTGTTAGCCAACATCTTAAACACGCGAACACTAATGACCAGGGAACAAAATCTAGCATTACACACCATACTCTCCGGAACTTTTGACTCTCACAACTACTGGCCATTGTTTATGGTCGTCATCAGTGGCAGCCGAAAAGTTGATGGACTCGGCCACTTTATTCCACTCCACGCGCACCTTTGCCTTGCTATCCAAGTAGTCGTTGAATACTTGCTCCACGGCCCCTTGGTTTAGCAATACTTGCTTAGATCCTGGCATTTCCTTTGGGTCTGATTCATATCTGTTGGCTTGTTCAATATTTCCCGTTCTGCTGTTGGTTATCTAACAAGTCAGTGGCCAGCGAAAAATTGGAATGCATGTTGTAGTTACCCAATGACACGAGTCGGGGTTCTGGACACCCTGCCTTAGGATAGGGTCGGCAATGCCAAAGCTTTCTAGTATCTCTATAGTCCGGCTTTGTAATCCATCAGCGTGGCCTGTTTTAGTGCGACCTTCTTTTCGGTCAATGATACGAGTTGACATGTTATATTGAGCTGCCCAACATGCCGCTGTGAGCCCCGCAGGCCCTGCCCCAACGATTAACACATCCACGTAACAGGCTGAGGAAAACATTATGCGGGACTTCAAATTGACTTTGAGGATCTCAGGAGCGAGAAATAGCTATGTACCAAGGGATTCTCCTGGAAATATGTAAGTTTTACCACTGAGATTATTATGTCATCATGAGCACATCAGCGAACTAGAACTTGATGCCAGTTTCAAGTTTACCACGGATTTCAATAAAGAACCTCCGAATCTAAATTCATTATGTTAGAATATACCCTACAAATTTGAAATTTGGCTCACGTAGACCTATGTCGGGTTTGTCTTTTCGGTAAATGGAACTTTTTCCTTATGCTTGGCCCGATGATTGAGGTATACCGCAACTACAGTACTCCGTACTCTCCCTTGGGTCGGTAGAGTTGAGTCATGGCCCCTCAGTATTCCGTTTAAAATTACGATAGAATCGCAAATACACGAGTACATTTTTACATTTCGGTAGCGTCCATAAGCATAAATCCGTGGCTTTAGCTGACTGTGGAAATGCGATGAAGTTGTAGCTTATGTTTCTGCCGGTCGCCACTCGTAGTGATGAGGACCTTTGCCAACTGGCCCTGGGTCCTCACCAGGTACACCGGGCTTGTTGTAGCCGTGTGATCCGAAAAAGTCCATTTGGCCTTCCATGAATTTGGTGGGCAGCTTCGTTCCACCCACATACTTCAAATATTCCAAGGTTGCAGAAATTGCAGGCAAATATTGATCGTGCAAACACCCCTGGATAACTGTTGCCTTTAAAGAGTTGTATGTCCGGCGTAGCTCCTGGGTAACTATATCGGATTGCTTCAAGTTCGTCCAGAACTTTTCAGTTGAGAGCACTGGCTCTAAGAGATCGGCTATACCCTCAGACCGAATAATACACCCACCACGCCAGATCCGGAGACATTGGGCTAGGTCAATTTCCCAATTTTCGTCATCTGAGGCTTTCTTGATCAGTTCTAACCCTTGGCAGAATGAGGATAGAAAAGTGCAATACAGGGCGTCGTGTAAATCGTCGACGAGACTTTCCTTCTCTTTGTCGTTGATCCCTTGTATTAGGCTAGGTTTCGGCAGTCGGAGCGTTTTGGCTGCCACTAGCCTTTCCTCTCGGTTGCCACTAGCGACGCGCAGGTAATGGGCTGTAGCGAGAGTAGGTGTCGAGATATGGCGTGATGCTGACTCCTCAATGGCCCATTGGGGAGTTCCTTCGGTATCATCATCATCCTGTACCACTTTATCGAGGACCTCATCAAGCACATATTGATCGGTACCGCCGACTGACTTTTTAGTGCGAAGCATATCGACCGCTATCTCGAGCAAATAGTTGCCCCGTAGCTTTATCGAGTTACCATTTTCATTAGAGGGAAACATATAGTCTCCTCTCTTGAAGGCGACAAGCCAGTGCAGTAAAATAGGTCGAGATATTCAAGGTTTAAGCTTTCTAGTGTTTGTTGCAATGCTGCACCAACATCCTCGGGGTGATGTTTGTTGTTTCACAGCTTGCTGGTAACGAAAATCTCGTTCCGCGGCATACCACCCTGTTTAATAGCGCGTCCAACTGCTGGTTCAGTATCATAGCTAGTACAGAGCTAATCAGCTTTTGTTTTATCGATGGAAGAAAACAAATTTACCATCTCGCAGTATCTATATGACGATAGCCCGTTGAAGTGCTTGAAGAACTCCGGCCTCCTGGGCATCCTCATCCTGCCATGTCCCGAATCCAATAGCCGGAATATGGGCACCAGTATTAAGCTGAAAGGTCTTTTGACTTTGGGACATTTTCTCGGGGATAGATGATGCGAAATAAAATAATAAAGCTTGATGTCCAAAAACACAAAGCGCAACTTTATATTATACTAGTATTTGAAATATGACCATAGCAAGTCCAAACTAAAAATGTGACATTAGTATGACGGCGGGTCCTTTCAAATGGTGAAATATCTTTTCGGCAACTTGAAAATATTTTAAGTAGAACAAGTCGAAGATTCCATGATGTAAGCTCAGGTTTCAGAATCTTGATTGGTGCTGGGAATTCCACATACAGGAGAACATGTATGTAGAATGTTGAGGATTAGTTATCTGGCCTGTTGTCATGGTAGTCCCTATGAACTGGCACGCTGACTTCAGGATGACATTTTGTGCCTTGGGACACCAACAGTCGTAGCTGCGATACCTTGCACCCTGCGAAACAGCGACCTACGACTCTGACCTTAATGGCCAAATTAGAATCATTACATCTGGTTCCTGGAATCCAAGAGTGCGGCTGGCATGCAAACGGTTACTATACGGTTATGTTTGGTTGTTGACATTAGACGTACCGAGAAGTTATGATACGAGGCGTGGATCAGCACATGCTCAAAGCGTATGGACTAGTCTGCGTTCAAGGCAAATGAGACCAAGTGGAAAGCAATCTAGAATAAAAGAACTTATTATTGGATAAAAAGAAGCATGCGGTGAGAGCAGTTGAAATTGCCCCTGTATATGCGTATACTCGATGGCTAATACACCAATATTTCCAGTTGCACTGATTTGCCATAAAGTCACAAAGGCGGGCCCCCTGGGCTATAAATCGCTTGCTAGTGATAAGTTACGATTACATGCGCTGAATGGTTCACAGTACATAATATGAGCGATAAGATCACCTAGAGGTCAAACTCAAAGATGCCTGGCTGCGTGTATGGGCGCAGCATAAATAGAGCTGTGCATCCATCCTTTCGAGCTCTTGAACGAATAGAAAACTTGAAGTAATCATATAATTGAGACTTTCTCTTCCACCGAGGCGATACTTCCCTCGATCGATTCTTTCTTGTCGGTTCTACAAAACAAAACATAGAGTTAACATTTGCTTATTGCTTTGGCCATTTCCTTGATACGTGGGAGCTTTACCTTGTCATGATTCGGATGTCAGTTTGAATCCTCGAGACTCCACTGTGATGAACTAGCGTATGTGCAACACCAATAAGTCGCACAACTTGGTTCCACGGTCCCTCTGGACATGTAATATAAGCATATGGGTTGATAATGGTTATATATTCGATGTATGTAATGAACATCGATATTAAATACTGACCTATAATGGTTCCAGTGGCATGCAGCTGAGATTTCAGTCCTGATTCTCGAACAAGCTGTTGAATCGCGGCGATTGTCTCAGAGAATGATGGGCTCTGCGATCCGATCTAAAAGTTAAGATAAGTTATCACATGAATGAAATAATGTCTCAAGATCATGCTTCCTAGAATTAGAAGTAAAAGAAGGAAGGTGCAACTTGCCGGAATCAGGGAAAAGTCAGCGGTGCAATGAGAGGGAGTATCCGACATAGCTCCCGTAGAGGTCATAGTGATCACGAAACTGTTTGCTATCCAGATAGGCTCATTAATATGACTGCGTTATATATGATTATACACTAGTGAAAACACACAAGGCAACGCAAATTCGCATTATCGACCTACTACTTATAGGTTTTGACAAAATGTTGAGTGACGTCATATTTTCGTGCGATACCTTTCAGTCCCGAATTGTCATTCTGGTGGACTACAAGCTCTAATTTTCATAACCCAGGTTAAGTAGAATTTAGCCAAACTGTTTAGTCGTTTATTCCATGGGCCTGACTTACTTTTTCCCTGGTCGGCTATTGTGGGGAAACGCGTCGTTGGATCCATGTATAGATGGTATTGGCCTGTTACTCTGATACACGCTACAAAAGGCTTGTCTTCATTGATGTAAAGCCTCCAATAAAGAACCGAGGCGAACGAAAATCAATTAACTCGTAGTAATACAGCAGATATTTCTCAGCTTACTGTATTCAAATAACACGGCTTGGTTCCTGATCTGGATCGGTCTCATGTCACAGCATAAAGACTCGGAGGTATTGCACTAGAATAATGAAGTAAATATGTCTACACAACCACAATGGGATGGATAGCGATTATAGCCGTCCTAGAACCCAATAAGGGAGCCCTGGGCCTTCACATGGCCCTCTCTGGCACTGTCATAAGATGGAATTCCACCTGACTACAAATTATTCTAGGTGGTTGATTTCAGTTCCTAGGTTATCCGGAGTTCTTCCGAATGCGACTACTTGCTGCGGCAAAGGATTATGAACTTAGATACATCAGGGGTTCTGCCGATTCACTGGGGTATTACTTGCTTTAAAACACCAACGCGCCCTCGGGATTCATGCACGAGGCTGTATATAGAGACGAATAGATATCAAGTGTTCGATCAACGCTCGTTCAATTCGATCAGCCATTTCATGCCCAGTAGGCCACACAGTAAATAGCCAATGGACATCTATATACTCTATATATATCATGTCAAATTTAATTCATGCTAGTCATGCGGCTCCAGAGGGGCGACTTTGAAAATTCAGGACCTCAGGACCTGAGTGCGTTATACTCAGCTGACAACGAACGTTCGTCTCTCCGATCATGATGGCATTACGGCGATGATCGCAGTATACGAATAAATTTCTACTTGGGTTGCTCCATGAATAACTCTAAAGGTGAACTTTTGTAAGGGATGAGCAGCCTCAATGAGTCCGTTGAGATTGTCGGAAATTTTTCTCAAACATCAGTTCACCAAATCCCCTTTTGACGAGCAGGGCATGCTTCGCATCGGTGGCTCAACCTTTGTAGCCCCTATCCCAGATTATAAGGACTCGGGATGAAAGGAATCCCTATAGTATTAATAAAAAGTAATAAAGCTAAGTAAAAAAGAAAAGAGAGAAGCTCTCACGAATATTATGGTATAAATAGAATAGGTGGTTGTAGGTCACGTAATTAGGCACACAACTCAGGCAACATCAGTTCGTTACACAGATAGTAAGAGACCCTTTGCGTATTCAATAATAATCATAGTGTATTCAACAACCATAACGAACTGATAGCTCCATTTCTCTATTCCACCAACATCACCTTAATGATCGCGCTGATTCTGCAGCTTTTCCCGGAAAGCACTTTCTTCCCTAACGATCTCCAACGGAAGCGTTTGTCCGACACCAAAAAGAATAAAAAGCGCCCATTTCCAACGGAAGGGGTTGACCAAGACGAGAAACACAAACCAGTATATCAACTCAGTGTATGTAAAGAAATCGAATGCTCTAGGTGGCGCTCCCTGCTTCATCCAGCGGGTAAAATCAATCCAGGTTTTCATGCGTCCTTCTGTCGGCTTGGTGAGCGGATCCGTCAGGAACATAAGCAGAAAACGCGTATAAATGCCAATATGGATGTTTCCGACCGTTCCGATGGCGTTTACGTAGGTGCTGTTATTGGCGCAGATACTCAGGTGCTTTGGTGGAAACACTTGAAGATACCAATCCGGGGGAGAGTAATTTTCTTCAAATGAATCTTGGGGGAGGAATGAGAGTGTTGGGCGCTTAAAGCCGGTCGCCATGATAATAATATCACCTTTGACAAGCTTCTCGCGGCCAGGGCCACCCTTAGAGGTATCTCCAGATCGATGATTGAAGAGGATTCCAGTCTTTTTGACACTATCAATATCACCACGCAGCCAACGGGCCTTGCCCTTTCGGATGAGGTTGAATAGATCTGAGTTCGCCATTGGAGTCGTCGTAAATAGACCACTTTCAGGAGCAATGTCTTCTAAATCCCGATAGAAGAATTTGCGAAGCAGCCACTCTGGTAACCATGAAAGAGATATCTCTTCGCCCCAAATGTTCATGGCCAGCAAGGACTGTACCAGAATATTGCGTGGAATAATCCATTTATCTGACCTAGAAAGGACGTCAATTTCAGAAGCTCCAGACGAAACTGCAAACTCCAGTGCTTCAATGGCACTTGCGCCACCTCCGATGATAAGAGCCTTCTTCCCTTTGATGTCCTTCCCGTCGAGATTTGATGAGTGGCAGATGGTACCCTCGAATTGATCTTGGTCTGGTAAAGTGGGCATTTTGGGATCGCCGCAAACTCCGACGGCTGCAATAACGCCGTCAAAGCTTCCATATTTCTCGGGGTGATCGTTAATGACCCACTTGCCCGACGATTTTGCTTTTTTAACAGAGGTAACCGGCGTTCCGAATTCTGTGCGCTCTTCCAGGTCGTAACGTTTCCACAGATCGACGATTTGGTCGCGAATTTCGTGTTGAGTGGGATACGCGTGTTTATATTGCACGGTTGGGTGAAAGCGATACATGAGGCTGTGGATTTGCAATGCCGATGTCGAGTTGACGCGCTGTAATTGTGAGTGGCAAGTCGACTAATTTTGTGATTTCTTGCACGTACACTCCAAATACCTCCTAGCCCTTTCTCTTTCCCGCGTGCCTCAAATATATGCACCTCAAAGCCATGGCCAATACAATGCGCCGCAGATGATACACCAGTCAGTCCGGCACCGATAATCGCGATTTTCCTTTTAGGTAGGCCCTTGTTGAAGGATTTCGACGGGGAGCTCGAGGGTCCAAAGACCCACGCGAAGAAACTTTGAGTGATGAAATAAAGTATCGAGAAAAGAGAAAGTATTGGATTCATGGTGAGCAGAGGGAATGACGATCAAGTTGAAGGCCCTAGGGAGGTCAGCCGTGAATTGTGAAGGTAGCAGGAGGTGAGCCTGACGAGATCTTTAGTAGCTAAATCAGCTCAGCCCACACCTTAAGCTATAGCTACCGTCAGCTATAAGAGAGTGACGTTATTGTGGACCATCAGACAGGTTGTGCCATCAATTTTCCAACAGAAAACACATGGTTGCCGTGCGCAGGGCATGACGTCAACTGCAGGCGGATGCGGGATCTAACGTCCGCCCAAAGCTGAATCAAAATGCCTTTGTCAAATGAAAAGAAAAGTAGCGAGATGATTCATATTCAGAATAATGATGAACAATCAATGATATTTTATTCCCACGTGTTTCCCCCAGTGCCGTCTCCAGATGTCTTGGGAGACAGATGTTTCATACATGCCATTCTTTAACCTATACCCCCAATAATCGAAACAACCCCGATAATTTCCCTGGTGTCTATAAAAGAAGTTCCCTATTTTCAAATCGAAATAGATTAATTTCACCAAAGGTTTTGCTGTCTATTTTAGCGCATAAAGTCTAGTGCGACGTATCTGCTTTGGGTCGTGCCGCTTCAGATCTCTTGCAACACATAGTGATAAAACTAAAAATATTTCATCCTTGAAAGAAGCTTTTTATTTACCTGATAGCAGAGACTTCCAGTACTCGTAAGCCATTGCTGAGTGAGGAATACGAATCACTAGACAGATTGGGGAATTGACTTGGTTTTCATTATCCGTGCGAAGATCGCTGCTGTTCCTGGCCATACACATGAACAGACGTTAACTTGACGTAACAATTGAAGAATAAGAGGTTCGAGCGTGCAATTGAGATAGTGCCTTATCCTGGATTGATTAACAATGCCCTGCAAGATATTAAATGAGTTTCCCCAGGTTTGCAATTTCCTTATTCATTTCCGTGGCCGATACCCGTCTCTCCGACACGACTCATCATACAGTTTGGTATTGCTATAATCCCATACCCTTCGGTGGGGTACTAAGTCAATATTTATACTATCCCAACGCAGTAGCCATGGTACGTGCAATAGGATCATTTTGGGACTCATACAGCGATATCCGCGCGCGTCGTAGCCAAGAACCCCGGAACCCACTTTCAAGTACAATTAATGCTAACCCGTAATTTTATCAGGCTCCCGTCGATTCCAACCTTGTAACAAGGCAGTCGAGTAGTGGCGAAAGCTGCCCGAGTACCATTTCCAGTGGTGGTATTGCAGGTATCGTCCTCGGCTCGATTGCAGGGACACTCCTTCTTATCTGGCTCTGGCGTGCTTGTCGATTGCCTGGTGCTACAGGCAGTAACACCAGCTCTGGCGTTGTATATGAGTCGCCTATTGTGCGCAGCTCCTACGGTCAAAGAAGACGTCGCGGTTCCTCCGGTACTACATATGTCGAGAAGCCCACGAGTACACGATTATATAAAGATGAAGTGAGAAAACCAGCTCGAATTTATGCAGCGGGCTATTAGTTAGAAAGGCACGCACAAGAAGATGCATGTTGCGGATAATCTTGAATTAAGAGTTTGTTTATTATTGTCGAAGGAGCCGGGAATGGATGTAATTTTGACTGAATATTCGTCATCTTGTGACGTTAATTGGCTGTACAATGTCTTGGGGTGATCCGATCTTATTAAGTATCAAAGGCTTGACTTATATCTTTCAGGTTATCAACAAGTATGATCATTATGGTACAGCGGATACGGCGACTAGATAGTTACACTTAATTCCCTTCGGTGCCTAGATTCTAAGGCATACAATGCCACAGGCATGTGATTGCTTACACTGTGGTCCATCCTTGTTTTGAACTTTAGTTGGCCAAGGTGTACCAACATCTGAATGAATTCGCAAAACAAGTAATTACCGGTAATGACTTGGCATAAACCTGATTATTGCTTATACCCATAAACTGTCACACAACCAATCCAGAAACAGTAGGTTGGTGATGGTTGAATTATGATGTAATGAGGCTGACCACAACTTGACCCCAGCCGTACCTCCCATGACTTAATTGCGACGAACATCTCCGACGCCTATAGAGCCAAATATTATAAATTGGGGATTTCACCCACGCCAACAATACTTCTGGACATCATCGGAACTACTATATTTACTACATCCAATTTATTTCAAAACCACCATCACACATAATGGAGACTGCCAAGGTTCGCAAATACCTACCCTAACAGGGGTTCAATGCCATGAGAACTGTAGGCTAACTATGACAGAACGCTGCCAACTATGTCTCAGAGTCCGTCAAGGGTACTGGTCATGAGACTTCCAAGGAGGCCAACAAGCATGTCGCGAAGGATTCTGATGCAGGCATCGGCACCCGTGCTAGTGCCGCAAAGGACGCTGTGAAGGATAAGGGCAAAGAGGAGAAGCATGGCACCAAAGCTGATGTTCACAAAGGTAATTGAGGTCTCACGATTTATTCTTACCGCATTTCGATACTCACACATTTACAGAGGCCGCTAAGCACTAAAATTTCCTCGTGCTGAAGACGATGCCACTCCACTCGTGTTATCGCTATTGTTTAGTGATGAGTTGCTTGCCAATTTGAGAGGTTTGGATGATGAAAGGCAACGACCATGACAATATTTGCGAGGAAGGCATATTTAATGATATTATTGAAGAATCTGGATGACAGAATGACATGTTTCGTATAATGAGCCATGCCCGCCATATCATGGAGTGCCAGTTATTCCATCTGTACTATCTTAGCTCCATAATAATCACTGTCTTAAGGCTTCACTGTACAGTTGTTTTCGAATTCAGTTTTACCTCAACACTATGGCAGATGAGTCATCGTTATAACACCGTAATACCCCATGGAACCACGTAGAATCGCTTCTGACAATCTGGCAATATTGCCTGCCTGGATTCCCCTTCCCGCTGGTCCCATTTGACCCCTTCCTCCTTATTCTTCAGATAGAAGGCTATGCTCATGCTAACCTGCTACAGTAGAATTCGAAAACAAATTACCCCTCGGACACACTGGCTTTCTTTCGCAGCGCCCCCGCTCAGATCGCGCTAGGCTAGATTGGCTAGTCAAAGTCCCAACTATCCTTTCTCGATGTATTTCTGGTAGATCATCATAATTACCGTAATTACTGGTTTCGTCCAGACGCTGACCCACGCTTTGTTTCTCGACCCGTACGTCCGCTAATACTTCTTAGACCACTTAACAAACGACCCCTGTTTAGTCGTCAGAGCGGATTGGATTTCCGTCCTCTTAAGAGTCATTGTAATTTACCGTATTCTCCCATGGAAATCCTTAGTGGGATCTTGAACGGGGTGGGGACATCTGGTAATCTGGCTTGATCTACGCTCACTCTCTCTGTGAAGGCTGTGCTACTGTTGTAAAACGACTACAGTAGCCCTACTGGGCCAACAAAGCTCTCGTTTGCATCCTCGAATAGCTGTTACCCTATTCCAGCTTGTTTCCGCTAGTATCATCTATCCATAGCTGGTACCGCCCGTTGAATCATTAGTCCGCTTTGTTAGGATAGATGCTTGTGTGTGCTTTAAGTCTAAAATTGTGCTAATTGGCCGATACAAAATCCCAGTCTCTCGCTAGCAGCACCTGCGCTTGGTGGATTTTGGCCTCCTCCGCGTCCTCAAAGTGTTTGTGAGCCGACAACTGCCCGCTCTTGTCTGACCGGTGGAAGTAGGGAGAATCCACCTCGCAGTGCGTATATGTGTCGGGCAATTTGCCTTCGTACAAAAACGCTCGCACATGTTTCGCAATGCACACCGACGGTACTGCAACAGAGCAATGCCCATACCCTTTGACCTCGACGATCTGCGAACCCTCGAATGCCTCGTTCGCAGACCACGCAGCTATGAGGGGGCATACGGGGTCGTAAGTTGTCGAAAGTATGAGCAGCGGATGTGTCGTCTTCACACTTTTGCGTGGCACATAGGAATGTGTCTTTGGTACAGCCCAGTGTTGCCGCACGTAATAATTTTTGTTTTGCACAGGGCTGAACAGACTATGGTTGAATAAGGGCGCGATCTTATCCAAGAACGTCTGTCTGTCTCGAGGCCAATGCATCGGGCCACTAATACCGTCGTTCAGGGTGATAAAGTCGTATGCTTCATGATTCCAATCCCGAATCTCCTCAACTCCATATGCTAGAAATGCATTTGTCGCATTCCCTTGGATCAGTCTGTACATATTATCCGCAAGGGCAGCCCACATTGAAGGTTTGTTCAGGGCCTCGAGAAACCCGTTGTACCAGACCTTCTCATAGTCAAGCAAGCCGTAAACGGAGTTGTTGATGTATACACTGATGGGCTGATCTCGAAGCGTGTCTATGTACGAGAGCACGGTGTCACGCAATTCCTCTTTGGATGCTGCCAACAAGGCCAGGGAGCAGTTTTCAGCTCCGCCGTTGATGCACTCGTCAAAGAAGCCATCGAGCACCGTGTCCGTGTCGATTAGTGACTGTGCTTCAAAAAGACCCTCGTACCACTCGAATTGATTTACAACCCCATCAATGATAACGCGCTTTGAACGTTCGGGAAATAGCCCTGCATATGTCTGACCTAGCAGACTGCCATAACTGAATCCCCAGTATATCATGTCTTGCTGGCCCAGAGCATCAAGAATGCTGTTCATGTCGGCGGCTGTCTGGGGAGTGTTGAGATACTTGGCATACTCGCCCATCGTGTCAGTACATGCCTTGGCAAAATTCTGCGCCCACGCATAGACTTCGGGGCTATCGCCTATTACATGTAGAGATCGAACGCGGGACAATTTCTGTCGAGTCCTATCGTCCGGATAGCAAGAGGCTATTGGTGTCGAGCTATTGACCCCGCGAGGGTCGAATGAGAGTAGGTGGAAACCTTCGCCGACCACGGCCTTCAGCTGCTCTCCTCGGCGGTAGAGAAACTCAAAGCCGCTAGCTCCAGGACCACCAGGGTTTAAAAGGAGATTTTGGGTCGCGTTGTTGCCTCGCATGCGAACAAGTGGGATGGTAAAGGTCCTATCTCCCGGGAACCCCAGATCGAATTGGTCCATAGGAACATTAATACTGCTGCATTCAAGGGGATTGCCCTTAAAGCTCCCACAAGACTGCCAGCTGATGAGCTCTTCATTGTATTTGAGGGGCCCTGATTCAGTCGTCGATGACAATATGCCCAGCCAGCTATGCAAAATAATGTAAAAGCATGATAAGAAAGATGGAATAATGACCCAGAACTTGGAACGCGAAACTGTTCTTTGCTGAGTCAATGCCAAGTCTCCCAGTATATGCTTCTCATCCATGACGTGTTTGCCGGTGGGGTGTATAATCGAGTGGCCCGGTTGCAGAGACGTATCCCCTTCAAAAGGTCAGAATTTGTTGAGTCAAGCTGGAAGAGAAAGCATGGTATGATGGTTTGCGCTACTACTAGTGTTGAATAGCGAGCGAGCGAGCATTTTACGGACAAAGTCACATGAGCAGGGAGCGACTTCCCCGCTGCACTAGGTGGGCGCTGATATTGGATTTGCTAGGGCCGCCTTTCGCCTACTCAGATTGAGAAAATTTTCAATTTCTTTTTGTCGCTTTGACGAGGGTAGTCGTTCTGGAAATAAAAAGGGTCTATTGTTAGGAACGATATATTTACCTTAAGACAGATTAGTGTGGTCTCGGGTACGGTTCGAGAAACAAAGCGTGAGTGCCCAGAGAGGGTAATCTGTTTTCGAATTTATTGTTTGTCCACAGGCCATTTCGGAGGTATGGTTTGCCCCATGCCGGATACCATGATTACGGTAATTCTAGTGATCTACCAGAAGTACATCATGAAAACAAATGGTGGGTACTTTCCCGGACCTAATTCAGTTTAGCTCGATCTGAGTGGGGCGCTGGGAAGGAAAACGTCAGTGTTAAAAGAGTAATCTGTTTTCGAATTCTACTGTATTACTCTAAGTAAAAGTTTCTTGTCTCGTAACTGTATTGGCGATCCAGAGAAATGCAAGCAAGCTAAACATAAAACAAGAGATTTACTGCACAACATAACTGCCCAACGTCGTCGTTGAATTGACAGTTGGCTTTGACAAGACTACGCTGAATTTCCACATCTTCATTTGGATGCTTCTCTGAGAATCAACCGTATATGTACGTAAATGCCCTCAATACTATTCTGATATATTTCAGAACACAGTGCAAATATAAACTAGTCTAAATAACAATCAGCGTCCCTTGATACTGCGACGATAATTCCAAATTCGATATGGCTGTCGGATTCGGGTTCTCAGTCGGAGACTTCATCGCAGGACTCAACCTCCTCAAACAATCCATTGATGCGGTTAGCGATTCGCGGGGCGCCCTCAAGGACTACCGGAGCTTGATTGGAGAAATAGACGTTTTACGCGACTGCTTGAAGGTTTTAGATGAACTACATATCGACGAGAACTCGTTTAGCGGTGAGAAGCAGGCTATCGAAAACGCCCTAGCCAACTGCAACGATTGTATCGGTAACTTTCTCTAATCAATTGCGAAATTTAAGTCGCCACTGCAGCCTGGCACAAAAGGGTGGACTTCAGCCATTCGGAAGATACGATGGTCCGTTTGCAAGAGAGACGATGTTCAGCAATTACGAACTCAGCTGGCGATCCACGCTTCTGCTCTAAATTTGCTAGTTGATTCTTTGCAGATGTATGCTCATTCTGTTTGGGGTACTAATACGTACATACTGTTGAGGCAATCCTTATGCTACAATATTAGATGCACATAGTTATAGCATGGATGGAAAGCCTAAAAAGTATTATCGATTCAACTCAAGCCCTATCTATCACATTTATTATTGACGTTTGTTAGATCTCTGACTTTTATAAATAAAAATTTAGAACTTCTGTATACATAAGCTTTTTTAAGTATTAGTAGAAAGATTAGCTTCTACTAGATCCTAGGTAATTTTTTTTTCTATAATAGGTTTAAGATCTTGGTAAAATAAATGCCTAAACGGGCGTTGAATATAGCCTTTTTAGGCGTTCGGTTTACTGTCACTTAGCTAGCGTTGGGGTGTAATGTAATATATTAAATAATCCACAATATAGACTGGTATCAAATGCCGCCAGAACTGGAAATGCAGATGCCAATGCGAATGCCGATGCGATGTCGATGCCGCGCAGAAAAGAAAGAAAAAAGAAACAGAAAAAAAGAAGAAAAATAACAACATTGAAAAAGGTGCCAGTGCAAACCCCCGCCAAATCAAGGCCAGAGTCAATCCAGTAGTCCGTCCGTCTGTCCAGTCCAATCCCGTAAAAACCAGTATCAATCCACCGTCATGTAATCATTATCATTCTGGCACAGGGTCCCGTCCCATATGCATCAATCCACTCCACTCCCTTCTTGCGAATCGCTAGTGTTCGCAATACCGCATCGCCGCTCAATTTCATCTCATCCCCCCCATCCTCTCATCTCCATCCAAAGCCCACTCCTCCCACGCAGCAGGCCTAACACAATCCAAACACCTAACAATCTCCACGCCCTCTGAAACCCCCTCAACCGCACAAGAAGAGCAGATCTTCCGCCTCATCCAGCCGAGTTCATCATACAGATCGTCCCCTGCATTTGCAGCTGTAGTTGTGGGCGCAGAGGCGCGTGCACCAGGACATGAGGATCCGTCACAGAGACGTAGACAGATATAGCATGCGCGTTCGGCGCAGAGATCACAGTCTGCGTAGGCGTCTAGGACTTGGCGGGTTGTTGGGCGGCGGTGGCAGATGTGGCATGGGCGGAGGGCGGAGGGGTGTGTAGTAGTAGTTGTTGCTGAAGATGGTGCTGAGGTTGGGGTGGTTGTGGGGTATGGGATTGGGACGAGAGTTTTGGGCGAAACAGGTGGTGAGTAAGGGTCTTGGGGTGTTGCGTAGATGTTTGGGGATAGGAGGGATGGTTGGGGCGTGGAGGTTAGGAGGTATGATGAATGTTGTGGGTGTTGTTGGTGTGGATGTTGATGTTGAAGTTGTTGGAGATGGCGGCGTTTGCGGGGAATGCATCTTGGTCTGAAGTCGAAGTCTTTCTCGGTTGATTGTTCGTGGCTGTGATTGTGGTTGTGATTGTGTCGGTGGACGATATATGGATCGCAGTTTGCGTGGTCCACCATAAATGGGACAAAAGAGGTTCTATTCATGCCATAATTGTATGTTAGATTTGATGGGATAGGCTGGGCTGGACTGGAGTAAACAGGAGAAGATCTTACGGGCGGGTTAGGGGGTCTTCATTTTCACGCTTGCGTTTCCTCCAGGCGAGGGCTTCTTCTGCAAATCCAGGCATGTGTATCCGGGATATATTTAGCCAGGGAAAGGGTGGGTATAAGAGGTTGAGTGAAGTGAAGTCGAGGGAATAATATGAAAGGGAGGTGAAGAGGACCTGCAGAAATTCCCAGCTGCCCTCACCGCCCGGAGGCGGTCAACGGCGAGCAGCATACAGAAGTATACTACAGTGGACTATTGTCTAGTATGAGGAGATAGTGAATCATTCATATCGTGGATTTATTTAATAAATATAGTATAAATACAAGAAGCAAATTTTTTAATTTGATCACTCTTTTCGTTGTTGTAGATCCACTGAGGAGCACATGCTCGTTTGCTTCACCAAACAGCCATGCCTGCATTTATTGATTATTGATTATTTATATGCCCTGCTCCCACTTCGCTTCTTCTTCTTCTTCTTCTTCTTCTTCTTCTCTTCTCGCTCTTCCATTCTCAGTTCTGCCTTCTTATTGCTCCCCTTATCATCATGGGGCTTTGTACGAGTAGTCATCATTCTTGATTCCTTCGCACGCCCCGCCGTCCTATCACGCACCCAGCTTTTAACATTCTATTGATCGAATTTTACAAATACTACCAATCCAGTGTTAAGTACATCTGGAAGAATTATCTACCACCCTTACTGCCAAACACCCCATCATACTTGCCCTTCCTCAACCCCCTTCCAGAGAATGCGGATCTCTCTACGCACCTCCCAGGTAAGGTTCATCAACTACTCTACATGACCCACCTAGGTCAATAACAACATATAAACTAGTCTCCTGTCACTACTACTTTCCAGGATGGATTGTGGACCACGAGAAACCATATGTTGAAAACAGCATGGTTCTGGTCTGCAATTTTGCCTTGAATGTCGTTGTTACCATCAGGCCTTTTGTTATGCGGTTCTACAATATCCCGTAAAGTGCTGTCCGAAAATATGGAAAAGAAAAAGGAAAAAGAAACATTCGGCATTGATCGTATTGAACACCGCCAGTTGTAACACAACATAAATATATTAGTACTCTTCACTACTAGCTACGAGTATATCTACTAGTACTATATACACCCACCCACTACTCCAACCAAGCAGCAACAGCCCCCTCAAAAGCCTCCTGCATCCACTCCTCTTCATCAAACCTCAAATCTCCATCAAACCCATGCTCCCCATCCCTAACAGTAAGCGTAACACCCGGACCCCCCAACCCAAGCCCCTGCGCCTTCTCCACGAAACCCTCCACATCACCAATAGGAACAAGACTATCCTGCCTTCCATGAATAACCGCAATCCCACCCTTCGGAAATTCAACCCCCCTCACTCTCAAGCTTAACAAAAGGATAAAGAACCCCACGATCAGCCCCCTCCGTACCCCTTTCATACAACCCACTCAAATGCCCATATTCCCCCGCAGCAAGCATAAACGTCAAACTCTCCGGCACAGACCACGAGGACTTCACGCTCCCCAACTCCACACTAGCCATATACTCCTCATAAACCGATTCGGGCGTCGAATGACCAAACGGCGGATGCACCCGCGCTGACGAAAACGCACCCGGTTCAATCATCGGGTACGAAGCCGTCGCGGCACGAATCGCTCTCGGATGCGATAAAGCGGTATATATGCTCAACAAACCACCCGCCGAATCACCGGCCGTAAGTATGCGGGTTAAATCCGCCTCCGTGGGCACGGAGTGACTGCTCAATATAGCGCTGAACTCGGACGAATGCAGCCATGTCCAGAAATCTTCGATATCGGCGTAGATCTCCGGACTGGTTGCTTCGGGTAGGAGGCGGTAGTTTGGAGATACGATTATTGCGTTGTGCTTTGTGGCTAGATCGGATAGCCAGTGTGGGAAGAATAACATAAATAGACTGTCGCCCATTACGAGGCCGCCGCCGTGGTAGCGGATGATTATGGGGCGGGGACTGGCGGGGGCGGATTTTGGGATGAGGATGTCTGTTCGGATTTCGTGGGTGCCGACCTTTTTGTACGGGGCTTGGATTAGGTCGAAGTTGGCGATTTTGGGGTCCG